CCCTAACCCTAACCCTAACCCTAAAGTGTGAGTGTAGTATCCGTGTTACCCTAACCCTTTGATTCTAAAGATCGGTGACTTGCACAACTGCAAGTTTTTAAATAAACTAATGTCAAATGTCATTGTGGTAATTTTGATTTTAACTTTTTTTCGTAATGTAATTAAGCGAAATGTGTTTTTATAGGGAGAAATATATCAAGACATCATTAGCGATGTTATTCAAGCGTCTCGACATGATTTCGAAGAGTATGGAGTTGATAGTTCAGTTTTAACTCAGTTAAAACAGGTAAGAAATTATAGGTTAGCTCTCAATATATATTTAAGGAAAGAATATATTTTGAAAGAGCTATATACGTTCCATAGAGGGTATTAATAGTGAACAATTATAGATATGGCAAACACGTTTAGCAACAACAAATGTTGCACAGTTTCCTTGGACTGCATCTTTTTTGACAGAAACAATGCCAGTGCCATCAAGAAGGACAGAAGTACCTTTATTAAGTAATCCTGCAATGTCTGCAATGCGTGCAGCACAACAAATTCAACAGTTGGCTCAAGCACGACAAGCGCGATTTTACGGAGGAGAATTTGCGCAAAATAAACATCTTGATCATATTCCACAAACGGATGGAATTGAAGTTGAAACGTGGGCTGCATTGAAAAAAGAAGTCTTTTCAAAGGATTCAATACCAACGACAAAGGTTTTTGGTATTTTTTGATTCTTTGTTGTTAAATTTTTTTCTAGCAAATCGATACTTCACTTAATGAAACACTTCTCCAAATACATAACACTCAAAAAGCCTTTAGGGCTCATGAAAAGGAAGCATTAGGGTTTCAGCAGTCTCTGAAGACGCAGGAAATACAGGGGTCAGATCGGTCTTTTCTTCAAACAGATGGCATGGATTCTGATTCAATCAATTCTGATCTTGACTCCGAAACTAACTCTAACCCAGACGATCTCCCAGAACATGATGATGATGGGCAACTTGTGCTTTGTTTATACGAAAAGGTGCAACGAACGAAAAATAAGTGGAAGTGTGTTCTTAAAGATGGTATTGTTGGTATGGGTGGTAAAGATTATCTTTTTATGAGAGCCAATGTAAGAAAGGTGCCGATTCGGTTGAAGACGGTATTTAATCTTTTCAAGGGAGAATTTGAATGGTGATTTATATTTTTTAAAATTATACATTCGATATTTTAATGGTCTATATCTATATAACAATGGTGAATACGCCATTGTCAATACAAGATTGACTCTGGTTTAAATTGAATGGCTAACGAACGTATTCATATGATTTGAAGATGCCATTACAATGACATATTAACTCTATTATTCAAACAAATGATTGGTATAGGTATAATCATGTATGTTTTCAACGGGTGTGAGATGGTAATGTATAATTAATGGAGTATTATCAGAAATATCGATATCTCCTTTGAACAAGACATTAAAAACGAATTTTCGACCTCGATGAAATTCAGGATACCATATTCGTGCTTCTTCCCACATATGGTCATAGGGAATAGAGTTATGCGCAGAGGGATCGACAGAAAACCATTGAGGTATCATTTCTTCTGACCTGTTAAGGTTAGAAAGTTATAAATATTAAGAACATACTCTATAGGTTTGTCAAGAAATTGTGTAGCTTTATAGACATGAATCTCGGTCACACATGTAGATCTTTCCCATTTTAGAAGAAGTATCGCCATCTTTTCAAGCACTGCATCTTCAATTCCACACTCCTCCTAGATCCTTATTTGTTTTAATTTTATGAAGTAAATAGATCAATACCTTTAATTCTCTTGCAGCACACGCATTAATGGATTCGTTTTCCATTACTTTCCCTCCAAATCCATTCCATCTAATTAATGTTAAAACCGATTTAAATATCAAATAAACATAATAGTGCTTTCCAACACCAAATCCCCGTTTCTTTAGACCAAGTAAAACATGCGTATTTTTTGCGTCATAGGGAATTACGAGTGTGTATTGTTTCGTTTCAATGTGTGGCAATTCACTGCTGCATTTATAAGTAAAAATCGTATTGTTTTTTTCTCACCAATTCATTTCTATTATAGTAATATAAAGAAAAAGTAGGTAATTTTATTTAATAAAACAAGATATCTTATTTTTATAAATTTCAATGAATAATTGCTTAAGAAATTTAAATTTTATCTAATTTATAAAGTGTAAACTCCTTTATAATTTTTTAGCGAAAGAAAAACGCAATCTATATAAAGACATTAATAATTCAAATAAACTAGAATTTTTTTCTTTAAATTAAAGATTAGTTAGATAGTTATTCAATCTTAATTTAGATACATCAATTATAAGTTGAAATATTTCTATTAAATATCTTATTCTTTAATTATTTTTTTTTGAATATTTAAAAGTTTTAGAAAATTTAAAAATATTTTTATATACATTTAGTTTTTATAAATTTTGAAATATCTTAATAAATTTAAAAAAAAATCTTTCAAAATTTCAAAATATTTATTCGAAATACATCTTTTATTCATAAATCATATTTGCGTTTTAATTGAATGCTTTTACATTACATTATAATAATATATAAATAAATCTTAATTGTTTAGACAATAGTTGCCAGGCAACATTTTTTCAAGGAAAGCTTTTCTATAAGAAAAAAATGCCGATTCCTCCTGCTTACCCAGAAACACATTTAAAGAGGTTATTATTTTTTATTTCTTTTTTAGGCACCTGTAGAAATAACGCTTTATAGAATTCAAATTCATTGGAGTGATGGAGTAACTACGGGATATCCACCTCCGTCAAGCTGTGATGCAACGGTTAATGAAGATGGAACTTTTGATTTTTTTCGAAAAATTGCAACAGGAGAAAGTAAAGACCTTCATTGGCGTCGAAAATGCGCTGAATATTTGAGAGAGCAAGCGAAGATTCAAGTGTTTCAAGGTTCTTTTATCAAATTAGTAAAAAAATAAGCTAATTTGACGAAATAGGCATGGATTTTGTTCTTGACGCGTTTCCTAAGAACTATAAGCTTTATGAGCATTGTAAAAGGTATAATGATGCTCGCCAAGAGCGCAGAGATACGTTTCTTTTTGGACATCCTAAAGGGATTCGTTTTCGAAGCCCCGCTGAATTTAGTCCACATCTTTTATGGATTGCACAAAGTAAAACACATGCACGTGGTGAATGTCCTTGCAAATATTGTGGTGACTCGAAATCATGGAATCGAAGAAAGTTGGGTATAGATCAAACTTTGGTTGAATTGAATCATGAAAAATCAGAAAGAGAAGCAGATCTTAATTCAGAAGAGGCTCTTTATAGGCCTGGTGAAGTAGTTTGGATGATCCAAGATAATCCTACTGATGAATGGGTAATCGGAATTATTATAGAACGAACAGCATTGCCTTGTCTTCATTCTGACAGTGTTTTATCTAAAAGCTATAATTATCGTGTCAAAAAAATTAAAACTGAAAAAAAAATTATACAGGTGCCTCAGTGGATGCTTCGGCCTTTGCTTTCAAGATCTGTAAAGGGTATAAAAGATATGGAGGAGCTTTGCGAAACATGGACATTGTTTGATCCTTATATATCTGGTATTTCTCCTAAAATTCATTGTTATAATGGATGTTGGATGGGGCCAGAAAAAGTATGGAAAGGAGATGTGGTTCGATTTAGACAAAGATCAGATAATGAACAGCAATTTTCTATTCCTGATGGTATTCTTATTGTTAACGCAATATATAAAGAAAATAAATCAGGTAATATTTTGGTTTCAGGTAATGTTTGGTATTTTACATCCATTCCATCTCAAATAGATCCCTCTCTTCCTGTACCTCAGAGATTGGCAAAAACTGCTGAAATTTTAGACTTGTATTTGGGATGTAGTAATACAAAAGATTCCGAATTTACATGTGCTTTGATTGAGGTTCAAGGACGTTGGTATGAACCTTGGTTAATGCCCAAAGACACAGTTCTTAGCGAAGTTACATTAAAACGGAGAGTTAATAGTCGAAAGGAAGTATTAATAGATGAATTTAATTCGGATTGTTCATAATTAAAATATTCGTTTGATGTCTAAAAATACGTAGTTTATTAATTAGAATATCATTTCCTGTATATTCATTTGATATTTAATATGGAATTTATATAGTTATGTTCATTAATAGACTTTAAATCTTCAAATTCTATTCTTATATAAATAGTATATGTTCATAAAGCAATATTATATTTGAAATTATCAAAATATCTTAAAATGTGCTTTAATCAATCCTACAATTTAGTAAAATATTAAAACAAATATATTTTTACACATCGTGATTAATATAAATTACAATTAAACAAAGGCAAATAAATGTAAAATAATATCGATTAATATTATATTTTATATTATACAAGTTAAAACTAATTTATAAACTATAATAAATTATGTAACAAAAAAAGATTGACTCTATTATTTACTTGTATAGAATATTTATAATTGTTCTAAGAAATTATATTACGTCAAACTTCTGCTAAGAAAAATCCTCTAAAGACGATGAAATGTTTTGAATATGCAAAGTAGATTCAAGAGAATAAAATGATTTAAAGGCCTTTATTTCATTTCGTTGAAGTGTAGAAAGATTTGTAATTTGAGAATAAGAAATCTGAGTCTGAGGATAATTACCAACATCAAAAGATTCTGATATATCATGAACATTAGAATGTATTTTAGATATATATTCATTTATTGTATTAATATCATTATTTGAAGGTATTTTTTCTGTTGAACTAGAAACAATCATTTTATTAGGAATGTCAGATAAAAGAGTTTCTGGCACGGTTATTTTGTTTTCCTCTACTATATTTTTAGGATTCTGTTGTGCATTTTTCAATTTACGATCACATTTATTACAAATAAAAGGAATGCAATTATCTTCATTAGTTTGCTTTTGTAGATCCAAAAATATCTCATGTGCATTATGTTGGCATTTTACATGTTCCCAAACCATACATTTATCGCAAGAAATCATTAGTTCATCATCCGACTTAGACAATTAATAAAAAAAAGCGAAGATATAAAAACTTACATAATTCTTACCAAATATACCGCAGATACAATCAAAAATCCAATCACTGTTCTCTGTTTTCTTATTTTCTATAGCTTTACGTTTAATTTTTTTAGTACTTTTTCGTAGAATCTGATAATTTTTTAATGAATTTGAGTATGAGTAATTAAAACTAGAAATATCATTTTTTTGATTATCTTCTTTTTGCAAAAATTCTTTTAAAAATTTTTCCTTCTGTTTCCTATCCCTTGTTTCTATGCGTGATCCTCGGTTCTAATAACTATCAATGAATGAAATTAGAAAAAAATATAAAATACATATTCAGTTGAATGCTTTTCTTCCCTTCCTCTTTCTTCTATTAACATAGCCAACTGTTTTTGTTTTAATCTTTTTTCTTCCTGAAGTTTCATAAGCTTTTTTTGTTCTATACGAGTTGATTTTTTTCGATGGATTAATGCTTCTGCTTTCAGTCTTTCACGCTCTTTAAGTTGCCGTTCCTTTTCTTTTTTCTAAAAGACATATAAACTTATATTATATATCTAAATCAACATACGTCTTCATTTTCCTGAAGATATGGAAGAATATTTTTTTGAAGATAATTATGTAATATATACTCGTTTTTGTTTCTTGAATGAGAAATAGAATCTACAAAATTCTTCCAATCATTAAAAGTTACACAAACCTAAAAAACAGATAAGTTTTAAAATAAAAAATATATAAATTTACGTTTTCCCAGTGCCCTATTTGAGGTTTTTGAGGTTTTTCATTATTAATAGCTGAATCTTCGAGAGAGTCAACATCATCATCAACAACAATCCGTTTTCTTTTTCTTTTATATCTCTTATCATTTTCACGTAATTCTTCATTTGAAGAATGAGGGAAAGTATGTAAACATCTATAGAGTCGATTATCATCCAATAAATAATATGTATATCCAACAGAATCACGTCCTATTGGATCTATTCTCTTAATTAAATATTAAAATATGATAAAAAATTAATTAATTTCTATACATACCCAAGATATTTCATCAGACTCTCTTGCACCAACACGTTCTCTAAATTTTTCAGGGTTAAGTAACTGCCATTCACAAAGTTGCAATAAAACTTGAACCTTTAATTCTTACTAAGACAAGTGAAAACAAAATATATCTACCTACTTTTGTAAAAATGTCAAAAGAATCCCATGAATATGGAATTTCTTCATTTCCGTAGGGGTTATCTTCCGGTTTACGAAGAAGAAATTGTTTTCTTGTATAGAAATCAACATTTTCTGCGCTAAATACTATTAAAAATACAAAAAAGGCCGAGAAAGAATACTTAATATGTCTATTAGAAGACAAATATCTTACCAAACCATATCTTATAATAGTTAATGTACGAGGTTCATGAAATCCAAGAAGTTCTTGCTCAAAAAACTTTAAAAAGATAAGCCATTATCAAAAGAAATATCTAATATCCACCTCAATATCAAAATCATCTAATTTTAAGATTTTATAAAAAAGACATAAAAATTGTCCCAATACAGCAAATTCTAACATATTTCGAAGTGCATGAATGATAGAATCAGTATTGCTATCTTTCCTATAGTTCATCTTGAAAAAATGTAGAATTGGTGTATCTTTTGTTAAATTTATTGCTAAATTCTAGTTTTTTAATAAATAATAAATTTCTTAACATAAATTTTTTTTAAAAAAACAAATCAGCTGAAATTCACAATATTCTAGCTTTTTATTAGCATGTTTACAAAAAAATAAGGACCAAGAACATAAACTCGTGGTTTTTTAAATAGTTAATCTTTATATGGGTATATTTTTTTTTAAGCATGTTTGGGGGCTTGGTCTCGATCGAAAACAAAAAAACATTTAAATAGATAAATATGTCATTATTTTAGAATATTACTGTCCAGTTATTGTAAATATAAGTATCAATTATCATCATCCTTATCCTCCCCAAAAATTGATATAAATATATCCATGTCAGGCCTTTCCTTTTCTAATGCTTTATTGGTTGTATCATCTATATTTAAAATTTCCTGTCTTTTTTCAGGGAGAATATATGTTTCGTCTCCCTTTACTTCTCGCATAATATTTTCAACAATAGATACATTAACGAGTTCGTTTTTCGAATCATCATTTATATTAGATACATCTAATTGTTTATCTGGATGTGGATTTCGAACATTAAATCGTTTACAAAGTAATCGTGCAGGATAAAATGTAGTAATTATTCGAGTAAGACTACCAAACATATTCATTTTTGCTGCTTCTTCAGCTGTATTGTTCTTCATTTAATTAGAAAAGTAAAGTTTCCTTAAAAAGAATATATACTTCTTTTGCAGGAATATTTATAATTCCTCCTTTTGAAGAATTATCAACAATTGAAACTGAAGAAAAAGAAGATGAAGATGATGTAAATCTATTTTTCATTATACCGGTCATTGGTTTAAAAATACGCGCAGATTTAGCAAATTCATCCGCTTCTTTTTCATAATCATGAGAAGCTAGGTTCTAAATTTTATTTAATTCTTAAAAATACTTTAATGGAATAAACATACCTCATATGAACCCCGTTGAACAATTCCTGCATGTTCCTGAAGGAATAAAATATATCTTCTTCTTTTGTCTTGATTATCTTCGTAAGGCAAAAATTTATTATTCAAAGCATCAAGAGCCATTTTTTTATCAATTAATGGAATAGACGATTTAGAATCTTCCCGTGTTATCGCACCTTCATTCCGTGCTGGAGGAAGATCTGTTCTTCCTGTTGCTTGAACCATGCGTTCTCGAGCAGATGACGAAAGAAAGTCGAATACCGATTTTCCAGGAAGAGGAGTCTCACCAAGTATAGCACCCCGATCTCTAGGTTGCAAAAAATTTCCAGAAATGACTTTTCTTTCAGAATGAGGTGCACAAGGTACATAATCAGATGGGACTACCGGAGGATCAAACCATGCTTTTTTTTCTATGCGATAAACTTCTGATAATATGAATCCATTCAAAGGCAAAGAACCATCCTGACACCTTCTTACTTCAATACCAACAGTATTTTTTTTTCGAGGAACAAATAAATGTTTTGTTACAGGCTTTAATTTCGTATTAGAAGTGTTTTTTTTTTTTTCTTCATGATCCAATACAGTGTCATATTTAATTTTTGAAGGCCCGAAATCATAGACCTCATAATCATATTCATTATCATCCTCATTTAATACTCCATAACCAAAACTTATTCCCGAAATGCCAAATTTTGGTGTGTTATTATCTGTAATATGCTGTAAACGCTCAATAGCAGGTGCAGGAACATATCCCAAACCATAAAGATCTGTCTTATTCTTAAAGAAATCCATTATAGAATCTTTAGGAGAAAAAAGAAATTCTGATGCATATTCATCATCTGTTTCATCATCATCTAATTTCGATCTTTTTACAAGAGGACCAACACCTTGACCTTCCTTCCAGCCCATTTTTTTTAATAATCTGATGCCAATTGATTCTTTTTTTATTATTAAATCATCTAATATACTCCCCTTTTTTTCTTGGTTTACATCTTCACATCCAATTCCAATAAAATCATCTTTCGTTTTAAGGTGTCTTTCTTCATCCCTCTCAGCGAGATCCTCTGCATCCATATAATCTTCTGCTTTAGATATTTTCAAGATAGCTCTTTCTTTTCGTGAAGAACGAAAAGATTGTGGAGTCCATCCTATTTTTATCTCAATATTAGAATCATATATTCATCAAACATTTACCTTCTTTTGATCCTACTGTATTAAAATATCCAGCAACAAATCCACCAGTAAATGCCCCATGAAGTCGTCTTCTTCCCCGTTCATCTCGTACTTCTTGTCTCCAAATTGGCTCATATTTTCCTTCTTCTATACCATCACTTCCTATAATGCTTGTACCAAAAAATACATAATCTTGCTTATCCTCATCTATACGAGGTTTTTTTCTTGACGATTCCATTATAAAAATGTCTTATGTTTATAATTTATAATATTTTTTAAAATTAATGTGCTCTATTTATTTTTTTAATAAAAATAAACCATAAAAAAACAATATAAATGTTTTTTATAGTTTTCTTAATGAATCCATCGTCAAAGTATAAAAATATAAGCCTTATGGATGATTTATATACATCAGAAACTTTGACGTTAAATCAATTGATCGGACTATAAAGACTAAGACATTAAAAAATTCTAAGAGAAAAAAGATAATAAAATGAAAAAAAAGAATAAAGAACAAAGTTTACAATATGAATAAGTTGGTTTATAATGCTCATTGTGCTCTTATTTAACTTTATACATAAATATATATTCATTTTAACTCATGAATATACAATATTCCGAACATTAATATTTATAAATTTGCGATAATAATTTATATGCAATGCAATTGAATGTTTTCATATAAATTGTCACTTATCTCGCAGAAAGAATACTCAACTCTAGTGTCCAAACCCGACGTGCCCATACTTTAACTTTTTCGATATTTTCATCAATATTTGTGAATTCCATGCTATCCCACCAACATTTTCTCTGCCTCATATTAATAATGGTCTATTAACTTTTTGCCGGCATACTGCAGGTTTTCTCCAGAATAAAAGAAGTTTTTGACATGTATGAATCGATGTTGATTGTCTATCGCTATTTTTTACCTCTGTCAATGCTAAACTAGATATGCACGCCCGAGAAGGCTCCAAGATTCTTCGAGGCCATTTATCGTCCTTTTTAAATCCACTCCCATTTTCAGTTTAATAGTTAACATTGAAGAAAAAAAACTTGCCTTGCACATAACATATCAATTAAATATTGTTCTGAAGTCCCTATACCATCATTGGATTTGATACCCTTTGACCTTAGAAGACCATCAAATACTCCATTAATGTCGACAAGTCGTTTGCCAACTGCTCGTTTTAATGAATACAGATTATCACATGTTGAATCATCCTTTGACTGAGTAATTATATAAAAATCAAGATCCTCCTTAAGCACAATAATCGCCACCTTCCCTGGAAAAGGTATAGTTTGTTCTTCTAACATTTCTCGTTCCATTCGAGATGTAGAAACTGATTCACAAAAGAATTGGATAACATATGATAAAATAGATGAATCATACTATTTGTTTCAATTTAATCCTACATCTATATAATTTTGTGATTATTATCACTTACATCTACACATACAGGCTCTCCTTCTGCCCCTTCATTTGCTATCCATCCATTAGGAAAAAGACACAACAAAATACTCTCCGGAAGAGTAATCAACTCTTCCCGTTCCATTACAAATCGCTTCCCGCGAAGATCTAATGTAATTAATGTCCCCGGTCCCTCTTCTTCATAAATTGATATCTGAGTGGAAACTCCTACGGGCTGTATCGTTTGTGTAATCAAATCATTCATTTTGAGTTTTTTCCTAAAACATCTTATTACAATTGGACTTTTTAGAACCCTTTAAAACCCTTTAAAAACAAATTATCAAACGCAATCAGTATTGAATATAAAACATCTGACTACAAATACAATAATACTTGTTTCTAAAGATTTTAATATCTTAACTTTTTGTATGACCTTTCTCCACACGAAAAAACGTGAAGAGTTAAAAATACAATAAAATATACAAGAAAGTCATGAATACAGTAATGAACATAATAAAACAAGAGACTGAATGACATTATATTGTCTTTTTTAGGATGACAAAGCTGAATTCGTCTTCCTCCGGGAAATACTCATCACCGTCATCAATTTCCAAGGGGGGCAAAATAGTAGGTAAAACAACGGGTTCATCCATTTCTTCATCTTCTATATCATCATCTTTTTCTTTTCCTTGTACTTTTAGTTCTGACTTAGATTTAACCGTTGATTTTTCTAATCCATTAGAATAAGATGTATATTTTGACCTAATTCCATAAATATTATTACTCTCACATGGCTCATCATCTTTTTTTCTTTTTTTAGGACTTAAAATTGCTTCTACCATATTCCAACACTAGGACAAATTAATATCTTAGCAAAAAATCAATATGATATTACCTGATCATAATGCGTCCAGAATGCTCGAGGAACTGTATCATCTACCATTCCCGCTTTCATCCATTTATGACATATTGGGCATTGTGCTTGTACAGATTTGTCTTTAATGACTTCAATATTTTCTGGATAAGGATAAGGATATCCATATTTACGTATTCCATGTTTATATCTTTTATGATACCAAAAAGCAGAACATTTTGTTACATACCAATTTCCAACAGAGAAAATGTCATTTTTGCTATCATCTCCAGTATCATACCCACCTGGGGGACAAAGAGAACAATGTGCTTGTTTTTTACTTCCTTTATAACGATAATATTCGGGATTATAACGATCAATAAATTCAAATTTCGTATTTTGATATGGTCTCTCGTTAGGATCTGAATGAACAAGAAGTTCGCTAGATATTGTATAATGATCTAAAGGTACAATTGGATCAAATAAACTCGATCTATAATAAAATCGATCATCTGCTGGTATTGGCTTAAGTCCTTTATTTCTTAATTGTGGCGCTAAATTTGGTGCTTTCATTTCCGTACTCAATCTTAAATAAATAGCAGGACATTGCATAACAAAATCTTCTTCTTTATAAGTAATCAGTTCCTTAAATTCTTGAGGACAGTTTTCCAAAGCTTTTGTTAACATGGATGGATTAATTCTTTTTTTCGAATTGAGAAATAGAGGAACATCTTTAGAGCCAAAGGGAAGGTTTGGAGGAAGAAATAATAGTTTATTCTTTTGATTATTTTCTTCTTTTGGTTTAGAATCTCGATTCTTAGGTGCCCATTCCCAATTCCAGCATTCTTCATATCCCTTTAAACAATGAACATAAGCAGGTTTCCATGGCAAAACAATAGGAGGTGTATAATTTGATAATGGTTGAAGACATGCAGTAAGAAAATGCTTCCAATCTAGCCCTCGTGCATAATGATTAAGTTTAAATATAACTCTATGAATAGTAAGTATAGAATGCACTTGTTTCATAGAGTATTGAGTTTTTAATGTATTATACGAGCGAATAAAAGATGTAAGTGTTGGATTATCTTGATTTATGTTTTGAGAGATTAAAGGTATTGAAGTAGAAATTAATGTGGAAGGAGTTGATGTTAAATTTTCTGAAGATATCTTCCATAAACAATTTTGAGTTTCTGAAGAATTACTGGAGTTATTGTCTTTAGTGTATTGATAAGAAAAAGTTGGTGAGGATAATGACGCTGGACATATTGTATTGGGTTCCATAAATAATGGTTTCCAGATATTTTCTAAATTATAATGATTAGCTAGACGATTACAAAAGTTTTTTTGAAACTGTTTTGAAGTAGCCTGAAAATCAGAAGATTTTAACATCATGTCAGAATCAAATGCATATTCACTGTTTATCCTTAAATCAGAGAAGCATCTTGGAGAAAAGGCATTGTCTTTGACATTTGTATTAATCATAGATGATATATCAAGCGTTTGATTTTGTGGTTGATTATAAATATTAGAATTTATATTAATAGTAGATAAGTATTTGGAAGTTTGTTGAGGTTCATCATCAGTATTAGATAAAATCTGAGATGATAACATTAAGTTTTGAGTATCCTCCCATATTGATATAAAATTATCATCCGGATTATTAATATTTGTAGTACCATTAAAAACATCAAGATCATTAATATGTTTCTCGGTAGGAACTAATTGTTTATTATCAGATGAGATAAATGTATTAAGCTTTTTTTCATTGAGAAGTAAAGCATTTTCCACTTCATAAAAAGAAGAATCAAGAAAATCGTTTTCAGTTTTTTCTATTGTGTTTAAAAGGGATTTTTGGTTATATTCGAGGTTTATTTCATTAGATGCATATTTTTTATATCCATTCGAATTTCTATATATTCCAAAAGAATTTTTATGGTTTTCAAGCCCGTAATCTACAATATTATTTATATTTTGTATCGATGGAAACATATATTGATCATTTAGAGGTGAAGAATAGGCAAAAGGTATTGCAGAATGTCCATGTTCGTGACTCGATAGCTCATTATAAATAAAACCTGGTTCTTCACTGTTTAAGGATGATGAAAACCACTGATTTTCTTTTTCTCTAATTTCATATAAATCACTTACAAATGCCTCCATCATTTGTTGATCTGTTAATATTGTTTATTTTAATATATCGGATTTTGTTTTTTTTTTTGCTTAACTGTTTTATATCTGAAGGGTCAACACCTAGACAGTTTTTTATTTTCAAAATGCTATTATTATTTATCTATATTTTCTTTGTTTCCCATATGTTTTTTCTTTGTATTTCCAAAAATGTTCAAGATTTTTTTAATAGATTTATCTAGGAACAAGAAGTTCCTCTATTACTCTTACTTAACTTTATTAATTTTATATTTCTACTTTTATTACAAACCTTATAATATAATTTTTAGAGAGACTTTTAGATTTTAAAACCTTATCGTTATCGCTTAAGATTTACGATAATAATAGGGTTCAATATATTTGCTTGAATTAATCAATAAAAACTATAAATAAATAAACATATGCAAATTAAAAATACTAGGTTAGATGTATATTTAAAAGAGAATAAAAATATTAAAAAAATTATATTTAAAAGTTAAATATATATCTTGACAATAATTTAGATCAAGTATATAAAAAATACTGTTTATGTTTATAAACAAAACATGATTCTACATAATTATACACAAAAAAAAAGATATTTAAATTCATATAACCAGAGTAATTTGTTTTTATAAAAAATATTAAACCCAAATTAATCTATAGATATCTAAAAAAAAAGAAATTGTAAATCAATCAATTAAATCTTTAAAGCCAAAAGCTATTATTAAGCTTAGGAGTTCTAAGTTTTTCTGATAATTAATAATAAGTATTTCAATATTTTTAAAAAATATTTTGATCACTATTTATATTATTAAATATTTAAACTTAAAATGAATTCCATAGACATTTTCGGATATTGAACGTTTAAATGTTCTATCTATAAAAAATTCATTCCCCAGATTTAAGCCATTCTCCAAATTTTTCTAATCTAGCTTGTTCATCTGCATCATCTGTATTTTTATTGCTACTTTTTCGATATCGAACTTTACCATCATAGATTTCTGCACTTACTATTTTCCCTCCAAAGTAACGACCATTCATTGTCTTCATGTTATAAATATTTAAATATAAGAGCAGCCATAATAAATTTTTATACCTTAACACATACTAATGCACTTTCCTCATCAGAAAATCGTACACTGACAACCCCATCTGGCTCTAAATCGAATAAAACTATATTTGTAACATTTCCTATTTTGGAACATTCTTCAAGAATATCTTGTTTAAGATCTATTATAAGAGTGATATCCTCCTATAAATATATTCAACAATGTTTTATGTGCAATATCTTCTTTACTTCAAGCTCTTTCAATGTAAACATATGCTTTAAAATAACAACTTTCGACCATCTTCCAGAAGTAGTAGTAGTATCATCATCCCATTCTGATATCTTACTTTCAAATATGTTAATAAAATAATAGTTGATATATTTTAAAAAATATACTTATTCAATTTTTTCATTTTCTGTTGCAATTTTCGTTTCTCATTAGAAGATCGTTTCACTGGATTGTTTTGAGATTTTTTATATGACGTATCTGCCTAAAATAATAAGGAAAAATATTATATAAAGAGATATTACCTCTTGTACTTTTATTTTTTGGCCATGTCTATCTTCTAGGCGTAAATACGTATCATCTAAAAGCTGAATAGCAAGTTTAACACTTTCTTCTCTGAAAAATACTACTACTGCATCACCCTTTGGTTCACCTTGCTCATTTAGATAAATTTTAATTCTGGGCTTGCCTGTATCAATATTTTCACTAATTAAGCCACATTTTGAAAACGTTTCTTTTATTTCATCTTCTGTTACATCCGGAGGAAGATTAGAGACATAGACTGCTGTGTTCTTCGAAGTTCCTAGATTTTTTTTTTTTGAAGATAAATATTCATCTTTTCCTTTTTCATCCATCTAAATAAAAACAATAAAGAATTTCAATAGCATATTAAGAAAAAATATACCCTCTTCCTATTTTTTTTTCGTATATCTATTGGAATTGTTTCATCTACTCCTTCAACAGAGTAAGCATTTTGTTGAAGACGTATTAATTCTTCATCCATCTAAAACATATTATTAAAACATCAAAGTATTAAAAACGTCTTCATGCACAGATAAAACCCAAATACGCCGCTGTTCATCATATTCATATTCATTCCCATCTTTATCTTCATATGTCCATCGGTTCTTGCGAATATCAAACTCCATTGTTTGATCAGCAGGAAAACCATATATAGGTGTTTTATTATTTTCATTGGAATCAATACCACTTTTATATGTATCGCTTGAACAGTTTATTTCCATATATTATTTAGTTATAGAAGGATTAAAATATGTTTTTAATTTGTTTTTATAGAATCGCAAATTTTTTAGAAAAAAGTTCAAAATGATGCGAAAAGATAAAAAAAGTAGAAAACGACAAGAACATGTCTTGAATATGCTTCCAAGGGTATTTTTAATTTTGTTTTATTTTTTTGAGTGAAAAAGCTTAAAAAATTAGAAAAAATTTTATAGACAAAGAGCACATTCTAATGTATTTTCAGATCATATTTTAGATTAGTAAGTTAAAGAAATATGAATAAAAAATCAGAAAATAAATATAAAGTCCAGCTAATCCTTCTATGATGGACTGGTCGGTTCATTTTCCAGATATTGATAAAAATAAAAAAGTTGAGATTTTAGATGTTGGGTGTGGGTTTGGAGGATTATTAATTGCACTTTCAACCCTTTATTCAGATACTTTGATTTTAGGTATATTCTTATTTGTTAATTTTTTTTCTCATAATAGTAGGGGTGGAAATTCGTATGCAAGTAACACAATATGTTCATGATAAAATTATTGCATTAAGACATCAATTTTCTGAAAATAAAGCATATCGTAATATTTCTGTTATACGTACCAACGCAATGAAGTTTTTACCAAATTTTTTTTATCGGCATCAAGTATATTATTTCATTTTTTTTATTATTGTTTTAATTATTTAAGCTTTCAAAAATGTTTTTTTGTTTTCCAGATCCGCATTTTAAAAAATCTAAACATAAGGCAAGGATTATAACGTAATATACGTATATATATTTATTTATTTTATATAATAACATTAATAGATTTACACTTCTCACTGAATATGCTTTCATTCTTCAGCCTCAGGGCATTCTCTACACAATTACAGATGTAGAAGATCTTCATCATTGGATGGTAGCTCATTTAGATTATCATCCATTGTTTCAACGTTTATCTCAACAAGAACTTCATTTGGATCCTTGTATTTCTGTTATGACATCTCAAACTGAAGAAGCAAAAAAAGTATCTAGAAACAATGGTCAAAAATTCATAGCTTGTTATAAGAGATTAGACGATATTTATTGACTTTTATGTATAATATTTTAAAAATGTATTTTTATATATATTAAATCCGTTAATCGACTATACTGGCCATCAGCTTCAAATCTAAAAAAAATTGAAGCTGTTAATTATATTTTATGTTGTCAGCTGAGGGCATATCAGTAAGGTCCACGCTTGTATATATTATAAGCTCAATTTTAATTGGACGAATTTTTCGTTTTTTTTCTCTATATCAAATTTTTATTTTAAGTGTCGTTTATTTTATTTTATTTATAATATCAGTTTTTTATGTGGCTTTCAAGTACCTTGGGCGATCCATGCCTAACGATTATGCAAATGTTCCAGGGCCTTTGGTCTTTGCGAAGTTGTCAGATTGGATAAAAGCTATTAAAGCATATGAAAAAGAAGCATCTTTAGATAAACAGTGTTTTCCACTTCATGAATCTTTGCTTATTTCAGAGGAACTTAATAAGATAATTGATCTCATTATTCGGGATTTTGTTGTAAAATGGTATAAGGAAATTGCTCCACAAGGTGTTTTCCCTGTTATAATTGAAAAAAACATTCGATATTCCTTGATACAACTTAGAAATCGGGTGAAGACCATAGATATAGAAGATATTATTGTTCGAAGAATTATACCTATCATCACAGCGCATATTGCAGAATGTAGAGCTGCAGATTTGAAAGTACAGAATCTTGGTCTTAAACAAAATCTTACAGATCTAACAGAATTGAATCTTGCTGTAGCAAAAAAATATAATAATGGAAAGCTTCATCCAGCTGTAACATTTTCTCATTCAGGAAGTATAATGTGCCAGAAAGATCATCTTAGAAAATTAGTTGGGCAATTTATTAGATTTATATTACCCGAATCTGAAATGAATAGTAAGGTTGTTTTTTCTTTGATTCGAGAAATTGTTTCATGTGGGGTTTTGTCACCCATTATAGACTTATTAACAGATCCTGACATACTGAACCAATTAATAGTGACTATTGTAAGATTTATATAAAATATATTTCAAATTTGATAACATTATACATAGACTAGTTCTATAATACAAGAACGAAAGAAGATTAGACGCATTAGAGATGTTGTTAAGAAACATTCGTTGTACGAGAAAATGGAAAGACAAAGATATACACCTAAATTTCCATTAAACAATGAAAAAATGTTTGAAAAATATATATATTTTATAAAACAATGCAATAATTTGTCAGACCTAAGAAAAATGCGAAATGATCTTATTTTAGAGAATCATAAATTTCAATCAAAAATATGTATATTTTTTCTAAAAAAAAATCAAGTTAACTAATTTGTTAAGATTCTAATAAATATAATTATGAAAATGATCAACATATTGATCATGTCTTAGCTAAATTTCAAAAAAGCAAGTATTTTATAGAAAAACAAATAAGAATATTAACAGGAAATATAAACATTGATGTTTAATTTATATAAATTTCTTTTCTATTATTAATTTTTTATAGTATTCAGATTTTATAATGCAAACTCCGGAAGTTTTATTTGCTCAAAAAGATATTAAATTAATAGAGATATTGCATAATGTTTCGGGTCTATCTTATTTTATGGTAGGATATACTTATTGTAAAAAAAGTTACTAATTTTGAAGGAATTTATGGATCAAAAAAATAGAATAGTTTTGGTTCAGTTTTGGCTTGTTGTAAATGGTCTTAACAATCCTTCTGATCATGATATTTCCTCAAAAAATGATCCATTAGGAGTAATATCTACTTTTCCTGAAAATCTTGACGTAAGATTATCATATAAGGAAGATATTTCTACAATTTTTGAGACATATTTTTCAGAAAATCTTCTAAATATATCTGAAGAAAACAAAAATGTTATTAAAGAGTTTATCGAATCATCAGATATACCTGAGAAATATCATAACGCTAAAGAAGCTTTGTTTAAAATACAGAATGAGGTCTTTGAAATTATGCGAGAAGAGGATCTTCCGGGTTTTGTAAAAAGTGAAATTTTTTTAAAATATTTAACTACAATGGCTGAAGAAACATCCAAAAATTTTAAAGATAATTTTCAAAATCAAATACTTAATAATATAGCAAATAAGACTACTATTTTATCTGAATCTATTCCAGAGCATAATTCTAACCCTATTTTGAATATTTCTTCTATTCAAAGCTCTAAAAAAGAATCCAGTAATAGTAATGAGATCGATTTTGATATTTTACAAGAAGTTGAAACTGCGTTAAATAACATTATAGATAATGATGATGATGATGAACAAAATAAATATGAAATAAGTTCAAATATTGACTGTATATTAGACACATCATCAGAGAGATGTAGTAGTTATTTAAAAAAAACGTTAACAGTACCATCAGATTCAGGTTCTAATGGTTTCTCATATTCAGCAAATAAAAAAGTTCGTATGCCATTATTTGAGGAGCCTGAGCAGTTTGATATAGATACATCTTTTGATAATCAAAATATTGATATGGATTTAACTGATGCAGATATACATCATGCTTCTTCTGGTGATTTAACTCTCTCTGAAGCAATTGATAATATTTCTATGGAAATTAATAGTTTAGAAGCTGAGGAATCTGTTCTCAGTTCTCTTATAAAAAAAGCAGAGCTTACTAATAGCATTTCTGAGCTTAGGATATTTAGAAAATCAATTAAAACTATCCAATCAGAACTTCGTCGCAAAAGATATCAAAGACAGCAGTACATGATTCAGGAGAATGATAACTTACTTTATGTTAGTTTTTTTTTTTTATAATTTTAATTTTAATTTTCATAGGGAAGATCAAAAATATCTATACCTGCTGTAACGATAGGATTAGGAATGGATGGGTCTCAGTATACTTTATATATAATAGAAATACAGAAGTTCGACTCTTCTAAAGTTGTTACTTCAGGGTGGATTCTTGGACGTCGTTATAGTGAATTTTTTCATCTTCATCAAAGATTAAAAATGTATTTTCCAAAAGTACGGAATATTGATCTTCCAAAGAAAAGTGTAGTTTTAAAGATGCAGAAATCATTTGTTGAGGGAAGAAGAATTATGCTCGAAAAATATCTTCAGGTGGAAGATAATATATTTTATTAAAGTATTAATTTTGATAGACTTTATTACAAATTCCTGAAGTTTGTTCATCAAAAGAATTGCGTATATTTTTATCTCAGCAGAACTCTACGTTACCATCATTACAGAAAAATTCTGATCTAATATCATATTCTGATCCACGAGAAATTGTTGGATATATTTTTAAATACCTTTCTGAAGATATGGAGGATACTTCGCCTAATTCCGCTTTTATTGATAATTTCCCTGAAACTAATCTTAATATATTAAATACTATAACATCTAAAGAGAATATCGAGTCTTCTGTTACACGACAGCCACAAAATTTGAAAGGTTTAGAAAATGATGTAACTGCATTTACAAAACCAATATGCGATTTGTTTTTAGAAGTTTTTGACCTCAGAAAGTCTAACAATTGGCTAAAGGGCCGTGCAATTATTATAATATTGCAACAATTATTGGGAGGAACTATTGAGAGGTATTCTTTATTTATCGAACTGTATTTTTATTTATCAATAATTAGAAAAGTTCGTGAAACTTTGCGGAATGCTTTTGGAGAGCAATCCATTTTGAATATACTTCAAGCATTAAAAGATACTTTATGGCCAAATGGAATATTGATAAAAAATCGGCCTTTAAGATCCTATGAAGAAAAAACTAAAACAAGAGTTGAGGCCAGTTTCTTGTTTTCTGCTATATTTCCCGGTTTGGTTTTTATTTTATGTAATTTTATTATACTGATACATCTAAGTTTATTTACCAGATATTGCACCCAAAAAAATATTTAACATGTTGCAAAATCCTTTATTAAATTCGCATTTAATATTTAATATTTTTGATGAGATTGTTGAGATTATTTTTCCAGAAATAAGACAAACGTAAAATAATATATTACAAAGTATATATAAATATTATTTCTTCTTTTAAATGACAAATATTTGGAAATTTTATTTTATTTTTTAATTTAATTATTAAAATGATTTTTGATATTAAACTAAATTACATGTTTTCTTATTTATAAAATATTCAGTTTTGTATATAATAAAATAGTTGGGAATTGCATAGTATTTTTAGAGAATTTTTTAACCCTTGATGTTATTTTTAAATCATATTATGTTTTGATATAGGGTAACAATTTTAATTGGAAATAATAAGCTTTTATCAAATATAAAATGAGTTTTACGTTATTTATTATTCATATTTTTATAACATTACTCTATCCTTTTCTTTATACTCAAATATTATAAAATTATATTTATTGTATTTTAACAGGACAGTTTAACAATTTTTAATAGATAATTGTCTATATATAAAAATTTTTTATAATAATACACGTTTAATCTTAGAGTATTTTGTACTTGCTTTTATTATGACAACGGTTACTATAGAAACTCACAAGAGCCCTTGTGTAACTTATCGCCTTGACAACCTAAGACTTAGACAAGAACGGGGCTTTTAACAAGTGCATAAAATCTATAAGATTTAAAAATAGACTCTATTCTATTGTATTTATCATACATAGACTGTAGAACTTCATTTATGTTATTTATAAGCAACAAGAATGGGTAATAATAGTGACCGATGTGATAACAAGTGGATATCTTTGACAAATAGATCTAATCCTCCATGGAAAAGTTTAAGCACAGTAATAAGTATATATAATAAAGCAATCATCTTAACTTTAGAATTAGGTCGCATATACTAGTATGGCAGTAATAGCAGCAACTACGGGATATGTATTTGTGCGTCCAGCTAGAAAACCGGTGAATCTATCTAAAACAGTTACTCATATGCCGTTAGAACAAGGACAGAATATAGTGTTGGACACTGCAGCAGAAAAGCCACAGAAACGCCTACTTGAAGAGTCTTGGAGGAGTATTTCGTTGACTTCATTACCAACCTTATCCATGGAATTTCATTCAGTACCTAGCATTTCTTTACGTAAATGGAGTAAAAAACATGCTCTTCGACACAGAGAATGGGAATCAAGTTTGTCTAAAGGATATGATGTTACACATACATCAATTTGGAAACCATATTTTGGACCTTTTAAAGCACGAAAAAAATTCTTTTCTAAATCTTCAAAATTTATGGTTCGTCAATTATATCCTTTTAAGTCCAAACGTCCAGCAGTTTCTCTTGTACCTATGCAAGATGTAGACAGTCAACTTTCTTCGTCAATTTTTAGTATGGATAGTATATGCGATTTTTCGAATGATAGCATGTTTTTTTCGGATCCAGAATTTGTTTCATATAAGTATTCAGCATCTCCATCTATTAAGCCTTTATTTCTTATGAAAGATATTCCTTTAAATGTGTATTCTATGCCTGAATCTGAAAAAAGGCTGTTTAATAAAGACATTTATCCAGGCAAAAAATGCAATGTTCGGGTTGACCAAATTTTTGATGTTATTAACCCATTAAGCAAACTTATGCTTGATGATAGAGAAATTTATGAGTTGCGAAAATCATCTAATAAGCAATTATTTTCCACAACTAGTGGTTTCTCGGATGAAAATTTCCTTGATAAAGTAGAATTGTTGAACAATAAAGCTAAAAAGAGTATTGATAATGCATCAAATGATATTTTATGGGATAATTTTAATGAGGTTGAATATACTGATCAGAAAAAAATTTATGAATCTTCTACACCTACAAATATTTTTTTAATGAATGAAAGAGTACCGAATTTTTATTCACAGTATAATGAATTTCAATGGAATGATGAATATACAAAAAAGGGTCTGATATATATCTATATATATATTTGATTTTTCTAATTTCTTTTATAGAATCAAATGAAGCATGGGACGATGATTTTGACACAGAACTTATTGTACCAATTGATATTGCTGAAAGACAAGATACTATTAAAAGCCATCTTGGGAGTATACGAAAATTTGCATCATTAATTGAGGGTTTAAATCTTTATTTTTAATTAGAAAAATTTGTAATAATTTTTAGATTTGAAAGATTTAAGGAGAATTGCTCAAAAAGAAGGGGATAACGATGAAATATGGCCAGAAGTTGAGGCAATTATTGCATTAGGAACTCTAGAAAACGATGTACCGGATATGCATGAAGAAAATTTGAATAATTCTACCGTTAACCAGAAACAAAATATGCTTAGAGAAGTTATTATGAGGGCTTTAGGAAAACAATTTCCCACGGGAGAGAGGATTGGTTTGGATCCTGATAATTTACCTGGTTTTGTTAATTATGCTAATTCATTAAAAGAAAGATGCCAAGGAATTATTGATCCTATTCATCATACACTTTCCAATATTAATCGCCAAAATGTATAAAATTAACCATGTATTTTTTTAATAAATCATATTATGGATTGTGCATCTTTAATTCTTTTTTTAAAAAATTTCTATATCTACCTTTTTAGTTCCATGTATATTTTTAAGATGATATTATAGACCATTAATTCTTTTTTTCCTAATCTTATAAGCTTATTTTATTATCTAATCTAGTTATCTTTGTAAAGTAACGATAAAAATCATTCATATTAATAAGGATTTAAAAACTTTTAGAACGTTTAAATTTCTAAAAAAAACGTTTAAAAGAAATAAAAAAATTATTAAGAAAATATACTTAGTCTAGTGGTATTTGTATTTATTCTTAAGAAACAAAGATTAATTCTTATTTAGTCTTGAACAATGAGTAATCAACGTACTCTGGAAACACAACATGAAGATATGATTGTAATATAGCTTTTTAAAATATTATTTATTAATCGGTTTTCTAACATAGCATGATGCTGTTCTGGATTATTATGGGAGACGCTTAGCAACATGTTCTTCTGATAAATCTATTAGGATTTTTGAGATTGATGGTGATCAACAACGACTTGTAGAAACATTAAGAGGGTAATAAGGATATATAGTTTTTTTTCGAAAATGTTAATTCTTTATAGTCATGATGGTCCAGTTTGGAATGTTTCATGGGCACATCCTAAATTTGGAGTAATTTTGGCTTCTGGCGGATATGATGGTCGTGTTATTATTTGGAAAGAAATAAATAATCTATGGAGTAAACTTGCAGAACACACATTTCATCAAGCGTCAGGTATTTCTCGTTTATATTATATTTTTAATACTAAAATTATAGTAAATTCTGTAAGTTGGGCACCTCATGAATTAGGTGCTATACTTGCATGTGGATCTTCAGACCGAAGAGTTTCTGTTCTAGAATTTAAAGATGACGGCACTTGGGATACAAGAACATTTCCTGCACATTCTGTAGGATGTAATGCAGTTTCATGGTCGCCATGTACACCACCTGCATCTCTTATACGAACAGGGAAAGATCAAGATTTAAACTTTTTTAAAAAAATTGTTACAGGAGGTTCAGATAATTTGCTGAAAATATGGAATTTTAGGTACATAATGATGCGTATTGTTTTTAATAGTATTTTAATAAAATAGCAATGAGCAAAATAATTGGGTGATTGAAGAAGTATTAGAGGGGCATACTGATTGGGTAAGAGATGTGGATTGGGCACCTAACATTGGTTTACCAAAATCTTATATTGCATCTGCTTCTCAGGTATTAAACATATTCGTAAGTGTTATTGTTTCATTCTTTAAAGGATAAAACGGTTATTATTTGGACAAAAGAAGGAGATGGTCCATGGAAGAAAACATATTTATCTGATGAGCCATTTTTAGATACCGTATGGCGAGTCAATTGGTCGCTTTTAGGTAATATTCTTGCTGTTAGTTGTGGCGATAATCGTATATATTTATATAAAGAAACACTTAAAGGAACTTTTAAACAAATTAATGAGATTACAGTTTGATTTTTTTAATAAATATATATTGATTTTTTTAATAAATATATATTAATTTTTTTATGATATTATATATATATATATTGATATACCAACGAGATATTCCTATAGTAAAAAAATTAATGCCTTTATGATGGCTGAAAAGCCTTTAATAACTCATGAATATAGACAGATTATTAAGAAGCTTTCATCTAATGGTAATAAGATATTTAAATATTACTGATTTAATATTTATTTAGATAAAAAAACAAGAGATTCAGTAGTTGAGTTATTACCTTCTTTACTTTCTTTAAGGCCTTTAGAATATATTGAGCTTTTGAAGCTTTGGAAAGGGTTATATTATTGTTATATTTGATTTTTTTGTTAATTTTTTATTAATTTTTATAAGGTATGTGGATGTGTGATCGTCCTCTTGCTCAACAAAAACTAGCAAATGACTTTGTAAATTTGATTTTTAAATGTCCTTCAAATAATTCCCTTTTATTTTTAAAGGCATTTTGGGAAACTATTTGCAGGGAATGGAATTTAATAGATTCTTTAAGGTTTTAAAATTTTTATTAAAATTTTTATTTAAGATTCATGTTAGACTGGATAAATTTTACCTTTTGATACGAAAAAATATTGAAGGAGGATTTCGTTTATGTATGTCTTTAAATTGGTCAGAAAAAGTAGTTAATAATTATGTTTTATTACTAGAAGATATTCCTTTAAAGTATATTATTGAAATTATATATCTATACTAATAATTATACAGTCCAACAAATCCTAAGATTCCAAATAGTATTCGTTATCATATTTTAGATGTCTATTTAGATGAACTTGATAAAGTTTTTCCTGTAAAAAGTAAAAATCAAAATTTTCAAATTAAAGTATTTTTGGCACCTTTTCTAAATTTAGTTAAGAAGTCTCCTGATAAATATTTGAAAAAACGAATATCAGAAACTATATTTCTAGATAAACGTATTGAATTATGGAACAATAAAAAGGATGATTATAATTTTGATAATGAAATTTTAGATGTAGATGATAAAAATAATGAAGATGCTTTTGTAGAGGAATGGTATGGATTTGATGACCAATAGTATTTTCAACAAAATAAAGGATCTAATGATTATAATTTAATGTATTTAAATAGTAATAATTATTATATCACTAATATTTAATTATTTATTTAAAATAATTTTAGAAATAAATTATTTGAATATATAGTTGGTGGTACATACTCTACAATATAATGTTTTAATGATTATATATGTCTATTTAATGAAAATTTGTAATTTTGCTAAATATTCGTTTTAAATAAATTTGAAATTATTTAATATTGAATTTTATCATAAATATTAATAAGAAAATATTTGAAATTCTTTAGTTTTTATAAGTTTATTTTAAAATGATTCTTTTTAGTTTTTTCCAAATTTGTAATTATTTGTATAAAATATCTATATAAATATAAAATAAATACTCATTAAAAAACAATTTAATTCATATAATTTATTACAGAGATATATTCCCTATTAATATTTAATAAAAATATTTTAGAACTAATATTTAATTTTTAAAATTTAAAATAAAAGCTAATATTTAACAAATAAGCTTGATAAATAGTAAAGTATAGACAGTATTAAATAAACAAATGATTATACAATGAACTAAATCTATAATTAATTTAATATCAATTTATTAGTTTTTTATATTTTATGATTTTTTATTAATAAGTTCACCAATAGACAAAGCAATTCCTTGTGTTTTTGAACGTATTCTAATATGACCTACAATACATCCATTATCTTGCTTTTCAATACTAACATTCATTAAAGCATCTTCACCAAAAACACTTTTAGCATACAAATTTGCACTAAGAAAACCACAATCTTCTTTAAATAATGTATCTGGGGAAAGACATGCCATATTCGTTTTAGCCATGATCTCGTTTAAAAATTCTTTTAAGCTTTTAGTTATTGATGATATATTTACTTTATTTTCCCATTCAAATTCTGTCCACATACGCCGAAAAAGACTTTCTGAACAATATGAAGGCCGGATATAATCCGCAATATTTATATGAATATCATTAAAAATAACAATATTGGAATCCTGAGGTCCCACGCCATCATATGTACAATTTCCAAATATAATACCAGTGTCTGTAGATAAAACCCTAACAGTTATTTGCACTTTTAAAAAATCATATGGAGCAAGATTATGTATTGAAGGGTGCTCAACAATTTTTAAATCTCCTAATGTTGCAAATTCTATAGAAAGATTTTGTAAAGTTACTGATAATTGGTTTACTAAAAGAATATCTAATATAATATCAAATTGATTAACTTTCATATATGCTTCTGCATATATTGCATCAGAAAATCCAGTAAGTTGAAGAATTTTTCTAGAATTTAATGAAAATAAATTTGTTTCTATTTCACCATTTATCGCTTTAGATATCTCTAATTGTGTCTAATTAAATTAGATTAATCTTAAATACAATTAATATATTCTTACCAAATCTATTCCCGGTATATTTGATTTACTAGCAAGAAGACTAATAGTAATAGCGTCATCAGGTTGCAGAATATCCTTTTCTTTTATTGTATCACATTTTTTCTTCTTATTTTCTTCAATAGATAACAGTTTAACAAAAGCATTTCTAGTATCTTTAAGAAAAATATCCTTTATAGTTAAATTTTTCTGATATTCAATTAAGCTTTTTAGGTAAATTAAAATTTGATCAACAGAATCTTCATCAATATGCACTTTAACATATTTTGACTGGCCTACTCTAATAATTCCAATCATTATAAGCATACCTTCCGCAAGCATGAAATTGAGTTTGGATGTATTTTTTGAAACCTCTGAATAATGCATAATTAGTTTAGCAAGAGTTGATGATAAAACGGATGCAAGGTAATAATCACCATCTAATATCAATGCTAATATTTATATTAGAAAAAAATGACATAAATCAATTATAATATACATCTTAATATGGTTTTATGGAAATTTCTCATGCTTTCATGTCTATCAATTATTCGTGTTTCAGATACCAAAACTGATTCTGTCGCATATGTACCATCAGGCAATACTTTTCGAAAACCAGACAAAGGATTTGATTCTTTATTAATATGTGTATATTGATTGATATCATCCTGAGTTTCTTCGGCGAGCTTTTGTTCAGAAGCAAGAATAGGTATTTCTCCAATGCTATTTCGAATATATTCCCAAGCCTTTTCAATATCTTTTTATATAAGTAAAAGGAAAATAAAAATTTTTTATTAACCTTTTTCATCCACACAATATTGTCCAATGATCCATAAAATACCATAAAATGTTTTTCCAGATTTTATTTCATTTAATTTCAATAATATTTTTTCTATAATTGATTTACGAAATATGGAAAATTTCTCAACTACTTCTCTATCATATTTATCAGAAAAAGTAGTAAACTCCTGAAAATTCTACTTAGCAAATACTACAACATCTATAGCAGAAATGTTGTTAAACTTTCCAATAAATTCTATTAAAACATCTGCAACAATTTCCAAAACTTGTGGATATTTAGTTGTACAAGTATTTAACGAATGAATTAATAATTGTAAATATTCATTCTATTTTAGTTAATACTAATAATTATAGTTTCTGATTATACCTCTTCATGTTCTTGATTAACTGTTTTAATTAATTCTTTTTTTAATAACAACACTACATCTTCAACATTTCTACTGGAAAGCATTTCCATGGAGGTATCTAAAACTTTTTTTCGAATATTGATATCAGAACTATATAAATAAATATTGGAAATATAAATATAAAAAGATAGACTTTGTTAAAATAGAAAGAACATTAATTACAAGATCGTCCAAAATACTACCATTTTCCCTTTTCAGGTCGTCAATTTTTTCTAAAATTATAAATTTAACATTATTATCTGCTTCTTTCACTATGAGATCAATGAACTTTTGAGCAATAGCTAAATTTTATTAAACCATTTAATTTAAAAAATAAATATCTAAAAACCTGTAATAATATCAGAATTGTTAGTAAGAGATGTTAAAGTTGTAGCAGCTTCAAATGCAATTGTATTTGTTCCCGATTCAAGAAGTTCAAATACGAGAGGAAGATATTGCATCTATATAAAAATTAGAAATCACAGATATAAAAAGAAAAAATATAACCTTATTGTTAGGATTTAAGGATGAATCTTTTTTGATGAATTCAATAATAGCAAGCTGCATCAATTCATCCATAGAAGTCACAGTATTCAATTGTTGAGAGAGATATTTCGTTGCTATTTCATGGTCCATCCCAAACAAGCTAATAAAGGCATTACGTTTACATGTTTGATCAGTTTCCTAATATATATTATATTGAAATAAATAATTATAATATTAAAATATACAACTGCAAGAAAACTAAGAATTAAATCCGGTGCATCAGGAATAAGATTTGGGAAATGGCTATAAATAGAAAATATCGCTATAACGGCATTTTTTCTAACATAAGAATGACGATGTTCCTGTATTTCAAATAAATAAAAATAAAAGTTAGATTAACACAAAAATACTAAACACGATCTAGTAGCTGGGAGCAATGGTTCAAGAATATCTGGTTCCCTAAGTTTAGAAATAAACCGTAATGTAACACCACGAATATATTCATTTGGATGTTGAAGATCTCCACGAATAGCGTTACTAGATCTATTTTAACAAATAAAAGTAAATGGCTTTTTTACCAAGCAAGAATCATTTCCTGTTTCATCTTTCCATCTAATTTCTTACATAAATCTATCAAACAAAGTAGAATTAAACAAACCTGGACTATGTTTTAAACAAATTTCCCAATAATAATAAAGAAGCTTTTTTAACGTTTTATTCCGAGATGGTATAATAAAACGAATAACATGCATTAAAAGCTGAGGCATATCATTTCCGTTGCACATAATAACTAAAATTGTTTTCATTGCATCAATTTTTACGTTATCATCTTTTGACTCAAGTGACATTTTTAACTGTTCCAAAGTGGGAGTATCATAAAGATTATCTTGATAAATTAAGGTATATGATGTCATCTTAATTTAACTATCAATAAATATTTTTTAATAACAGATATTGATAAGGTGAAGTGTCTTATAATTTTTTTATAGGTTTTCTGGCTTCGATAGAAGACAACCTCTAAAATTTAAAAAAATATTATGGTATCAGATAAAGAGTCATTTTACTTAAGATATTAGTGAGTTTCATAGAATTATTATTAAATATACTATTTCATTCTTTTATTAATAGATTATATTTATAGTTCAGGACATACAGGACGTTTTGGGCATGAATTTTTAGGTAAAGATAAATTTTATAAGTAAATAAAAAAATTGAATCTTAATTGAGAATTTGATTTTCGTGCTGATGGAATGTCGCGTTATGCAAATAATTCAAATTATAGGAACGATTCATTGATTCGTAAAGAAAGTATAGTTTTTTTTTCTTAAAAATAAAAATTGAAGTATTTTCTTTATGTAGTGTGTGTAAGTCAATCTGTCATATCTGAACTTAAGAGGATTATTAAAGAGAGTGAAATCATGAAGTGCGTTTTTATATTTTTTCTTTCTTAAAATTAATTGAATAAAAAGAGAAAATGATTCAAAATGGCCCAAAAAAGATAAAGATGGAAGACAAGAACTCGAAATACGTCTTGGAAACAATCATATATCATTTGAAGTATATTTTAATTAAGTTAAAAAAAAATCTTATTTTTTTTAGACAGCAAAGATCGGATCATTGGTAGATGTTCAAGAAAGCGAAGATCCTGAAGGATTACGTGTATTTTATTATCTTGTACAAGGTATGTAGATAATTAATTGATAAAAATGATTTTAAATTTTATAGATCTTAAAGCTTTGAGTTTTAGTTTAATTTCTCTGCATTTTAAAATAAGACCTATTTGAAGCCATGCTTTTATATTTTTTTGAATGCAATCTTTTCTAACGAATAATTTTATTAAATTGTATATGTTTATTATTTTATAAAAGACTGCCTATTTATAATAAAAAAGTATTATTTAGAAAATTAATATAAAGTTTTAGGGTATTATTAAAATGTTTTTTATAGAATTTTTAGCGTTTTTTTATTTAAATTCTTAAATTTAAATATTGTTATTTTTGAGGAATTATTAACATACGGTTATATAAAGAATTGTTTAAATGAAAGAATATTAAAAAATCATCAATGAAATACTGTAGATTTCCTCACTGAATTTCTCATGTCAAGAAATATATCCGTATTATTATTATATATTCATGTTGAAGAAGAATAATAAAGAAAATATAAAAAAAGATAAAATAGAGCCTTTAGATGGAGAAATATATGAGGTAAAGTATTTAAAATATAAAGAATTTGTTTTCTAATTTAAAGGTGGAGAAAATATGTGAGGAATTTATACAAGAAGATGTAAGTTTTTTCTTAAAGAAGAAAAAAATTTATAATCAGGGAAATATTCTTTATAGGATATCATGGAAGGGTTATTCAGAAGACTTTGATACATGGGAGCCAATCGAGAATCTAATTGATTGTGAAAATGCTCTTGAAGATTGGAATCGGCTCAAAAATTCTACAGCATTAAAGAAAAAACAAACACTTGTTTCAAATAAATATATAAAAAAAAAAGAAAAAAATTCTGAAGATTTCTATTGTGACGACGAAACTTCTAGCGTATTATTAAAAAAACCTTTCTTTTTAAATAATATATCAAAGTCTGATAAAACAAAAGATATATCTATTAAAAAAAATAAAATCAATAATCCAAATATAAAAAATATTGATAATAAAAAAATATCAGATATTGAAGAGGATAAGAGTTCTTTTGAATCTAATTTAAATGAGGGTATATCTTTTAATACATTAAATTCTCTTGAAAATAATCCATTGGAAACATTTCTTATGGAAAATCCCTCTGTCATTTTTACTAATGAAAAACCACATATTGTTACAAAAGAGGTCGTTTTTTTTTTTATTTATCTTTTTTAATTTTTGTTTAGAAAATATTGCAGTTTAGGAATAAAAAAAAAAGAAAAGGTGCACTTTTATCCAGGTCATTTGTAAGTTCTTTGCAACAAAAATCTAGTCTTTTAAATGAATATTCAAATAATTTTGAATATATTACTAATGATTTGCCTTATATACAAACAAAAGTATTATTTATAATAAAATTATTTATTTTTAAATCTAACAATTTTAAAGGAAAATGTTAAACTCAATGATTTAAATAAATCATCGAATCACATTATCAAAGCTACTCTATTCAAAGGAGATTTTCATAAAAAAAGTTCAAAATCTAAATATATTATTAAATCAAAATTAAATTTTACAAGACCATTATCTGTAAGAAATAATAGAAAGATATTTCTTGAAAAGTTGGATATGTTGCTGGGTCCTCCAGTCTTTCTTATTAATGAAATTGATTCAGATTTATCTCCAATCGATTTTGAATTTATAACTTCTTATAAATATGGTGTAGGTATAGAACCACGAAATCCATTGTTTATTTCCGGATGTAGTTGCCCAAAAGATGGGTGTGATCTTAATAATCCTGGCTCTTGTCAATGCCTTGAGGATTCTAATAATAAAAGTTTTTCTTATGATGAATATGGAAGGGTTCGTCGTAATACTACTTCAATAATATATGAATGTAATGAAAATTGTGACTGTGGAATAAATTGTCCAAATAGAGTAGTTCAGAGAGGACGTAAAATTCCTTTAAATATTTTTAAAACTAAACATAAAGGCTGGGGTAACGTTATTTCTTTTCATTGCATTTTTATTAAATATTTATATAATATTAAGGTTTGCAGTGTCCTCGGTTTATCAAAGAAGGAACATTTATAGGTGTATATCTAGGGGAATTGATATCTCAATCTGAGGCAGAAATACGTGGTAAAAAATATGATCATGTTGGTGTAACATATTTATTTGATCTTGATCTCTTTGAAGATCAGGTTGATGAGTATTACACTATTGATGCACAATATTGTGGAGATGTGACGCGATTCATAAATCATTCATGTGACCCAAATCTTGCTATTTATAGTGTTTTAAGGGATAAAAGCGATTCTAAAATTTATGATTTAGCTTTTTTTGCTATTAAAGACATTCCTGCTTTAGAAGAGCTTTGCTTTGATTATAGTGGAAGAAATAATGAAGATCAATTAGGTTTCATTGGAAATTATTCTAATTCTAAGTATATAAATCTTAAAAATAAGAGGCCTTGCTATTGCGGTTCAGCTAATTGCAGAGGGTGGTTATTTGGATAATCTTTGTTATTTTAAAACATAAAACCTTTAATTTTTACATTTAAGTCTAACATAGGTTTTTTATGATTTTTTAATATAATTAAAATAGTTAGAAAGATATCTAGATATTTCTTTTTATGTATCTATTTGTTATAAAATATTTTATCAAATTTTATGATAAAAAATATTACAAAATTATTTCTTATTAAATCAAAATTGAATTTAATATTTTATTATTTTTTCATATTTTTCTTGATATTTTTAAAATAATTATAAATATGTAATTTAAAACTAAAAAATGATAAAAAAGCTTTTATAAAATATTAAAAAAATCCCAATAAATCATTACTCTTAATATTTTATCTTTGTATATATATAATACTTATTTAAAAGGATAAATATAAAAATCATTTTAAACAAGTTCTATAACTTAAATAAAAATCAATTTTAACATTTTTTTAATAATTAAAAGCAAATATAAACCCAAAAAAATTAAAATATTTTAAGATTACAGAATAAAGCCTTTTTATATTTTTTATAATAACTTAAACTTTATCTCTTAATCTATTATAATTTATTTTTTTTATATTATTCGAAATTGGAGCTAATATATTCCTTAATAACTTTAGTTTCTGATTATCTTGTTTAAATTTATATTTTTCGAATCAAAAAAAAACATTAAAATTTAAAAAACTTTATAATAGATGAATTAAAGCTCTAAGAATAATTAAAAACTTATTGAAAAAATCAAGACTTATAGAAAAACATAAAAATACTAAAGAACTAACAAAAGTTTTTTTTAAGTTAAATATCTAAGTAGAAATTATTAAAAGAATGGGATGTTCATTTAGTAAACATCCTTCTTCATATAGAGGATTCAGAGAGGATTTTCGAGAAACAAGAAATATATATGGGAATTTAAATACTAGAACACATATCCCTACATGTAATTTATGTAGACGTAATATTTTGTATAGTATTTATTGGTTATCTTATAATATATTAGGAAACAACTCTTTAAAAATACCGAGAGTGTGTACTTGGGTTTCTGATCATCCTATTACAATGTCTAATTTAATACGTCGACGAAAAGAATTTTGGGAAACAGCAGCATCATATGGAGGTAATTAAATAGGATTAGAAATATAATCAAGCTTTTAATATAATATAAATAGGTAGTCTTGAGATTTGGAATACTCTTCGACTTGTTCTTGAAACAATACCTGAAAGTCTTACTACAGCTCAAACGATTATTAATACAGCAGGGATTATTCTTCCTACAGGTAATTTATTCAGTTTCTTATCTATATTTTAGACATATAATCCTAAATTATAGGTGATTTAATAGATGGATGTTATGATCAGCGAGGATCTTATTATTTTATTCCTCCTTATATATTTTCTGAACCAACCAACTTAATATCAGAGAATCCAGAACAGTCTAAAAATGATAAATTAAATTCTATTATAGAAAATGAAGAAAATACAAAGTTAAGCGAATCACAGGATTCTCAGATTAAAAATGAACATGTAAACGAGATTATTGTTAGATTATCAGATACATCTAAAGATATTTTAATAAAAATTGATTCTAAAAATTCTATAGCAGATATGAAACAGCATGTTGCAAAAATTGCAGGTATTAAAAAACCTATGCATTTTTTTCTTTTGGGTAAAATGTTATCGGACGAGAAATCTTTGATTGATCAAGGCTGGAAAGAAGGAAGAGTTGTTCAAGCTTTAATTTTAGGATAATATATATGACACATTAAAATATTTTATCTTACAAATGCCTTTATTTAAGGATTTATTATCATTTTATAGACATTAACTTTATTAAATTTGCAAATACAGAATATTATCTTACAATTTTATTTATGTAAATGTTCTAATATTACTTGATATTATTTTTGTGATTCAGGATTATCTTCATTACTATTGTCTACGAAAATATACTAAGTTTAGACTTTATATCTTAAAAACTCTCAAATTTTATCAGGAAACAAAAACGTTTATTTTTCAAATATGTAATAAATTTAGATTATTTTGTTTTGAAAAAAGCTAATTATATTAAACTCATTATATAATTTAAACAAATAAAGCTATATTTCTATGTTTGATATATTACACTATGAATTTTAATATTTATTAAATTTATAATAAAATTATTTTAAAAAATCTTAAAAATAAATATTACATTAATTTATATATAACATTATGTATATATTTATACTATTTAACATAACTTAAAAATATCTGAATCTACAATCAATCAAAATATAAATTATATAAATCAAATATTTTATCTCTAAAATATACATTTTTATATACAAAAAAATTATTTATATGTATTATAGGAAGATAATTATGTTTTTATATAAAGATGTTTCAAACTGAAATAAAGTTTTATAATTTTAATATCTTAAATATAAAAAAAAATATATTTTTCAAAAACTTATAATTTTTTCATAAAAATATCAAAGCAAATTTATTTTAAACACAAATTCTTAATAAATCTCTTAAAAGTAATATTTTCAAATAATTACAAAAGAATTTATATTTTTTAACAAAAAAAACTTTTAATTTATGAAATAATATCAAACTTATATTATCAATATTTCTTTATTTAAAACTTATTTATATGTCAGATACAATTGGAGATAGAATTTCATTTGAAGGCAATTGTTGTACAATAAAATATATTGGTCCTGTTAAAGGCGTAGAAGGACAATGGCTTGGTGTTGAATGGGATGACCCATCACGTGGGAAACATAATGGGACATATCTTGGAGAAAATTATTTTAAGTGTAGGTATATTACTTTTTTTTTCTTTAAATATACCAGCAGTTTATAAGAAAAGAAAATTCGGGGTCTTTTATAAGACAAAATAGACCTAGAGATATTAAAAAAACATTTGTTGACGCTTTTATTGATAAATATGGAGATAGAAATGTTGAAGAATATATAAATTTTGATATAAAATCAAAAAATACGAATATTAATCCAAAAATCCAAGAGATATATCATCCAAAAAACATTCAAAAGTATTGTTTAACACATACGTATATATATATATATATTAAATATCTTAGAAAACTTCCAAAGCGTTATATCGTTACTTTAGATCATATGGCTATATCAGAACTAGGAAATATAGGTGAAATAAAAAAAAAATGTTCAGGTAATTTAAAGTTTTAATAAAAAATTTCTAAAACTATAAGATATATTGGAAATTGATCTCTCTGGAAATCTTTTAAACTGGAAAACAGTTATTTTAATAATTAAAGAGCTTCCAAATTTAAGTTCGTTAAAGCTTAAGTAAAATACTTTATTTATATATGTTTTATTTATTTATATAGTTACAATCAACTCGGTACTTCAGAATTGATTCTTTCTAATAATTTTAAATTTTCCAATCTGAAAACACTTATTCTTAATAAGACATATTTAAAAATTAAAGAGGCATAATAATAATTAATTTTTTGCACAAACTAAATTAATATCAAGATAAAAAAACTATGCATCTCTTTTGAAAATTTAGAGGAGCTTCAAATAAGTCATAATCTTTTAACATTAAAAACAAATAACGATTTCCACTTTTCTGATACCATTCCTCATCTTAAAAAAATCTTTTTGAATGACAATAAAATATCATGTTTTGAAACAGTTACTAGAATTTTTGGAAAATTAGAAAAGTAATTATTATACAATATATTCTTTTACTAATCAAAATAAGGCTTGTTTTTTTATCATTAGCATCAAATCAAATAAATACTATCAACATAATTCCAAATACATTTATATCCTTAAAATATCTTGACATCTCTAAAAACAATATATCTGAGCAAACTTCTCTTAATAATTTAAATATATTACATTCTTTAGTGTCTCTGAGATTTACTGATAATCCTTTACTTAAAGGTTTTATTTAGTATTTTATGTTATGTTTTATAAACTTATATTTTAGAGTTCAAAAGTAACCCTAGCACTTTTATCATTCCAAGATTGAGAAATGTTATGATAATAAATGGTACTAAAGTAGTTAATCTATTTTATTCTCGATAATCTATTTATTATAATCAATAGATCACTCAAGAAGAAAGACAAAATGCAGAATTATATTATTTATCTACCATTGAAAAAGAAATAAAATCAGGAAAAATAAGTAATTATTCCGATTTAATTAAAGAGCATCCTCAATGGAGGGAATTACAGAAAAGTTTTTCATAGTAAATAATAATTCCTGACTAATACAATATAGAATATGAAAAAGAAAATCCTATATTCAACACAGAAAAAAATTTAACTGAAAAAATCATAGAAAATAAGCTTATTGGTAAGATATGTTCGCCTTTTTATTTAACTTATAAAACAGAGTTATATATTATATTTGAAAAAGAAATAATAAAAAAAAAATTTATTTCATCCATGAATATTCGATCTTTTAGATCTTTTTGTGCGAAATTTTTCAAAATCAATCCTTTTGATTTCACAATTTCATATCTAGAAGGATCATATAAAATAATTTATATAGACGATGATTCAAAATTACTTTCTTTTTATAATCTAACTTCAGGAGAAACAATATATATAAAACAAAATAAACCAGAAAACTATACACAACAGTAGCATATTATATATATACTAAGGATATATATAATTATATTGACAATTTATATTTTTCATTAAAATTTCGAAATCTAAAAAATTATTTTTAAATATTATTTTATCAATCATTTTTTTAAAAAATATGCCTCCTAAAAAGCAAGATATTCTTAATTTTATCACGAAATACTAACACTAAAGCTAGACAAGCATCAGAAGAAAATAAAATATTTTTAGGACATCCTGGTAATAATCTTAAGAGTGGTATTGTTGGATTAGCCAATGTTGGTAAGTTAATCTTAAATCAATACTATTTTTAATACTTTTTTAGGGAAAAGTACATTATTTCAAGGTTATTATAGAATTGAAGCTTGATAAAAAAAGTATAATTAATTTTTAGTAATAACTAAATCAAATCTTGGGAATCCAGCAAACTGTTCGTAATTTTATAGGAAATATTTATTAAAACTAATATTATTTTTAGTTCCATACGCAACTATTGATCCAGAAGAAGCACGAGTTGCTGTTCCAGATGAAAATTTTGATTGGCTTTGCAATTTATATAATCCTTTATCTAAAATACCAGCTTTTCTTACAATATTCGACATTGCTGGTTTAACTAAAGGCGCGAGTACAGGAGAAGGGCTTGGCAATGCATTTTTAAGTCATATTAGAGCGGTTGACGCCATTTTTCATTTAGTTCGTAGGTTTTCTTTGTATACTCGTTTAAAAATGTTAATTATTCAAGGTGCATTTGATGATACAGAAATCATTCATATTGAGGGTGATGTTGATCCATGTCGGGATCTTCAGATTGTACATGACGAATTATTAATTAAAGATACTGAATTTGTCAATAAACATTTAGAAGGACTAAAAAGAATAACAAGCAGAGGAGGGCAATCTCTCGAACTTAAAGCAAATAAAGAGAAACAGGCGGTTGTTGAGAAAGTTCTGTATCAACTTGAAACGGAAAAGAAGGAAGTACGGAAATGTACTTGGACTAATAAAGAGGTTAGCATTTAAAGTTTTTAAATAATCTCATAAAACGCACTTCTTTTTATTTAATTATATAGCTTATTAATATTTGAAAATAATTAGGATATAAAACAAAAATATTATATACTTATTTTTATATTAATACTAATTTTTTTTAGATTGAAATAATAAATTCATTGTTTCTATTAACGGCAAAACCCGTTATTTATCTTGTTAACTTAAGTGAAAAAGACTATCTTCGACAAAAAAACAAATGGCTTCCTAAAATAGTTACTTGGGTAAATAATAATAGTCCTGGAGATATTATTGTACGATTTTTTTCAAATATTTTTTATAGCTAAAATGAAAAAGATTCCTATTTCTGTTATTTTTGAAAAGCGTTTATCGCAAATGACAGATAGCGAAGCTCTAGAAGAATGTAAACGACTTGGAACTAAATCAATACTTCCCAAAATTGTTACTACTGGGTATGATTTTTTATATTTAATACTGATAATTAAATTGCTATTTTTTAGCTACTCTAGTTTAAATTTGATGCATTATTTTACATGTGGTTCAGATGAAGTACGTGCATGGGTTAGTAAACTATCTATATAGACTTATTTTTTTAAAATATATTTTAGACTATTAGAAAGGAGACCAAGGCACCTGCAGCTGCAGGAGTTATTCATTCAGGTTTTTTCTTTTTCTGTTCTATTTATAATTGATTTTTTTGGAAAGATTTTGAAAAAAATTTTGTAGTTGGGGAAATAATGAAATTTAATGATTTAAAAGAATTAGGGTCAGAAGCTGCTGTTAAAGCAGCAGGAAAATATATGATAAAAGGTAATAAGATACTCGGAAAAATATAAGTTTATTTAAATATATTAAGGAAAAGATTATATTGTGGAAGAAAATGATATAATATATTGGAAAGCAGGAAAAAAATAACCTGATCCTAAAATCTATTAAATATTATTATATTGTTGTCAAATAAAAGCAATCTATGAAGCCATAGTATTTTTATATAAATAATTTAATATATAACATTGATACGTATATTTTCAATATTATTAAAACAATATTTTTATAAACTAAACATTATAAAAGTATAAATATTATTTCAAGGCCCAATAATTATTCATGACAAATAATATAATAAAAATCTCTAGGTATAAAGTATTTAAAGGTAATTTTATGTATGACATAATGGGCAATACTTTAAATAATTATTGATAATTGAAGCAGTTGTGCTTTTTATTCCAATACCAATGTTAGTTTCTTTAAAAACTTTAATAGCCAATAATGCTTCTTCATTTTTCTCTAATATGCAATCTATATGATATAAATGTTTGCAAAAAAATATGATGCCTAAAATATATTAATTTATTTTATTTATTTATAAAAAACACTTTCCATCTTTTGTCATGTATCTATTACATATATGACATTTTTGAAGTTTAACTAAGAATCTTAAGATAATTAAAAAAATATTTTTGAAATACCGTTTACCAAAATCCCACGCTTTTGATTTTGGAAAAAATCCTTATATAAATCAGATACTTCCATAGAAGTAATATTATATGCACAATTCATTAAAGTCATCTATACAAGAATAAAAAAAAAATCATAAATTATTTTATCTAACTTGTAATTCGTATTCTTTTAGAATTTTTAATAATGATTTTTTAAGACAAGGGATGACAAGGCCTTCAGGAATACGTTTAATAAGTTTAATAGGATTAATAACCTCTCCTGCATTTTCCAATAAACGAGATATATATACTATTTAATTAATATTTCATAATATATATATATATATCTATACTTGGATTATTTAGAGAATAAACAATTAAATCTTCCCATAAATCTTCATCCGTTTGTATTTTTGCAAATTCTATAGCCTATAAAAGTAATTCTTCTTTATTACTAATTTTCCTTAAAATTTATACCTGATCAATATCATTCAATTTTTCAATAATTAACATTAAAGCTTTTTTATTGTCACCCATTCTTCCAAGTATAAAAACTTGTTCAGGAATATATTCACGCAAATTACAAATATTAAATGCCTATATAAAAATTAATCAAATAAAACTATTTAGATGCTAAAAACTTTTTCCAATGAATATGTAAAACTTGTCTGAAGAAATTCCATCAAAATACAGCGATCATATTCTGCATATAATTCAACCTGCAAATCCCCAAATTCAGAAGCAAGGTGACTATCAAAAACAAAAATAGCCCGAAGATAATAATATTGAAAAATATGATATCCTTTTAATTGATTTACGACTTTATATACCTTAAATAATAAATAAAAACTATAAAATACAGAAAATCTCACTGGAATTAAATGTGAATATTCAACCAAAAAGCTAATTACTTTATTATTTAGCATTTTTTCCGAAGAACATTCAATTCTATCAGAAAAAAAATCAAGTTGAAACAATAAAAGTATATCATCTTCGATACTATTAAAAAGACGATATTGCTTGATTAGATCAATAGTCTCAGAACTTCTAAGACGGAGATAAAAATATAAAGCATTTTCTGGAGAACCTTTTTTTATATACCTATAAAATATTAAAATATATTCAAAAGTAAAGAAATCCTTAACAAATATGCAAGACATTCCATTAAAATGGTCTCCTCTTTCTTCTTCCACCTGTCTTCTATTATAAAAATAACATTGTCTATATTATATATTTCACAAGGCCAAGTCTTTAATATATCAAGTAATAATGTTTGGTTAAAAACAAGATAATAAGCAAGAATTGTTTCATAAATTGACATACCTAATTGTGGATTATCTGTTGGAATATATTGAGTAATAAACTTAGAACATTAAAATAAAGCCTTTAAATAGAATTCATTTACTTGTAAATGCCCGCTTTCTGCAAAATTAAGAATCCATTTCTCCCATAAATCTACATCTTTTTCAAAAATATCACAACATATAGAAGATATTTTATCATATTCATCTATAATTAAATAAATAATAAAAATTAAAGAATTCAAAAAAAACCATTTTTAACTAAATACTCCAAATAAGCAAGATTAACATCTCTTAAAGTAACACCTTCAATCGGTGCTTCTAATTTCTTCATAATTCTAATAGCCTTTTCATAATATTCATACTTAATAAGCCATAAAAGGTGATCTTTTAGTTCTCTTTTCTTAGCTATTATTCCATCACTAGGCCCTATTACATAAATATGTTCTTTTTTCAAACATAAGCGAAGACTAAAATCATTGGCTTGATAGTTAGAATATCCTTCAAGATTTAAAGCATCTCCAGATATTTCTTCATTTTTTGAATTAATAAGTCTTAATTCTGGACGTTCAACAATCTACGAAAGTCAAAAAATATAGAAAATCTGTATAGTTAATACAGGTTTAGATGTAATCTCCGAATCTATAAGAGTATTTATGTCAAAGATAAATGCAAGAACTAATAATTTATCTCCAAATTTCGCAATTCCTGATACTATATAATCAAGTTTTAATCTAAAAAAAATCAATTACAAAAATAATTTACAAAATACCTACATTAATGATATTTCACTATAAGGTAATCGATGATTAAGATCAGGAAACTAATATAATGAAAAGAAATTAGAAATTAAAAAAATAAAACCTTTATTGTAGCAACAATTACATAATTAGCCCAGCCTATAAGCAAAGTATCAAATGATGACCATACTAGTCTACATCGAAAAAGATCTGGCCTCGGGCTATCTGCCATTCTTTCAATAAAAGAAATTCTTTGAGAAAATATAGTGCTGTATATTTTTACACCCTTTAAAAAATTAAAATTAAAAATAAATTAAAAATAGATTGTAAATGAATTATAAATACCATATCATTTGCCCAGGCTATTAAATCTTTATGCCACTGGATTTCATAAATAGGTCCTTCATCACAATGTAAAACTGTGTCTTTATTTCCTAACCAGCCTGTTATATATTATTTATTATAGTCATAAGAATTCAAGAAGTTCCTTTTTCGTTCATTATAAGTTGTTGAGCCATTCCACCGGATACAATTCGAAAACTTTGAGAATAATTTGGATCAATAGCTACTGATTTCATAGGACGACGATAATTATAAAGGACAATGTTATTATTCGATCTTATACATAAACCTATATTTCCTTTACTTATTAAAGAAAAAATATATTGTATTTATATTAAACCATCTATAGAAGCTGTTGCAATATATTCTCCAGTACTATCGATTGATATATCTGTAACAGATGCAGAATGAATATGATTCTTAGATAATTTATCGTTTTCCATATCAATAATATAAAGATAACCATTATGTGATCCAAGAACCTTAATAATTATTCATATATGATAAAAACATATTTTTAAAATACTAATATATTTGATAACACTTCAAATGTACTAATAAAATCATTAGAAAATATTTCTGTTACCACCCCAGAAAAACGTGTATATTTTAAACGTGGTTCACCATTAACTTCATCTATAAAATCATCCATTTTGTTTTAGTGTAAAAACATGATTCATCATAGCCATAGGGTTAGGTCTATAAGACTTGTATTTTATATTTAATCTTTAAATATTGATTTTTTGATATATTGTAGTTTTTCAATCTATTTATATTTTTAGAGTTGCCTTTTTTTTTAACTATAAGACTAAAAAATTATTGATATTTACCAAGTTTTCTAACAAAATAATGCACTCAAGAATTCTAAATCTTTAAGTACTCTTAACAAGTTAATATAATTCTATTTTTTAAAAAACATTAAATAATTTTTCTTGATATATGTAAAAGTAGAAAAATAATAGAAAAAAATTGAAGTATGAAAATTAAAGTTATAAAAGTGCCTAGCAATCAACTTATATGTAAAATACATGTACTCTAAGATTAATACAAGCAAAATAATTTTGAATATAAGAGTTATTTTATGGTTTTATAGTAAAATAATCTTAAATAGAACAAATGTAAGGAAATAGTTAATATATTGCAAAAAATTGAAAAAAAGCATATATTTTAAAGATTTTGAATCATAAAATAAAGATGTTCTGTATAAAAATACAATAAAAGAAAAATATTAAAATTAAATATAATAAATAGTATAGATCTTTAAAAAAAGATCTATAAAAAATATAATAACCCTATTTTTTATAATATTAATTTAGACAAACACTAGTTCTTAACGAGTTATACTTTGAATTTTAGCTTGTCTAGTTTAAATAAAATTTCGTTAAATATTTTTAATATTAAGATAACTTATGAGAGAAAACATTGTTCTTCAATTTGGAAAATATTCTAATTATTTAGGGACTCATTTTTGGAACGCTCAAGATACATATTTTAAACAAAGTGCTGATGAATTATTAATTGATCATCATATCATGTATAGATTAAATAGTACTAATCGAAGAAAAGAGATATTTACACCCAGAGTTCTTATTTATGATTTAAGAAATGGTTTTGGGAATCTTAGTAAATATAGTGAGTCTTATCAGTTGAATAGTGAAGATATAGAAGGGTAATTTTTTTACCTTTTTATCTATGATTTTTAATATTATTGAGGGAAAAAAATGGATTAACTACAGAAATATATGAAATTGAAAAATATCCTATTCATCCTTTTCAATTTTCTTTTATGAATTCTAAATCAGAAGCTATTTTATCATCAGAAACAATTACTTCATGGTCTGATTATAATATGGTAAAATATCATTCTCATTCCTTATACCAGCTACTTCAATATGATATTTATGATAAAAGTTTTAATCCCTTTTATACTTTTGATCAGGGAAAAGAACTTTTTTATGATATATCAAAGGAAAATGATATATTTGAATCACATTTCCGGCCTTTTCTTGAAGAATGTGATAATATTCAAGGAATAACTGTTTTTACTGAAATTAATAGCGGGTGGGGTGGTTTTTCAAGTTCATTTCTTGATTCTATTAGAGATGAAATACCTAAACTTTGTATATGGACTTTTTCTATAGATGCAGAAATAGACAATGATATTCAGGCATTATTATCGATACATGATACTTCTTCAATTTTCTCTATTATAAATAAAAAATCTGGTTATTATCATGAAAAATTTGATCTAAACTCTTTATGGCATACTTCAGCTTTTCAGTCCTCTGCAATTGAATCATTATTAATTCCATGTCATTCTAATGTTAATTTCATGTCTATGAGTGATTTAACATCTTTAATGAATATTTATTCTGATAGAAAAATATCATATTTAAAAATAAAATTGGAAAACTCTATGCTAGGTTGGCTAGGTTTAAAATTGGAAAATTCAATAGAAAGTTCTTTGGAAATATTTAGAGGCGATAAAAATCAAGAGGCCATATCTACAATAAAAAATTTTTCTATATCAACAACGTAAACTTCTTTTATTATTTATATTTTATAATTTTCTTTTAGATATTATCATTCTACAACGCTTCCTTCTCCAAAATCTTTCCCTAAAATTTTTGATTCATTAAAATTATCTTGTGAGGCTTTATCATCTTCTTTGGATACTAAATCTTTTTTATCTTCTAAAAAAAAAAACTATATTTATAAAAATAAATCCAAAACATGCGATAGAGAAGATATAATTAATAGTTTAGATGACCTAATTACAATTTATAGCAATGAATGAAAAAACCTGGACAATTATATAAATAGATTAAGCAAATAATTAAAATAACTTAAAGAAATCAAATAATACTAAAATAAGCATTATAATATATATTAATTAAAGATATGATGTCATAGAAAACAAAACATGTAATAAAAGTTTATTTGTATTTAAAAATATTACGTTATATACTAGAATTTAGAATATTAATATAAAAATTAATATCACAATTTCAGAAGATGAGATTTTAACACTTTTGCATTGTTTTTATGAAAAATAAAGTTATTGAAAACAAATGGAATAAGAATTTAATTAGTAAAATTTTATAAATATAAATTATAAATAACTCTTATTGAAAATAATATATACTTTTTTATCAAAAAAACTATTTTCTACTGACACCAACAGTTTTTCCTCTTCTACCAGTTGTTTTAGTATGCTAAAATACAAGTATTAATAAGTAAAAAAAAAAATACAAATAATACCTGTCCTCTCACTCTTAATCCCCAAAAATGTCTCAAACCCCTATGAACTTTAATTTTCTTCAATCTCTCTAAATCTTCACGAAGCTTATTATCTAATTGATTTGCAAGTACTTGAGAATTCTTTCCATCTGTAATAGCACGTTGAGAATTAAGAAACCAAGGAGGAATTTTATATGCCAAAGGGTTTTGAATAATAGTAACAATCCTTTCAAGCTCTTCTACTGTAAGTTCACCTGCTCTTTAACTTTTTTTTAACAAATCTTAATTTTTAACTCCAAATATTCAATACCTTTTACTCAAATCAATATCCGCCTTCTTACAAACAAGATTTGCATAACGGCGTCCCACTCCTTTAATTTGCGTCTGTTTTTAATAAAAAAAAGTATGAAAAAAACAAAAATAACAATATTACCAAGGCAAACATAATTTTTACTCGTCCATCAACATTTGTATTTAAAAGACGAAGAATGTGCTGAAACGTACCTTGCTGTTGAACAACAAGAGACTAATGTTAATATTAGCTATTTATATTTCAGTTTTTCTTAATTTTTATACACACCATTTTTAACTTTTTTAACTTTCTTTTAAACGTCGGAGTAAAAAAGTTAAGATTTTTATAAAAAAATGTAAGAATTAATTTAAGATTAAAATTTGTTTTTAATTTTTGCTTAATTTTTTAATATTATTAAGGAATTTCTTATTTATATTATATTTTTCTTAATAAAACACAAAGAATCATATATTTTTATTTAAATAAAGTGAATTATTAAAAAGATTTTAAATAAGTCTTAGGAATATATAGATTATTAAAGAAAAAACTAGAAATAAGTGTTTTGTTGTCATAATTTTCAGAATAATGGATGAAGATGAAGAACAAGTTATTGCTGATACATTAGAAGCATTTAAAAGATATGGAGAAATTATGGAATTGAAAATTAATATACGCCGGAATGTATTTAGATCACTGAAAAAAGAAGATCAAATGCAGTTGGTTGAATTTGAAGAACATTTAAATAAAATAGAAGAAGCGGTTAAGATTAATTGTAAACTGGCAAATGATATAGAAAAAATCGGAAGAAGTCAATTTCTTTCAGGAAAAAAATATAAAGAATCTCGGTCGTTAAAAATGGGGTTTGTTTATGTATATTTTATTATGGAGTTTAATATTAGATTTAAGTTATATGGATAAAGTATTAACAACGATAAAACAATTTTGGCGTGATTGGAGTAAAGATGGAATGGCTGAAAGGGATAAATCATATAAACCTATTATTGATGAAATAGAATTAAAATTTATGGATATTCCTATTAATGATAGGTGGGAAATTATTTTTTTTATTTTTTATAAAATAAATATATTAGGAAAAAAATAAATATTTTAGTTCCAGGTGCTGGTTTAGGTAGACTTCCTTTTGATATAGCATTGAAAGGTATTGTTTTCTTGATTTTTTTATGAAGTTTAATTTTATTATAGGATTTTCGGTTCAAGGAAATGAATTTTCTTACTTTATGCTTATTTCGTCTTTTTTTCTTTTTAATTATTTAGAATCCAGCAATAAATATTTCTTATTTCCTTTTATTCATACTTTTTCAAATCACCGGACAAATGAAGATTTACTTTATAAGTGTACTATTCCCGACATCAATCCTAGATCTGTTATTTTTTCTGGTTCAAATTTTTCTACATCAATTGGTGAATTTACTGAAGTTTATTCTCAAAGAAGTATGGAGTCATTTTTTGATGTAATTGCCACATGTTTTTTTATTGATACTGCACCAAATATTATTTCTTATATTAAAACTATTTGGCATTCATTAAAACCTGGAGGATTTTGGATAAATTTAGGACCTCTTCTTTGGCATTATGAGAAAGATGCATGTGAAAAAGAATCATCTGAAGATAATATTCCAGCTTGTAGTATTGAGCTAACTCTTGAAACACTTATTCAATTAATAAAAAATTCCGGATTTGAAATAGATGTATGTTTTTTATTAAATATTTTATAGTTTTTAAATTCGATAGAAAAGAGAAACAATTAATACTACATATGTTGGGAATCCATGTTCTATGTTAAAATATATTTATGAATCAGAAGTATATTAATGTTTTTATGCATTTGCTTATATTAATATTTTATTAGTTTTGGGTCGCAAAGAAGAAAGATATATAATTATTATAAGTGTATAATTGTTATTAAATGGAAAAAATATTTCTATAATTTTATGAATTTAAGCTAAATAATATTCATAAATTTAACGGGACTCATTTCTTAAAATCATTATATCATTAGATATATGTTTTTTACATATATCTAATTGAGTTTAATTTCATATATTCTTTATTTACTAAAGAAACTTATGAATTTAAAATTTTTTAAAAGGCTATGAGATAAAGATCAAAAAGGGCTATAGTTTTAAATGATACCAATCTTATGGTACCTTAGTCGCATATGCTTTACCTATAATTCGACTAAAAAGTCATTGAATAGATAAAATCTTCTATAAAAAAAAAAGATTAAGCACGAATAGAAACGGCAGATTCTATTTTAACTGCTTTATCAGGAGATTCGGAAATGTTCTAGCGTCTATTAATCTTCATAAATATTATAAATTTAAAACAAACATCTTTTTTTTCATCAGACTGCAACTTTCTTTTCTTAATTTTTTTTAAAGTTCGAACTGGTCGCTGTTCTCCTTCTACAAAAACATTATCTGGCAAATCAAAACTAAAAAATGTCAGTTCTATATAAGAAAAAATCCAACTAACTTCCTAATATGTTTGATAACAACATTCATAGTTTCGATATTATATTTATCCCATTTTCTACACATTTCATAAAATTCTTGAGATGGCCAAGAAATATCTAGTTTTTTAGAACCTAGGTAATACGCTTAAATAATAAAATTCATGATTAAGTTTGATTTTTACCATCTTTTTTATCCACTTCTAATCCAATATACCAAGTTGTCGTATAAACCAATATTAAATTATTTTGTGCATTTTCTATATCCCGATTAGATATACTTTCCATTTCTTTCGCTGTTTGTTGCATGTTTATATTTTCCATTTTAGTAGCCGTTAATTCACCACGAGCAACACCATTAGCCTCTTCTTCTGTTTTACAATAATGCACTAAATCGGTACTTTTATTAAAAGGATGGGCAAGTTTAATTTCATCTACATATTCAAGTCTTAATACTAATTGGCGTACCTTTGATTCTACTAAACCAGACCTTAAAAATATTAATGAGAACAACAATAAGTTACTTCAAACCATTTAAGTTGAGTTTCCGCATTTTTTGATGCAGCTATAATTACCAGATAATATTTATATTGATGAAAAAAGGTATGTTTTGTAAATAGCTTTGACCAAGGAAGAGATCCAATAAGAATTTTGTCAGCAATATCACCTGCACGATTCATTTCATTGATAATAACTTTTTGAGTTGATTCTGTTATATTATGAGTTGAACACATAGATGGATATGCAGGAGTAATAATAGGCATACGATGTGCTTGATCTCCTTTATAAATCTAGAAAATCTTATAAGAAAGTATTAATATAATCATAATATGTATATACTTTTGGATTCCATACACGTACTTGAAGTGGACCATCTTCTATAGGTTTTAATAAAACTGGCTGAGGCCATTTCCATTGAGAAAGAATTCGAAAAAATTTTGCAACAACAACAGCAGAAACTGCATTAGGATATAATTGACAAATTCTTGCAACAAGCATGGCCCATGCTACGCCGCCAGGAAAGCCCATAACATTCGAATAAATTGCCCGTTCTTGAGCCCAAAGTTTTATAGCTCTCAAAGCATGTTTAAAAATAGTAGGGTTAGGAACGAGTCTCAAAATCTCATCTGTAACTCTGGTCCCATTCAAAGATAAAACACATCTCTCTTCAACATTTTTCAACAAGTTATTATCTTCAAGTGTAAGATCCATAGGAACTTGAGAAAGAGCTAATCTAGCAAAAATAAGATCAATAGGAATACCGCAAAATTTAAATTTTATAATAGGAACATAAGCGTCGGGAACTGCCGTTATTTCTGTTGCTTCAGGTCTATTCCGAAGAATTTGTTCAAAGTCTGTAAAAAAATTTTCACGAGTAACATGTTTTGGCACAACCATTAATGTATCAATATCAGACCCTTAAAAAAACATCAATCCTATAACACGCATTCTAACAATTCATTACCAGGACTATAGACTCCAAGGCGATAGCTTCCATATGTAAATATTTTACCACCTGCATCACGCGCCATATTTTCTGTCATATGTTTATCTAAGCTTACTTTTTGCACAAATTCAAGTGTAATTTTCTGAAGTTCTCCTAAAACTCTAGCTCTAATACCATTTACATATCATTCTTATATAAAAAATATTAAAACCTTTTATCTGATTCTTCTGGAGATTCAAAATTTTTTCTTCGTTTTAACTCATCAATCAACGCCCCATTAATCATAATTTCTTGTTCCGTAGGTCCTGCCATTGATACTGGAGGAGTAACTCCCCATTGTCTGCCATTTCTATTTAAAAATATCTTTTAATTTTACTTCAAATTTATAATATTTCTTACAATGATAATCCTGTTGTATTCATCCGTTTTTTTTCGTTTAAAAACCTCCAAACACTAATAACTAGAGATTCTTATCCTTAATGATGCATTGAAAAGAAATATCTCTATATTTTCTACATTATTAACTATAAAAATACTCATTTTTCTGTTCCGAGTTGAGCCGTTAAAATTTTTGACGTTATTAAATATAAAAAATGGTAATTAATCAGGTATTTTTAAGATTTATTATTAGAAATAAGCTTTTAAACATTTTCTAGCCTTCAAACCTTATAAAGTAATAATATTTTTGTTTATTTTCATAATATAAATTAATATAGATTAACAAATGTATCAATTGTCAGATTAAAAAAAGAAGGAAAACGGTAGGAATAATGATTTTCTGTTATATAAATGGCTTAAGAATTAAGATTTGAAATTGCATGTTATAAAAATAAAGTAGTGGAATGGCGTAATGGTGTGTAAGTTTAATAGTAGTATATATAAATATCAAAAAAATATAGAGAAAAAGATATTGATGAAGTACTTCAGATTAATAGTGTATTTACAAATGTTTCTAAGGGACAGATTGCATGTATGGAAGATCTGAAGAGGATTTTTAAAACAGAGGATATAAACGAGATTTTATATGAGGTAATTGAATATTATATATGTATATGATAGTATGGAAGGTATCAGATACTTAAAAAGGGAGAAATGCAAGTAGGAGAAAAAGAACGGTTATATCAAATTGAAAATGTGTATAAAGATATTGTTCGGACAATTGTAGACAAATGTGTTGATCCGACGACAAAGAAGGCGTATACAACATATATGATTGAAAAGGCGCTTAAGAATATTGGATTTAGTGTAAATTTGAATAAGAATGTTAAATCTCAGGCAAATTAATATTTTTGTTTATTGATATTATGTTTAATATATATAAAAGGCTTTAGATGCTATTAAACAATTAAAAAAAAGAAATGTTATTCCTATAGAACGTGCACGAATGCGTATTCGTATAGTTGTTCCATTAAAAAAGAATAATGGGTTAAAAGAAGAATTAAAACAGTTGATGACAGTAGTTACGGAAGAGGAAAGAAGTGATGAATTACATGCTGTAAATATTTTTATTTTATATTTAATAGTTTTTTTTTATATTCTTTAGATTGCATATATTGATCCTGGAGATTATAGACGTATTATAGATATTGTTAGACAAGGAAATCATGATAAAGGTTATGTTGAAGTTTTGGATTTAAAAGAAATAATTGATGACTGAATCTTTTATTAATATATATGTATTTTTTTCATGTTTAGATCATCTAAGAAGAAATAGATTGATTTGTGATAATATGGAGAAAATTATAAGAGATGATGTATTTGATATTTTATTATGAAAAACTTATTTATAAATAAATATCATTCCTGACAAATTTAAATTTTTAAAAAAAATAAGTTATAAAGCAGGTTAAAACAAAATTATTTTTAATAATAAAAATAATCTAAATAAAAACTAAGGACAAGCAATTGAAAAATAAGAATCCAGGTGTATACATTTAGTAAAAATTTTTAATAATTTAGTTTCGAATGAATGAGTATTAAAAATAGTATAAATAAATATTTCGTAATTAAAATTAATCCTCAAATGCATAATCACCTTGCATCCATCTTAAATACATTTCAAAATTATATTCTGGCTGTGTTTCGCCAACAGAATGCCCTGCATCACGTACTCGAAGCAGCGTTAATCCAGAATCTTAATTATCTATTAGATATACTAAACAATATCATCTAAAACTTACGGTGTTTGACTTGTCCAGCTATTGTTCCTTTTAATTTGTTTCCTAACTTTCTTTTGAGAGACCATGTTCTAAAGTCTAAATTATTAAACTCTTTAGAACCATTCCATTTCATTTTATGAACCCATGAAGCAGTTCCATACCAATTACTGATTTTAATAAGTAAAATATAATATTTTATTTTTTTTATCTCATACCAAATAATATCTTGATCTCCGGAGAAAATCAATACCTTAATATTATTTATAAGTAATAACTTAATAAAAAAAACAACAGATTCTGATAGTTCTCCTTTTTTGTGGAATCTGTCGGTTACATTAAAATTGCAAAAAATATATTTAGATGTAGCATTAAAAAAATCTTTGTTTTGATTTATAAAATTAGAAAAATTTTTATATTCTTCATCAATATCTCCTTCTGATTTTGTACGGCGATCATATAAATTTATACTTCTCTAATAATAAGTCAATTATATTGCCAAATTTTTTTTTTCTGTTTTATTTACCATTAAAAATGGTTCTAAAAAAAAAGTATTGCAAGCAGTTATAGAACTAAAACATGTACATTCACATGAAGAGAATTCTCCGCAGAGTTCTAGAAAATAGCGACATTTAGGTATAGAATGCCTCATGGCTTTGCACTGTTCTTTAGATAACATCCTCCCCCATGGAGATGAATCGCATCCAACATAATAAACATATGGCATTTGATTATATGGATCAACAATCCCATTTCCTATGGAAATTATTTTAAAATAAGTAATATCATAAAATTTACCTATCATAATTGATTTAATATTGATTTCTGGAAGCCTTTCTAACGATGCAGGAATATCAGTTAAGTTTAATGGATATTTTCTATATTGTGCAATTTCAGAAGCAAAAATTGGAAGATAATGACCAGCATAACTTTGACCCGCCATGTGAAAATCTAGATGAGAATATTGAGGAAATGCTGTAAAAAATAAAATCATAAATATGTAAAAATTCCATGATGCATGTGCCGTTGATGAAACTTTTTGATTATCAGAATATGAAAACCCGACATCTACCGGCTGATCCAAAAAAATCAAAGAAGAACGATGATTCCATGACCAAGGATTATAGTAAACATAATTATCTTTTTGATCATACTTCGAAGGGCCTATTGTAAAAAAAAGACCTTTAAAGTATTATTTAATTTCTATTATAAAAAGTATTTACCAAAAAGAGATGAACATCCTGGTCCGCCTTCTAGCCATAAAACAAGAGGATCTTTTAAGGGAGAAGACCTTGATTCAAAGAAATAATAATATAAATGTTTATCTTCAAAACTAATATATCCGGAATACTATAACCCTTTTAAATAAAAAACTGTCTATTCATAAACATATACCTGAACAACTGTATCTAAACTTAAAGATGCTTTACGAACATGAAATTTATGATTTGGAAATGATTTGCGTTCTATCACTTTCCAATCATTAGATTCTGAAAGCTTTGTCTGAATATATTCTCTAGCTGCAGCTCTTATATCTACGTTTTCATCATAAAAAATAGATGAATAATAATCTTCTGCCCATTTCTGAATATCATTAACTTCCGTAGTAAATCCAGAAAGCATGTCAATAAGTGAAAACATTTTAATATTTGAATATTTCCCAAGTTTATTGATAGGAATATCTGATAACAAAGCATTAGATTCTTCCGAATACTTTTCATCTTCATTTTTGTGCTGCTTATTAGTCTCTGAGCTAACAAAGACTATATAGAGAAAAGTCAAGAGCAGTTTAAACGTATATAAAATATTATTAGCCATAGAATATATATTTTTTCTTAAAATATATAGATAAATAATATTATGTTTTTTTTTATAAGAATTTTTTTAAAAATAATGTTATTTTTTAAAAAAAAATTACAAAAAGGCAACATCGGAATAAGCGGAGTATGGACTTATATTAAGAAATAAACCTTAAGTTTTTAATAAATCAAGAGATTTTTTTAAGAAAAAAAGTAGAATTCTTAATAAATATGTCAGATATTATTGATGTTGAAGCTTTAGTAGAAGCACCATATCAAAAAAATGGACAAGTATGTTAAAAGAATTAAAAAAGTGTTAATAAAATGTTAATAAAATTAGGAAGGACAACAGAAAAATGGAGAAAGGAATAAAGATGGAGAAAGAAGACGAAATGATGAGTCAGAAACGTAAAAGAAAGAGGAGATTTTAAAAATAAATGAATAAATTAGAATAGAAGAAAAAGATCTCGATCTAGAAATTTATCGAGTTCAAGAAGTCATAATAGATCAAGCAGTAGAGAAAGGTCTAGAAGGAGTAGAAGAGAAGATCATGATGAATATAGACATAGGGATTATCATTATAGAGATGGGGAAAGACATAGAAGGTCACGTGAGGACGAGCAAGAGTCTAGAAAATATGAAAGAAGTCGATCACGAGAGTCTAAAAAATGTCGACAATCTGTTAGGTAGTTTTTATTGATTGATTTTGTTTAATAATTTTATTTTTTTTATGCATTTTTTTAAACAAAGGATGAACAGGGAAGAGTCTCCGAAATTAACAGAAGATGAGAGAGATAGAAGAACAGTTTTTGTACAGCAGCTGGCAGCACGACTTCGTACACGTGAGTTAATTGCATTTTTTGAAAAAGTGGGGCCAGTTAGAGATGCACAAGTTGTAAAAGATAGAGTGAGTGGACGATCCAAAGGGTTTATTAAAATATTTATATTAAATAAATGTTTTAAATGTTTAATAGTGTTGGTTATGTAGAGTTTCGAGACGAAGAATCTGTCCATAAGGCTATTAATATGACAGGACAGAGACTTTTGGGTATTCCTATTATTGTTCAGCTTACAGAAGCAGAAAAGAATCGACAGGCAAAAGCAGATGCTATGATGTTGGTTTATATATATATTATGTCGGTATTAATACTTAATAGAACCACGGGAGGACGTCAAAGCGATGCACCGTTTCATCGTCTTTATGTTGGAAATATTCACTTTAATTTAACAGAGGATGATTTACGACAAATTTTTGAGCCTTTTGGAGAGCTCGAATTCGTTCAATTACAAAAGGAACATGATACGGGAAGAAGTAGAGGTTATGGATTTGTCCAGTATATTTTATTTGTTTTTTGTTTTCTATATGTTAGGGTTAATGTTTTAAAGATACAGAGATCCTGCACAAGCTAGAGATGCATTGGAAAAAATGAATGGTTTTGAATTGGCTGGGCGTGCTATCCGTGTAGGTCTTGGAAATGATAAATTTATTCCAGAAACGTCTTCTGTTTTAGCACGTTTTTCGGGATTCACGGGCTCCGCATTTGAAAATAAAAGCCGGGGTGGAACTGAACGTATTGGAGGTCCTAGAGATGGCTCTAGCAGCATTAGTCTAGACGATAATGAAGCTGGTGGTGTTTCTTTCAATAACATTTCACGAGATGCTTTAATGAAAAAGCTTGCAAGAGAGGAAGGAAAAGAGTCTATTGGAGTAATTCCTCCTAAACCAATGCCAAGTGTTCAAATGACTAGTCGTTGTGTTCTTCTTAAAAATATGTTTAATCCACAAGAGTATGTATTTGTTTTGAAATATATATCTAATTTTTCTAGAGAAAGTGGTGATAACTGGGTTCGCGAGCTTGAAGAGGACGTAAAAGCTGAATGTGAAAATAAATATGGCAAAGTTTTGCATATACATGTTGAAGAAAATAGTCCGGGTGAAGTTTATATAAAATTTGACAACGTAGTCGCTGGAGAAAGAGCCATTCAAGGATTAAATGGTCGATGGTTCGGCGGAAGAACAGTTAGTGCAAGCTTTCTCATTGACGCAGTATATACAGCAAAGTAAGTATTACCAGGTTTCTAATTTGATAGCAAATTCTAAATATTTAAGATTTCCAAAAACAAAAAATTTATAATAAGGACGAGTTTTTATACTGTTTAATGTTATTTTTAACTTTTTAATAAAGATAAGCAGTCAAATCATTATTATCGGTTAATACATATAATCATTTTTGACAAATATTTAAGATCAAATTAGAATTAACATTAGATATTTCATTTACTAATAAATATTAAGTCATATAGATATTTTTTTTGTGACTGTTTCTATTTTAACCTTTTTTTTTCTTTATAGTAACAATTCTTTTTTGAAAAATATATCAATGTGATCTTGATAATTTATAGCATTTTTTATGTATAAATGACGACTTATGGTATATATTTCTATAATACATGATAATATAATAATAAAAGTAATAGATAAATATAGATAATAAATTACGCCTAAGAATTCTAATCTATATAGATTCAATATTTTAAGGTCATAATAATTGATATGTTGTATAATTCTTCTAATATCATATGATTTAAATCCATATATAATTATCAAAACTTAAATATTTCAAAAAACATAGTACTTCAATAACATAAGAATACAAGTTACAAAAGCTAAGAAATATTTTAGATTAGTAATATTATTTTTCTCATTTTCTTATAAATAAAATAATCTAAAAAGAAATACATAGTTATGTACACAAATATTAATTAAAAATTGTAACTATCAATCTAACTATAATAGCTAATGGAAAGTTGGTGTATTGATAACTCTTAGATCAAAAATAAAAATCTTAAAACTTTGAATAATTAATATAAAGAGAAAATATATTTTCTTTAAAGATTTTTAAGGAAAATCAAAAAATGTTATAAAAAACATGTAAAATAAAAAAATACCTAACATTTAATAAAATATATTTCTCACTATTTTATATAATTTTTATTTTTAATATGAAATATCTTCGGATTTAAATATTGATTTTAATGATAAAATAGATGTAATTATTCATATATAAAATTCTTTGAAAAAAAAACAATAAAAAAGATTGTGAAATATGATTTATTTTTTATAAATTTTCTTATTCAAATTATTTTTTTTCTTAAAAATTACAATATTTATTAATAGTTTAGATTAGAAAAACCCTAAAATTATCATTTTAATACTTGATAGCTTTATGTACAATAAAATGACTTTATTCTTATTAAATTAGAATAATCTTGAAACTTTTTCTTATGGTTAAATAATTTTTACTTTATACTTTTTAAAATAAATAAAAATAATAATATTAAATTTTGAGTCTTGGTTATTTTAATTATTTTGTTTTTCCTTTATTTTAATACTATATATTTTTATAAAAATACAAACATTTTATTGAAATATTGATTATCCTTAATAATATATCGTTACAAAGATACATATTAGTCAAAATTTGAATTAAAAAGAAATAATCAATAGTTATTACAAGTGATCAGTATTAATTTATATGAATTGAATCTAATTATTTGTATTTTATGTATGTATTTAAAAATTATTTTATTTAGTGATCAAATATTTAATAAATTATCTAAAAATATAGAAATTAATCTTTATACAGTTGAAATTCTATTTTATATTATGTATTAATATTTATAATATTAACAATTATTTCAAAAAAATAATTGAATAAATAAAATAATTAATATTAGATAATAGTATTTATTAAAATATTTAAATTTGATAGAATAATATAAATAATATTAATAAAGTTTTAATAAATATATATATAATTTTATAATTTAGCAAAATCACAATGAATATATCAGAAATGATGAGATAAGATAATATCTAAATAGACTTTATTTACTATTTAGAGTAAAAGAATCATTTCACGTAAATTAAGAATATATTATCACTTTATCATACTAATATTATATATTTGTATCTATTTCAAAATATAAATTTAATAATATTTCCAATTTAACAGGAACAGAAAATATCCAAAATGCAATACTCAAGTAATTTTCGAAATATTCTTTTTTCTAGTTTAAATATGCATTGAGTTGTTAAGTAAAAATGATATGATTATTATTACTATGCAAAGATGTACTATTTTTGTTAAACAAAAGAAAATTCAGATTCAAATTCTTTTATTATTATAAGTATGAGCATAGATTTATTCAATCAGATTTCAAACAAACGTAGATCAAATGTTGAAGCGTTTTTTCTTTTAAAACAAAATAATATTAAACGTTACTGAATAGTTCGTCCATATTAATAAGAAACTATTGCATAACCTTAGTTTAAGAGATATATTTCCTAACTTTAATAATACAATATTTATTTCTTTAGAATACTAAAGATCAAAAGATCATAAAACAGAAATCATTTTAATCACTAATTTTGAAATAAAAATCAATGGTACAAAATAGAAGATTAATTAAAAATATTTTTCTTCAGACGCCCAAAAGATATGTAAAAAAAATTCGTATTTATATCCAATTAATGATTAAATGGATAAGTTATTTGTATATTTAAATGTCATATAAATAAAATATTATTCTCATGGTAAATTGTTGCTAAAAATAATTACATTAATTATAATTAATAAATTTTAAATCGATTCACCTTTTTTTATTAACTACAGATTTTAAATTTTATTTAATTATTATTTAATCAACTAATTCTTTCCTTTAATATATTTTTTTAATTTTTTTAAAGCAAACTTATAAGCCATTGTATATTCACTAGTAAAGATAATCGCTGACATTTTCTCATGTATGACCTTAGTTTCACGACCAACATTTTCTAGTATCTTATGAATCTTTTTAGATTCAAATTTTTGATACAATGTCCACGCTTTTCCTGTTTTTCCCGCTCTAGCTGTACGGCCAATACGATGAATATATTGTCTTGATGTTTGAGGGATGTCGTAATTAATAACATGAAAAACTTGTGATAAGTCAATTCCTCTTGCAATAAGATCAGAACATATAAATCTAATAAATAATCAAATTTATTTTATCTTAAATATTTTGAATTTTACATTTTCGTGTCGCCATTTTTAAATCTTTCTAAAGCTACATTTCTTTGTTTTTTTGGGACTTCACTCGTAAATAACCCGAATAATTTAACTAAATCAAATGACGTAGATATAAATTTAGAATCCGATTTCTCTGAATTTAAATTAATTATATTTTTTCAATATTATTATTACCTGTAATTGAGTTTAATGGCCCAGATATAAAATTTTCATGAATCAAATTCAATAATTTACAAAGTCGTGAAGCAGACTCATTAGATTTAGTAAAACATAAAACTCCTTCCATTTCTCGAGATTTTATTAAATAATATAAATATAATGGTTTAGCATTAGATTCTACTAAAATGACATATTCCTAAAACATTGTAATTTAATAATACTTATTTTTTTACTCACTATTAAAGTCGGAGGAACAAAAAATGTAGATATATCATTATTTTGTAAAAATGCTTTTGTTTTAAAAAAACATTGATCTAAATTTGACTTCGACTCTTGAATAAGAATCAGCTGAGGGTTTCGTAACCGCAAACTTGCTATCTTTTCAGGATTACATGTTAATGTTGCAGAAAAAATAAACTTCTGAAGATTACAAGGCCTTTTTTCCATAGAAAGATCATCTTTAAATATTAATTTAAGAGAATCACTAACTGCATCAGGGAGATCTCTGTAGTAATAATTATTATTATTGGCATTAAATAAATATTGTAATATACTCCACAGTTTTATAATGAGAATCTTTATAAGACTTAGATAATTCAATTTCATTCATAAGAATTTCAATCCAATTTTGAAATCTTTGACTAAGTAGACGATCCGCCTCATCAATAATTAAATATTTTAAATGTTGCAATGAAAAATTAGGAGTATGTTGAATATGATCAACAAGCCTTCCTGGAGTACATATTAGAATGTCAACTAAACTTTGCCCCCCTGAAAAACTATTTAATTTAATCTAATCTATATACAAATCTTAGAAATAAATAATATACCAATGATCTAAATCTCCAACAAGTTTAGATTGTTCATAGATAAACGATCTTTGCCCCGTACTTATTCCAATCTTCTAATTAATTCACATATAATAAATACATTTAAATACCTTTAATCCACTTCCACCTATACAATATTCAAAACATTCTCGAATTTGATAAACTAACTCTTTTGTAGGAACTATTACAATACATCGTAAACGTACAATTTTTCTTTTTGAAAGCATCTATTTCCTTAAGTCCTTACCATAAAATTAAGAAAAAAAAACTTGTACAACAGGGATTGTATATGCAAGAGTTTTTCCACTTCCTGTAGCTGCACTAATAAAAAAGTCACCTTTAACACCATATGGATCATTCAATATTATTTTAAGTGTTTCTACTTGCACAGGAAACAACTCTATATAATTCCTGGATCGCAATCGATCTTTAAATTCTTTATCTAAATGTATTGAATGATCATCAAGAGATAATCTTAAATCTGATACAATTTTTGTCGGAGTAGAAAGCCATTTAGGCAACAAATCTAACAAACAATCCATATAATCATTATTATCTATTTTTAAATCAAAATCTTTTTCAACTAAATCTTCTTCTGATAAATCTTTAGTTTTTGATCCATTTTTATCATTTTCATGCCAAATTTCTCCATATTTTTCATCTGAAACATCAAATATAGGTATAAAAGCCTTATTATCCTCATTCTCTATATCATTTTTTCTCTTCCTTTTATTTTCTCTCTTATTAATTACTATATATATAGAAATACTTAAATATATCCTCAAACCTCCTCGTTTTTTTGAATTTCTTGGGGACTTCTCTTAAATCTTTCATTTATACGAGATAATATACTGTCCCGTGCGTCTTTAGACGGATAATTTGCTGCTGGATCATACCTTTCATAGCCTAACATTTTTTTTTGACGTCCAGAGCCTGATATCGATATTTACACCAACAATAGATATTAAATGCTTAAAAAAATCCAAGTTATTCCTAAGAATAATTAGGAAGATTACTTAATGAATCAGACATTATCTATAAGAATATTAAAGACATAAGCATATTTTTTTGAAAGAATTTTAAAATGCCTTATAATATTGCGTAAGTTATTAAAAATTAAAATTGAAGAACTAATAAATCAAGAATGGTTTCAGATTTCTTTTTCCCTCAGCCAGGAGGGATTGAATCCCATATTTATCAGCTTTCACAGTATGTTTGAATGACTTTTTTAGTGAAAAAAAAATAAATTATATAGAAAACTACTTGATCGAGGACATAAAGTAATTATTATTACACATGCATATAATGATAGGATGGGGATCCGCTATTCTGGAAACGGGGTAAAGGTATATTATGTACCTTTCTTTGTTATATTTGTATAATACTGGATATAAAAGAAAAAAAAGAAAATTAACGTTTATGAAGAGAGAATCAACATTTCCATTAATATATTCATTTTTCCCACTATTTCGAAACATTGTTATACGAGAGGAGATTGATGTTATTCATGGGCATGCATCTTTATCATCATTTTGCCATGAAGCAATTTTACATGCAAGGACAATGGGTATTAGAACGTGTTTTACAGATCATTCGTTATTCGGATTCGCTGATGCAGTATCTATTTTTACAAATAAACTTTTAAAGTTTACACTGAGTGATATTGATCATGTAATATGTGTTTCCCATACATGGTATAGAATGTTATAAATATAGTAAAATTATAATTAGTATAGTAAAGAAAACACAGTACTCAGAGCTGCATTGGATCCTCATATGGTCAGCGTAATACCTAATGCCATTGTAGCGGAAAATTTTTCTCCCGATCCTAGTAAAGCATCTCAAGATACAAGTAATTTGAATTAAATATTGGCATTTTCAAATAATTCATATTAGTAACAATTGTCGTTGTTTCAAGACTATTTTATAATAAGGGAGTCGATCTTTTAATTGCCACCATTCCTAGAATTTGTTCATTATATTCAGATGTTAAATTTATTATTGCAGGTTCAGGGCCAAAAGCAATAGATATAGAACAAATGAGGGAAAAATATATGCTTCAAGACAGAGTAGAAATGCTCGGTTCAATTCGCCATGAAGACGTCCGAGATGTAATAATATTCAAATATTCTTTTTTTTTTTAAATATTAATTTTATAGGTCATGGTTCGAGGACATATCTATCTTCATCCTAGTCTTACTGAAGCATTTGGAACAGTATTAGTAGAAGCAGCAAGCTGTGGCCTTTATGTTGTTTGTACACGTGTTGGTGGTGTTCCTGAAGTTCTACCCCCGCATATGACAATTTTTTCTGAGCCAGAAGAAGACGGTTTAATTTAATTTTGTTGTATTTATAATTTAACTCAATTTATATAGATCTTGTTTCTGCAACTTCTAGAGCAATTGATGCATTAAAAGAAAGACGAATTCGTACCGATACTTTTCATAATGAAATAAAAACAATGTATTCATGGACTGATGTAGCTGAAAGAACTGAACGTGTCTACGATTGTATATGTTCAACTGATGTTCATCCTTTAATTGATAGATTAAAAAAATATTACGGCTGTGGTATGTGGGCAGGAAAGCTTTTTTGTTTTTTAGTTGCCATTGACTATTTATTATTTGTTATTTTATGCTGGATTTTACCAGATACAAATATAGACAGAGTTGAACCACTTTTATTAAAAAAAAAACAAAAATCTTTGGATAAAAAGAAAAATTAGGCTTATTTATTTATTTATTTATTTATTATCAAATAATTACTCATATTTTAATAATATATTCTATTTAATATTTAATTTTTACATATAAAAATTTCAAGCCAGCACCGACAATATTCTTGAGAACTATAATGTCTCAATATAATTATGATGAAGAGGTTTTATTAAGAAATGGATGCAAGATATAACTAATATTAATATTTAGGGGCATTTTTTCCCATTTGTTGTCCTTACTTTCTTAATTATTATCTTAATTCCTATTACATTTTCATTTTTATATGTTGAATGTTAGTTTGAAAAATTATAGCCTTTAAAGAACAGAAATTTATTATATTTAGATAAAAAGGATAAAGAATATTGTTGTTTATGTGATTTCTGCAAAGAAAAAAATAAAATTTTGCATGAATATAGGAAAAGAACAATTTTAAAACCAAAAATATCAAAAAAGTAGTATGGTTATTGTAATTATGGTAATATTGATAATTTAGAGCCATCTTTATATCAGTTGGATGGTGTCTCGTTGGTTATGTTATTTATCAAATATCATCAATTAAAGTTGAACATAAAATTTGGGATCCTTATGAGATTTTAGGAATATCTATGGTAATTTAATTTAATTTGATTTATAAGACTAATATTTTTAGTCTGCTACAGAAAAAGAGATAAGAAAACAGTATAAAAAACTATCATTAAAATTGTAATATATTCTTTTTATTTTCTACTATTTAATATAGAAAAATAGACATCCAGATAAAGTGCTCTTAAATGAAACACAAACTCGTGAATCAGTTGAATCTTTATATATCGAGGTAACTAAAGCTTATAAAGCGTTTGTAGTACTCGTTAAATCACGCCTGTTATTTATTTTAATGTTAGTTTGACAGACGATGATGTCAGAAGAAATTATATTGAATATGGACATCCAGATGGCAAACAAGATTTTTCGATTGGGATAGCTCTTCCAAAATGGATTGTTGAAAGTAAAAATAATTATTATGTTTTAAGTGCATATGCAATTGCATTTGGCTTTGCTCTTCCATACTTTGTCGTATATAAACACAAAATGTTACATAGCATGCTAAAATTGTTAGGGAAAATGGTGGTATGGGAATAAATTATACACTAGAGAGGGAATTCATGCTAAAAGTGCAGAAAGATTTTTTAAAGGAGTTGAAGAAATCATGGTACCAGGAAAAGCAGAATTATTGATCTCTCAAAGTCAAGAATATAAATTTTTGACTGGGTTTGAAGATGAACTTAAAACTATTGAACAGAAAATATTACAGAAAGACAATAAATATCTATTACATAAACAACAAGATTTATCTTATAGAAAAACTTATTTATTACTTTATGCTCATTTTCACCGTATTGGTTTACAGTCTTTTAAACTAAGAAAAGGTTAGATAAATAAAACTAATATATATTTATTAATTTTTAAGAACAAATTTCTTTACTTGAATCTATACTAGCGCTTCATGCAGGATTGTTATCTATCTCTTTAATTTATGGCTTTTTGCAGCCAATAATTTATATTATGGAATTGTCGCAAAGCATTGTTCAGGGCATTCCTTCTAGTGGATCCCCATTATTACAGCTTCCTTATATTTCAAAGAAAATTGCTAAAGGAATACTTGAAAAAATTGGGTATCCTATAACTCTTCAACAATTCATTAAAATTCCAGAAGAAAAAAGAAGAAGTTTGTTATCGTCATATACTGACAAAGAATATTCTTTGATTATGGATGTTGCATCTAAAATTCCTATTCTCAATATTGTTGATTCATCTTTTAAAGGTATAAGAGTCTTTTTTTTTTTTTGATTTAATAATAACAAAAATAGTCACTGAGAGTGATTTTATTTCTCCGGATTCTATTGTTCAATTCTCTTTTAAAGCTAGATGTATTTTTCTAGGAGAGGACGTTGAAGCTATTGAATCTGAGTTTGAAAATAAGACAAGCGATGAGAATGAATTAAATACACTATTAGGGTATAGAAAGAAAAAAAATGCCGAAGATTCAGTTGTTCCATATGCACATGTTCCATTTTATCCTAAAGTATCTATATTAATTCTATTTTTTATTTTTAATATTTTCAGAAACATAAACCAAAATGGTGGGTTTTTTTGGTAGATATTAAACACGATCGGATTGTTGTACCTCCTATCTCTATAACGGATATCGGCAAAAGTATTCGTACTTTTCAAATATCTTTTCAAGCTCCATCTCAAATTGGTCTTTATACATTCCAAATTCAAGTAAAATCTGATACATATATTGGAACGGATTTCAGAAAGAATGTTGAATTTAAAGTAGATGAAAATATTACACCAAAAAACTCTACAATTATAAATAATGTATCCCAAAAAAAGAAATTAAAAAGTTTACATAAAGATACAAAAAAGAATCATGCATTACAGGAGGAAGTGACCAAGAAAAACGCTTCAGATAGTTCTTATGAAAGTAGTTTTGATGAATATGATACAGATAATAGTTATCATAATAGTACGAGCGATAGTAGTAGTGACAGTGATACAATTAATTAAAATAGTCGAAAAACTCCATGTGATTCAAAGGGCAATTTAATAATTAAGACGGAAGATAGTGTGTGTTTGTATTATATTTTATTAACAAAAAAAATATATTTAATGAATTAAGCACCAGTTTATCATATATTGCTGCCTAAGCAATATTCACATTACAATAACTTTATATGGCTATTATAGCTTTATTAATAATTTATTTATTAGAACTCTTAAGGAATGAGTGTAATATAACATTAAGAATAACTATTAATATAAATCTGAAGGCAACTATTTGTAACATCAATTCAACCTATTGATTTACTTAATTTACAGGAGGTTTTTTCTTTTTCAATAAAATAATAATAATAATAACCTAAGAGAATAATTTCGCAACCCATGCGTTTAATTATTATGTAAAGTTTTACGGCTAAAAGATAAACGTTTTCACCAGCTCATGAACACATCAATATCATTTATTATAATATTTGCCGCTTGTAGCGTTGCTACATTACTATACAGTTTTGAGGATTTTTGCGACTACTTCTATATTATTAGATTAATTGTAAAATATTAATTACGTACTTAGATCCCCCTGTGTTTTCTAGAACCTCTCCATTATTGCTTGCGTCTGAAATACCTAGGAAAATATATAAAATATAGTAGAAAAAATAGTATATAACTTACCTCCATTACTTTCTTGAATACCTTCGTTTGAAGAATTATGGTCGGATCTTGGTCGTGAGTCACCTTCTGCATGAAGGCTTAAACATGACGTGAGCCCCGTAACAATTGTAGGAACTTGTTCTACAACGTCATTTATTGTTTCACTTTATAAAATTAGTTAAGTGAATGATTTATACAAATCTTACCCTACTGTTTTTACAGGGTCACTTTTATTATGAGAAATAACAAAAGACTTAGGAAGAATCAGACGCAAGAGGGATACAATACAGCCAGGAACCGAGCATTCGGTGCTTGAAATAATATCCATTTGGCAAACTTAATAGAAGGCAGAGACGCAAAACAATATAGAAGAGATCAGAATAAGCAGAGAGATTGGCTGCCGTTAAAAAGGGGGACAGAAAGCATTGATGCATAAAGATCTTGTTATGCCCGGAAATTTAGTAGTTTCCAGCCACCTAATTTGGTAAAAAACTGATATCGATGTACGTGCATTAAAATAATGGAAAGAAAAAGTAATATTGAGAGTATTGAGTTGAAATAATATTTCCTTAAAGATCAGATAAAAATAAATATAAATACTATATGAGCATTGCACTTCTTTTTTTTTTTTAAATTAATGACCAAATATTTATTGAGTTTATCAATGACGATGTGCATAAAGTAAGATAACGTTGCATGAAAAAGTTGTTAAAATAATAAAAGCCATAATGAGAAAAAACTAATGAATATCTTAAATCGTATTTCTTCAGTGTTAATAACTCATTTTTGTTTTATTTTTATATATTGCAGTATATAGTTAATATATGATTGATAATATATTTGTAATACTTCATGTTATCTTCTCCGAAGTCTACTTTTGGGTGCAGCTATTTTTCGGCCAGGTACAGGACTTTGCGGCGTCCCAAACGTAAACGCAAAAGGGTTTGAAACAGGTGTATTTGAGTCTTGTAACATTGTGTTTTGAAATTGATTAAATGAAAAATTCATATTCGTTGTTTGTGTTTGTTGTTGACCTGGTTGAAACTGTGAAAAGTTTCCTGTAACACTATTGTTTGTCCCAAAATTAAAGGATGGAGCCGTCTGAAGATTCGAAGATCCAGTCGTAGAATTCCCAAATATAAAAGGCGCAGATGAAGTAGATGAGGTAGATAGAGGAGTATTATTTAAATTAAATGTAAATTCATGTGTACTTGTCTTGTCTTTATTTCCTTTAAACTGAAAAACAGAAGAATTATTTGGTGTATTTTGAAAAAAAGTATTCGATGCAGATTGATCAAACGAAAACTCTTTTTTTGGTTGATCCAATGATCCAAAAGAGAAAACAGGAGCTGATGCCATAGAAAAAGTAGAAAGAGAAGGTTGTTTATTTTGTTCAAGTGGGAAAGATGTAACTGAAGTCTGATTTAATTCTAAATTTGTCGGCTTTGGCTGATTTAATTGAGCAAAATTAAATTCAGATTTATCATTAGAAGGAATATCTTTCTGTTCTTGATTAGTTGTATTTGCTTGAGTAGAATATTTTTCTTGTGAAGAAAAATTATTCAATGATCCAAAAAAAGAGAAAGGAGCAAGAGTTTGAGGTTTGTTTTCTGCAGAATTAAACAAATTTGCATCTTGAGAAGGTAAAAATTCAAAAGGCTTACTTGTAGAGAAAGGCGATTCTAATAATACTTTTGTATTATTATCATGAGATTGTGATAAAGCTTTTTGTTCAACATTTTGAGGAAAAGAGATTGATGGTTTTTCTAAAAGAATCTGTGAAGAATTTGTGTCTGTTTTTGTATTTTCTAATATAGGAAAATCGCCAGTTATTACTTTGTGTTCTAAGGTATTCTTATTATCATCCAATTTTAAAGATTCTTCGACTTTAGGTATATCTTTTTGATTTAATGAATCTGATTCATTTTTCTTAAATTCAAAGATATTCTTTGTGTCTGAAATAGGCATTGCAAAATTAAGTGTGGAAGTCTGAGATTCAAATTTTAGTTCCTTTTTTTCAGGAGAATCCATTTCCATAACTGTATCCGCCGGCTTAAAAGCTGAAACTTGATTTTTTGCAGCATCCTGAAACGTCTGGAATTCATTCATATTTACAGGAAAAATAGAGACTGTTTTCTCTGGAGAAGCAGTTTCTTTTTCATTATTAATTTTCAAAATATCCGTTGCTTTGTTAGAGTTAGATGTAAAACCTTGTAATTCTGGACCAGAAGGTGCTGTATTTTGTGATTTTGTGCCAATTTCCTTAACACTAGAGGATTGAATAGATGGATTAGTTTTTATTTCCATCTTTTCGTCATTTAAAGAATCAGAATTTTTTTGTATATTTATATCAAAAGCAAATTGCTGATTTGAATTAAAAATAGATTTTTGTATTTCTTTCTCAAGCGAATAATTTTCTTTATCAATATTAGACAAAAAGGAAATATTATTTGTATGATCTGAGCTATGTTGAGATTTTATAGTATTAAGATTTTGCTCCTTTGGAATTATAAAATTATCAGACCCAGATTTTTTTTTTTGATCCGATTCATCCTCTTTTAATGTCATACATGTAGTATTTGCATTAAATTTCAGTATTTTGCATTCCTCGTCATTATTTTTTTCGATAGGAAATACAAAATTACAATTTTTCTGTTCTGAAATCAATTTAAAATCACCAATATTATTGCCTTTATTAGATGTCTGTTTAACTTTTAAGGATGATTCTGATAAAATTGATTTTTCTGAATCATCTATACTTGAATTCTGTATCTTAGAAGTATCGACACTTACGAGATTTTTCAAAAGGGGTGTTCGTGGACGAAAATATGGTTGTTGATAGTCTAAATTGCGTTTTTGTGAACCACACGCTAATTCCTTATAATCTATTTGATTTGTTTCATCTTTATTTTTTCTTCTTTTAAATAATATTATAGTATCATCTACGTCATCATAAGGACCAAACATCTCTTCTAAATCTTCTTCTAATGCTGAGAAATAGCCAGGTCTCTTCCGTTTAACCTGATTATTTACAAAAAAAGAATAGTTTTGAGAATTAGATTCACATAAAGATGAATTGGAATTTTTATTTGATTCCAAAATACTTTTATTCTTGATATTTCCAGAATCATCACTTTTTTGAGCACTGTGATATGAAAGTGACTTATCTTCTATAGCTTGAGCTTTTTGATGTTTTGTCATAACATTGACAGATTGATCTTCAGATTTCTCTTTTTGCAAAAAACTCTTTTTAGTATTTGATAATAAAAGACTATATGATTTGCTTCGCCTATGGCTTATCTCTGCTTTTTGCATGTCAGTCAAACTTGAAACTCCATAATTTTCGGATGTCTTTCTTTGTTTTATATTCTCTTTCTTTTAAACTAATTTAGAATATAATGATTTCTAAAAAATATATTACCGATGATCTTAAATCTTCAATATTATTTGTTTTAAAATTATTTATACCGCACACAGAGTTGTGCTTTGCATTGTTAAATCTATTATAATAATTTTTTCTTCTTTCTGGTATTTGAATTAGCTTCCTTTCTTTTCTAAAACAATTAAATGCCATATTATCAAATTTCGTACCAAATGTTCTTGTATGTATATTAGAATTTAAATTTCTTACTGGTATGTCTTTATTCATATACATCGATTTACTTTTATGGAGTTGTAGTTCTGTCATATTGTTTTTTAGTAATATTTCTTGTCGACAAATCTCACGCCAGGCTGTAAGAATTCCCGTAGAAGAATTTTTTGGCAATTGGACACAATCGAATGTTAAATAGTTATTTAAAAAATTCTTTTTCTGTTGTTTTTTGAAACCCCTTGATTCAGAATACTATTTATATGAATATTTTAAGTTTAATATATCATATATACCAAATGACACGGCAAAAATTTAGTAGTTTTAACATTTGAACAATTTTTTTCTAAACCATGACCTAAATATGAATCTAAAACTGTATCATTCTTAAAACAAGTTGGATTTTGTGCTTTTTGAAAATCTTTTTTATCATGTGCAAAAATATTTGATCTCGATTGTTCTTGATTCATATTTATAAGAAATTCATTTGATACACTTAATTTCATTAATAAACATCTTCAATCTGATATTATCTATATTACTCTTCTTTCTTAAACCCTTCTTGATTCTGATTCTCTTTAAGATGTTGAATACGCACTGTTTGTCTATAAATATTTAACATTCATTAGTTTTTTTCTTTTTTCCGCCACATACGGTGTATAACCAAGAAAATAAGGAGCTCGAGACTCTGACAGCATACTTTCATCGCTTTTTTTCTCCAAATCTTCCGATTTTTCCTCTTTTAAACTTTCTTTATTTAACAACCATTCTTCTGATCCCGTTTTACCAAAGAGAGACATATATGTCCAGTTAACAGTTGATATTATCTTAGCTACAACCCCTCCAACCGTGTTTTTAAGTAAACCACCAACCTAGATTTATTAAATATATCCATATTCATCTTTAATTAAAACATTTTCATCTGTTGGCTCTTTAGCCTTTTTTTTTACTCTAAAATAAGCATTAAATCTATTATTTTCTTTTCCGAGTCTTGTCTTAACAACTGGCCCCATTTTTAACCTTTTATCATAACATTTTACTTTAATTTAAGCCTTGTATTAAGATCAGGTTTAAAAAATCGTAGAAATTTTTTAATAAGAGTTAGCATTTTAAAAAAAATATTAAGAAATTTAATTAAAAATTATGAATCGGATGGTAAATAGGCTTACTTTCTTATAAATATTTGCTTATTTTTAAGCTTGATAGAAAGGATGAAACAGATGCAGAAGTTAATTGGGATGATCAGTGCAAAATCAATACATTTAGTCGGTTAAATCAACGTTTACAGTATAGAAAAGGGTATTTGAAGGAGAAGAAAGTATGTAGTTGTTAAAAAGAAAGAATAGGATTATTCAAATAGGATTTTAAAAGCTTGAGAAAGAGAGTATTGAAGATATAACGGAAGAACTTGAATTAATAGACGAAGAACGTTTTTTGTAGGAAAAAAAGAAATATATGTAAAATATATAAAATATCTGATTAATTTAAGTTATAAAATAGGGGATATATTTATTATGTTACCAATAGAAGAAGTGAAAGAGAGATTAGAAAAAAATCAGAATGAAGTTGATAAAAATGTTGATGAATTAGAAAAGGAAATATCAAAGTTAGATTGTTATATGGAAGAATTAAAATCAGATCTTTATAAAAAATTTGGAAAGGCAATTAATCTTGAAACCTGAATTATTTTTGTATAGATAAAAAAAGAATGTTATATATTTAAAAGGATTTTTTAATAAATAGTAAATATTTGATCAATATAGAGGGATAGGATTTATTTAAAACTATATATACGATGATAAATCGAAAAATAAATGATTTAATATGAATTTTTATAAAGCTTAAGTACTAGTGATAAAATAAACAATAAAATAAATTGTTTAACATGAAGGAATAATTTGTTTTTTTTTAATTAAATTTGATAATATATTTTTAAAATAGAAAAAATATGCGTAAATTAAGATTCATCTAGATGAAATCGAATATATTGGCTGAATTGGAATATAAAACATTTATATAGTCAAGTCTCTTTTTGAAAAGTATTTCCAAGTCAAATTGCAATATTTTATGTATATGTTTATTAAAACAAAATACAGTAGATAAGAGATTTATATATTTTATAAACATAAAAAAATGAAATTATAAATCAAAAAATTGACGTTTAAGTATTAATTATATGAAAAAATCCGAAAAAACTCTTTTTTTATGAAATTTAGTATAAAATGCTGTTAAATATGAAATGAAAATTATTCAGAATTAGCAAATACTAATGGTACTAAATTATCCGAAACAACTTGCTCTTTAAATTTCAACCCCCCATTAGACCTTCTTCGTGCATTAATGAACCACATATTAAGCTGATTTATTTTTAATCCTGTAAGACGACAAAGTAAGCGTTTTTCATCTTTATTAGGATATGGATAAGAAATATGTTCGAGAAACCAATCCTTTAACAATCTCGTCCTATTTTCAGGATGGTGAGTACTATGCTTCGGTCTAGAACTATTCGAAATTGTAGATAATGGAAGTTTATTTGTTTTAGAAATATTTGAAACTAAATCATATTGATATCTTTGAGACGCTAAAGATATCTCTGAAAATACATTCCGACATAAATCCGACAGATAAGCAATCTGAATAGACAAATGATAAATCCCTGAAACAAGAATAGATTCTGAAGAGTCGAACTTTTTTTCTGTCTTAAGATCTCCTACCAATTTTAACACTTCTTTCAGTCTATTTATTGTCTCCGACAATTCCTTGTTGTTTTGTCCATGACATGAATAAAGTAAATCATCTCTAATATCAATAACCTGATTAATTAACTTTAAAAGCATTTGTCGTCTAAACATCAATCTTTCAATCTTAGTCTCTGACTTATAAAATGTTTCATCATCCATTATTTCTTCAAAAAAAACTTCATATGGTTCCCTAGACATATTCTATATCTTTTTCCTTAAATAATTTCTCTCTTCTTCCAAAAAGACTCTACAATTGCCTGTCTAATACCATTTATTTCTTGAATGACACTGACAGGCAATATAAAGACGTTGGGTAATCGGAGATGCGTCCGTGTGGTACGTTGCCAAGCCAACGACAGAACATCAAAAAATGATGAATTACCAATTTACAGATAAAACAGAGAAAACAATAGCAGAATCCTATTCCCTTGCCCAGAGCAGTGGTCATATTCAGATTTTTCCAGGTATTGTACTTTTTTTCTGGAGAAAAAAAGTTACTGAACATAGGGTTTGAGTACATATTGCTTCAGTCTTATTAAAAGAAGAAAGTCCTCAACTTATACGTTTAGTGGTTGAAAAATCAGGAGGAGATCTTGTTAAATTCGAGAGAGAGGTGCTTAGACTGTTTGTTCGTATTCCGACGCAAGAAAATCCACCTGAAAATGTGATGTTGTCGCCTCAATGTATGAAAGTATTAAAAACGGCACATGAGCTACAAAAGTTGCAGAGAGACACTTATATGTCTCAAGATCATCTTATCTTAGCGTTGGCGGAAGATCCATCTATTAAAAAGGCATTAGAAGAAGCAGGAGTGACGTTTCAGCTTTTGGATCAAGCTATTCGAAAAATAAGAGGGAATCGGCATATAGAATCGAAATCAGCGGAATTGGGTTATGATTCTTTATCAAAGTATACCGTTGATTTGACAGAGCAAGCAAGAAATGGGGCTCTTGATCCAGTGATTGGACGGGAAGATGAGATACGTCGTACGGTTCGAGTGTTATCGAGGCGGTAATTTTATGTTTGAAAATGTAATATTAGATTTTGTGACATCTATAGAACGAAAAACAATCCAGTTTTGATAGGAGATCCTGGAGTTGGAAAATCTAGTGTAGTTGAAGGACTTGCCCAAGTAAAAAGGGTTCTATAATGAAATTTTTATTTATAAATTTATAGAGAATTATAAATGCAGATGTTCCATCTAATCTTTTTGCATGTAGACTACTTAGTCTTGATGTGGGTGCTTTGGTAGCTGGAAGTAAATTTCGTGGTGAATTTGAAGAAAGAATTAAATCTGTATTGAAAGAAATCGAAGATTCTCAAGAAACAATTATATTGTATTTATTTTTGACAATATATTTATTCTGAATAAAGTGTTAGGTTTGTAGATGAAATTCATTTGCTTATGGGTGCTGGAAATACTGGAGAAGGAGGAATGGATGCTGCCAATCTTCTCAAAGTAAATAATATGAGATTTAAATTTTTTATATTAATAAAAATAGCCAATGCTTGCTAGGGGGAAGCTTCATTGTATTGGTGCTACAACGCTAGGAGAATACCGTAAAGTATGCTTTTTTTTACTTTATTTTTCTAATATTCTAAGTATATAGAAAAAGATGCAGCTTTTGAAAGAAGATTCCAGCAGATATTGGTATTATTTTTTTTTTAAAAAAAAAAGCTTACAATTTAGGTTAAAGAACCTTCTGTTCCAGAATGTATTTCAATTTTAAGGGGACTTAAAGAAAAGGTTTAGAAATTAAACTATATATATATATTAAAATAGTAGTATGAGGTTCACCATGGTGTAACAATTCTTGATTCTAGTCTTGTCTCTGCCGCGACTCTTGCTTCTCGGTATCTTACTAATAGAAGATTACCTGATAGCGCGGTATAAAATATATTTATATATCCTATAGCTAAGTTTTAGATTGATCTTGTTGATGAAGCAGCAGCAGCAGTTCGTGTTGCAAGAGATAGTGCACCTGAAGAATTAGATAGGTTTTTCCCTATAAAAAATCTAATTTATATTTATAAAATTTAGCCTTGAACGTCAACTAAGACAACTTCAAGTTGAAATTCATGCTTTAGAAAGAGAAAAAGATAATTTATCGAAAGAACGCTTAGCAAAAGCACGTCTTGAAATGGAAAATGTAGAAGAAAAATTAATGCCTCTAAGAGAAAGGGTATTTTTTTTAATAGATGAATACTTATATTTTAAATTTTGTAGTATCAAATAGAAAAACAAAGGGCCAATGATATTCAGAGAGCAAAGAAAAAGTTAGATGAATTAAAAGCTAAAGCAATAGATGCAGAAAGACGTATGGATTTGCAAACAGCTGCTGATTTAACATATTACGGTACCTTTGATAATCTCTTTGTATACTTATTAATAAGCAAGCCATTCCTGATCTACAGAAGAGAATCGAGGACTTGGAGATTTTAAAAGCTAAAGCAGATGCTGAAATAATTGAAAAATCAAACTGCCCAAAACTTTTACTTACAGATGTTGTAACTACAGATCAAATAAATGAGATAGTATCTAGATGGACAGGTCTTTTTATAAATTAATTATCATTTTAAAATAACTATTAGTTAGGAATTCCTGTAACACGATTAACTTTAAGCGAAAAAGAAAAACTTTTAAAAATGGAAAAGAGTTTAACACAATTTGTTGTTGGACAAAAGGAAGCCGTAAAGGCAGTAGCAAATGCTATACGACTTAATAGGTATAACATTAATATCAATATTTTATATATTTAATTTTTTATTTAATTATTAGATCTGGTCTTTCTAATCCTAATCAACCGATTGCTAGCTTTTTATTTTGTGGTCCTAGTGGAACAGGAAAAACGTTATTAACAAAACAAGTAAATCAAATTTATTGATTCATTATAGATTAATAATGAGACTAGCTAGCCGAATTTCTTTTCGATGATAAAAAAGCTATGATAAGAATAGATATGTCAGAATATACTGAAAAACATTGTAATATTCTTTATATATCATATTTTATTTATGTTAATGGATATAATAGCTGTTTCTCGTTTAATCGGCGCTCCTCCTGGATATGTAGGCTACGATCAAGGTGGACAATTGACAGAAGTATATTTTTAAATGAAATGAGTTTTATGATTAATAAATAAAGCAACTTAAAAGACGACCATTTTCTATAATACTATTTGACGAAATAGAAAAAGCAGCACAAGAAGGCTATTCTAAATATTTCTTACATATTTTTGCCTAATATTTATTTAGTTTTGACTGTTTTGCTTCAAGTTCTAGATGATGGTCGCTTAACATCTGGTCAAAGTCAAACAATTGATGCTAAAAATGCTATTATTATCATGACAAGTAATTTGGTATTTAAATCATTATTCCTTCTTTCATATACTAATAAATTTAGGGTGCTGAATATCTTACAAATGCTGCTGTTACTTCTGATGGAAAAATTGATGATATTACAAAAGCTATGGTTATGGATAGCATTCGCAAATTTTTCAGACCAGAATTTTTGGGGTTTCTTCAATAAAACTATATTCTTTCATAGACTAATCAATCAAAGACGCACAACTGTAGTTATGTTTAATCGACTAACAAAAAAAAATATGCAAAAAATAGTCATTAAAAGAATTGAAGAAATACAAAAAAGACTTGAGGATAATAATAAGTAATAACAATTTCCTTCTTTATCTTTTTCTAATATTTTTCATAAAGAAAAATAAAAATTGATGTTGACGAAGCTGTAATCACTTATCTTAGCGAAGCCGGTTATTCTCCTTCCTATGGAGCAAGACCTTTAAATAGATTAATTCAAAACGAAATATTAAACAAGCTATCCGTCTTTATGTTGCGAGGCCAAATCAGAGAAAATGAAACTGTTAATATATTTTTACATGAAAAAAAAATATATATTCAGCCTAATCATGAATCAACCTCTGATACACTTGATGAAAGTATGGATGATGAAGTAATGTCTGAAGACATTGATACAGAAGAAATTTATTAATTTTAATATATATTTTATTTTTTAATACATTTCCTTAACATTACAACCCTTTAACGACCAACATCTTGAATGACTGTAAAAAATGTAAACGTTAAAAATATCAAGAACAAGTTAATTGATAAGTATTTAGGGACTATCGTTATCAAGAACATAGAAATAAGGATTCATATATATCTCGGAATATTGATTTGAACCGCTCAGAATCAGATTTAGCAGTAAATATTAAGAAAGCAACAAGTATTAAGGAAACAGCACCTAAAAGAAAGCATGTTAGAAGTTCGTGGAATTGAAAACAGAGGTTTATATATAGTTATGAACACGATATAGGTTGTATAGTATACACTTGGGATCATAAGTCATCATTATCATTTTGGGCGGGACTTAAAGCTCAGCCTATTTTATCAGACGATATTCAGATTTTTAAAGCATTAATATGCATGCACAAAGTAATTCAAGAGGGGCATCCTGTTACGCTTCAGGAAGCACAGGCTCAGAAATCATGGCTCGAAATTTGTTCTCGCTCGGTAATTGGAGGAAATGTCAAAGGTATTTTAATATATTATTTGACTTAAAAATAAATTGGTAATGGAAAATAAGGATACGGAAATTTGGTGAAAGAATATGTGGAGTTTTTAATAGCTAAACTTTCATTTCATAAGTTACATCCAGAGTTTAATGGTAAATATTGGATATGGAAGGAAAAGGACATAATTAATATATGAAGGAATGTTTGAATATGACGAATATTTAACACTTAAAAATACAAGTGATCCAAATGAGGGGTAAATATTTTTTATATTTTGTTATGGATTAAGATATTTATTAAAATAGATATGAAACTATTACAGAATTAATGCAATTACTGGATCGAATTGATTTATTTCAGAAAACGATATTTTTGCATTTTAGAAGTGGATCTACTAATGAATGTCGGATTGCAGCGTTAGTTCCTTTGGTTCAAGAAAGTTATGGAATATACAAATTTATTACAAGTATGATTCGTGCTATTTATCATAGTATTTTTATTATTTTATGAAAGATATGATTTGATAAAATATAGGTACACAATTTAGTGAGGGCATTAAGCCTCTTAAATTGAGATATAATTCTCAACATCATAAACTTGTTAAATTTTATTATGAATGTTCTAATCTTAGATATCTTGTTAATTTGATATCAATACCAAAATTGCCTCAGGTTTTATATAATTTGATATAGTCTTGATAATATCTAAATAATACAGGATCCAGAAGATTTAATAGAAGATTTCGAATTATCTTCACAGAAATTTTCTATACAGGAAAAAGATTCATTATCAGAAGGGTCATCGAAAAATGAAAATAATCATGATATTAGTAAGTCATCTAATATTTTGTCTATTAGTCAAATGCAAAAAACACCTACATACGAAGAACTTCAAGCTCAAAAAGAAACAGAATATGCGAAACAAGAATTTGATCAACAAAAATTAGCTCATGAGCGACTACTAAATGAACAATATCAGGCGTATATTCAAAATAGAGTCTCGGAATTAGAACAAGAAGTTTTTAATATGCATGGACAATATAATAGAGACCAGCATATGCTTGAACAATATGATAAGGTTGATATTATGACTTTCTTAAGTGGCATGTTAATTGGTCTTAGAAAGTTAAAATTTTAGAGAATGAATTACAGAATTTAAATATTAATGCATCTCAACAAATTGAAAGTAAAGATAGTTACATCAAGTCTCTTCAAGGTTTAAAAAAATCTGATATTCTAATTTCTAGATATTAACTTTTGTATAAGACCAGATTATTATGTGGAAAAATAAGTACGAGTCTTTAGCACAATTATACACTCAACTTCGTGAAGAACATATAGATTTTCTTTCAAAATTTAAACAAGTTCAATTAAAAGCAGCATCTGCTCAAGAATCTATTGAAAAAAAAGAAAAAATAGAAAAAGAAATGGATAGCAAAAATATGGAGTTAACTATTATAACTCGTGAAAGAGATCGTTTAAAACTTGATATGGATAAATTAAAAGTATGATATTTATATCTACATGTACGTATAGATTAAATATTTCAGAATCAAAAAGAGGAACTGGATAAAATTAACAAAAATTTAATGTCGAGTTTAGAAAAAACTGAAAGTTCCGAAAAATCCAAATCTCTCGAGCTTTCTTCATTAACATCTAAATATAATAAAGAGGTTTCGGATTTTGAAAAATTGCTTCTGGTAATTATAGACATATTTTATAATTTTTGAGATTAATAAGCAATAGGCTAAACAAGAAATGATTGATGAGATATCATTAAAGTTACAAGAATCATATGATCAATTAGAAACAGTATCGAAAGAAAAAGATGATGAGTTAGAAATTTATAAGGCCGAAATGGATTCTGCATTTATGAAACTCAATGATTTACATATGGTATCATTTAGTTTTGTTTAAATTATTTCTAAATATTATATAGAATAATCGTAATATGGATTCTGCTATTAATTCTGAAATTAACCGCATTTTAACTGATAATTCGAAAAAACTTAATAATATTATTGGTAAAGATCGGTTTTTGAATTTAAAAGACGAAAAATAACACTAGATTAGATGCTATTTTGCAAAGTGCTATACAAATAATTGATAATTCTTTATACGAGTTAGTTTCTCCTATGCAAACGGGTAATCAAAATTCAACTCCTGAATATTTGCTATCAACAATTGAGAAAGGGAGCTCTAATGCTATGGATTTTTTTACTACTTTTAGTAATTTTATAGTGGATAGTCCTAATGGAGATCATTCTGAAATAATACGATTGATTAATATATTTTCGAGCTCTGTCAGCGAAATACTTACTAATGCAAAAGGAATTGTCAGACTTGCTGGTGATGATGACATTGGAGAAAGGCTTATTTCATATGCCCATGATTTTGCTATTACTTCACAGAGGAATTTAGAAGCATTACAAACACATTCGTTAATAGATCTTTCAGATGAAAAAAAGATTGAAATAGTTATTTCAAAAAATTTAGATGTTCAATTATGTTTAAAAAAGCTTGCCCAGTTATCCGAAAATTTTGTACCTAAAGAGATTGTGGATTTGGTTGCAAATTCAAAGGAAGATATAGGAGATTTAGTAGATAGAGAATTAAGAAATGCATCACATGCAATTGAAGAAGCAGCTGCTCGCTTAAGCAAGTTAAAGGAGCGACCGAAAGATTTACAATTCACATGTTCCGAATTACAAATACATGATTCTATACTTGAAGCAGCAATCGTTATTACTAATGCAGTTTCCCGACTAATTAGAGCAGCAACAGATTCTCAAAATGAAATTGTTAGTCAAGGAAAAGGCTCTAGTACCAGGGCTGCATTTTATAAAAAGAATAATCGATGGACTGAAGGGCTTATTTCTGCAGCTAAGACTGTTGCTGGATCAACAAATATTCTTATTGAAACTGCAGATGGAGTAATTAATGGCAGGAATATCCATGAGCAATTGATCGTGGCATCTAATGAAATGGCTGCTGCTACAGCTCAACTTGTAGCTGCATCAAGAGTTAAAGCAAGTTTTATGTCAGAAACACAACAGAAATTAGAAGATGCTTCAAAAGCTGTTTCACTTGCATGCAAAACGCTTGTCAAACAGGTACAGGATATTGTAGAATCTCGTTTTCAACAGGATAATATTTTTGATTATTCCAAACTTACACCACATGAATTTAAAGTACACGAGATGGAACAACAAGTTGAAATCCTTAAACTGGAAAACCAACTTGCGAACTCAAGAAAGAAATTAGGAGAAATGAGAAAGGTTTCTTACTACAAAGAAATAATCGAATCATAATTTTCTATTTTATAAAACATTTAGCCTAAAACTATTTTATTCCAAAACTTTTTTAAAAATATATTATCATCAAACACATTTCATATTACACAAATATCTTAGAAATAGACTTAAACTCTAAATAACTAAACATTCCTTAAATGTATTTTTAATAGATATTCCATAATTTGCCAGCATGTCACGTGACATATAAGTCTATTTAAGACATACATACTCCTTTATATTTTTATAAACAATTATTAATTCGTCTGTATAAATTTCATTAATTTTTATATTTTTTTCTTTTTTTTTTATTCTGCTTATCATTTTTTATATATATGTATCCGCACATTCTTCACAGCGCCACGTGGCGTTTTATGATGAAATAGCTGTATATATTTAATACTTTAAACATTTACCCAGCACTGCGTAATTAAACCAAAAAAAGAAAACAAATAACATATAATTTTTCCTAAATATTATGATTTATGCCCAAAGTCCTGTAGCTCCAAATTCCTGTAATGTAGATGTTATTGTCATGTCCTGCATATCCATTGCATTATGTTCTGATAGCCATGTTTCCTCGGTTCCTATTTGTTCCTGACTTTTTGTGTTGCGCCGTTTACGTGGAGATTTTCTTGGGCAGTACCTATACATGGGATACATAGCCCGGTGTTTTTCTTTCATTTCTTGTGCTAATAAATGAAATCGCTGTTTTACAGCTGGTGATTCCCCATTCCACATAGATCCAATAATACGTGATACATCATTATTACACAAATTAGCATTCTGCCGAAGAATATGCGCTTGGTGATTCTTCCGATATAGAATAAACGCATTAGGTGGTCGTGGAGGATTCTTATTAGATGCTTGTTTAGCTGGTTTTTGTTTTTTACTAGGCCGAATAATATAGTGTGGTAAAAGCGTCTGTTTTAACGGAACCGGAACCTGAATTGCCGGCGCCGAGAGATCCAGTAATGTTTGAATCGTCACATCTTCTTCATTTTGAGGAACTAGAATAGGTTGAAATCCATGAGGTACAAAATATGCAGTTCCTTTATTTTCATCCAAATATTGTGATGCCTCTTTCATAGAATATGGATATAAAACCTGTTTTCTTGCTACCGTTTCATTTGGTAAGACAAATTCAAGATGTGCATATGGCATGTTTACCATTTCACCTTCACCCCTTTATCCCTTACTGATTTTATGTGTATTTTTTAATTTCAATTTATTTTTTCAACACCATGCATTAGCCAGTGAAAAAAAAAATAGACTTTAACCTTTCTTTTCTTAATTTTTAACAAGAGTGTTGCCTTCATTAGCCTTCAAAAAAAAAACATCCAAATATCTTCTTTATGTTTCTTGTTATAGAAAGAGAAAAGCGCCCCAAGCACTTACGCCTTTTTTTCTACCGCCACCTTAGATATTTTTAACCCAGCTTCATTAATTACATTCTTTAATAATAAAAGAATGTTCTTAACCTTTTATATTAGGTATTCACTTTTAATTCTATTTGATTTTTACTTTTTAGTCATTTTTTCTTCTTATAATTTTTAAGACAAGTGTCTAATATTTTTTTTATGTATTAATATTTGATGAAATCCAATTAAAATATCCATTTAAAGGCATAAGATTTCCTTTTCAATCTTTTAAAAAACAAGGTATTTCACCGCCTTTCCTTCTGTTTGAATACAGCTTTAAGTTTGTGTTTAAAAGATTTTTGCCACTAAAGGAATCAGAATTGCCCAACACGTCGATCAAAGAAAAAAGTATATTTGTAACTAAAGATCAAGACATCTTGTAGTCTTTGTATTTTGCCTGTCATTTTATCCTAGCTGTCTAATTCAATACTAAAACAAGTGTTCAACTAAATACTGAAAGTATATGAATGTGTTAGTTTGTTCTCTGGCGTAAATTATATTAACTATGGCTTATAATGAAGCTAAATATAACCCATGTTAAGTTGCTAATAAGTCTGTGCTTTGTTATTTAAAAAATGATTTGACTGCAAGGGGAATAAGACAAAGAATGAAGACCCCGGGTCAAAAGACAAAGAGAGATGAGCTTAAGATGATTAAAAGTAATATTCAAGGACATCCCAAAACTTGTCAATGGTGTCAGAAGACTTTTCAGAAAAGTTAAATATTTAAATGACGGCATTAGATGAATGGCAGAAATTAAAAGCTATTGCTATAGAATTATCAGTTATTACGAGTCCTGGTTTATGTGAATGTAGTCGTTGTGAAACCAAACGTCATACAAATCTTGAAACAAAAGAGGTAAAGTTGAAATATTTTCATTTAATAAGTTTTTTCTTGTTTATTTCTAAATTTAAATAGAATTATCCTTTATTTTCATTAGAAAAATCCTCGTCTTTTCCTGAATTACCTAAAGTTTCTTATCAACCTGCTTCATTAGACTCTTCTATTCATGACGCTTCATATCAACGCTTATTTGAAACTGTTTGTTGCATTCTTGAACGTTCTTCTAACGAATCTTCTTCTTTCCTAGCACGTCATACTTGGTGTCAAGATATTTCTCTATATACTGTATGGAACACAATCCAACAATCACGTACTGCAAGTCTTCCTTTATTAGTTCGCTCATTAAGCACTGAAAGTTCTGCTTCTTTGATGCATAATACTCCTTCTACTGCTTCTGTTGGTAGAAGATTTCGTAAGGATGTTCAACAATTGCTCGAAAAAGCTTTTCAATGTAAACCTTGGCCAAATCCTGTAGAAAAAACAATGCTAGCTCGTCGTTGTGGATTGACTGTTCGCCAAGTAGGTGTATGGGTAAGTAAATCTTTAAATTCCTTCTTACTACACTCTTTCTCATCCTGTTTTTTAATCTTTATATTACTTTAGCTCTTCATTTCTAACTCTATTATAGTTTTCTAATCGCCGAGCTCGTTGTTGGCCTACTTCTACAACAATTGCTACTGCATGTTAAGAAAATAACTTTTTCTTAAAATTGCTATTCAGAACTTCTAATATCTCGCCTTTATCTACTTTAAACTAACCAATCATCTATATATATCTTATTTTACTTCGACTCATTTCTAAGTTTTTTCTTCTTTTTTAATTCACTTATTCGAAAAGAAAGAGGTTGAAGTTCATTCAAATCTCAGCTTCCTTCTTCAATGCTTTCTTCATAACATGGTATTTCTTATTAAGACTTGGGAATTGAGGTTATTCAGAGAGATTTTTAAATTTTCTTAAAATTTTTTACATAAGATAATAAGGTTTGGTTTTTAATGAAAGGAGAAAAAGGTTACATTATTTCTTTCAATACATAAAAGCCCGCTTTGCTTTATCTGGCTTGAAACTCCGATTTAACCGTGCGGACCTTTTTTTCATTTAACGTCAAAACGAGATCAAAAAATCATAGTAAAAGTGAAAGAAAAAGAGATTCTGAGTAAAATACATAAGAAAACATATGTTTTAAAGAGATTTTTGAAGAGAACGGGTGAAATTTGTATTTATAGGGATTTTTTATCTTTTAAAACAAGTGATTTTTGGTGAAGAAAGTTAAGGTTATTGGGAAAGTCGGAATAGTTTTTTTGTTTAGAGAAAGGTATCATTTGACTAGAAACGCAGGAGATATCAGAAAGATCTACGGGAAAAGTATCTTGTGGCGTCGCTATAGACTTGAGGGAAAAGAGTAGTTTTTAAGGGATTTTTTTTCATAAATATTGTTAAGGAATTTTGGAGGATTTTTTAAAAAAGAAGAGTAGTTTTTGAGTCTAGAATGAAGACTAAATCACCGGAATTTATGTCACAGTGTAGAGTATTAAATTTTCCATGGATGAATAAGAGAATGAGACGTTCTAAGTCTGAATATAAAACAGTATCAGGACAAGCAGAATATTCGCAAGTTCTTATGTTTCAACCACCTTCAGTTGAAGTTGAATCAGGAGTAAACAAATCACCGTTTCCTGTAATCCAAATGATGGATGGGAAGGAGCCTTTCATTTGGGAAGATGGACAAACTAAGTTTTCAGATATTCCTAAAGAAATGACTCAAACGAAATCTTCGTGTTCACGAACATCAGTGAAATCAGTTTCAAAAAATCGTATTCCTCGGCCTAAAAATGCATTTATTCTTTATAGATCTCATGTGAGTCAATTATTGAAGGAAACTATGACATTTAAAGTACGTGAATCGAATATATCAAGTTTAGTTAGTGAGATGTGGAAAAAAGAATCAGATGTGGTACATGCTTATTATGCAAGACGAGCGGCTCTTGAATGGGTTAAATATATGAAAAGAGTTCAGCAACAGCGTTGCTCTCTGAATACAGACGAATCGGAAATAAGATCACCAACTCCGCCCGTTCCATTACGGAATGAGCCTTCTTTTTCGCCAGAACCTTGTCCAAATATTGTTTCATATACTCAACCGTCGTTTTCAAGTCCTACTCAAACGTCTGTCCAGGAAAATTCGGTTGTTACATCTTATGATGATCCATTTATTGGTACTATGTTATATAATTCATCACCAGATACTTCAAATCTAGGATTTGTAAATACTGATCCATCAGTACGTTTGTCATCATCGCCTCAATCTTCTAATGGAGATATTCTTGATCCTACATATAAAGATAATATACCAACTGGAAATTCTGGTTATTTATTTCTCGACAAATCATGTGTACCACTTTCTTTTAAGGATTTTCTATTCTCTTATAATATGAATCAATTAGATACAAATTGTGCTTATACATTTAACTCTTCAACTCCTGTTTTTCCTACTAATACATATCCTTGTATGATTGATACTGGTTTGGGTATGGATACTAATATTCGATGGCCTGGACTTATGCAAACTTCTACTCCATGGCCTGTTAATATAGTTTAACATATACATATTAACCCTTATCAATTATAATTATATTTTTGTCAAATTTTAAACTATTTTTCCAAGATATTAAGGATTTTAGCATTCTTTGTTTTTGTTATAACTGGTTATTCTAAGAAGAAAGATCTAATATTATTTTTTTTTATAAATTTAACTTGTACAAAACTATATTGTATTTATCTACTTTTTAAGCCCTAATGAAGTTGGGTTTTTGCTTATTTTAAACTTGAATATTTTATTTGTATTACTATAAATCTTTATTTTTTCACACTATTAGAAGTTTTATTATGAGAAATATATCTTTATCTTATATCAACATATTAAATTCTTTTTTACTAGGTTGATTTCTCTTAAGTATATATCAACTGCGTATACGAAGTGCATATAGTACGCATATATTGCGGATATAACACGCATATATACTGCATATACAACGCATATATTACTTTTAAAAAGATTGTTGGGATATTAGACTTAATGAAAACAGATATTTTTGGCAAATATTTAACACCACATAAAATTGCTTTATTAGTATTAGTTGAATTATATTGTAGCTTTCTTCTACCTCCTAAACATACAATTCCAGTCTTAACCTTGGTTATGGAGCATTTAGATGTAAGTATTTTTCTCAAAGATATATATATTAATTATAAATATAGCCATCATGTGGAAATCCATCAACATTAAAACATCTTCGTAGCTTTACATCAGATAAAGCAAGTCATCTTCCGGGTAGAACTATATATGATATGATTCTTAAAAGAGTAAGATTGGTATTGGATATTTTTTATCTTATTTTTTATTAGCTTTGGGATCTTCAATCATTAGATGATCTTATTTCGTTTTTTGCTAGTATTCCAGGTTTAATTTCTCGGAGACAATCTCCACCAGTAATTGGGAGACGAATGTTATTATTAAGTCCATCTTCTTTTCTTGGATCTTTTGTTAGAAAATGTGTAGTTGAATTTAATAATCTTCCATTGGATGATGTAATTAAATTATGGAAAGGTTTGATAGGATATAGAAATATTTCAGTACCAAAATGGTTGCAAAAAAATATAGAAATAACAATGTTTAATTCTAGTATGGGTCTTGAAACTTCATTAGACGAAGAGATGGATGAGAAAATACAAAATGATTATGAAGGTATAAAAATTGGGGGTTATATGTTTTTTTGATTTATTTTAGAATGTTTATCTGTTTCTGATATTGAGAGATTATTTGAATTTCATGTTAGCAAGATGCAAAGTATATTTTTAACTTGAAAGAAATTAAATTAATGTTATCTGAGAAAATAAATCTAAATTAAGTAAAGAAATGAAAGAACGATTGAGGAAATTTATGGAACATAATGTATCTGTACCAAATATAGTAAATTATGTCAAGTATAAGGGATTAAATTCTATATATTTTTAATAATTTTAAGGTTTCTTGATTCATGGAGATCGGGTGATTATCGAACTTCATTTGATTATCTTTTTCGCTATTTTGATTATACAATGCGTAATAGAGATAAGTGAGTTAATTTGTTGAATATTTTTTATGATTAAATGATATAGAACAGGATATCAATATGCATTATTGGATTTAGCAATGTTACAAGCAGATTTTTATTGTAATAAAGAGGCTATTTGGGTTTTTTTTTTATAATTTGATTTTTTTCTTAACTATTTAAGGCTATTCAAGAATCAATTGATACAGCAAGGGAAAATAAAGATCATGCTTGTCTCAATTATGCTTTATCTTTTCTTACAGAATTTCAAAGGAAAGAAACAGAAGGAATAACAGGACAAGGTGTATCTGATGAACAAGTGTTAAATTATCTTTTGTTAAAGACAAAGGAAACTAAAATGGTTCATCTTCAAACTGTAACTTTCTTAGCAGAAGCAAAAAGGGCTCTTTTAGAAGTCAATTAGTTCTAAAATCTTGAAAAAAAGATGTTAATATGATATTATAGGAAGCTATGATTGATAAAGCATTCGAAATGGTTTTAAAGTCATTCAATTTAGCTTTAGAGTCATGTTCTACAAGTTTGATTTCATCTTGTATACTTATGCAAAGTGGGATTTGGTCAACTTTAGGTAATATTTATGGATTGTAAAAAAGGCTATTTAAAAAAATAAGGCTGTTCTTATCTTTGTTCTGTTTTGTTATCTATCTTTATTAAATATCCTTCCGATGATGTATCTTTTGAAGAAGTTGTTAGATTGCGATGCGCATATGCTTTTCATGTGTGAATATCTTTCTTTTAATTCAATTATTAAGGGATGTATTAGTTATCAAAAGAAGGAAAACTTGATGAAAGTAAAAAGTTGATGATTGAAACTCAAGAGATCGCATTTAAGTCACATAAGGTATATCATGTTTGGTCATCTTATTATTTATACCAGGAGTTAAAACAAGCAATTCGTAGGTTTGTTTTTCTAAGAAATTTTATGAATTTCATGATTTAAATATATAATTAGAGAAGATCTTCGGTATGCAGAAAAAATTTACCAACAATTATCTTCGATTGATGTTGACGGTGATGTTTCGTTTTATATTTCTGTTTCTGAAATAGAACTTGAAGCAAGAAAAGGGAATTTTTCTTTGGTATATTTATATTTTTTTTCCATTTTGTATAAGTAATCTGTATTTTATAGTCTTTTGATAAACTTTCGATTATGCAAAATCGTGTAAAAATGTCTGGATTTGAAGGTTTATATCACTTAATGTTGTTATTAGTATCGGCACAACTTTACATTGTATTAGATTATTTTTTTATGATAATTTTAATATGGTTATAGGAATGTCAACAGCCTTTAAAAGCTTTTTCAATTGCATCAAAATCTATTGTTTTAGCAACAGCGCATCATAATGTGTCGTTAGTAATAAAAGCAATTTTATTATTTTCACAAATATTGTTATGTTTAGAAGAGTTTTTCGCTGCATATGATATTGTTCAAAGATTCATGCCAAAAATATTAGAAACTTCTGATCTCGAGCACGAAAGCATTGCTTACTTTATTATGGCTGAAAGTCTGTTTGGACGTTATCAAAAGGACAAAAATCTTGAAATAAATATAGCAGAACAAGAGGAAATTTCAGATCTTCTAGATCAGGCATTAAAAGGTTAAAGATATCTATTTTGTATCTATTTTTTTAATTAATTAAGGTTTTCTAAAATTACAAGATGTTAAATATGAAAATAAAGTATTAAGAAAAAAATTCGAATTTTGTCAAAGAACTGGACGGATTTTTGAAGATAAATTGAATTAACCCGGTTAAATTTTAGTGGTACAGGAGACTAATAATTTAAAATAAATATACAAAATATATGAGTTGTTTATTTTTTTTATAAGTATGTTGTTATCTGTTTATAAAAAAACTCATAATAAGCTCATATGAGCCAAACATAATAGCAGCATTCGGTATGACACGCAAAAGATGTACAACAAGTCCTCCATATAATGCAGAAATACCTTCTTCTCTCCATATTAAGCAAAAACATTGCATTAATCCTTTATACTTTATATATCCATTTCGAGCAGGAAATTGGCGTAATCTCGTTCTTACAACCTATAGAATATACAATTAAAAAATATAACAATAATAGCAATATAATTCACTTCATGAGGATATGTAAGAATTGTTGCAATAAGTTTTGCAGTTCCAGCTGCTACTAAAGGGTCTATCCATCTAGATGATTTTTGTTTTTCAGCAATTTGTTTCTTAAATCGTTCATAAAGAACCCATTGGATTGTACTTTCTGATACTCCTAAGTACGAAGCGCTCATTCCTCGGTATAAACTATAAAACCCTTCTTTCTGGATCGTCTTTTTTATACAATCCCATGTATTTCGATACGTTTTTATTGGTGCTTTATCAAGTTGTAGGCGTGTTTTAATCATCCAAATAGGATTTGTTATTGTAGATGTAACTATTCCTGCTGAAATCGCTGACATTATGTGGATCCAACTTGATTCATTGTTATTAAAATATTTTACAAAAATCTTTTTAGTATTTTCATATGTATAAAAGTGAATTGCTCTACTCATCAATTAAAAATTAAACAATATATTAACTTGGATAAATGCCTGGCTGGAACAACTCCAATAAGATTAGGTCCTAATCCTTTAAAGAAACCAGAACTTCCTTCGATATGATAAATATTGCTATTAAAAATAGTTATCAATATTGATAATAAACTCAAGAAATATTACATAAAAAGATGATAAGCTGGAAATAAACGTATTCCGTAGGACGAAAATGCTGAAAAGGCTGGTGAACGATAAAAACGATGTTCACTTTGAAGACGAGTTTTAATAATATCCAAAGGAGATGTACAAATAGCTGCGATCATTCCTGCACAGCTAAAAAAATATATAAGTTAAAGAAAAGATATTAAGAAATGTTTACCCGCCTGCCAGGAAATGAGCCGAAGGTGGCACAACTACTGGCGCGGCTGCTGATAAAGTGTCGTAATTAGTAGGCTGAATGGATAGAATGATTAATATTAACAAATATATTAAATAATCGCGCTATATGTGTAATATATACATTTTTAAAGTGAATAAATATTGAATTAATTTATTAGTTTTTTAATTAAGGGTAAAGCCCTCGATTTTTTATCGGATTTCTCAAAATATTTTTAATATATTCAAAGCATGTAATATAAAATGTTTTATATATTTAAAGTATAAAATCAAACAGTTATATGATTTACTGTTTTACAATGTAGTTTCATAGGGAGAAATTCGTACAGTTTCTGGTAATGAATCAACAGTTACTACATGTGCAGGTTGAGGTCCTTTCGGTTGTCGCTTTAAGCATATATATTCTATTAGAGGTGGAGGTTAGATAATTTAAAAAATGTTTAAACATACCTCCTTTCTCACGTGCTTGTTGACGTAATCGTGCATTCTGTTTAACACGCTGTATAAAATCATCCCTGCATTTAGAATGACGAACATGTTCAACACGAATATTAAGACGTTTAGCGATACATCGATGGCCAGTACGTTTATATACAAGAACGTTTACTGAGGATTTTGTGACACCAAAAATTTTGCCTGTTCGACCATGATAATACTATAATATTTTAAATCAATTTTATAAAAAAATATATAAATAAACCTTATAAGGCATTCCTTTTTGAACAGCACTGTTGACACATATATCTACATATTGACCAATTCGATATGTTTTTAAGTATGTAGAAAGTCTAGAAGTTAGAAAATACTGAAATATAAATAAACAAAGGTGTATATGATTATGTTTGATAGAGATAATTATAGAAAAGAGATTTGAAGTGGTGCGGTAAGTGGATATAGTATGCGTATATACGTAGTATATAATATGCATACATGACGCATATAAGACATACGTATTGAATAAAAACTTACTTAATTTGACCTTTTTGACGGAATTTTCTCTGAAAAAGATGACGTGTTCTTGCTCGTAATCCTTGTTTTTATAAGCATTGAAAATAGAGAAAAATAAGTGCAATATGGCTTTTTAGAGTCCAAATTGTCACTTTGAAAGGTTAAATACCATAAGAATGAGGCATCTTTTAAAGGATAAGATTTTTTTAATTTTTATCGAGACCGCTTTTTTTAACCGATTAAAAAAAAATATTTAGTGCGTAAAATAAGAACTGTTTTTAGTAGAAAAAGAAAAGGTTAGGAGGTGTTTTAAATACTATAAACTAATAGTTTGAAGTATTTTTATTATTTTTCTTGAAAGAACGGTGAAAATTGGTTGAAATTTCATTAAGATATCAAAGATTAAAAGGTTGACGAAATTTTCTAGGAAAAAGGGTATTTTCTTAGAGGAATCCTGCTATATTTGCCTATTTTTTAATAAATATATTGTGTATTGTATTGTTGGTTCAGCTGTTTTTTTTTTTTTTTTGAAACAAAGCACAACTTTCAGTGGTTTTTGTACAGAACTTTTTTTGAAAGGAGCAGTTGCTTAAATAAACGGAAGAAACGTATTTTTTATATTAGTATACATAATAGATGCCTCGCGCCTTTAGAAATTATAGAAAAACCTACAAAGGTATGATAGATTTTGCTTATTTAGGGTATTTTTTGCCTAATAATCAATTTGAAAATTAATAAAGTTGCTGGAACTTAAGGAGTCTAATGTGATGCATAGTTCCTCGGCGTCCTTTTGAATCTGCCCGTTTGGATGCAGAACTTCGGCTTTGTGGGGAATATGGGTTGAGAAATAAGCAAGAAATTTGGAGAAATCTTTTAATTCTTTCAAAAATTCGCCGAGCAGCACGGGAATTATTGACACTTGATGATAAGGACCCTCGAAGACTTTTTGAAGGTAATGCTTTAATTCGTCGACTTGTACGGATAGGTGTTTTGGATGAAACAAAAAGAAAATTAGATTATGTATTGGCATTGCGTATTGAGGATTTCCTTGAACGACGACTTCAAACACAGGTGTTTAAGCTTGGCCTTGCAAAAAGTATTCATCATGCACGTGTCCTTATTCGTCAACGTCATATTCGGTACAGATTGTCTTATTTTTTTTATTTTTTAACATTTATAGTGTGGGGAAACAAATTGTTAATGTTCCATCTTTTTTGGTACGATTGGATTCTCAAAAACATATTGATTTTGCTCTTAATTCACCATTTGGGTATTTTTTTATTTATATTAAAATGTTACTAATAGATCAAGTGGTGGACGGCCTGGTCGGACACGGCGTAAAAAACTTTCTGCTAAAGCAGAAATAGATACTGCAGAGGAAGAGGAATAAAAAAACTTTTTTGCGTGATTTTCTAAATTTATTTTAATTTTTTCTTATTTATTCATTATATTAATAATGTATATATTGTTTTCTGTTATTTTTTTCTAATGTTATATACTTTTTTATTCGTGTTTCCTTTTATTTGCCGACAAATCTTGTTTTTTCTCATTTAGTATTTCGTTTTCTGTATTATTTTGCAGATTATTTTGCATATTTTTAAAATTATGATGTTCTGAAAGAGTCACTTCACCAGTACAGTATGAATTTTTAAAAAATCTTTGAAAAATAAATAAAAATATATGAATTATAGTATAACTTACTGATGACAACAAGCATATCCCCACTGACCTTCATGCCACCATGAACCAAAGATTTGGGTATGATTATTTACGAGTATATCTTCAGGATAATTGGATCGAGATATCTTTTTTTCTTGACCTTTAATTACTTTTCCGTCTTTTGAATATTCCACATAATATTCTGTTTGTGCATATAGTAGTTCTTTAGAAGGAATATTAAAATGCTCTTCGCCTCCATATTTTGCTATGATATTTTTTCTAGAATGAATTTTTGCTTCATTCATTTCTTCTTTATGTTGTTTGTGGTATAAAGCACCCTGTGTCGGGTTGGCTTGAAGGTGGATATTCTTCCCTCTTTCTTCCGCTTGCCATGCAAAAACTTGCAATTTTTCAAATTCAGCTGCTTCGCCTGATGAACGCTCAAATTCATTGTTAGCCATTAATCTGTTATCTCGAGAAATTTTATTTGGATCATCTCTCATAGACCTAGTCTTTGGATCATAATTAACTGATGTTTCTGTTAGATTTAATAAATATTTTGCTGTATCTTCTCGAATTCTTGTTTTTTTTAGTAATAAAATTAATATAAAGTAACCCATACCTTAAATTTCGTGTACTTATACGACTATGTGGATCAAATTTTTGGCCTGGCATATTCGCTTCATCTGCATATTTATCATCATCTTTTGCTGCATATCCATCTTCTGAAATATTTTCTATTTTTCTATTTCTTGCCTTTTCTTGTGCTTTTTCGACTTTTTCATACTCTTCCACTATTTTCTGGTGCTCACGAGGATCATAGCCATTCCACCTGTCTCTTTTCGAATCCCATGTCATATTTGCTTGGTAAATCACTTCATCTGCTTGAATATCTTTACCTGTCCATCGAGCACCCAATTTTCGAGGTCTTTCCATGCATTCTTTGGTCTTATGTGTCATTGCACCGCAATTTTCACACGCTCCTTTCCGAAACTTTGTTGCTGCTGGTCCCTATGCACTTTTTTAAAGACTATTCCTTTTAATTAAGTTAATTAAACATACAGCTCTTTGGCCACGAAGAAAAACTGTACTTTGATCTGTTTCTGTTGTATAATCCTGCCTTAATCGCTGATGACGTAAAGACACCTTTCCTTCTGTCTCATCAATGTACCATGGTGCTTTGGAAATAAATTCTAAATATAATTAATCTCTTATTACCCTTATATATATAAGCTTAACGAGGAATATGCGGATTCACTTGTTTTCCATCTGCATCCAATTCTGGATCAATCGTCCCTGCCTTTCTTCCTTCTTCTAATTGCTTCTGACGCCAGCGTTCCTCCCGTCTGTTTCGCCCTGTAGTGGCATAAATGTTCATAGGCATAAAATTAGGATCTGAAGCCATAATGAACCAATTTATTAATTTAAAATTAAAGTATAGGCATTAAATAATATAAGATATTCCAAAATATCAGCGCTTGAGCTGTATAAAGACACGTTTAAATCAAAATTAATTGTTTCAATCCAAATATCAAGATAAAAAAGCGCTTTTTCAAGATTCTCTTCAAATATTTTGAATAATGAGTAATAAATATAGAGATATTTATCTTTTTAGTCTATATTCCCTGGATTTTCTATTTATTTAAAGGTATTCCTTTTAAGATTAATATTTATTCCAAAAATTAGCCAATTTTTGCCGTTCAAAAAGAGAAAAAAATAGAAATATGGATTCTTCTTTATATATTCTAGCTTTCCTGCTTTTTCTTGCGTCTTTTTTCCGACACTTTGGTGGATATTCCAAGCCTTTTTACCACCTGTTTTTTCGATGAGGTTGTCTGTAACGACAGTAAATCACCGCTCTAAAAGTACTGCCACTGGAAACGGGCACTTAACGCCCAAAATCCAATGGATACTGTACTGAAAACACTCTCTGTTCATATTAACCTTCAAGGTTTACTTATATAACCTTTTTTTCCGTGAAAAAAAGACTGATTTTGACAGGTGCAAGAATTGTTGCTGAAACAACTCCTGGAAAAACTCGGGAAATAGCTCTTCCGCATCATAAAGAAGAAGTTTCACATATTGCAGTAGATGTTAGTTTTTTACTGGGTTTTTTTTGCTTTAATTTAATGAAATATGGGTCTAGGTTGGTGGGTCTTTAGCCAAAGTTGTCTATATTACAAAAGATATTGAAGGTGGGAGTCGGTTTAACTTCACTCGCTTTGAAACAAAGAATATTGATGAATGCATTTCGTTTCTTTCATTTTTGTGTCGGCAGTATGAGCGTAGTAGGTTGGAAGGACCAGCTATGTGTGTTATGGCCACTGGAGGTGGTGCATTTAAGTATTATGATCGACTTCGAGATGAATTAGGAGTAGAAATTATTCGTGAAGATGAGATGGAATGTTTGATTGTTGGCTTGGACTTTTTTATTACAGAAATTTCAGATGAAGTGTTTACATATTCTGAAAGTGGGCCGATGAAATTTTGTGAACCATTGCCAAATATCTATCCATACCTTGTAGGTTTCTGTAAATTATTGTTTACTAGCTAATGAAGAAGCTTTGTAATATTGGAAGTGGTGTAAGTATGATTAAAGTATCAGGACCAGAAAAATTTGAACGTATTGGGGGATCATCGGTAAGTTTTAAGCTATATTTGTTCTTTTTATTAATAAGATATATCTAGTTAGGTGGTGGAACCTTATGGGGCTTGATGTCTATATTAACAAATGCAAAAACATTTGATGGTCTGTGTTTAAAGATTAAGATCTAATTTCTAAGATATTAGAAATGTTAGAGATGTCTAAATCAGGAGACAATACTGTTGTAGACATGCTGGTTGGTGATATTTATGGCACAAATTATGAAAAAATGTCTTTAAAGTCAACAACTATTGCAAGCACATTCGGTAAAGTGTTTCAAAAAAAACTAACTAAAAAATACGATACGATCCAAGATTTTCAGTCATGTTTTCGTTCAGAAGATATTGCTAAAAGCTTATTATACGCTATTAGTAATAACATTGGACAAATAGCATATTTGCAGGCTCGGATTCATGAACTTGAAACAATTTATTTTGGAGGAACATACATAAGAGGTCTCTTTCATCAATATGGCTTTTTAAATACTTATATCTTAGGACATCCTCTTACTATGCATACGCTCTCATATGCTATACGTTTTTGGTCAGGAGGAACAAAAAAAGCTTATTTTTTAAGACATGAAGGATATTTAGGTGCTGTCGGTGCTTTTCTTAAGTAGGATCATTGTTTAAAGATATGTTTAACTTTTTTATTTAGGCATCAACCTCGTAACTGGGGAAGACGGAGAGCCAGTCGGATAAATGGCGTGTCGTAAATTATAAAATATATTAAAATTTAAATATAAATTATCTAACTTTTATTCAACTTCTTTTCTATCAATAAGCCCTCAAGTATGTTTCTGCTGAGAAATTGCTATAATTTGTATTTTGTATAATATATTAAATATTTTTTCTAAACTTTTCTTTAATTAACAAATCTTGATTACGTTGAATCAAAAACATCTTCGCTTTTTTTATTGTTCCATTTATTCTTAAAACACGTATTAATATTGGCTGGTCTTGAATTGTTTTTATAAATGTTAGTACTGCCCATACAAGTCTATAATGTTGCCGTGATACACGAATAATGCCTGTATGTGTTGCTGGAGAATAATATTTGACTAAACAGATTTATTAATATATATATAGATGCTATATTCTTCTTTACTATTCAAACTTGCTGCAATCAGCCCTTGTCCCCAATCACCAAAATTAAGATAAACATGTTCTTTAATTAAATTTAATAAATTATGAGATGTTAAGGTTGTTAATTTGTCTGACAATTTAATTGGAATAAAAGGCTTGTGTTCAGTCCAGTTTGTGTTAAAAAGAGTAGATATAAGTTGGTTTTCTTGAAAAATTTGAAATACAATATAACGAGATTTAAATCGAACCATGTATATGTAAAAAAAAATGAAAAAAAGAAATATAAAGCTATTAATAGATTATGCTTTTGATAGAATATTGTTGATAAGAAAGAGCGGATCGTTTCTTTTTTTTGCTTCCATAAGGATATCTTTCGTATGAACAGGAGGATCGGTCTATAATAGTTAATGAAGAAAACGAAAAAATGAAACATACATAAATATCATGAAATCGACCATCTTTAAAACAGATATGAATATTTATGTCGCCCGTATGTGTTTTGAGTGTAAAATAGATATGTTCTTTTGTATTATCTTGTTTAAGATTTTTTATTTCAAACAAAGATGTTTGAAGATCCAATAAGGATTGGTACCTGCATAGTCAATAAAAAGGAAAATGTATTTATAGAAATTATACCATAGACATGTTTGTTCTTTTTTATATCTATTATCTGTACTAAAGGTGTTTCTGGTATGAAGAGCCTCTTTTGCAAAAGTTTCACAGGATTGTTTTTCATTTTCGCTTTTTCTTATCTCTTCTGTAGCTTCTTCTAGTTGTTTTTTTTTATGTTGATAGATAGTTTGGTAATTTTTTATATCTTTTTTTAACTTGATTGATTTTGCTGTTTGTGATGACAAAAGAGAAAGAGAATCTTTAAGAGAAAGGTTCTAATAAAAATAAGTCAATTCCTCTATGCCTGTTTGGATATACTTGTTCTGCATTTTGTTCATTATCTTTTAATTCTTCAATTTCTGCTTCCATTTTCTCGATCTCTTTTAGCATATCACTTGCTTCAAGAGCTTGTTGAATCATTATTTCATATTCTATAAATCTGAGCATCTTTATTTTTGTTTTTATAAATAATATACCATTGCAAACTTTGGAAATGGTTTGTTCAAGATTTTGACATGTTGCATTAAGACTTTCTTTTGTATTTTTTAACAGAGATTTAAGCTCCATATTTTTTTTTTCTATAATATTTAATTTTAGATTTTCCTAAGAAAATTTATTCACCAAGTTCAAGATTATCTTTATTTTCAATAACTAAAATGGGATCATCTAAAATTGCTCGAAGATATCGTCTAATATATTGTCAATTAAAACTTCTTCAAAAAAACCACATTTACTCTTTTGTTTCTTGTTCAATATATGAAAATTTTAATTTTGAAAATAGCTCCTTAGTATATTAAAATAATCAAAAAAATATATAAATTGCTTACTTTGAAATATTTCAAGTCTGATTCCACCATATTTGGACTTGGAACATTCTCGTTTATTTCCATTATTTGTAGATTTGAGATTTTATCTAGATCTGATTGCTGACTAGATGTTGTAATTGCTGAATTTGTTTTTCTAATATAATCTTGTTTTTGAGAGTGTATAAAAAGTTTTGTTGATATAAAAGATGAAATAGCTCTTTAAATAATTAGCAAATTTCTTATAGAAAATATTTATTACTTTTGTATATTTAAAAGATCCATATTATTTTCTTTTGATTCTTTGAAAGCATTTGTAAGATTAACCATTTGTTTAACAACAATGGTTGCCATGGCGTGTGTTGCTATAGAAACTAATATAATAGAAGCATAATTTTTCTTCCACTTATTATGTTTTAGGCCAGCCAACAGCCTCTAGTCCAATGCTCCCATCTTCCCAGACTACCTTTCCTCTATCCCATTCTCTTAATCCTTTACTATAAACAGGAAACGATTCTTCGTGTTTCATTTCTGAAATTATCTTTTGAGAAAAGTCAGTTTGTAGCAAATTTCGAGACACTAATTTCTTCCATAGTGGACTATTCCCCATAGTTTCAAATTCTTTATCCAAGTCATTATTTTCATTTGAAGAAATTGCAACGTCAAGTCTTGGATTATAATTTGGGTCAAAATGTGTATCAAGCATTGATTTTCCTGACGAATAAAAACCATCATCATTCCCCTCCCTTGATATTAAAGGATACTCAGGTCCGATTGACGGCGATTTTTCCTTATTTGATAAAAATTTTTTTTCTTGTTGGTTTTTTTTTTCTGAATCATTATTATCTGATAAATTCACTTTAAAACACTTTTTTCTTCCTTTTGTTATTGATTTTCCGACCTAATAAATATAATAGAATCAAATATATTCCTCATATAGCCCTTATAGCTTATAAATACCTCTTTATTTTCCTTAATCACTCTATCGTGACTAGAATTACAACGATAAAGTTCCTGTAAACGTTTTTTTGCCTGATACATTTCTTTACGAATAAGTGCATCATTATGTGCATCTGTATCTTTAATTATTCTTGTCAAAAATTCTTTATTTAATCCTCGTGATATAGGACCTGATCTATAAAACATTTAATTTAATATTATTATATCCTTTTCATTCTTTTACCTTTTTTTTTTAAGAAAAGCTTTAATTCCAATACGTTTATATTCTATTTCCTTCTCTTCTGCTTCTTTCTTAAGAAGCTCAATAATCCAGCTGTCTTCGCTCATTTTTGTCTTGTATTTTTCATAAATCGAACGTTATCTTTAATCACCGGAGATCTAGATTATCTTGATATGATAGATAATAGATAAATTATAGTTACTAGAGCAACAAAATTTTATATAATTTCATTATTTTGAAAAAATATGGATTTTTCAGAATATTTTCGGTTCAATAATAATAATATTCCTCCAGAAGAATCAGTTATTATTGTTAGTTTTACAGTTTTGGTTTCTCCTGCTTTTATTATTTATCATTTTATAAAAACATCAATTGAAAATAATCAAAGAGTTATTCTTGTAAGATTTTTAGATGATTTTGAGGATTTGTTATTTGCTTCTAAGAAATGGGTAGTTTTTTGATTACAAATAAAGATATATTAAAGCAATGTAGGGTTTCGATTTATTATCAAAAGTATTATCAGGAAATCTTATTTATATTGATGGATTGACTAAGTTATATGGTCATTGTTTGGATAAATGGTCTTCAAAGGATAAGAATATTCCAAAGAAATATGTTACTTTGACGGGAGAATCTAATTTAAATGGTATTTTTTCTACAATTATGTCAAGTATTGAGGAAGTTTCGTCTCCAAATATGAAGCCATCTTTGATTTTTTGGGGAGTGGACTTTTTGGTAGCAAGTGAGATTCTTACACCATCTGACCTTCTTTTACTTGTTTCTTCCTTACAAGAGGTAATTCGTTGTTTAATTATACTGTTTTGACCTTATTAGATGGTTCATTATTGCGTAATTACGTTAAACTCAGATTTTGCATTTTTGTCACCTAAAAAAAGACCTTCTGATCTTGAAATCAATTATTCTACTTTTGCTTATGCGATTATTCATCGTGCACATTCTATTATTAGTTTACGACATTTTCCTAGTGGTAAAATAAAGGAAGTAACAGGTGTGATTAGGATTTCCCGTGGTTCAGGCTATTATACTGCACAAAAAGATAATTTTTTAGATATATCAGACCATGAAGAATCAACAAATACACAACTTGAAATGCTTTATTCTGTTAATGATTCAGGTGTTCGATTTTTTCACAAAGGTACAATTTTTTAATATTAATTCAAAAAAATCCGTGTTTTATAATTTAACTATTCAATATTTAACATATTATTCACTTTCATTACATTAAATAATTAAGGGTTCTTGTATTTTATATTCTATAAACAGGTATATTTAGAATGGTTTCAAAATTATATAAACGACTCAATTTTTGGATGTAATTAACGTATAAAAAAGATGATTTTTATTAGGAAAGTAGGAACAGGTGGATCTTTTAGAATTTATGAGGATAGCGTGAGGTTGTACATGAAAAAATGTATAGAAATGAGATTTGTTTTTAAACGAAAAATTCATCGACCTCTGATACAAAAACATATGATGATTCCTGAGGATTTAGGGATGCTAGGTTTGTCAAATATATCTTTGAGAATTGTTAGTAATGAATAAGATGTCTATATTGCGCCTAGTAGAAGCTGTTTACCATCTTTTTGGAAAACACCTGGTCAAAGAATAAGATTAGCATGGAGATGGTTTTATCATCAGATAATGGGATGGTTTCAGTTTGTAAATTTTATTTATATATATAGAATATCAATAAGATAGGAAAAAATTGTTTGAAGAACGTATTAGGCCTGTCAGAATTGATTTTAAACAGTTGCAATTAACAATAGGAAAATTTTATGAAAAAGTGAATCAAGCTTATGCAAAGTATTTTGATTAATTTTTTTAATTTTTGTAACAATAAGATAGCGGGGATATTAAAGAAATAGACTCTATATGTGGCAAAGCTTATGCTAAAACATTAAAATCTCAGATTGCAAAACGACCTGAAGCGCTTCGATTTAAATGGGTGCTTCATCGAATGATAAAGCCTCCAAAACTTGTTAGTTTTTCTCAGGCACAAGTAGAAATTGATTCTAATAAGTATCTTGCCCAAGCAGTTTATAGAATTCATTCAGAACAAGTAATTTTTTTTTTATGTAAAATTTAAATAATTTTTTTAGAGTTTGACAATTTTTTCAGATGGTTTAAAAAAAGAAGAATTTTTAAAAGAGTTTATTGAATACTATGTTTTTCAGTATAAAACATGGGTGTTGCCATACAAATGGTATATTTGGGGAAAAACAGTAGAAGCATCACCCGATGCTATAAAAGTAAAATTATGGAAAAAAGATGGAAAGAGTGTAAGAACGGTAAGATTTTAATGTTATTGTTATTTAAAGTTGATATTTTTTCAAGAATTATACATATAAAAATAAGTAATATTGATTTTTATTATAAAAAATGTAAAGGTTTTTCTTTACACTAAATATCTATATCAGAGTATTCTTTAAATCTGATACAATGTTTTTATATATGTATTAGCAATTAAATTGTTTTGTTGCATTTTGTAAAATGCAGATATATTTTGACATTTTAAAATATTTTAAAAAGATTTATAGTTGATAGGATTGTTATTTATCATAATGTTTATGTTCGTTTTTAGAAATAAATATGATTAATTATTGGTAATATTTATCGTATTTTATTATGTTTGCATGATTTTGGCTTTATAATACATTACATATAATTATATTTATAAATATATAGAAAAATTAGATTTAAAAATTTTAAGAATAGTTTTCATATTTTTTTAAAAAATTGTTATAGAATTCAAGTTGATTTAACATAAATTTTACAACAAATTATCAACTTCATTTTTTTTTAATTTTTAATATCAAAGCTCAAAGATATAAAAATATTGGCTATACATTGAACTATATATTTAAGTTTATATTATTACTATTTTAATTATTGATTATTTTGGTGATTCTGAAATCTTTTGAGGAAAAATAATCTATAATTTTTAGTATACTAAATATAAAAATTATACATACCGGTGTATACATTACAACAAACGCAACACCTGACATTCTATATTATAAGTATGTTTTTATAAATATATATGAAATTATACATAATATTTGTTAAATTTCCTTGAGATATTGAAGTTTGCGCTTTTCCATCTAAAAAACCAGAAATAGTTCCAACAAGAGATGCCCATGCAAACCATCTATAATTCTTAATATTTATTTATAAAAATTTAACTAATTGTTACTTATTTTTGAAAATCATTGATGAAAAACTTAATATGGATACAAGTATATTTGTAAAGTCTATTAATTATTAAAAATTAATATATATATATATATATATATGCCTAGTTCTTCCTCAACTTCAATGGGTGTAAACTTTCTTATAAGATCCTCTCTTCTTGGATCTTTTGATTGTGTCATTTTATATATTTTCTTAAAAAATTTAGTTCAAAAAAGAATAAAATTCTTATCTAAAGAAATACTTATTAAAGCTATAAATAAAAATAATTTTTTATTAATAGATAAATATCAATATTATTTTTGATTAAATAGAATTTATTTTTAATCAAATCTTTCAAATATCTTACACTTTAGATTAGGATTATTTATATCAAAATATTTATTATTTTTTTAATTTATGATTTTAATTCTAAAATTGATGCTAACATTTATATTTAATAGAATTTCTTATTAAAATTTGAATATTCTGAAAAAAACAATCTAATAAAGTAGCTTTCCAAATAACATACTAATTCCAGAATAAAAGCTATAAAATTTTAGATATTTCTAATATTTTAATCTATTAATATTTATTTTTAGATCAGATAAGATCGAAAGATAAGCATTTGAACAAGCTTTTACGTCAAAAAAATATTATATATTGACATTTTTTTGAAAAAAATAAGATTAAAAGTACTATAAATGTCCTTAAATATTTTAATATTTGTTATTAATTTATTATTAGTTTTTGAGGAAATTGATAAAAGAATTTAAAAAAAAAAAACAGTTTTTCAATTTGATAAATTACTTATTATTGGAAAAAAAACATATATTTTATCTTTTTATGATTTATAACGTATATTCATTTTCAATTGGTACTCGTTATTTGACATATACTACATTTTCTCGTTCATCATATGTTATTAAAGGATTATTAAGTAAATTTTTGCTTTGAGAGACGAAAAAATATAATATTAATAAGACTAGCCATTATTCCAATCACGGCATTTGGATTAGGTACATGGCAATACTATCGTCTTAAATGGAAATCTCAACTTATAAAAGAATTTGAAAAGAGAATATCTAGTGAACCTTTAAGATTAACAAAAGATGTTAAGTATAGTCTTTTTATATATAAATTCAATATTTTAATAAAACAAGTTTTTCTGATGTACTTTCGCTTGAATATCAAAAGGTTTTATTAACAGGAAGATTTAAACATGATCAAGAAATACTTGTGGGACCTCGACTATTTGAAGGGAAAAATGGATATCATGTTATTACACCTATAGAAATAGGAGATGAGTATATTTTTATGTTCTGTAAAGAATAATGCTAAAAAGAATAGGTGTAAATGTTTAATTAATCGTGGTTGGATTCCATCTTATATGGCTGATCAATCAAAAAGAACAGAAGGATTGGTATGATTTGTTTTCTTATTAATACTTTGAATTTAAAGATTGAAGTCTTCAGAAGAAGTTACTATCCAAGGTTTAATACGTTTGCCTCCAAAGAGTAATTTATTTACACCTAAAAATGAACCTGAATCAAAAAAATATTATTATATTGATATTGAACAAATGTCAAAACTAACACAATCAGAATATATATATATAGAACAGTTGATAGGTATTAATTATTTCCTATGTATACATAAATAATTTTTTTAAGATGACTTTATTATGGCACCTTTTTTAGCTACTAAAGGAAAACCCATTGGCAAACTAGCTGAAATACAAATACGAAATAAACATTTAGAATATATGTTTACATGGTACATAAGTTATGTTTCATTGAATAATATTGAATTATTTAATAGGTATTCCTTGTTTATTGCAACATTATTCATGCTATATCGTGTATTTAAACAGCCGCAATCACCATTAATTGCTAGAAGAGCAAATCAGATCAAAAGATTTTCCTGAATTTTTTTAGTCCTTTTTTTTTTTATATGTTTAGATATTTTAGACGGAGGAGGCATTTGAGATTCAAGTTCTCTTGGAATATATTTCTGAAATAAAGAATATAAAGTTGTCTTAGCATTGATTTGTCGTTGTCTATTGTTTGTAAGGATTATGAAGATTTCTTGAACAAAGCTATTACCTTTTCATAAGTTGTATAACATCTGAATCTTCAATTGTTTTTCGTCCAGCATGTGCTGCGAAGGTATCTAAATCTTCTGAAATTTGTTCGAAAAATTGGTCGGATGCTGAACATATTATTTTAAGTGCATCCTTTGATATTTTTAATGTTGTAAAATTAGCTGCTAGTTGTCTAATAAAGGCCATTGGTAATGATGGTAAAGGAATTCCATGCCGAGAAACTCTACTCATTATTAGTAAAAATTATGAGATAAATGATTAAGAACTTTTGTATTTTTGATTTTTTGGATGAAACAGATGTTTTTGAAGTTTGTTTTATACTAGGTTTTGTCGATTCTGGCAGTAAAAATTCTGGAAGTGTATCTTTAAACGATGCTGTTTCAGTAATCATCGGGCTTTTTTCAGTTAAAAATGAAATTTCTAAATTGGTTGAATCATCCCTAAATTGTTAAAAAATACATTACAAGATACATTTAACTCACTCAATTGTATCATTTCTATAAAATCTCATTTTTAAATCCTCTTCTCTAAAAAAACTTTCAGATTTTAACAATCCGTCATCATGAAGTGTAAATTCATTAAAAGATGTACTATTTGCTTCTTGTTCATTATAAATACTGATATGTTCACTATCTTTTTCAAGACTTAACCGATCGCTTAATCGTTTTATATTAGCTCTTCTACCAAGTTCTATTGATTGTACTGTATGTTCTTGATCTAAAGGAATTGAAAGATGAGGTGGAGAAAAATCTTCTGATACATCTTCTGAACTCGGAATATTAATATTTGGCGCTTCCATATTCTCTTCTGATTCTTCTATATTTTCAATATCATACATATTCCTAAACTCATCCTCCAATCCATAATCATTTGTCCTGTTTTTTTCTAAATAAGATGGCAATGCTAAGATTAATTCTTTAAAAATATATATATATTTAAAAAAAAATACCTCTACTCAGTTTTCTAAGAATATCCCTAGGTGTATCATGGAACGTTTGGTGTTCATTCTTCTTTTTCAAATGTAAATGAGGTGTTGCTGCTTTCTGTAATGCCCGTGCAGTATAAGGTGTTGGCGGGTTCTTTGTAATACTATGAGGTGTCTGTCCTGTTCTTGGTCCATACCTTTCCCTTGATATTGGTGTTTTTCGCGCAGAAAAGGCTGTCTTTAGTACTGATGATGATTTATTTGATTGATTAGCTAGAATACTTGATAATTGTCGTAGCTAAAAATATAAGAAAAATTACAGACAAAAACGCCTATACCGATGTATATGGAGTTTCAGAGGACTCATCCATCTGCTTATATGGTCTATATTAGTTCTTTTATCCGTTAATTGTCTATTTGTATTAGATTGTTATATTTGTTGATAAAAACACGCCTGGTACCTCCAGAAATCCAGTTTTTTTGCGTATATCAAATAAAAACAAGACCTAACAAGTATAAATTGTTTTCATATGTATTTATGGGTTCTTTTGAGGGTTTATTAGATGTTTATAAGATACATCTGGTTATCATTTTTTGTGTCGTCGAGTAAGGCACTGGGGCCAACGACATAAAAAGTGAAAGGGAAAATATTCCTATAAAAAGAGGTTTTAAAGAGGTAAAATGACAAAAAATAGGGTATTTATAAAAGGAACCTATAGATATGTCTGTTTCAGAAAAAACAGCGAAATCAGAGGGTGAAAATAGCACATTTGAGTGCTTAGAAACGGAAGAAATAATTTTAGAAAAAAAACGAAAAAAAAAAGAGAAAAGGAGGCTATATAGGTCTAAAAAGAGGGCTATAGAGGAGCCTTATATGCCTGAAACTGTTTCTTTTCTTAGTGCAGCGATACAGGCAGATTATGTTGAAAAAAAGATTCGAGAAGTATATATGAACTATTCTTCATTAGAATTAGAAGATATGAGAATGTCTGGTATTATTTTATTTTGAATTATCTCTTTTATTATCTTATTTTCTTTTTTTTTACAGAAAAATACTTTTTTGAAACTTGTTGGACGGGCGGCTGGAATCTTGAACATTTGTCAAAATTTCTAGAAATAGGTTATTTTTCTCGGGTAAATTTTCATTATATTTATTTTTAAGGAATAGGATATGATCCAAGATATATTCCAAGTCCTTGTGGGAGTCCTCATACAATTATTCTTGCTATGGCAGCACTTCGAGTAGCAGATATTACAAGGTGAAAAATGTAAAAAAAATAATGTTTGTTTAATGCAATATTTTTTAGGTCGTTACGTTCATATAAGACAAAGGATGGAGATGTTGCTAAATTATTTGCTAAACATATTAAATTGAAGGATCATATTAATTATCTTTCTCGTACACGATTGACAATAGCTGTAGGAACTCCAGGACGTATTTTAGATCTTATAAATTGTGGTAGAAAACATCTTTTTTTTTCGTGTTTTATATTTTTAGATTCCTTAAAAGTGGATTTTTTAAACTGGATTATATTAGACACAACATATAATGATGTTAAAAAAAGAAAATTTTGGGATATGCCGGAGTGTTGGAGAGCCATGATAAAATTGATAACGACTGATCCTTTGAAAACTATGTTAAAGAAAGGAAGTGTTAAAATTGTTTATTATTAATTTGTATTTGATAGTCTTCTAATGGTTTATATTGAATATATTTAAAAATTATATTTGGCAAATTATAAAATTAAATTTAAATAGTGGTTTTTTTTTCAAAAATAAAATGGATTGGTAAAAGCTATTTAAAGAGTCTTTTGTGAGTTTTTAGCGGATCATTGATATGTCTTCGACATTTAATCTACATTAGTATCATTTTTGTTAGAATTTTGATAAATTTTGTCATTATATCTTTTTAAAAATTGTTTTCAAAGATATATTAGTTTCAGACTTTTTATATGAGAATATATAAAAATATGGTTTGTTATAAAATAGATAATTATGGAAACGTCAATTCAAAGAGACAAATATTATATTTCAAATGAACATATGAGAATGATTATATTATTGTATTTCAAATTATGAACTTTTAGAAGCAGGATTATCTGAATATATAAAATAATAAATATAATATTTTAAATGAAACTATATTTTCGATGAAATTATTGAAATAATTCGGCAACACCTCCTTTTGAAAAAAATTACATGTTTTTGAGAACTTATTAAAATCATGTGTAAATTGAATATATTCAAGTTGAATCATAGAATAACACATTTTTTTTGTTTCTTTTGAATTTGAACTGAAGGCATAAGTACCGCGCTTATTAAAATTAGTTTCAAAATACTATGTTTATAAAACAATCCCTACCGAATTGCTTCATCAAACACATTCTTTAATCCTTTTTGTGTAAGTGCAGAGCATTCTAAATATCTAAAGAAGGTTTATAAACAAAAACATTTTCATCAACAAATCTACTTTACTGAATTTATGTCTTTTGCCATTTGCAACCCTTGTGAATATGTAATAGGTTCCATTCTTTTTTCTCGCAATTTCTCTAAGACAATACAATCATTACGAAGATCTAGCTTAGTTCCAACTAGAATTATAGGAATATTAGGTGCATGGTGAGATATTTCTATAAACCACTAATTCATATGTTATTATAAATTTTTCTCTATTAATTAAACTTGCCTTGGTTCGTACATTTTCAAAAGATGAAGGACTAACAAGTGAAAAACAAATAATAAAAACATCCGTTTGAGGATATGAAAGGGGACGTAACCTATCATAATCCTCTTGTCCTGCTGTATCCCAAAGCCCTAAACTAATTGGTTTTCCATCAACCATTACATTTGCCATATAATTATCAAATCTTTGCCCATAATTAGTCTGTTTCTGATAACAAGACTCATCAAACATACACTGTAGGTATATATTCTCTTGGAAAGGTGTTTGTTGTATAGCTTATTAATAGACATGTCTTTCCTACTGCTCTAAAGGGAAAAAATCCGTTAGCCTTAGTTTTTAAGTGTTTTTTCCCAAAAAAAAAGGAAAAATAACTGATATTTATTCTCTCTTTAACATAAAAACACTTTTAAAGGGGATTTCCCCTTGCTTTTCGCATATATTCAACTTTTCTTCAAAATAAAAAAGTCCAAATTTTCCATCGAAAATAAGTATTTTGACCCTGTTTTTTAAACTTACCCATCTCCTACAACTACGCATTTAATAGCTTGCATTTCTCTTATATATCTAACGCTTTTTTATGTTTTTCTTTCAATTTAAAATAAATAAATTTATTGTCGTCAATACGCCAGACCCGTACTCAGTCCGTCAGACGTCATGAAAAATGATATTTGGAGCCAGAAATCTATAGAAGAGTCTATACGCCTCTGTTTGGATAAGAGACTGATCTTTCTTGTCTATATTCAAGGTACGTCCTTTTTTTCCCGGTTTTAAATGACCTTTTTATGATATATATAAAGGAGATGATGAAAAATGGATTGATAACCTTTTAACTCCACAGGTTTGCAAGGAAATAAAAGAAAAAACGGTTTCCCTAAGATTATTTAATGGAACAATTGAAGCCATGTCTTTTAAACAGATGGGTATAGCTTTTTTTCTAGGAAAAAAATGATGATAATATCTTCAGTTGTTGTAAATAGTGTTCCGTCTATTTTTCTGATTAAGTAGATATTTATTATAAGAATAAACTATTATATTAAGCTTTATTAAGGGATGGATTAGTTAAAAAGTCATTTTATGGGAATGCAACGGCAGAAAATCTTATTGAAGGTATTCAAAGTTTGAGTAGGGAAAAATCTATGTCAAATATTTCAGGTAAGAAAAATATATATTTTCTTTGCTTTCTGAAGATCTATAGAATATGAGGGTGCTTGTAGAAAGTATAATAACTGGATTTATAAGTAAAAGAATTAATAAAATTTAGTTTATTAAATATTCAGGAAAAGGATGGTATTTCATCTATAAAATCTGCAAAGATGAATTCAAAAGATGGAGGAAAGAGAAAAAAGTATGTTGAGGAGTTGAAAAAAATGAAAAAAAAAGATTTAGAGGAACGAATGTGTATTTTAGCTCGAATTAATGCTGATAAAGAAGAAAGAAAAGTAAAAGAACAATATAGGATCTCAGCGCGTTCGAATGAGGTTTCTATATTTACAGAGGATACTAGTTTTCAACAAAGTGCTAAAAATATATGTCTTTTAAATATACGACTTTTAAATGGATCATCTATTCAAGCTAAACATTTTACGATCAATAATACATTGCAAGACGTTCGGCAATGGATTGATGAGGTTTTCGGACGGAATATTTTTCTTGTATATTTACAATATTAGAATCGGACAGATAATAAGATACCTTATGACTTAATTCAGGTGTATCCGAAAAGATTGTTTAGTATTTCAGAAGAAGTAAAAACATTGGAAGTTTTAAACTTGTATCCTAGCGCAACACTTGTTTTAAAGGTTTCTTATTTTAATTTTAGTGAATAAATAGTTAATTTGCAAAAGCCTATAAAGAATGCTATATCGGCATATGTTAATTTGGATAAAGGTTATTTTTCTAAACTATTCGGGGCCTTTGGTTATTTCAAAAGCAACATCTACTCAATTTTTGGCTGGATATCTGCAGTTATTAATAAAAATAAAACAATTAAAAAAATGGAACAGAATAAAAAAGTGCATTCTTTAAATGATCAACAGATATCGACTTCCGATAACAGAAATAGAGATAAAAATGTTTGGTATAATGGAAATACGCTTAACCAAGAACCCCCTGTGGAAAAAAATAATTAAAAATATTAATTATAGTGTCTATTAACTCTAATAATTATATTAATATCATATTTAGTTAGTTTCCGATTTTTTCTGTTCTATATATATATTATTTGCGGTTGTTTCTAATTCTTCAAGTTTCCAATTAATTTCATCTTTTTTAATTTCTAAATGATGAAGTTCATGTGCTAAACTCCAAATAACAGAATCACTACTGATGAGTATTAATAATACATGAGATCAATAATCCTAACCTTGCTGTTTGAATCCATACGGAATAATCATCCAAAAAAAGTTTATTATATAAATAATAAGTATCACCCTGTTCAAATATTCTTCTTATTTGTAAAAAAATTTTAAGAATCCAACGTTTTCCTAGTTTCAAACTACAATATACATCTTCCCAACATTTTTGAATAAGCCCCCAATGCCTATATAATGGGTATGCTAAAGCTCTACGAGTACATGCAATAACAATTTGTCTTATTGTAGAAAAAGACATGTCTAAACATGATAGAATAGGTGAAAGTTTCCCTATAGTCCAGGGTGATTCAGAAGTAGGTTCTCCCTGAGTTGTTCGAGCATCATATGCATAAGAAAATAAAAGTGAAAGTATACACAAATAAGTAGATTTAAGATTATCAATGATGTCTTAAACAATTAGTATGCGAAAAAATGACTGAAAAAAATTATACATTCTTTACGAGGCAGTTTTAAAATTTCAAGCTGTTCTTCTTTTGTAAGAATGATTGTATCCAATTTTTTTTTTTTTTCTTCCAAAGATGTATTTTTCTGTAAAGAACGAAGAATTATATATTCTTGAGATTTCCATTTTAAACATTTTTGAATCTCATCATCCTCTATATAATCTGCCATGTAATGTTCATCATTGAATTTAAGATCTTCTTTTAAAATACGTTCTTCAGAACGAGATGTAGAAGTACTATGCTCCGGGTCATTAATTTCGTTAATATCATTTCCTGAATCTGACGGAGATTTAATATAATTACTATATTGTCCATTAAATCCATAAGATGCATATAAATGTAGATTCTAGATGTATTATTAGTAAAAGTATTCATTGGTATAACATACTTGCTCAGGAGCTTTTTGAGGAAGTTCCCAGTCAAAAATAAGACCTATATATGTCTATTATAAAAATAATAATTGTTGTAAATTACAAACCTTCCGTATAAAGGCTATTTGTACTATCGTCTTGAATAGTATCTTTTGTGCAATAATCTATAGAACTCACTAAACCATTTTCTAAAGTCATTTTAGAATTATTTTGAATATTTTCTTGTGTATTCTTTTCATTTATTATCTCAATAATTGGCGCTGTTGTTTTTTTATCACAAGATGTTTTAGATCTTGAAAGAAGTGTTGATATCAAATCCAAATCATGAAATACCATCCCAGATGTTTCTTTGGATAACTTTATTTTAACAGTTTCTGATGAAATATCGTATGACATTTTACTAAACTTATCTTCTACAACATTTCCTGGTAAGTGAAGCCTATACATGGATTAATAAAGAATATAATTAAAATTAAATTATTCAATATGAACCGAAGATAGTATGGAGTAGCCGAAAAAATAAATACGTTTTCTTCTACATATATTTCTACATTTTGTGTCTAAATAAATAATATCTTATGTTAGCATAGATCAAATAATTAGATGTATATTTACACGAATAAAAACTGCGTGAATATTGATATAAATGAAATCCGTATCTTGTTCGACAGAGAAAGTAGGTGTTATCATTAATAAAAAGTGTATTGAACTTTGTTATCGTAAATTCAAAGATGCGTTTTTTGAAAAAAAACTTTGAAATTTTTAAAAAAGGATATGACAAAGGTAATGATGACACTATATATATATAATAACAATTTTTCCAGTTTTTGAAAATTTTCCCTTTATGAATCGCCCACTTGTTCTAATAAAGTTGAATCAATTGAATGTAGTTGAACAAATAGCATTGGGATCTGATAAAGATTGCGGCGGAAATAGTAGTGCTCAGCTAATATTTGATGAAAAAATATGTTGTGGTCGATTTCACGGAGAGATTGTATTAAATCCTGATGGGCCTATGTATGCCACATTCCGTATAAAAAAAAGAGATTTTCTTAGACCTAGTTGGGACCTAAGTCGTTATCGATATTTTTCGTTATGTGCTGCAGGTGATTCAAGAACATATTCTATTGATCTAGAAACAACGTCTTTCCTTGGACCAGATCTCTACCGAGCGTCTTTTACTTTTAAAAGTCCTGGAAAATGGGAAATTATTACTGTATGTTTTCTATTTATTATTGTATTATGTTGAATTTTTCAAGATACCATTCAATAATTTTTGTTTCAATAGAAAAGGTGTTCAATTATCTTCGTATCATTTTTCTGAAGTATATCGAATTCAAGCAGTAGGTATTTCATTATTGGATCGACATCCAGGCCCATTTGAGCTTTATTTCCGTTGGATGCAAGTAAGTACAGTATCTAAGGCCATATGATATATAACAGTGTTAGGCAACTAATGAAGTTTATTCTACATCTGATTTTCCTGAAATATCAAGATGTGAAATAGAATTACACAATAGTATTGTAAAATAGAACTAGCATAATTTTGATATTTTTTTCATTTCTTTGGCATTTTTTTTATAAATTAGCTTATCTGAGTTCTAAATTGTTCTATATGTTTTTATATCTATTTAGTCCATGTGTTTCCTGTTAATTTTTCATAAACTTCTATATATCTTTGTCTTGTTTGATAGATCACCGATTCGGGAAGTATTACATCTTTTTGTCCAGCTTTGTTTTCTGCTTCAAGCCAGTTCCGTATGTATTGTTTGTCTAGACTATATGGCTCGCCATCGACCGAATTGCAAATCCAAAATCTGGATGAATCGGGTGTTAACACCTCATCTACTAATACAAGATGACCATTTGTGTCTACACCAAATTCAAACTTTGTATCTGCAATAATAATTCCTCTTTCCATGGCATATATATGCGCCTATAGATATAAATAGGATTGAGTTATATTGTTATAAAGTTTTACCTCTTTATAAAGTAACAAAGAAAGCCGTTCCATTTCTTCCGCATACTTTTCTCCAATTTCATTTGATGCTATCTTTATTAACTTTTAAGCATTCTGTTTTTTCAAATACCTTCTTTAGGATTAATATTTTCATCTAATATGGTTTAATATGAAATATTATATTTAAAAAACAAATTACCCTGTTCTCCCGGCTTTGCTTTTTTGCTAGGTGTAAATAATGGCATATCTAATGCTTGTCCTTTTTTAAAGCCTGAACGTAAAGGGATTCCATGGACTGTTCCTTGCTTTACATATTCTTTCCATGCCGATCCTGATTTTTTCATTAATCTCATTAGTCTTTACAATATAAAAAAAAAGACTTACCTGTTAAATAACCGCGAACAATTGCTTCTATTGGAAGTACTTGATATTTTCTTACAATCATAAATCTTCCTTCAATATTTTTTCGTACTTTTTCAAGTTCTATTGGTAAATTGACATCAATTAAATGATTTTTACAAATATGTCCAAGTTTTTTGAACCAAAATAATGACAATGCCGTTAATATTTTGCCTTTCTCCGGTATTTCCTAATTTATTAAGATTATTTATCCACTTCAAAGAGACATACACTCTTTAAAACTACATCATACGCACTAATTCTATCACTTGTAATAAATAAAAGTCGATCCACATCTAATTCATAAATATCTCGAACTTTTCCCTGTATAATTTTTTGATATTTTTCTAAAACCATCATTTCTAATTAAATTTTAAAGTCCACAAAAAGAATATATCGCTCTTTTTCTCGTTTTGCCCTCTCGTTAACAATTTTAAATCATGCAACACTTAAGACAAACTCTTATCCTTCAAATTCGACATCAACTTAATGAAACCTGGCCTTTACGTATTGAAACTTTAACCAATTTTCTTAATGAATTGCAAGACCAAATACTCAAAAAAAATACTCAAAGTTCCCCCCGACCTAGAAAGCGAAGTGTTCCTAATAATAATGATTTTCTTTCCGATATACCTGATAAATCCTCTAACAATCTTTTATATATTCCAATAATAATTCGTGATGGTCAGTCTCGAATTAAAAATGAATGTTTTCAATTACTCCAAGAATGCGATCGTGTACGTGTTTTAGTCAATTTACAATTTCCGAAGTAATATTCAACCTTTAATATATAAAAATATTAATATATATAGAATATCGTCCAATGAGATTTCATCTTTAGAAGGTTTATTTATTGATCTTGATTATTACTAAGTAGTAAATAATTTAATAGATGTTTTATCAGAACTATCACAGGCTCAAAGTACTTGTACAATAATTAGAGCCTCAATATCTAAGTATGCTAGAACAAGAGCCAAAGTCATTGGTAAGGGAGGTGGAGAAGAAAGATGGGTAGCTGTCCAAGAAATAGATGAAGAGGCAATATTTTTAATTTTTCATTATTCTACGCAGTTACGAAACATTTATGTTGTATTATATACCCTGGTGCAGCGATATCGGTCATTATTGTGCTTGTAAAGTATATCATTCTGTATATGATAGTTTATATATTTAAAATTAAAAATCATGTTTATATTACAATTATTTTCTAATTACATTTTATTTAAGGTATATATGCATCGTATATGCGCATATATGTCTGCTATATACCCACAGCATACCCAATGTATGCACTATATATACATACTATATAATACCTATATACATGTTATATGGATCATATGTGTATTACATGCGTTATATGCGTTAAGACACCCGACATAAAAGTTCTCCACTCAAATTAAGCCCAATTGCCTCTCTAATTTCCATTACCCCTTTCCGTGTTTGAATAAATAAACATTCTCCCATCTCCAAAGCCGGTATAAAATTGACTCTTTGCCTAGTCAAAAGTGCCAAATTAGACGCTGACATCCATTGTCGACGCCCTGGTTTGCTTATAACCTTAATTTGTTTCAAAACTGGCACCATCATCTGATACTTTAAATCCACCCATATACGGCGTGTTGATATATTATCGAAGGTGGTTGGAGTATAAACTGTGTCAGGCCCACAATAAGACCCTCGACGTACTGATCCTAATAATCCATGTGTATATAATCCTAAACATATATCAAGATTAAGTTTTGTTGCAGGCAAAGATGTCTGTGCTAAATATGCTCGGGAAGCATTTTGAAGGTGAGAACAAAGATAATGAAGAGAAGGCATTGGTTAGCAGATAAATTTTAATATAATAAAAAGGACGATAGGTATTTATAGAGATGTGCTTTAAAAAAATAAAAAAATATAAATATTTAATAATAATAGATTAGTATGTATTATGTATATTTTTATATTTTTATGGTTATTTTTATTATAATATTAATATATTTTATTTAAAAAATATATTAATATTATAAATATAGTTTTTAAAAAATATATGTACTAATTTTATTTAGAAACCAATATTTTGTAAATAAATAAGGATAAGATGTTAAAAATATTCTGTTAAAAGTGTTTGATTATTTTTGTTTTAAAAATATCTTTCGTTTTATAGAAAAGAAGCATTTTTAGTTTATTAAATTATTTTTTCTGATTTAAGTCCTTCTTCTTTGTATTTCAGATAAAGTTTTTCTTCCAGAAAGGAAAAGAAGAGGTGATATGATCAAAATCCCGGCTAATGTGTGTAAAAGTCGAATAGAAGTCCAATGTAGATAAAATAAAAATTCAATAGATAAAAGTAAAAGAAAAAATAAAAAACAAGAGAAAGAACTCTCCCTTAAAACAAAAAAAAACGAAGATGTTTCAAAAGATGTATTTTTTAACTATATATTTTGATTAATTATTAAAAAAGTGTTTGTTTAATGAAATACCATTTTAAAAAGCTTAATAAAAGCAATTGAAATTGCACCAGAAAATATTAATGACAGGACTTTTGAGTATTCTTTTTCTTTAGGAGAAAAAGTGTGAGAAATTTCAGAGAGTGGACCGTATCGTATGGGAGGTGTAGGCATTTCATGTTCATTACTAATATCAACAATTTCAAGTTTTCCTAATTCATATAATAAGGGTATTGTATCACCAAAAGAGCCGATAACAAGCGTTAATGATAAGGGCGTTTCTGAAAACAATAATGAAAGAGGAATTCTATTATGATTCTTTTAAATAAAAAAATTAGCTTTTTTATAAGAAAAAATCGACCAAAATCTTCTACCAGGACCAAACGGGCCTTTCCATTAGAATCTACAGGAACAACTAGTACACTTTCCATTTCTTTTTCTGGATGTCCGATTAATAGCATACTTTGATGTGGTTGAGCTAAATGAGATCCCCGTTTGACATTAAAACTTAATGATAATGTATCAGAATTCCCAAGTGACCATGATTGAGCTGATTCATCTGGTATAACATATCTAAATTAGAATATTAATTAATTTATTTCTTCACATAGAAAAAATCTGACTTTCGAGTTGAAATTCCAGGTAAATTTGATGATATTTCAACTTCAATAGAATCAATATTCCATGCCTGTTTTCCGCTGATAAATGGTGCCCATAATAGTATGAAGAAAAAAAAGAAAAACTGGTTATACATTATTTTTTGGCCGGAAATCGGTTCTTAAAATTAGCGACTTTTTACTTTCTATGAATATCCGCTCAAATATAACTGGAATATTTCCCAGGAAGTTGCTTATAACCTCTTCTTCTATTTAATTGTCTTATATTTATTACTTTATAATTTTTTAAAACTTGGTATAGTTCTGAAAAGAAAGCTTATGGAAACTGAACCTGCACGTAAAAAGACTCGTATTAAAAACTCTCAATCCTCTAGTCTTAATAGTATATCTAATGAGAAACAATTCTGGTTAATGAAGGCAGAACCGGAGTCACGTCTTGTTAAAGGCCAGGATGGTTTTTTAAAATATAAAAAATGAATAAAAACTAATGATTGAGCAGTAAAATTTTCAATTGATGATTTTAAAAAAGTAGGTAGAAAGAATTATGTATTATTTTTCATTTTTTTTAAAAAGTGTTGAAGAGATTTCGCCTTGGGATGGTGTTCGAAACTCAGAAGCTAGTATGATAATGAGAGAACGGATGAAAGTTGGAGATCTTGCATTTTTTTATCACAGCAATTGTAAAAATCCGGGTATAGCAGGTTTGTATATATATTATAAATTAAAAGATATTTTACCTATATAGGTATTATGCAGGTAAGATTGAAAATGAAATATATTGGTTCTGAAGATTAAAAGATACACAAAGAAGGTTATCCTGATTGTAATAATATGAGAAGTTCCTTTTTTTATGTTTAACGATTAATAGATACTGCTTGGGATAAAAATCATCCATATTACGATATGAAATCGATTAAGGAAAAACCTAAATGGTATATGGTTGATGTGAAATATATAAGACATCTTTCTAGATTTATTTCTTTACATGAATTAAAGAAATATAAAGAAGGTGCTCTTAAAAATATGATGCTTTTAAGACGACCTCGATTGAGTGTACAGAGTGTAACTTCTTATGAATGGGATTTCATTTTAGGACTTGAAAAAGAAGTTACTTAAAAATGTCTTAAAGATTTTTGAAGGTTTATAAATAATGAAGTTTCTTAGATTATTATTAAGAATAACATGATGTATATTTTTCTTTATAATTTATATAAATTGATTAAATATTTATTTTGAAGATTTAAATTCATAGATATTATAAAATAATTGTTTTTATGAATTATTTATCTTGACTATTATGTATGCATTTTATTTTTAAAAAAATTAAAAATAAACATTGTATTTTTTCTTAAATATTTAGTAGCTTATTATTTTTATTGGTTGATAATTTTCTTTGAAACATTAATAAATTTGTTAGATTTTTATTATTTTTACAAATTAGAAAAAGCTTCTCTATATAATGAATTGATTAGGATAGATAAAAATAATACTTTTAATATTTATGATTATAGATGATATTTAATAAGATTATTTAAATCATTTAATTGATTTAAAATAATGATTAAAATTCTTCATTAAAGGAAAAAATAAATTGTAAATGAATTGTAAAATTATTGATATTTAAAAAAACTATATTTTTTCAATGTTTTTATTAATTTATGTTTAAAAGAATTATTTTTAAATGTGTTAAAATTATGTATTATAAATAATTTACTTTATATTTTTTGGTGAATTGTTATCAATTTGTTAAGATTCAATATTGTTTTAAATGTTAAGAATAATTAATTAATAAAGGATTATTTTTTTCAAAGATATTCTAAATTATATTATATAGTTAATGCATCTGAAATCTTATTTTTTTAGATAGAATATTTCTGCGATATCTACATATATAACCATTAGTTTTTATTTATATATTCAATTAAAAGATTTTTTCAGAGTATATCTGATTATTTAAATGTTTTTAGAATGAACTTATACATATTAAATATCTATATTGAAAAAAAAGACATATCATAAATAATAAACCAATTAGTAGATATAATGACTGAATTTTATAATTAAGTTGTCTCCATTGTTAATAGAATTATTTGTTGACAAGAAAAAATATATTTATATTAAAAATATTGTTATATTTTGAAAATTTAAGCTAAATATTTATTAAAAATTCCTTTAAAGTAACAATGCCAGTCAATAATTTTATAATAACAATCTTTGATTATTTTATGCTAAATAATAATATAACCATTACCAAAAAAGCCACAATATATGGTAAAAGGATTTAAATAATACTTCAAATAAATATCTCCCCTAAAATACTAAAAATAACCAATCTAGAATGACACTTTAATAACATTATTTATAAATTAAAAGAAATATTTTGTAAAATATAACTCCAATTAAATATAAAAAATATGCAAATCCATTAAATAATAATAAATAATTTATCAATTTTTATCAAAATGGCTGATTAATATAGATTTAATATCATGTTAACTGGATTCTAAATTCAAATATCATTGAGAATTTTTTTTATAAAACTTTTTTAATTTCTCATTTATATGTGAACAAACCAATCCAACATGCATCAAGAAGATATTCATAATTTACCCAAGGATGAATTGACACTAGAAATACACTTAATTAAACATTAAGATAACTTGTCATTCAAACTTAATAACTTTGTCCCATCTTTACCTGCACCTTTCATAATTTCATTTCCTCCTGGGTGAAAAGGTATATAAGGTGTTATATCATAAACTTTACCATTTAATACTATCCAAGCATCATTTAAATGACAATGTTTTTTAAGTTCCGCTTGTGTAATAGATAAATAAGGTGCCGTAATCCTCTAATATATTATTAAAAGGTTAAAAGATATCAAAACATATATATTTACACGGGGAAAATTGGATGAACGTTTCAACTGCTCCCAATCTAATATATTTGGAATATTTGCGAACATGAAAATAGAGAAAAAAACATACCTAATGTCGAATATCCTGGTGCAATATGAGTTTTATAAGATGACTGAACTTTTATAGAAGGCGGCCGCAAACAAGATGATGATTCTTTTGATTTATTATGTATGCTTGGATGTAAGTCAGATGATGTATTTGACTTTACATCTTTTTCATACATATTTTGTTTGAGTATATAAACTAATGCTCTTCTAAAATACAAAGTATAAAGGATGATATCAAGTGCTACAAGTATTAATATCCTTTAAATGGGTTTATATATAAAAATACAAAGATCGAATATTAATCTTTGTAAGCTATGTTTAGGTTAAGGTTTAAAGCTAGGGTTGAAATGTGTATAAGATATAAACCACAAATGCTTGAATTAAATATAATATTTAATTCATTTTTTTAAAATCTTAAGTATCATATATGTCTTTTTTTAAAAAAAAAACAATTTTTTGATAATATAATATCAAAATAATAATGTATATTTCGCAATAGATATTTTTTTCCTTGAAAATGATAATTGCTTATCATTCTTTTATATTAGCCTAATGCTAAAGCTTCTCAAAATTAAAATTTAAAATTTTTGTATAAAAATCTATTTCAAGATTTTGCTTCTAATTTTCCTGTCCTCATGAATAATAATACATCATTCATTTTAGCCTTTGTTTCTGTTTCTTCGAGTTTTCTCTTTTTTCTTATTTCTTCAAGTGTATCTTCTTGATTAAACGTTTTGTTTTGACTTATTTCTAATTCTTGTTCACGAGTATAATATCCCTTCCAATTTCTCTTTTCTTTTTCCTGCATAACTATATATTTTGCCCATTCATAAAAAGATGTACTTTCTTCTGCATTGGTCCCTAAAAGACGACCTTCAGCTTCCCATTCTTCAGTTTCCGGTGCAACCTTTTTACGCAAAAGGGTTGTTAATAATCCCTCTTGTTGACGTACTGGAAAGTTAGATGATGGAAAAACTTTAGTTTCTTTTAATATATCAGACTCTTGTAGCAAAAATGAAATTGAGTCTACATGAGACAAAAGAGTATTGAAATTTGAAATAAGAACTTTCCTATAATATCATTAGACAAAATTAGAATATATATAAAACAGAAATATAATATTTTTAATATATTACTAACCATGAAGGTAAAGCATCCGAGTGATCAATTATGTTTAAAAAATGTGTAAAAGAGTGAAGTAACTAAAAAATAAAAATCTATATTTTTTATTTCTTTAAATTCACCTGAAGTACCCTGTTTCTCAGAGATTCTAATATATTTAATGGAAAAAACTCCATTCCCTAAAAAAGGATATTTATATAGAAAGATCCTGTGATTTCACAAAGAAATATAAGTTTTTGTTGTGTATTATTTTAACTAATTTTAACCCAATTTTTCAAATATTAAAAAATAATATAATATAAAAAACACTCAATATAAAATAATTTATAAGCTTTATAATTCCAAATACTTTTCAATTTCTCTTAAAACACTAAATCTTGACTTTTAAATGACATGTAAAATCTGAAAATATTTAAGTTATTTCTTTAAAAATTAATCTAATTTTTACCAAAAATCTTATATAAAACACTGTAATGATAATTAAGTGATTGTTTATTTATATTAAAAATCTAATATTTTTATTATTTTAATAACATTTTTAACTTCTTTTTACTGTTAAAATTTGACTTAACCTAATAAAATAAGAAACTACATAAAATCTTTAAAATCCTTTAAAAAGATAATAGACAAATAGGGGCCTTTAAAATCATTGTATAGACCTAATATTAGCATCCTTATTGATAAAAGTATGATATTTAGGCATTTTTTCCGAGTTTAATTGACCATTTTTAGAGATTATTTTGAATATATAAGTTTCAGAAATCTTATTCTTTAAAATATGAGTAAAGAGGCCAGAAGTACATTAGAATGATAAGTATCTATTTGAATGATGAAATATTTTTCTAATAAGGCAATACGGCATCTTCTTTAGATATTAATTCAATAAAATTACGTAATTCCTGTTTGAGTGGGATTATTTCAACAATTGGTATATTATTTAGGTTAAATGGTGAAGCTTAATAATATAAAGGACCGAGCACAAACTCGGTGGAGATGATAAATAAGCTTCGTTGTGCAGGAGTTACTATTATACGTATGAATTTTAGCCATGGTTCATATGAGGTATATTTGATAATAAAATGTTTAATCGAGATATTAAATAGTGAAAAAGTATCATTCAAGTGTGTTAAAAAATGCACGTGAAGCAGTAAAGGTACTTCCAGGCCGTCCTTTAGCTATAGCGTTAGATACGGTGGGTTTTTTATATAGATATAAAATAAATAAACTGAAAAAGTTAAATACAGAAAGGACCGGAAATTCGTACGGGAAGTACAATTGATGGGAAGGAAGTGTGTTTGAGGTTTTTATTTGTAATTGCTACTGAAGTTATATATAGTATCATGTTACTATGGGACACCAATTAATTGTTTCAACTAATCCACAATATGCCGAGAAGTGTAATGATCAGATTTTATATGTTGATTATAGTAGAATATGTTGCGTGGTAAGGGAGGGCAGTATTATATATATAGATGATGGAACATTGTCTCTTTGTGTACTTGAAGTGGTTAACTCACAAACACTTAAAGTAGTATGTCTTAATGAAGGCATAATTTCTAGTCATAAAGGTGTAAATCTTCCTGGGACGGATGTAGATTTGCCTACTTTAAGTGAAAAAGATGTTATGGATCTTCGATTTGGCGTCGAAAATGAAGTGGATATAATATTTGCCAGTTTTATTAGAAGCAAAAATGATATAATTACTATTAGACAAGTGCTTGGGGAAGCTGCTAATAAGATAAAAATAATCGCAAAAATAGAAAACAAGCAGGGTATTGATAATTTTGATGGTATTTTGGAAGAAGCAGATGGTATTATGGTCGCAAGAGGTGATTTAGGTATTGAAATTCCTCAAACGCAAGTTTTTATTGCTCAGGTAAATTTCCTACATAATGGTATATTTCTAAAAAATAAAAAGAAAATGATGATTTCTAAGTGTAGTATTGCCGGAAAGCCTTCTATTTGGTAATATAAACAAATATATTATCAACGAAAAATTAATTTGTATAAAGTGCAACACAAATGCTTGAGCATATGATTAAAAATCCTCGTCCTACACGAGCAGAAATTACTGATATTTGCACTGCTATATTAGATGGGGCCGATTGTTGCATGTTAAGTGGTATATAATTTAATAAATTTTAATCTATTCAATTGTAATGAAAATATAGGCGAAACTGCTAAAGGATTATATCCTATTGAGTCAGTTACAATGATGCGTGATTCTATCCTTATAGCTGAGTCAGTTATACGTTATGAAACTTTTTTTAATGAACTTCGTCAATTAATTCCTAAGGATGTATCTGTCACTGAAGCTATATGTTGTGCAGCAGTCGAAGCTCAGTATAGAAATAATGCAAAAGCAATCATTCTCTTATCTTCATCGTTGCTTATTCCTATTTTTAAAATTTAAGTTAATTTCATAATAGTGGATTAACTGCTCGTCTTTGTTCAAAATATCGTCCAAGAGTTCCAATTATAATGGTTACACGTAGCGAATCAGTTGCTCGATTTTCCAACTTATATCGTGGTGTATATCCATTATTATATCTTGCACCAAAATATCAAACTATAGAAGAATGGCAAGAAAGTGTAAACTTTAGAATCAATTGGGCTATCAAGCAAGCAATTGATCTTGAAATCGTACAATCCGGTGATAATCTTGTTATCATACAAGGATACAGAGATGGCTTTGGGTATGTCCTAATATTTTATAACTAATCTTTATTAAAAATTAGTCATTCTAATACCGTAAAACTTCATAAAATATCTTAACTTTAATATTTAAATTAATTTCTTCAAATATTACTACGCTAATATTTATTATTGCTTTAAATTTTATTTATCTTTATTAATTTATAGTTAATATTTATTAAGAAAAAGATATATTTATATTTAAACTTTTAATCATATATTTATTTTCAAATTATATTATTTTTTTTATTTTTTTCTTATTTTTTTCATTTTCATTTTCTTTCTTTTCATTCATTATTCCTCTAACTCTAATATACACATAATATATTTTTCTAGAATATGCCTTCAAAGCTCTATCTTAGACAATTGTCTCTCATTTTTCCTATAATCTCCTTGTTTTTTTTTTTCTGATTCACGTGACATTTGTCTTAGACGACACTTGTTGATTTAAGTACGAATCACAACATCCGACTATTAAGACGTTGATGAAATATCAATATTTTTAGCCTTTTCTTTGGGTTTAAAATAGTAATAATACGTATATTTATTTTTCTTGTTGTTTTATCTTATTTTATCCAAAAAATTGGGATTTTTTTGAGTAAAAAATGCCATCTTTTGACGTAAGTTTAGACCCAGATGAGCTGTCTATTTCTACAGATGTTCGTGAACGGGATCGCATCCGCCTTGAACGGGAACTTGAGAAGGAATTGAATGGGTTTTCTTTTAGTAAAACTAGTTCTCATGAGCCAAGTTGTGATACAGTGCGTCCTGGTCAAGTGGATTTGAATCAGACATTTTTTGTAGATTCTTTAGATACAAAGAGCTTAAATAAGCATTTTCAGGACTTTAGTATGGGAGTTAGTGGATCACTGGATGGTAGTAGTATTGAAAGGGGAGTAGGGCTTCAATTGGGGACGTCAAATGTATGTTTTTATTTTTTTTGAATATTTTTTAGAGATTAAACTAAATAATAGTTGAAAAATGAGTTTTCGAAAATATATACAGGGTCTACTAAGTCGTTTGATCGTCCTATTGTTTCGGATAATAATTTTATGGCAGCTATTAAAAGTCCTCTTGAATCGACAACCTCAGATTATGCAGATGTTGCTGCTAAAATAAAACATATGTATTCTCCTTTTAATAAAGTGACAGAAGATGTAGATTTTACGTTTTCATATGATAAGAATTATTGTAAACAGGATGAACAATCTCCGGAAATGATGAACAAAAGCAAACTTACATATGCGTTAAAAAAAACAGAGGGGTTATCAAATATACCAATTGTTGAGAGAGATAGGAATATAATGGCACCGGCTTTTACGAAGACCAAGTCTCCTGTTTTCCAGCGTTTTCGTCGTCCATCTATTGTAAATAATGAAAATATTTATTCGGAACCAAAATCAAATAAATCTTTTCGAAAAGGAGGGAACAATGGAGAAAAGAAGTTATCTAATTTTAATCATAATATGAAAGCAATTCCTCGCTCATTTAAATCTGCGTCTGGTTTAATGCAAGAACTTGGATTAGATGATCGTCAAGGAAATACAAGAACAAATATACCGTTAAGCACAGAAATGACTCAGTCATTTCAGCTTCCAGATATGACTGGAATATCTTCATTAGTTTGTGATGATACGCATCCTATTGTAAACAAAATTGAAGTTATTACTAAAGATAACTATAAGGATTTAGAATCAATACCTATATCATCTAATGATAAGGCCATTTTATTAGCTATAAGAGAATTACAAAACAATATAAATGAACTTGAAGCGAGAGAGTCTGCTTCAAAAAAACGTATTCAAAATCTGGAAAAAGAACTGGAGAATGCTAAGCAATTATATCATGTTGAGCAAAAACGAACTGTATCTATTGAACAAAACCAAGAAGCTAATAATGATAAGAATGGGGTTTTGAATCAAAATTCTGAAACACATAATCGCGAGAAGCTTTCTTATACAATGGAACGCATGAGGTTAAAAAATGATATTTCTGCCTTGAAATCTCAGGTTGAAAGTCTTGAACATGAACTTAGTATTAGCAAATCTAGAATAGACGATATTAAAGAAAAAAAGAATGAAGTTTCGAAGAAGTTAACAGAAGCGTTATCTAAAATTGATCATTTAAAACTGGAAAATAAGAAATTGATCGAAGAGATTGAGGATTTAAAAAAGAAATATAAGATAAAAATGGCTTCTGAAAATATTAAGAAAGCTTCTGAATTTCGTTTAAAATCACCATTAAAAGAGAAGAACTGTTCAGCAAAAGTTTTATTACAATCAGATAGTAACGAAACAGATGACGAAATATCAAAAGAACGTGGATCTTGTTCTACAGAGACCGATGAGGTATTCTTTAATGCTTTAAAAAAATGTTATTAATATTTTAAATAGGAAGAAATTGGCGAATTAACTAAATCCTTGCATAAAACAAAAAAAAATCAGTCTTTAAAAGCATTTCGAACTAATAAAAATAATCATTCTGCTCCTATTGTTTCTTCCAAGAGTTCTAAAAAAAAGAGTAAACAAGAATCTAAGAAGTCTTCTAAGGTTAGTTCATAGATATCGCTATTGTTCGTTTAATATTAATTAGAAATTAAAATCAAATTCTCAGAATCCATCAAAAAAACATCATATTTATTCTGATGTAATCGAAGAAACAGACAGCAGTGATAATACTTCTGAATGTAATTATGGTAGAGAATATTCATCTAATGATGATGATTTATTAAACCAAGAACCTCCATGGATACATGTTGAAAATAAGTTGAAGACAAAATTAAGTAAATCAAGACAAATATATGAAGACGAATTTAAAGGAAATGTTCGTTCAAAACCATATGTAGATGTAAATGCTCAAAAAATTATTGAGGAACTTGATTGCCACAATCCTGTAAGTTGTTCTGTTTGTACTCGCAGAAGACAGAAAGGAATTCTATCTGAGAGTATTTTTTTTATAATATAATTTTAAATATTGATCTATTATAGAAAATAAAGATCGATTATCTTTTTCTGCAAAAACAAAACAGTTGGATAATATATTTGAGGAAGAAAATACGATTAGACCTTCAATGTCCCCAAAAAGTGCTCTTTCAATGGTTATAACACAATTAGAAGATGAGTTTAAACATTTGAAATTGTAAGATTAATTATATATAACTTTACTAATATTATGATAGAAGATATCAGGAATTTATTCAGTCTTACGAAAAGGTAGATCCTTCTATAGGAAAAAGGAAACGAAAAGCTCTTGCTGGTAAGCTTAAGAATATTATCGAAGAATTAGAAGCAAAAGTTGTGTTTTTAATATCAATTGTTTATATCTAATATATTATAGGCAGATCAAATTTATGCACTGTACGATGTAGTTGAAATGGCTAAAGAAGGTGATGATATTTTAAAGAAGGTATTAAGAAACAGTAAAACGAATGTTTAGTTTATATTACATATTTTTATCTTATTCTATGTTTATCTTTTTTAAAAACGGTATCAATAATTTAACATGAGTTTTGGTATATATGGTTATAAGGCATAAATACAAATATTTGTAAATAGTTCTGTATAGAATAACTTTTAATTTTTGGAATATTTTCAAAATTCTATGTTATATGATATGCTATAATATTAAAAAAATGAGGTCATGATGGATTTGTTTGTGGCTTATTGTTAGAATTTTCGAAATACAGACTTGCAAACGCCTCAAATAAAACACGTTTGTATACATCATTAATATTAAAACCTCCCCCGCGAATGGTTTTGTTCTCCAGTAAAGGTTTAAGAAAACTTATAGTAATTAGCAATAAACAATAACTTTTTTGGAATAATACGAATCATTATAAGTTTCCTTTACAACATATAATGTATTTTCTTTATTTTGGCCAGCCATAGGCGAAAATACATCTAATTTTTGTTCACCTTTATTTAAACATGAATTCTGAAAAGTAGAAAGAGCTGCTATTGCAATTTTTGCTTCATAAGCTGCTCGTTGCTTTCGAATTGTTGACCGTTTAAGAGATAAGGCATTACTATGTTCAACAATTTTTGATGCTTGTTTATCCGAAGATGCCTTGATAAGTAATTAAATTATCAAAACACCAAATATTTCGATATTTACCAATTCACGGATTAATTCTTGTTTATATTCTTCTTTTTCAATATGTTCTGCTTCTTTTTCTTTGATAATCATTTTTTGTGAGATTTTTTTTTCTTTTTTTAACCTATCTTCATTTTGTGCAATGATCTGCGCCTCTAATTCTGCTTTTTGTGCATTTACCATGATTGACTTCTTATTAATTGCTTCATATGCTATTAATTTGGTTTCTGTTTCTTCTACGTCAATATTATTTACTAAATTGAATGCTAAAAATGCATAAATATATAAATAACTTCCTCATTCTCCCTACTTATGTTTTCAACTTCTTCCAAATAATCATTATATTGAGTTAATGTTTCAAAATCTTCTGGACGCTTATTACAACTAAAATAATTCATTTTTCAAGATAAAAAACAATTTAACCCCCCCTACATCTTAGATATTCGTTTCCTTATATCAATTTCCCTTTCTACCGTCATATCCTCGAACGTTTGCTCCCTAAATCGTCCTTTACGAAGAATTTTCCCGCATTTTGGACATGGAGACGGTCCTAATGTAAAAATTCTCTGAAAAAAATATTAAAAAAACATTTTTATCATAATCCCTATATATTTACTGCTACGCATGATTCGCACATCTTATGATAACACTCTGGATTAATCAAAAACCTCATATTTGGATTTAAATATGGATCATTTCTGCAAATAGGGCATTTTTCGTCTAAAAAAAAAGCTATATATGTTTTCTATATAATTCTTAACAATTAAAGTACCTTTTTTAAGCGTTTTCTTCTCTTCTAAGTCAGTTTTCATTGCAATTTAATAATCTCGTCGTCATTTAACGGTCAGGCAGCTTTTCGCACCAGAAGTAGTTGCCATGACAATTCTCGACCTACGGTATCTTCAAGCATTTTTTCTATGGGTTCTGAGGGTCAAGAAGAGAAGAATTGGAGAGTTATTTACCATGAATTTGAGGAGAGATATAAAAAAACTGAAGAGGATTTTATAAGATGGGAAGGTTATGGGAAAGAGTATGAAAAATTGCGGTCTTTTTTGGTTGATATTTCGAAAACTACGAGACGACCTTATTTAGTAAGATATTTGATAGAGGATTGGATTTTTTTATATATAATTTAGGTTCCTTTTAGTGAAAAGGGGTTTATTCCTGGATTTCTTGTTCATACGAATGAAATTTTAGTGCTTTATGGCGAAAATTGGTTTGTTGAGAGATCATCTGTTCAAGCGATTGATATTGTTGATAGAAGACTCGAATGTGGGTACTTTTAGAAGTTATATGTCTTGAATAAATAGACGCTGATTTAATATATATTTTAGATGTCAATAATTGTTTAAAAACACTGGATAAGAAAAAAAAGGATTTGAAAAGTTATCTTGATCATGTAATTAAAACAAACGAAGGAAAGGTATATATGAAGTAGTATTTCTAGGATATATATTGATGAAATGAAAGATATATAATGAAGAAGGGTTACCCATTGTAGAAATTCGTGAGGAACTTAATGAAGATGGGTCTATTGCTAGTAATTTTTAATAGTATATTTTATTATTTTCTAAAACAGTTAGATTCGGAAGTTTTGGAGAATTTGGGGGAGAATTGGTTGAAAGAAGCATCTGAAGAACTTATGAAGAAGCTTAATATATCACCAGAAACATCCAAAGATTGCGAGGTTTTTGATGCGAAAAAGGATTCTAAAGAGATTTCTACAAATATTGGTATGCCGCTAACTAAATGTGATATGGATGAGGATTATTTTATGACGGATGCTGAAAAGTTAGATGATATGGAAAGAATAATTGATATTATGAATGAATTAGAATCAAACGGAGATGAAAATGAATATTCATGTGATAGTAATGATAGTGATGCCACTGAAGATAAGTATGGAAGAACATGTGGATTTATTAGTCCTGTATGCCTAGATAATACTTCTTCAAAAACTTTCAAATCTACTAAAAAAGTTAGTTTTTCAGATCATATTGTATCTCTACCAGATGATAATTCTCATCTTGAAGATGTAGATTTTTCTAAAAAAGAAAACATAAAATCCGATTTTATTATTAAAGATGTTATAGAAAGGCCTTCTATTCAATCAACTGAACATGTTTTAGACAATTTTACTTCCTCATTTCATCGACGAGAAATTGCTACCGAATATTATAGATTAAAACAGAAGTTTCAAGCACAAAACCAATTTTCTGATAATCATTCACAACAAACTTACATTACAGAAAAAAACTCTTCTAAAAAAATTAGTCGTTTTAAAGCTGCTATTATGGATAAAAAAAATTGATTTTTTCTTCAAAATTTCTCAATTCAATCTATATTCATAGGGATTTCATATTGATACTTTGCTACCATATTCATTTCTCACGCATTGTATCTAGTTAGATCCCAAGATTGATCTTTTACGATACTTATATGACATATATTTTATCTAATACACAAATACATGTTCGTTTCATATCGTACAAATACAAATCATATTCATCTCTTCATTTTATCCTTTAATATTATATTAATTTAAATTATTTACAATATTATAAAACATTATAAAATATAAATATATTTTTAATATTCTAAATATTAAAAATATTAAGGCTAATCTTAAGTTTCTTATTATTTCTATTACTTTACTCAACAATTGCTTGTTTGCTAATATCATGCCTGGCAACGCGCATCGCTGGACGTCGAGATAATTAACGTAGTGTTTTTTGTCTAAATATATAAATATTTTATGATTTTTTCGCCTAGAAATAAGAGGATCTGCTTATAAAAGCAAAAAATATGTCTAGGGAGTTGTGGAATAGTATGTTTTTCTTTTTTTCTGGGTTTTTTTTTGGTTGAAAATAGGCAGAAAATCAGGCAATAGAACGTCATCAAAAACAAGCAACACGGCAAAGAGGAGCAGTGTAAAAAAAGTAGATTTAATAGCAGGAAATATTAATTCTAATAGAAAACATAAGGTTCGGGATGTTCCGTTTGAAATTCATCCGATTTATTTGGGATCATCTAAGTTTTCAGATAAAAATCGGAATGAAAATAGAGAGTCTCTATTGATAAAAGAATTAGAAAAAAAATCTAGTTCTATTAGACATTTGGATGCCTCTTTAGTGCAATCTCCATCAATTTCAGCATCTCGTGCTTTAAATGGTTCACAAGTAGGAAATTTGATATATATCAGGGTATATATGGGTATTAATAAGTTTAGAAAAATGTGTATAAATATGAGGATTATGGGGGTAGAAGAGATTCAGTAGATCATAGACAAACACATTATAAGATTCCTACACCATCATTTGCTCGAAGGACGGGAAGTCCAGCGACGAAGCCACCACCCAGAATATCAGTAGGGCTAACACCTTTAAAAGAACATTTTTTAAACGACAATGTTGTAAAACCATCTTTAAAACGAACTTTGCAGACTACACAATCAGTTTCTGATATGAAACGTTTGAAAAAAACACGTATAAAACAGGTAAAAAGTGGAAAAACAGTAAAACGTCAAAAAATCCATGAATCACCTCTAGTGGAGGAATATAGTGATCAATATCATAGTGACGGAGAAACTGGCAGTGATAAAGAAGAAAATATTGATAAAGATAGTGATTTAGAAGATGAAGAACATGATAGTAGTTATGATGAAACAGAAACAAAATTTGTAATTGCGGTGCATAAATCTTCTGAACGTAGCACAGCCTCGGTTAATGAAATAGATGTAGTGTCTCATGTGGTTTCAGAATTGTTGAAGCGTTTACGCAGAAAAACAGAGTCGACATATGCTAAAAAAGTTATACACGCGTTTGAAGATGAAGTTTCTGTTAAATTTTTGGAGATGACGGATATATTTGATAATTATTTAATTCTTGATGGTGCTGTTAAAAAATCTACTAGAAATATTTCACATTTACGTAATGAATTGTTTACTATAAGAAAAGCACGAAATGATGTCGCTCTGAAAATGCATCATCTCAGACAACATCATAATGATATTAATAATGAGAATCAAGTGAGAATATACTGGATTTATTGTGAGATTGTTAAATTTTTAGGCATTAAAAAGTATACAGAATTTCCTTGAAGAAATTGAAATCTTGCATAATAAAATACCATCGGATGTTCAACATACTGAAAAGGTTATTATTTTTAGAGTTGTTTTGATGGAAGTTAATCTACATTAGACTGGAATTGTTTCTTTATTACACACTGTAACACCATTTATGAGAAAATCATGGGGCATATTAGAACATTTGACTGCTTTTAATACATTTCTAGAAAAAGTTGATAAGGCTTTAACTTAGGATATATTGTAGCAAAACAAATATACAATATATATGTATTTTTTATAGATTCATGAATATGGTACTATGTTTAATAAATTTATTCGATTATTGGTATTTAAAAAAGTTCGGGGTTTTTAATGAAATTTGAGTACTATTTTTTTCTTAGGTATAGATATATAATTATTGGAAGAATTATGATCTTTACAATGGGTAAATCTTAGATTTAATTATTGTTTTAAGTAAAAAAAAGGTTTGTGAAAATAGATATAGTCTGGTTTATTGAATACAATTAGCATTTTTGGCTACATTTAATAGGCGTGTTTTATCGAAATGTTTTGAAATATATTTGGATAAACTTTGTAATAAAAGCTAATTAGATGTATTAAAATACAAAAATAATTATTTCATAACTTCATTAATTGGTTTTTTAATGACCATTATTTTTTGAATTGTTTTTTGCATATTTTTGATACAATTATATTTCTATATCATTAAAGAGGGAATTTTATATTTGTTTAAAGATATTTTTATAACTAAACTTTTAACCCTTGAAAATTTTTTCCCCAGCATACGCCAATCCATTCTGCGTCATCTGACCAACATAAATTATTAATTTCTGAATTTGCATTCCAAGAAAAAATAGGATTATTTAACTGTTTTATTTCTTGGTTTCTTATGCTTTTATATAATACTATTTATCGTTAATTTTTTTTATAAAATATTTTACTTTTCTATACATGTATTTGGATTCGGTGATTCTTTTGTTGTATTCCATATTAAAATCTGACAATCATCTCCACCTGTTGCACAAATATTTCTGCATCCAGGTGCCCATTTTACACAATTAATATTACCATCATGTCCTGCTATATTTAATACTGGTGTACCTGGAAATCGAATATCTAAAATATGAACTATATTTGAATCTAAATGGAATGTTGCAAGAAGATTTTGATCCAGTGTATTTGCACTTACACGAAGTAATGGTTCTGAGCTATACGCACCTAATTCTCCTCCTGTTTCATATAAAATAGTTGAATGTTCTAGTGACCTAAAAAAGATTTAATTAAATTGAAAAATACTTTCTTTTTATACCTTAAGTCAAACATTCTCATACTCCCCTCTGCTCCTGTACTTACAAAAATATCTGCACTATGTGCAAGAAAAGATACATCAAATACTTCACGATCATGTGCAATTAATTTAGATTTTGCTTCTCCTACTTCAATATCCCATATAATACATGTTGTATCAACTGATGCAGTCACAATTAATTGTTGTGTAACCTGATTCCAATCAAATGACGTCGTTGGAGCTATTTGATTTGTTCCGTGTTGATGCTATTCTTCAATTAATCTATTTTTCTCTTATTAAATTAAAAATTCTAACATGCTCAAGTATCATTTCTTCAATAATTGGCTCGTATGATCCTTCTTTAACTGACCATAGACGTAGTGCGTCTCCTGTGCTTGCAAACATCTTTTTATCTTTTCTTTCATATAAATACGGTTTCCATAAAACTTTAGTAACTGGATAAAATAGATTTTTCATAGTTTTCCCCGCTGACTTCAATCTTAACCTTTTTGATGGTTCTTTTCTTTCTATTTCTTCAATTTCTTCGTTTTTAAGAATTTCAATCTTAACAAGTCAATTTTGTTGATAAAAAATTAAGAAAAGAACTTGATTCTGGTTTTCATCTACAAAGCTTCCAATCAGAATTCCTCCCAATAAGCTCCAATCAATTGCATATGTTGGCCATAACATTGTATGAAGAAAAGGTGGATAAAATGTCATTTTTAAATGAAAAAAATATATGTCAATAAATAGACAGTTTTTAATCGATTTTTTTCCTTTTTTTTAATATCTTAAGACTTGTTAAATAATGACTACTGAGAAAACAAGTGTTTTTATGATTCAAATTAATGAAAATCTTGATATTTCAAAATATTTAGGGTTCATTGATAGATCTATTTCAATGATTAAATCAGATGAATTAGTTATTTTTATTATTGAAAAAGAAAATAAAGTATTTCAAGCAAAGAATAAAACAAGGTTTTTTAATCTAATACATGAACTTCTAAATACAATTTATATTATTTCAGAAAATAGTAAAAAAAGATATAATAAGGCTGATTTAGAAGTTAATATTGTTTTTAATGAATGGTGTGGATATGAATTATTTTCAGAGGAAAAAAATTGGGATAAAATTTATATTATAAAAGAGGGTAAAGAAGAGTTTTTTTATAAAATAAAAACTGATAGATGGAGATAAATGTTTAATAGAAGCAATTTCATTTGAGATGAAATCTTATGTTTTAATTCTTTCAGATGAAGATATAAATAGTTTTATTATAAAAAAAAAGAAGTTTGAGAGATATGTAAAAACACAGATTGAAGAAGAATCTTTATCATATAAATATGTAGCAGGTGTATTTTATTTTTATATATTAAAAAAATTTATAAAATATATTAGTGGGGGGAACTTTTGATCATTTACACGCAGGACATAAAATTTTATTAACAATGAGTGCATGGATTAGTGAGGAAAACGTAGCATGTGGTGTAAGTGGTAAGTTTAAAAAAAGATAAGATAAATATTTTTTTAAGAAAAAATAGATAAGGAATTATTAAAAAATAAAAAATATGCAGAATGGATTGAACCGATTGAGATTAGAATGGAATCAGTTCGAAAATTTTTTTATTTAATTAATAGAACTTTATCTTTATCAGTGTCCCCGATTTTTGATATATACGGTGTGACGATTATAGATGATAGGATAGGCGCAATTGTTGTATCTCAAGAAACAATATCTGGTGGGAAGTTGATTAATGAAGAAAGGAAACGTAGAAATATGAAAGAACTTGATATTTTTTGTATTTGTATAATTTCTGATGAAGTTGATAGTGAACTTATGTCTATAAAAATAAGTAGTACGAATATTCGTGAAAAAATAGCAAAAAAACAATTTAAAAATGAGTTAGTCAGTGAGATATTGGAGTAAATATTTGTTTATATTGTATAATAATATATTAATTATGTGATTTATTGAATTTAATATTTTGTGTATAATTTAAAATATTGATTTTGTTTAAAAATTTTAATGTTCTTCATGATCATATTTAGAAGCAATTCCTTGCTGACCTGTTTCAAGTTTAGAAGGTTCTGTTTGTATTTCTAATTTCGATAAGCCATGCCAACTTTTTGTATTTTTATGAAAATAGGCCGATACACTATGTATACGAGTATTTGATAATTCCATATGTTCATTTAATTTCATTATACCTTTATGAGAATTTGATAAAGAATCATTTTTGATTAATATTTCGTCATCTTGTATAATAGATGGTTGTATAAGATGACCTGTAGCTAAAGAAAATTGAGGTTCATCTTTTCGAATCAATTCGTCTTCCTTCAAATTTAAACAAAGTATGCTAGAAAAATCCGTAATCCATTGTTTATTCCAAATTTCGGAAGATAGAGCTAAATATAATTCATATGGCGTGATAATTGGACGATAAAAGTCCTTTTTTATTAGAATTCATTTTTAAAATAAAAATTAAAACCTTTGATTCTATAAGTGAATTTTCCGAGCAACTAACTAATACAAATATTTGTATTTCTGAAAAATTTGCTAATTTTTCTGGACTTAATTTTCCTATTATAAACATATAGCATTTTCGTCCTGCTTTTTTAATCATTTCTCGTAAATGATAAGTCACTTCTAAATATCTAGAAACACCTAATGTTCCCACAACAATTCCAATTATTGATACATCTTTTGCTTTTTGAATAATTGCATATCTACGGCGCAATTGTATATCACTGATTGGTGATTGATGTATAACCTCATCTTGTTCAGGATTGTATGAATAAAATGACATAACATGAGAATAACATGTCATCGCAAGTGTTGTTAAGCCCGGTGATTTTTCACCAATATAAAATATAGACCATTTTTTGTATAAATCTAAACGTTGCTTATCATCTGCTACAATTGCTTCTCCAATTGCCTTAGTGATATTTATTGCGCTATATTCCCCTTCTCCTTTAATAATTCTATTATATCCAAATGATATTAATTTAGAGAAAATACTTTCTATACAAATTTTGTTGATATAAAACAATATATATATATATGATAAATTTACCTAATATATTTATATAGCAAGGCTTTCCTACCAAAATTATATAATCTTCGGTATTGTAAATAGCTTTAAATTTGTCCAAACATTTGTTTATATTAAATAATGATGACGGTTTATCAAACACATATTTAACTGGTAATCGTGTTGTTCTATTTTTTCCTAGTATAAGTTTATAAATCTTTAAATAATACGTAAACATTTACATGCTTAAACATGCATGTCCATAATGAATAATACAATCTGCATTCACATGTTGTGCTTCTATTTCATCAACACAACAACTAATTTTTTAATATCAAAATTTATTTCTAGTAATTTTTTCTCAATACCTCCCATAAGAAGTACCTCCTAAGATAAAAAATGATGCTTTTGTTTCTATACTAAGTCTTTGAAATACATTTGTTGCATCTTTTAATAGTTCATCTGGAAATTGCAAAGCTACCTTAAAAAAATGTTAAAAAAAACCTAATTTTTTATATAAAAAATTCATAATATACACGCTGGAAACATCCTTCTTCAATGAATTTCTTTGTATTTGAAATTTCATATTTATTCTCTAAATAATCTACAGGATCTAAAGGTTTTTCCATTCTATTAATCTATTTATTCGCCTATGTTTTATTAAAAAATAAAAAAAAAAATATCTTCGACGTTTGGATGTGCTTAATTTTAGATTCGGAGTTATTTGCTCTCCGAACTCATCCTTTTCAACCTCTTTTAACTGTCGGTACTTTGAACGGCCGTATTTCAAGGTAAATATGGTTTTATTTTCTTTATAATATTTTCTATCTTATCAAGTTATCATTTTAATCTTAATGAAAAAACGTATGATCAAGTATGGCATACGTATAGACATCGAATCGCCTGTCGGGATTTAAGATATTCAATGAATGGAGAAGGTGTTAAAATCTTTTTATGTTTTTTGACTTATGGGAATTAATTATGAAAAACAATAGAAATTATATCAGTAGGAGCAGATGGTATGATTAAATATGCCAAGAGTGACACAGGAAGAGTGATTTGGAAAGTAAAGAACGCTCATATGTAAAAAAAATATCAATAAAATGGAAATAAGATTGAAATTTGGATTAGGAATGCGATTAATGTAGTATGTTATTTGTCTGAAATGAGTTTTGTTACAGGAGATGATTATGGATTGATTAAAGTAAAAAAAAAATCATAAAAAAAAATTATAATTGATATGTTGGGATAGTTATGGGATAAGAGATCAAAAGAATGTATTAAAGAAGTTAATGCTCATAAGGATTATATTTCATCTTTTTTGAGATTAGATGAGATGGTTTTATTATCAACTAGGTGATTAATGAGATAGAATTTAGAAGAATTAAAGTTAATTTATGAAAAAGTGGGGATGCATTTTTTTCTATATTGGATTTTCGTATTGTTAAATGTTTACCAGTTTTTTCATATGATTTTGGAGAAGATCTTTTATCATCATGTCTAGTTAAATCCGAAACGATTAAACCAAAGATATGTATAGGAACTGCATCAGGAATGATAAAAATATTTAATAAAGGTGAATGGGATAATCATACGAGTCAAATTTTGTTATCTAAAAAGAAACATATGTTAAGCGTTGATATTATGATGGCATGGAATGATGATATTATTGTTGCAAGTGGTAATGACGGTGTTATAAGAGTTTTAAACATTCATCCTAATATACCTTTGGGAATTCTTGGATATCAAGATTCGAGTATAGACGTATTGGCTAAAACATATGACAACGATTGGATATTAAGCGGTGGAGATAAAAAAATAATTGCATGGAAAGCAAATTGGAACGATAATTTCAAAAAACATAATAAATTTAATCAAGATACATCAGATCAAGCGCGTAAAAAGAAATTAATGTTAGATAAGGATATGTCTTTTTTTAAAGATTTAACATAACATGCTTATGTAATAATGAATGTTGATTTAACTTGAAAATGCATGGTTGTATTGGTAATTATGATACAGAATCCATTTGTTTAGTATTTTCTTTTTTAAACCATATCATAACAACTTTATGACCCAGCGCAAGTAGAAAAATGGCTGGAAGATGAATAAGACTTGCATAGAATAGTTCTCGTGCATTTTTCTCAGTTTGATGTCTATAAAATCTCCATGAACAAGATATCATAAATATATTTACAATAGCACTATCAATTAAATAGAATGGATCTAGTAAGCCGGAAATAGGTAGTGCCCAACAAAATAAAAAACATAAGAGACTATATCGTAAAGCAAGGCGTGCATTTAAAGCTGGATTTGTAACACACATCATTTGATAGCCTGCACGCGCATATTCATGTCGAACGTTCCATGAAAGTGAATTAAAATGAGGAAATTGCCAAGTATAAAGAATACACGCAAGAATCCATCCCCCGGGATGGCTAAAAAGATCGCCATTGGAGCTTGCAGACCAGCCCATAAGAGGAGGAAGTGCTCCTACTACTGCCCCGATCCATGTATTTATAATAGAAATACGTTTAAGTGGTGTATAAACACCACCATAAAGAAAAATATTTATAACACCCAAATATGCTGTAGTTGTATTAACTCCCCAAATAAGTGAAAATGTACCAAGTGCTCCTGTTATACAAACAAAAGAAAAAACGGCTGGAAGTGAAATAACACCACGTACAAGAGGACGATAACGAGTTCTTGACATTTGTGCATCATATTCCGACTCAAGCATCATGTTAAATGCATTAGCCGAAGCAGAACACATTGCTGTACCAATTGATAGGAAAATAAGTGTTGATATTGATGATACCGGAAATGGTGCAAGTGCATATGATGACATTGTAGAAAGTACTACAAGAAACGTTAATCTCGGCTTCGCTAGTTCCATTAATATAGAAAATCTCGGCCTTGCTCCAACTGGAACATAATTTAAATAGTTTGTACACTCCAAATCTCTTTTTTTTGAGATTTTTTTCAAGTTTCTTATAAAAACTATATTTTTTTCTAATTTTAAACATGTTAACATTCTAAATATATGAAAATCTCTACTATTTGTATTATATATTGTCTTATTATAATTTAAACTCGTTTGAGCCCATTTTAAGCCCGTTTGACCCCATTCAAAACCCTTCCATCTCCTCCCAATCATTAGTTCTTCATATCCTAATTAATATCTTAATTCTATCTATCTAAATAGCTAATTCCTCCCCAATTCTGCCTCTCAAAGGCTTGGAAGATATTTCTTACTACCAATGACGTTGTCCTGGCCTCTTACGCGTTGCCATCTCAACGTAATATCGGGTGAAATTTCTTTTGCGACTTTATAATTTATACATATTAATAAAAAAAAGAAAAAAAATAGAAATTAGTACTAAATAATAGAAATTATTCATTAGGATTATGAAGATTTTCTCCCTTTTTCCTTGTTGTAAGTATTTCCTTTTTTTTTCAGAAAAAAAGGTTAATAAACGGTTAAGATAATGTTGAAATAAGTAAATAATATATTTGGTAAATATATGGGGGAAAAGATAGTATTATCTAGAGATCTTGCTGCTTCTAGCTCAGTGTCGTTCACTGGAATGGGTTGTATGGGCGAAGAAGCTGTAAAATTAGCGGAACATGAGGATAAAAATGACATATTGAAATTGACTACATCTAATTCAGAATTACTTGTAAATGTTGAACGAAATAGTATGATGGAAAAGATTCGTCAGGAAAATCGTGAACGTAAGAAACGTTGGCGTCAAGCAAATGAGGATCGTAATAAAGATAATGATCTTCGTTGTAGAGTTAATAAACGTGCTCATAAACTTTATGGTAAAGAACAGTCTCTTGCAAAATCAAAATGGATTGAGGATGAGTTTCTTAGACGTCAATTAAAACGTAAAGATAGGGAACGTAAACGTTTTCTTGAATCACATATTATGACAACAAATCGTGATATTAATAATACAGGATTTAATGCTGTCGAATTTTCCCAAACCTTTCTTACTAATCTTTTTCAAAATCTTGTTTCTTTTAATCATACTATTCCTTTTTCATTTCGATCTGCTCTTTTTTCTTTTTCTACAAATCCGAATTTTCTCAGAATTATTACTACACTTTTTGCTTCACTCACTGACAATATTTCATCTACACCTCAAATCGAATCTTCCCTCGAAAATTCTCATCCAACTGATGACGCAACACAACTATATCGCTCTCTTTTATTTAATCTTTTACCTTCCAATAACGATTCTTTTTTTTTTTCATCTTCAAGCATATTTCTTCCTTCAGAAAACGTGCATAATGCTTTAAATACTAATCAATCTAGTTCTTCTGCAATCTATTCTTTATCTTCTACAACTTCTCAGCCTTCTTTCACATATAGGTCATCTGATCCCATAACTTCTATGGGCTTTCCGCCTGTTCCTGTAGATTTTTCTCAACATAAGTAATCTATTTATTCTTTATTTTATATATTTCTTTTCACTTCTATATTTTCCTTCAGCTTATCTGTTTGTCGCTGGGCTTCGCGTTATCGACGATGAGCCTTGATGTATCTTCAACATCCAAGCCATGGGTGGAGGAAAAACGCCTGAATCCGCTAGAAATTGATGAGGAATCACTGTTTCTTCCATTTAAAGCGCTATTTCTTAAGTATATACCCGAAAATCCGGTTTTTTTTGCTTTTTTTTTGACGTTTTTTAGGGAAAATATACAAAATGATGGGCAGGTTGATAAACAAGTATTAAAGACACTTGCTTCGCTTTGTTTCCCATCTAAACCATGTATTAAAGCGTTTAATAATGATTCGAGGGACTTGTTGCAGTTGAAACGCTCAATTTCTCGTCTTCAACAGAGGATACAAAATCTGACTCATGCACAGTCAAGAGCTTTGTTTTACCGTGAAGGAAATGTTAATATAGTACGTAAGGATATTCTTCATTCTATGCTAGCTCTTTCAGATGTTCAGAGAGCGATTCAGCAACGTTTAAATAAGCAGTTGAAATTTAAAATGGAAGGACTTGAAAAATTGGATCAATGGAAGGATGAACAGCATTTTTTAGCGATGTACATTCGTCAGAAGGAGGAATCTGATGAAAACTTAAAGATTATTTCATCTTTATGCCAGAAAAAAAATAAATTAAAGATGGAAATTACAGAAACAGAAGTTAAATTGGCGGAAAAAAAAAAGGATTTAAAGAAATTGTTAAGTCATATTCAAGAATTGCAGAGTTCTTTGGGTTCTCGTTTTTTGGATGAAAAATCACGTTTAGAGGAGATTGATGCAGATGAAGCTAAATTTATTGAACAATTTAAAAAAATGATACCGGAATCGGATCAAGCAAAGCCTCGAGATGCTCTGCGTAAAATTTGGGAAGCCGAATTATCTGTTATTAATGACGATATAAAGAAGGCTCATTCTGAATATACTGCTTTATCGGAAGGATCAAAACTTTGGTGTAGTACAATTACTTTTCTTCAATCACTAGAACAAAATGTTTATGAGTATACAAAAAAGGGGAACTGTAAAGTAGAAGAAGTAATAAATATTATTGATAAAGGACTTTTAAAGTTAAGAGATTTAACAAAAATTGTAAATAATAGACAATTGAATTTGTTATACATTGTAATTGGACACGAAATAGAAGCTTTAAATCGAGCAAAGAATGTAATTATTTTTGGTATGGATAAATCGTAGAATTTTAAATGATAAAGATACTTTTATTGGTTTGTTTTTGTAGTAATTTTTAGCTATTCTGATAATGATGGTTGTAAATATATAGTTTAATTGTATTTGAAATAGTATTTTGAGCATTTTTATAAAACTAATATTATTACCCTTTTGTTTTTTTTATTTGAAATATTTTGCAGATCTATGATATTTATGTTCATTTTAAAAAAGTTTATATTTTATAAATTTTATTTTATGTATAAATTATCTGATTTCCATAGAAATATGAAATGTCAAATTTGTAAGGACTACCAGGTTTATGAATAGATCAACTATTTGAAATTTTAGTTTTTGTTTTTAAAATTATTTGTAATTTAAATTTTATTAAAAATGAACAAATATAATTAATATTTTATCTAGTTTTCCAATGTATTATTTAAAAGTATTGATTTTAATAAGTAATTTAGATTCCCTAGCAGAATTAAAGATTTATACATCAATATAAATGCTATTTGATGATTTGCACATAGAATTTTCGAGTTTAAGATTTTTATGGACTTGGAGGCGCATAGGCAGGACTAGCTGATTCAAAATCTTCTTGATATGTTTCCGTAGTTGCATTATTTGTTTGATTGATGAATTTAGAAGATGGTTTTTCCAAACTATAAAAAATTAGAAAAATGAGTATTGATTAAATTATTAATTTACATTGCATTTTCATTAGAAATAGATGTTGACAAATCCTTTGATATATATTCAGGTATGTCGGCCTATTTTATTAGTATTATTTTAAATAAATATCTTATCCTTACAGAAGTTTTTTCAGAAGTATTAACAGAGAAGCCTAGAGTATTTATATGGCTCACATTTTCCCATGGGGCAATTGAGCTTGTAAGACCAAAGTGCCGTGCATCTTCCTCTGTCCATCGGATATTAGAACCGATATACGCAGGTGTCATTGAACTATGACCTGGAGTTTTGCTTCCAGTATTCCATATTGATGATTCATAACCAGGAGTTGCAGATCCAGATGCTGCGGGTGTTTTTGATCCACTATAGGCTGGTGTATGTAAAGCTGTATTTGACCATATTGGTGTTTTAGAGCCTGAATTTGACCATGCAGGTGTTCTAGAGCCAGCATTGATCCACGGTGCTTTGTTTCCAGAAGATTGCGCCCATATGGGTATATTAGATTTAGATTGATCATATGTTGAATTAATGTTTCGAGAATCATGTCTATTATGCTGATACCCACTTTTGGATGTGACGAATTCAAAATACGACATCATCTTCCCAGTATATCGACTATTTATATTTTAACATAAATATTTAATATTGTACTATTACTTACTTTTTAAATGAGAGTTTACTTTTTTCTATTGTTATTGTTTTTTGGTTTGTATGTAATTCTACACGAGCAGAGGTTTCCGTAGTATCTTTTATAATGCCAAGTAATCCTTTGTATGGACCTAAACGTATATTTACCGTTTCTCCCACTGCTTTGTCTTTGCCTATGAAGCGAGGAACAGTTTGTGTAGAATTTATTGGTCGTTGTAATGCCGGATTCATTTTATTTAAATCGGGTCCGCCAAAGGTTGTCTAAATATAATTACAAAATATTTAATATAATAAGAAGAACTTACACGATTTCCTTTTACTGTAATAGTAGTAAGATTTTTTGTTTTTGTAATGAAAACACCATTATTCTCATTAACTTCTCGATCATATAAAAAAGCATATTCATGAACGATATGTATAACATTCCATTGTCTATTTTTATCGCAAAGATCTTTTACAGTATCTCCTATATGAATTTCTAGTCCATTTTTATCTGTTGCAACTGAATTTTTTGATTGATATTTCATTGATATTTGATTTGGAAGAATTGTTCTAGAAAGTCCATTCTGATCTAAAACTCGAAGTAAATTTCCATCTACTTTTGTGATACAGGCTACTGTATTAGGGTCTAATTGTACTAAATCATGAAGATTATATTCATTAGACATCACATTTGTTCCTGTTGATTGTGTTGCTTCCGAAATATCTTTTGAAAATACAGTTATCTAAGAATTAAAAATGATAAAAATAAAAAGTAAAAACTAACCTCTGTCATAGAAAAATCACTTAAAAGAACTACTTGATCATTTTTCACGCATATGATAATACCGGTATCTCCTTTATATTTTCCACTGATTACTTTTATATTATCTCCTTGCTTGAATCTTTTCTTAAGACCCTTTGAGGGAATTTCAAGTCTTTCGCCCTTTAGACCTTCATGTTGAGAATAAAGAGTTATAATTCCATTGTTTATAGCTTCTACAATTCCGTGGACGCCACTTTGCTCTCCTTCAAGAACCTCAACATGGTCTCCTGGCTGAAATGTTGGTATTACATTAGATGTTTTTATGCTTTGTGCAAGAGATGTCAAATCAAAATTATCATTATTATCAACTCCAGAATTAAATTTGGTTATTTCTTCTAATGTTGGATTAACGCCTTCTATTATTAATCCTGTTAATTTTATATCCTTCATTAAATAGCCATCTTCATATTCTTCTCCATTAAATATATAATTTCTTGCTCCGCGTTTTGTAAGACCCTTATTTCCATAGGATTTTACTGCCTCTTTTTCATTGAAAAACCGTTGTGGTAGTCTAGAATTTATTGAATATCCGTTGTGGTATCTTTTTTTACCGTCAGGACCAATAAAAGCAGAATCCTTCTCTTTAGTAGAGTAATCTAATCTTGGAACAATTTTTACTCTAGCAGACAAACCATTTTCCGAAAGATTGCAAACTTGAGCAAGATCCCCTGTGTACTTCCCACGCTTAATTCGTACATATGCACCAGGAACTAGTTCTATAATTTGTTTTTTAATTTTAAGTAAATCAGACATCTCTTTAATAGGAACAAGAATAATACGGTTTGAATAGACATTAACAATATCTTTACACGCCTGTAATAATATCAATATATTTTTATGTAAATAGCTAAACTTTACGTGAATAATATGTGTTTTCTTTTTTGCTTCTACATAAATATATCCATTAATTCCATCTCTTTGAAATACCGATATGATTTCCACAGGTGTCTCAGAATGCTGAAGATCAACTGTTTTTCGCATTAATTTATAAATAATGTCCTTTTCTCTTCCAGGTTTACATCTTACAGCCCATAAATTTGGATCATTAACTGATGGTAAAAGTAATCTTTGAGGAATAGTTTCTATGTCCCCGCGGTAAAATCTTGCTGAAGACCGCCCATATTTCTCTCGATATTCTTCAGCAAGACGTTCTGCATCTGCATCTTCAATTTTTTGAAGTTGCCTATCAAGATCTCTATGTTGTCTATCATCATTTTGCAAAATATGGTCCATATCTAAATCTTCTATCTCTTCTGCAATAAATCCTTCTTATTTCATTAATATAAATAATACATTGATGTTAAATAAATGACCTTTTCCAAATTCTTCTTCATCTTCCTCTTCTTCTTCGTCTTCTTCTACCTCTGCTTCAACATCAAGAAATTGATTACGCCTTTCTTTTCTCCGTTTTCTGGGTCTCTTTTTAACATTTAATATATTCCCTGCCTCTAAAGATATCTATACCTTTTCTGATAGATCATGACTCTCTTCTTCATCTTCATCCTCTTCATCCTCTTCATCCTCTTCGTCCTCTTCGTCCTCCTCATCCTCCTCATCTTCTTCATCCTGATCTTCCTCATCTTCTTCATTTTCTTCTTCATAATCATTTCCTTTCTTTTTTCCTTCTTCTATAGAGCTTTCTTCCCGTTTCCCCCCATTTTTCTCCGGATTTTCTTCAGGAATATCCTCTTTTTTATCAACATCTTTATTTTCTCCTTCTTCTATTTGATCTTTTTGCTCATCTTCTATTTCTTTTTCTTCCATTTTTTGCTTTTCATTTTTATCTGTTTCTTGGTCAATTCTTAGCCAAATTTCAAGAAAAAAAAACCATCTAATGCATAAATATTTGTTTCTTCTTCTTTTTCCATATATTTCTCTGTTTTATTCTGTTTTTCACAAAATATTTAATAGAAATTTATTTTTTGAATATTTAGTAGCAATCGAGGCCTTCGAAGTTATAAGATTATAGGCTATATTTGCCTTGACATATTAAAAAATGCTTCTTCATCACTATTCATTTAAAATATACGATATCTTTCATCCTTTCATCCTTTTATTTTTTCTTTATTTAAATTTTAATTCACTCTTAATACATACAGTAAAAACACTGATAGGATCTTTGTTTATACCAGTGTTTTTGCTGCAGATTCTGCGGTTTGTAGTGATTGTGAATTTAAAAAAGGCACATGTATTATATGTCTGTTTTATAGATAAATTTGTATTTTTGTCATATCTGAAGGTATGCCTTTGTAATCAAAAAATTTGTTTAATTTTTAAGAATATGACTATTGTTTGTCTATACTTTGTTTTTTCATGTATTTTAGTTCATATTTTTATTGTTTTTTATGGTGCACTAGTTATTAATTATTTATTGGAGACAATATTGTGTGCTTTACATTTAACAGTTCTTGGAATATTACCTATGATTTGTATATTTGGAGTGGATAGAAGAAAATATATGGAATTGGTTTCATTGGAATTGGATCTTGAGAATTTTGAGAATCTTAAATTGAGTGTAGGTTTTTTTGGGACATTTGTAGGGTCATGGCTAGGTGCAATACCTATTCCACTTGATTGGAATAAAGGGTGGCAAAAATGGCCTATTCCTATTGTTATCGGAGGATATTTGGGTTATTCATTAAGTATTTTCATAATATTTCTTGTTTATGTAAAAAAGAGTATCTTCTTTAAAAAAGAAGATTGAATATTTATTCTTTTTATTTAAAAAGGTAATTTTTTTTTTATATATGAATTGGAATGCTATAATTTTTTATTAATAATCGTATTAAAACACTAGAAATATTATATACATTTGTATTTATTTAAAGAGGAAGACTTTAAGTTATAATATTTTGTTTTGTCTTATGAAAAAATAGTGTAGTTTAAAGTAAGGATTGTATTATAGAAATACAAAAAATTTAATATTAAACAATTATGAATAAAACAGATTTAAAAACCAAACATGTACAATATAATCAATTGATATATCAATGATCTAAAGGTTATATTCTTTTATTTCATATTAATGATTTTACTATTTAATATTTGAAATTTTATGAACATACAAAATATTTTGTTACATTCTAACTAATACTTAAGAAAAAAATAGAAATCTATTAATTTTCTATAATTTAATAAAATGTCTTGATAATATAGAAATTATATTGTCTGTAGGAAAAACAATATATTAAAAAAATAATGATTATGACAGAGAAAATAGTTATATTGTTGAATTTTCTAATTTTTAAAACCGCTATACTCAAAAGGTTCGGGTGGATCTGCTTCTAATTCTTGTTCTTCGCCTGATATATCTAATTAAAATTAAAATTATATGTTAAATACAAAAAAAATAAACCCTCAAGAGCAGAATCAATGAAAACCTCAGGTTCATCTGGATATTTATTCATCATCATTAATATTCCACCAGTTGGCTATATTATGTTAGAAAAAATATTTATTTATAAAACAATTACTTTTTTTACTGGTATATAACGTGAATTATTTTTAAATGAAATGTATTTAAGTTGAAAGGGTGTTACTCTACTCATATTTTGCATTATTTCAAATAATGGTTCGTCTTTTTTTATTATATTTTTTTCATTAATATTATCATCTTTAATCTCTTTTATTTCTTCTGTATCCATATTTTCTGGCATGGATTCTAAAATATCATAAAAATTAGTATCCATTTCCATTGTATCGTCATCGTTTTCTTTAGAGATTTTTTCTTTCTCTGTTTTTTTAGCTCTAGCCTGAGCCTTAGCTGTTGTTGATAAAACTGCGGTAGCAACTTTTCCTGGGCCTTTATCTGTCTCTTTTTTAGTTTCAGGAGGATAAGCAAATAAACTCGGTTTTGCATTTGATATAAATTCGAATTTTGGAATCTAATAAATTAGTTTTATGTCTAATGTTATTAAAGAGTTACTTTTAAATCTTTATTTAGCCCAATTAAAGCGGTAGGAGTAAAAGAAAGAGAAAGAAAATGTGTTAAAGGAAACCAGTACCAAAATTGAGTAAAAATGGCGGTTCCCGCAATAGCTATCATATTTAAACTACCAATAGTAGACTGCAGACCTATAGTAACATTTCTTCCACCTGCATCTAATATTCCTTGTGCAAGTGCTGCTCCAAATTTGGCCATAGCATCTTCATGTTTATCAGAAATAATTTTTTCCAGCTTTTTTCTGAAATTAACAACTCTAGAATTCGATTGATCATTATGTTGTATTAATATCATAGCCGTAGATATGTGAGCACTTTGACGAACAAAATCCGATGGATCTTTTGATAAAGGTTCTAAAATATCAAGGGCATCTTGCATAGAACTCCCGGCACAGGCAATTCCAAGTGAAAGAGCTGCGCCATATCTTACATGAGGATTATAGCTTTCACTTAATAATTCAACCATTCTTGGTAAAGTAAACGAATTTCTTAATAGAATAAATCCAAGGGAAATAACTGATGCCCTTTTAACGTCGTCATTAACATCACTAACCGCAGTATGAAGTAGTCTTTTAATAGCTTTGTTATTTTCTGTCCCACAATAAGCCATTGCAATAGTATAAATACCACCATAGCGCAAAATAGGGTCTAGGTCTGAGCAAAGTTGATCAATAAGAACATCAGCTGTTTCTTCTTTGGCATACATAAGCATTGCAATCCCCAATGCAAGACCACGAATTATCTTCTTATGCTGAGTCTCATGAGCGTATTGCAACATTTCATCAATGGCTCTAGGAGATGCAGTTCCAAGCATTACAAGGCCCATTGCTAAGCCAGCAGCTTCCCCTGCTACAGCATTGTCAGTAAATAATACATTTTTAAGGTCTTCGTATATTTCTAGAACAATTGTAAGATAATTAATGATTTTAATATGATTAACCTTCATCTCCTGTGGCCATCCCAGCAACTCCTAGTCCTAAAGCTGCACCGTGCTGAATAATTTCACTTTGAGTATTCTTTAATTGAGTTCTTAGATAATGAAGTACAGATTTTCCATGATTAGCATGAATAAGACCTAAAGCAAATAATGATCCACCTTCAGAATATGGAGACCCGGACATGCCTTCCTGTGGGAGATAAGGTGATAAAAGAGAAAATCCCTGTGATAAATCGCCTCGATGAATTACACCTAACGCTGCTGTAGCACTAAATTTTGACCAATTGAGTGCTTTAGAGAGCCAATCGAGATTTTGTCTAAAAAATTTATCCGATGTTGTTCCTGCATTCATAAAGGCTACTGAAAACGTTATAGAAGAGTGAAAAATAGAATTTCTTGCATCGAGAGAATCTTTTGTCTTTACTAGTATTTGATTATCAGCATGATTATTTTGAGATAAAAATTTCATATAAAGTTTAACTGATTCTTCTCCCTCAAGAATAGATTTTATTCTTGATGCTATAGTATCTTTTAGATCTTTGTTCATGTCATTTTCATCCTCTGATTCTTTTAATAAAAGTTGAAAATTTTGAGAAACTTTTTGTAAAAACTCTTGCGTAGCGGAATCATTTAAATCAAATGCTATTTGGTATGCAATGAGTAAATTTTTCTATTAATAGTTAATTATTCTATAAATAATATAAAAAAAACAAAAAATGACCTCGTCATTTTTTAAAATAAGATTTTGTAGGATTTTTGCTGCAATATCACTATTTCTCAGGTGAACAACACATTTAATAACTGAAAAATAATCTGGTTGTTTATCTTTTAAAAATAGATCAAGTAAAAGACTTAAAACCTAATATAATATGAATTTATTTTTTTTCAAAAAAAATATATACTTTGTTTCTAAAGTCCAAATTTTGAACAAGATTTATACTAACATCTAGAAGATAATTTTTTAAAGGCTCGTCTTGGTTTTTGTTGATAACTTCTTCGATAATATCAAGTTTTCGTGCTTCTAATGCAATTCCGAGAACCTAAAAAGACAATATTAATCATAAATAAAAAAAATGCAACAAAAACTTGTTTCCATTGTTTATTGTCTAAATATCGTTGAAACATTTTTTCCGCAATAGTAATCAATCTTTCATCTATCATGGTTTTAGAATCTTCATATTTTTGGAAATTTTTCTCAATATATGTATCAATAAATTTTGCTATTGGTCCTTAATAACAGATACTCTGTTTTAAATTGTAAATATCTTACAAATAATCGTTTCAACATATTCTGATGATGATGAAAGATCAAACCATTCTTTTGCCCCTAAAGCAAATATTGCCGATTCATTATACTCCCCCAAGTGATAGTATACTTTTGAAGCAACAAGAGCTGCCAATTGGCGTTTTGGAAATTTTTCATCCTCATAAAGTGTTTCGCTAATTTTTTCATCAGTTTTTTGTTTTAAAACATTTTAAAAAGAACATTTTGGATATTTCATCTGCTATTTCATGCCAAAAGTTATCCATTAACTCATTAAGTTTCTTTAAAGCATGGATTTGGAGATCTGTTTCTTTTTCATCGAGTAATGAAAGTACTCCTCCTAAATTTCTCAATATTAGTTCTTTTTTTTCCGTTTTTTTTTTAAAAAAATGAATATACCCACAGATTGTATTCCTTCCATGAGTTATATAGCTTTTCTTTCTTGATTTATCTCCCTATTCCCCTTTTTTTTTTTATTTTTTTTGTGTGGTCTTGCGAGTGACGACGACCTCAAAAATTTGTGCCAAATTATGTTGGATAAGAAAGAGGCCCCAGTTTCCACAGAAACCTTGGATTCTTCTTCTATTTCTTCTGAAAATTTTCCTTCAGGTGTTTTTTGAGGCTTTTTTCGCTTTATAAATGAGTTAATATTGAATGATTAGTTAAATATCAAAGTTTAACAGGAATGAGTGGTGAAGATCCATCAAAAAAGCCTTGTTCAGAAACTCCTAGTTCAATTTCTTGCGAAAAATATGCTGGTGTTGTTGATATTTCATCAAATACTTTAGATAATGAGAGATCTGATTTTTTATCATGTCAAATTTCTAGTAAACAATTATTTACTCCAAAGCCTCTATCTGAGCCTAGTTTTTTGAATCTTGTGCCTCATGATGAATTGATCCGCTTTGTAAGTGATTTTTTGTTTCATAATTGTATTACGGAATCTTTAAAATATGTTGAAGTGGGAAAAGGCTATTAAATTTGATTTTTTGATATATTCTTGCTAGATTGAAGCTAAAATTGGTCATATTGTGGATGTTATTACAGGAGAGAGGCTTTGGCTTCCCGTTCTAACAGAAACAAGTATATTTTTGTGCTAGATTTGTGATAATATTAAGGATTAATATAGTTATTAATAGTAATGAATTGAAAATTAAATTTGAGTCAAATATGACAGAAGTCTGTGAAAAAAGATAAATAAAGATAGAATTGTTGATGATATTTAGTTACAACATAAATATTTTAATCGCTTTTTAAATGCATCATTTGAAAAATCTCAGATAAAGAATAAAGGGCAACCTAGAGTCCCGATGAAATATAAACATACAAAAGAGATAGATAAGTTTTACAATAATTTGTCGCTTGGCCAAGGTTTTCAGAATAGAGTTCGAATAACGACAGATAAAAAGACGGGCCAAATCATTTCACGATTGATTAAAACAAGAGTCGCAAGCCTAAATATATTTAGTCCAAGAACTCAATTTGATTGGAGGCTTAGTGTGAATATTGAAATGCCATGTTTATAATAATATATTTATTTGAATTTTTCTGAATTTTTTAGTTGAGCCACGGCCTTTAGGCGCTCTTGTTATGGAAAGAGATAAAGATCGATTAAGTTATGTGCATCAATTTTGCCAGATTGATTTATCACAAGTTATTTCTGAAGTGTGTTATTTAATATATGTATTAAGATTAATGCTTCTAGAATGGTTCTAAGACACACGAACTAGAAGTGGAATTATTAGATATTGATGAACTAAAAAAACATGGAAATGCAGCAAGTCATGGACAACCTAATAATTTCGAAAACATTGTACGTATATTTGTAGATAATGTGCGTATATTAGTTCGACAAAATATTACAAATACTCATTAATGTGGAATATAAATATTTTAAAGTGCAGTAGTTGTTTGATAGCTTTTTATAATAAGACCATTTGATATCAATTTCTTTTTAAGTATCGATTTTATGAGACACATTAATCTATGTATTGATAAATTGAATATTATAATGAAATATTTTTGATTAAAAATGAGTATCTTTAAGTTATTAATATCTATTTTTTTAGTTTTTTCTTTTCTTTAGAGTTTTTATGGCTAGGAATTTCAGAAAGTATATCCCAGCCTTTTCTTTTTAGGTATTGAATATTTTCAAGTTCTAAGGGTGTCTCTATAGGGTTCCATGATATATTTTCTGAGAAAAGTGAAGAACATATATCAACAGTACTCAGAATATCTTTAAAAGGAAATGCGGAAGAAATCGATGCATGTCCTAGAAGATCGTCCCATTGTAGAAGTTGTAATCTTGATTTTGAACTACTCGATCCTTGGATATTTCGTGAATGTAAAAGAGTAGAAAGAAGTTTATGAATTCGTGAAAGAATAATCTTGAAAATATAATCAAAGACATTTTTTGGTAAATGTTCTTCGCTGATAAGTTCTAGATGACGACTGTGTATTTTTTTTGCTGCAATTCGAAAAATACATGCTTCTAGTTCATCTGCTAATAATTCCATTGATGACTCCAAAGATTTATTTAAATCTAATTTATCATTGGAAGGTAGTGGCCATGCAATCCATCTTTTTCTTTTTAAGCATTTACCTTGATATTCATGAACATTATTACGTAATTTAAAGCTAGAATAAAGGTGTAAAGATAAATTATGTGCTTTTTCTCTTTTAAGTACCCTTAAAAGATGAAAATATTCACTTATTTCTTTAGAAAGTGATCCAATAGCCCATATATTATTTGTTTTTTCTGATTTATGAATCATTTGTTGAGAAAATCTTTGAATCATTGAATCAGATGATGATTCCAATTCTTCTTCTAAATCATCATTTATTGGTGAAATTGAAGATAAAGAATCTTCGTTAGATGATATTTCATCTTCATTCATAATATATCTTTGATTTATATATTTTATTAATAAAAGATATAAAAACTTGGTAATTTTGGTTTATTTTATAAATTAATCTGCTTAAAAACTCAATATTTTTCTGGAAATATGGTATGTTTTTAATATTATAAATTAATATTCCTTGAAATCCTATATTTACTTAAAAAAATCTTAAGTTCCTATATTTTTAAGAGATTTTATTAGTTTTATCGAGCATCAGAGATAGTAATAGTTATTTTATGAATAATTTAAAATATTTGATAAAACGATAACAGTTAAAGTTATTTTAAATAGCTTTTATATAAGTTTTAATGATTAAAATATTAAAAAATAAAATGATTTTTATTTAATGCAATTTTAAATTAATGAAATAATTAAACTATATAAAAACACCAGGTTTCAAACTAAATAATTTAAAAAGTATTTATGTAAAAACATAAATAATTGTTAAAGAAAGATACCCACTAAAATAGATAATAATTAATGCTAATGAATAATTTGATGAAAGCAAAATTGTATGAACATAATGTTAAGATATCTAGTATATGCTGAAAGCTTTTATGCAATAAACATTTTGTTAGTTTTAAGAGCAAAGGAATATAACAAGAACAGCAAAAAGCGTTCCAAAGAGTTTGAATGTAAGCACAGATCCACTATTATCAATATCATCTGGTTTTCTAGTTGGTTTGACGTCAGTAGCTGACGTCTGTGAATGAGTAGCTGAAGTAAGTGTTTCTATAGGTTCTGTTTTGCGAGTGCTAGGTAAAGGAACTGAACGACTTGGAATAAGCTGCTCTTGTCCTTCATAAGTTTTAGTTGGCACTTTGACTTCAGTTTTAGTAGGTGTCTCGTCACATAAAGTATCCGAAGTTGATGTTGATGCATCTGTTAATTGAGGAACCGGTTTAGTCGTTTGTGACGGTTGAACTACTTTCGCGGGAACGCATTCTCTATGATACTCAACCCTTCCAGATACAGAAACTGAAAATCCAGATGAGAAATATACGAAAAGATTGTCGCATTCATCATAAGCAAGTACTTTAAGGAAAAAACTGTCACATTTTCTGGAAATATGAGCAATTCTGACTTTAGAATTCAATGATGCAGAAAACGAAAGCCCTTGTTTTATTGTATAAAGATCATCTAGACCTCCTTTATAAAAGCATACAAGGACAAGATCAAGATGTGAATAAGGAATACGATGAACTTCTAAATCTACGAGTTCCTTTAAACTAAATTCCGAAACTTGTTGTGAAGCAACATTTAAGGCAGCAGAAACTAAGCTTGCTAGGGCTAAAACACCTGATAAAATGAAATTGAAGCGCATTGTATTCGTAAAATGTGAAGTTTATCTTATTTTTCTCAAACTTTATTTGTTTAATTTTTGGAATTGTTAGTCCGATTATCTTAGGGGATGTTTAATTTATATATTTTTTTTTATATGGTGATATTAATTATACATAAAATTTTATTTTTATTGAAAAAAGAATCAATTGACCATTTTAAAAGATTCTTTTAGCCTTAAATACATATAATTTTTATGAAAATATTGAAGTATATGCGTCCTAATATTTTATAACTATATCGTTGATAGTTATATAACAATTTTTTTTTTTAATTTTTATACATTTCTACTTTTAAATGAAATATGCGCTTTTTTAAATAAAAATTCTCTTATAATACTGTTATTAATTTATGTTTTTATGTATATTTTTTTAATATTATTGCTATATATTATTCTATTATTAAAACTTGTTTAACCGTTTTTAGTTCAGTGTTGATTTATTATTATTATTAATCATACATATCATTTCTCAATAAAATTTTCATCGATTACTTGGATAAACAATTAATTGACATAATTCATCTTAATATTAATTGTATTATACATTTCTGAAATGAACTTATTTTATTTTATAGCTTTGTTTTATATTAAATCTAACATATATAATATATTTTTGAATTATTTACGATATATATGGAGAATTCAATCAATTAAAATAATAAACAAGATATTAGCTTATACACTCATATTTTGTTTCTTTAGTTCTTTTTTAGCTAATAATTTTAAATTTATTTTGTTTTTATCAGTTTTTAATATTTTTTTTCAAATAAACTTTATATAAAATAAAAACATGAATTATATCAAATACTTCAAATAATAGTATATTTTATTTTTTTAAGAAAATCCTTATAATTACATTATTTATGATATATTTTTATTCATTTAATTCTAATATTTCAAAGATTTTTGCCAAAGATATATTTTGTTATATTTTTTGTATTTTTTATATTTTTATTTTATGCAATATTTATAATTTTTTTGATTTGATTTTAAAAATTTAAGTTATAAACTTAAGGTTAAAAATATGCTTTCGCCTTTAATTTTTGTGTACTTTTTTATATTTATTGTCTCTGTATCTGCTAAATCTCATTGTGTTGATCATCTAGCAGATTCACAATATTTATCAGGTATAGGAAGTTTTAAGTTATAAAATATAATATTGATGAAAATAGATATATCAAAGGAGTGCTATAGATCAGTTATTAAGACTTCATCTTGTCGTGGGATTTATGATATAAAATGTATATGTTCTTCAGAAAACTATAAATTGGATATTTTTTCATGTATTCTTGAAAAAAATAGAATAGATGGTTATAACATGGCCGTATTTTTTCAAGAAACGTGTAAAGATCTTAAGAATATTTCGAAAGATTGTCTTGAAAAAAAAAAAAAGCCTGTTCCTGAGAAAACATTATCAGTTGCTGAGCAAAACGTAGTTTTTGATCCTTTTCTAAGTATAGATGATTTTATGGCTCAAGTAAGACAAGAAATGGAAAAAGATATGGCACAAAAATGTATTGAACAAGGGAATTGCAAAGGTCGTTTTGATTCTACATGTTCTATTCTCTATATGTTTAGTACTCCGCAAGGATCTGCGACAAAAACCGCTTCAGTAAAGGCATCGCAAACTGATGGATCAGTTTTACTTAATTTTGCTTCAACCGATTTAGGTTTATTTAGTAGTTTTTCAAATTTAATCAAATTATTTATTGCTGTGATTTCATTAATGTTTCTTTCTATAGTTTTTTAACATTAATGAATATTTAGTTTTATGCTATGTAAAATATAATATATTTTTTTATTCTTTTATTTTCATATTAACATTATAAATTAATAATTACAACTCTTAAAGGTCACATAGATAAGACGTCGATATTTAAATTTGCAAGACTTGTATTATAAATTATATTATAGAATTACATTTTAATTCTCTTAAAAAACTTCAAAACTTACTTTTCTATATTTTGTATATAGGATAGAATAAAAATATTTAAAAGGTTTTAATGTATATTTCTGAGAAAGTTATATTTCTAGAGGAAGATATATTTATTATGATTATTTGATTTTTTTGATAAGATAAATTTTATCAGATTTTTTAAATATCGATTAAAAAATAGAAATTTTTGGGAAAAAAAAAGGTAAAAAATTTTTATAAATATAGAGTATTTTGTCTTATTTAACAAATGAGTTCTTTTTTGTTTCTTATTTTTATTTTTGTTTTATCAGTTTTATCTAAAAATATTGGTATTTTAAGGGTTTTAAAAAGCTAATTTTAATATTATTTTAGATTTTGTTAAAGACTTAAATAAATTAGAATTAGATACTCGTTCAGACTCATACAGGGCTTTTTGGATTGATTTTAATTTTGAATATGATGAAAATATTATTTTATATTTAATTTTAAAGAAAAATGTTTTTGATAAAAATTTATGTAAAAAAACCTTGGAAAACCGATGTTCAGAATTATTGGAAGTTATTCCGGAGCTAAAGAATGTATGCGATGGGGAATTATCTAAAAAATGTGAAGAACTTCAAAGTTTAAAACCGATTATGAATAATTGTACAGAATTTGAAATACAACTTACTAAAATATCTTTTCTGGAAAAAAATTATTGTAATATTTATATAGAGAGATGCATACTTTTTGAAAATGTATGTCCGAATAAGATCAGCGACAAGTGTAATGAATTGAGAGAGATTTGTTATAAAAAACAGCATGAAGAAATTGCTGATATAGCACTTTTAAGAGTATTTCCGAATTTTAGTATTGAATTATGTGAATCATCAATTCAAGAGTATTGTTTAAAATTAAGTCAAGAAAGTGATCAATTGGTATTAAGATGTTTAAAATGGAAATCAACATGCCAGCAACTTATGAAAGTTTCTCAAGATATTAATATTTATCTTAAGAAAGAAATAAAATCTATTATTAAAAATGTTTCAGAAAGAATGTATGAAAAGGACGTTGAGGATATAGATAAGTTAAAAAAAGACTGTCATCAATTTCTTCGTGATTGTAATCTATATGTTTCTGATTTTATAAATTATCCGCAAAACATAGATAAAAATAATGAATTGTCTCTTCTGTGTTTTCAACTTCGGAAAATATGTGAGAATTCGGGTATTATTGTTATCTTTTATAATCTTTTCAATCCAATCGAGTCGGATGTTTCTCTTTCTACTAAGATAGATCTTAATGGACTTCATAAGAAGGCAGCAGAATCTGGTATAATTGTTAATAAGAGGATGGGTGATCTTCGGGATTACCATCTTTTAGCATTATTGATTCATAGCAATATTGATATAGAAAATAAATGTAAGAAAATAGTAAAGAATAATTGCTCGTCTATTGAATATTTTCACAAGGATTTGGAGAAGATGTGTCTATATTATAAGGATAATAATAATGATATGCTAAACTGTCTCGTATTAAAAAGTAAATTGAGGAATCTTTGTAAAGATCTTAGTACAAAACTTAAAAAAATATTTCATTCTAATAATAAAGACAAAGGGGAGTTTGCTATTCGGGATAATTATTTTTTGGTTAATGATGAGGATTGTAAGTCATTGTTATCATTATGTTTTTATATAGGAGAATGCTGTGAAGATCAATATCTTGATAAGTTAATGTGCCGTAATTTAACAAGTATATGTTATCATAAAGCACGTTTGAGATCTTCTTATAACTTTATGAGAAATGTTTTGCGTGGAAATATCTATGAATCATCTGATACAATGGAAAAGTCTAATTGTATAAATAAATTGATTAATATTTGTCGAAACTCTTTGCATCAGTATAGAGGAGAATTGCTCGAATTGTGTTTATCGCCTAAGAAAACATGTTCTGAATTAATTAAAGATACTCGAAGAAAGTGTTCATTGCTTAAAAAGGAATTAGATATTAATAGTATTCAATTTTCTCTTGAAAGATGTGATGTTTTGGAATCTTCATGCGAAGAATTATCTGAAGACTGTATTACGGACATAGGTTTATCATGTTATGTATTTCAAAAATATTGCGAGGAATTAAGAACAAGAATTGAATTAAAAAATAAATTATTACAAGAAAAAAATAATTCATTATCAAAACAGTTATTTTGTGTAGAACGTTTGAATAATTTTTGTACTGATATGATTAAAGAAGCTAATGCTACATTTATGGGTTTATGCATACAGCTGGAGAATACTTGTAAAGCTATTGCTTTCTCAATAATGCGCCATTGTACACAATTTCAAAAGAATTTTGAAAAATACGGTATTCTTTTTAAAATTCAAAACAAAACTATTACATTTTATGATTGTAAACTATGGAAACCGTATTGTGATATGCTTAAGAATAATTGTCAAGGAAGTAGTTTTCTGCAATCATGTAGCTTACTTAATGAAGTATGTGAAGATTATTATAGGACAGAATTTATTGAATTATCCTTGATGTTTGAATTAAATGGTTATTTGAAAGAACAGGAAATATGTATGAGTGATTTGAGTAAGCGTTGCAATATGTGGAATCAGGCAAATAATAAAACATTTCAGTCTCTGTGCAATACTTTAAAAAATGATCAAGGGCTGGGACTTTGTAAGAAGTTACAAGTCCATTTGCAAAAACAATGTATTTTTTTGGATTTTAACTTGAGAAATTTTTACGTCTCATTACTAGCTAAGGAAAAATTATATAAAGAAAAAAAAAAGAAGGCAACTAATTCTACAAAGGAAGTTGTTGGATTAAGTAATAGTTCTCTCATTAGGAATTTTACAGAACAAAATAATTATGGGATTTGGCTTAATAAACTTTATGTTATTGCATTTCAAGATGTTGCAGATTTGCTTGACACAGAAATTCAAGTAATAAAAGATTGTAATAGAATCTCTTCTGAAACTATATTTAAAGATGATTGTGTTGATATTCAGGATTTATATAAAAAAATTCTGGAATTTTGCGATTCATTCAGATCATATATATCTAATCAATCTTGGTTATTCACATTACCTGTTTTTTCAACATTTACCTCGACTTCTATTGAAACATCTATGCTCACTAACACAGATTATTCAATCAAAGAAACTATAACTGAAACTCTAACTTCTACAGAATCTTCTTTTACTGTAACTCATACTGAAATCCTCCCTTCTACTGTGACTCATACTGAAATCCTCCCTTCTACTGTAACTCATACTGAAATCATTCCTTCTACTGTTGCTTATACTGAATCTCTTTCTTCTACAATAACTTATACTCAATTTATCAAGGGATGGTCAACTCTTACTGAAAAATTAACTGAAACTGTTACTGTAACAATTACATTAGCTTCTCTGACTACTTTTATTCATAAAACTTATTTTCCTATAGAATCTCGGAAGAATTTTGAAGCCTCATACTATAATTTTTCATATTTATTTATATTATTTTCTTTTTTTATTATAATTATTCTATGTATATTTAATTTTTTTCTATTTTTACATAAATATTTTTTCGTTAAATAGGATTTTTTTGATAATTTTTATAATGTGGGATATTCTTAAACAATTAATTTATTAACCCTCTTATATCTCAAGATTCATTTATTATTTTTCTATATATTTTTTTCTTGATTAGGGTTTAGCCCTTATCGGCCTTCAGCATAATGGTTTTTTGAGGTTTTGCTTATCGTAAAAGATAAGCACTTGAAAAAATTATTATTGAAATCTATCGAGATAGGTTGCTTTTTTATACCAAGTATGTCGCTGCGAAAGCACGACTTGCAGCGAAGACAAAGTGAATATTCACTTCGAGCAAGTTATTTAAAGCCAGTTTTTTGTGTTGTTTGTTACCGACCGATTGATGCACTTTCGTCACCTTATGATCCAGGATGTGGACATATTGGACATGAAGATTGTTTTAGACAGGTTATTTTATATTGTATTTTTATAAAAGAAGTTTATTTTTGTAGAAAGTTAATTGTCCTAAGTGTTTAGGTCCAGTAAATATGATTACGGGCCTTCAAGTTAAAAAATCAGAAAATAAGCTTCAAAGACTATTTAGTAATGCAAAACAAAAGAGTATATTTTTTAGGAATTCTACTATACCTTTAGAACAGAATCATATGTACAAATCAACTCAAAATGAGTGTTTATCAAGGAAAATTTCTGAAATTCCATCTCATCCAGCAATTTTTGGTATTGATTTTGAAATTTATACAGATTATGATGTTGTTCAAAAAAGCGAAGGAGAGGTAATAATGTATATTAATGTATTATCACAATATCAGGATACTATCGATTTACCTTGTATATATTCACTCGATGTTGCGGTTTGTTTAGATATGTCGGAATCAATGGCCCATGGAAATAAATTTAATATTCTAAAGGAAATTATATTTACACTTCTTTATGATCTCCAATCTACTGATAGAATGTGTATATTAACAACTCTTTCTGATGATAAAAATAAAATTTTTGCTCTTCATACATGTGATAATCTTCATAAAGCAGCCGTTCAAGCTAATTTGGGTGAAAGACTAAAAGATATGAAAGGGATTCACAGTTGTTATTCTGATGATGGAATCAGTAAAGCTCTTGATATCTTAATAAAAAATAAAAGAAATGGAAGATTAGGGCATATTATTGTTATATCTGATGGATGTGAAGTATCTGTATCAAATGATAAAGTGAATCATATTTCTTCTCAGGCTAAACGGCATAATATTGCGATACATTCATTTGGAATAGGTCCATGTCCAGATCCAACTTATCTGCGTCACTTAACTAGTTTAGGAGCAGAAGGTGGATGTTATATTCGTGTTAATGAAATTAGAAAAGTTAAAAACTTTTTAAAGCTATGTGCTGCTGGATCTTGTATGGCTAGCTTGTCTAATGTTAAAATTAATGTTACTGGTTTAGAAGGAGTAGGTATTTGTGATATAAGAGGCGACAAAAATGTGTATTATGATGCTGATAGTGTTTATAAACACGATAATAAACTTGAATTAATAATTGGTAAGCTGACTATGCATTATTCGCGCTTATTCACACAACAAAAGGAAATTTAACACCATTGGAAGAACGTTGTTTTTTTATTACACTAAGTATACCATCGGTTTCAAATTTTTCTGATGTTGATCCATTTGTTGTTTCAACAGAAGCACTTGCTTCAGAACTTGAAAGTATAGTAAAGACATTTCCTGCCAATATTGCATCCTGTAAAATATCCTACAATCATCCATGTTTCTCAACTTCTACTATATTGCGTTTAAACACAAAATATGCAACAATTAAACGTTCAGATAATTTGGAAGAGTCTCAAGAAACATCCCAAAAAAATCGTAATCGTACTGTTCTTTTAGCTCTTTTACGTCAATATGCACTACAAGGAATTATTCATGCTCATGAAATGGTCAATCGAGGACGTGTTAAAGCTGCTAGTAGTTTAATTAATGTTGCTCTCGGTAAAATAGAAGATGCTGTAATTGATGAAGTATGGAGACCTGATGAAATTAATGAACTTAAAGATGAACTTCGTTTTCAACGATCAAGAATACATTCTAGAACTGTTTCTACAACCCCTAGACGAACATATACTTGTATGACGCCTTCAAAACATGAAAGATCTACAAAAATTCAACCATTAAGAACTCCTCCTAAAGTTTCTCCAACATCTGTTTCAAAGGAACTTTGGAAATGTCCAACTAAGTAATATTTCTTTTTTTTTTCTTTTTTTATTTATTTTTTTAGAATTCAAGATACTTTTTTGGATACTCGTCCTACTCCTCATAAATCTATCCTCAAGGATCATTCAACAAACACTGTCTCTACTCTAGAAACACCCAAATCTCAACGTAGTCTTTCTCTCGCAAGGACTCGTTCTCATATTACAAAAACTACCACAACAATAGAATATTCTGCAAATCTTTCCCATCTAAAAGAAGGACAACGTTCAAGAAGACGTAGCTTAGATCCCCTTGTACTTAGAGAATCTAGTAGTTACAGTTCAATCATTCTTCCACAAACAAATAGCCAAATTCATCACAGAAAAGAAAGCTGGCAAGCTGATGACGAAGCAAAGCGTATATGGAGAGAACTTAAGAGGGAGATGAGGGCTTCTTGATATTTTCTCCCAAAAATATCTCAATTCTTTATTTTCATTATTTATCTTTTTTTTTTCCCAAAAAATACCTTATTTTTAAGCTTTTTCAAATCTGAAAAAAACTATTTACAACTATAACACTTTGTCTATTCATAATTTTCCATATTCTATCTATTTTCCCCTCTATCTATACACCTTTTTCAACTGTTTTTTTTATAAAAAATTCGGACGTCGCCTTAAAATTTTACGGTTATCGACTTAACGGCTGTATTTTCAATAAAAAGTGCAGAGTTAAAGGCTCTGAAAAAGCAATGCAGCAGGCAGTTAAGGTAACGTTTAAACGCCCAGTCAAGCCGGATGAGGAGGCCTTTAAGAAGTCTCTTTCTCAGATTGATCAGGAACTGAAGCAGATGACAGAAAAAATTGTAAGTAAAAAATGAAAAAAAAAACGAATCTAAAGGGATAAAAGGAGAATATTCGGGTAAAAGAAGTTAGATTTAGAGATATAGGAGGTGTTAAAGTGCGATCAAAAGATATCCGGCATCAGTTGGATGAAATTCGGGAGAAACAGGCAAGATTGAAGTTGTCGAAGCAAAAAACGGTAGATCAAGTGAAACAGATGGAAGAAGCTATGAAAAACAAGGTTAGTTTATAAATATGGATTGTTTTAGTGATTGGGTGTTTTTTTTTGGTTTTAAAATAAGAATTAATGGAGGAAAAACATAGATTAATGAAGTTCAAGCGATGAAGAAGAAATTGCCATTTAAATCAGTAGATGAATTGGATCGGCATATTTCGTAAGAATATTATGAATAATTGGAATGAAGACGAATTGAATAAAATGATAGGGAACTTGAAAAAGCGGTGGATTTAGGGATGTTGAAATTGGTAGACGAAAAAAAGTATTTGTCGGAGATTTCGATGCTAAAGCGATTACGTAAGTCATTTATGGACCTTGTGTTTCAGCAGTTATCTATTGATTCGGACAAGAAACGGATTGTGGAGATTAAAAGTACATTGGAAGATCCGGTTTCAAAAGCGTTATCTGAACAATATGATAAATTAAAAGCAGAGCAGAATAGTTTACGTCAGGAACAAGATAATGTGTATAAATCTCAGAAGAGTTTGTATGAGGAGAAGAATTTGTTAAGTCAAAGGAAGAATGAAATTTATGAGAGGAGAAAAAAGCTTCAAGATGAATATTATTCAAGTTTGCGTAAGTATCAAGAATATGAAAGGGAAGAGAAGCAGAAGGCTTGGGAAAAACGAAAGTTGCAGCAAGATGAGTATAATCGAGAAAAACGAAAACAAATTGCGGATCGAATATTGGAAGAAGCGAGTATGCCAGCATTTCTTGAAGAAATTTATACATGTGAAAATGTAGGATGTTATGTGAAATATATATAGACTTTAATTAGATATATAGCTAGTTCGTTTTTTAGATCCATCGGCAGCTATTTCAGAAACACATTCTTTGGAAAATTCTAATTTGCCGCAATTAAACATTCGTACTGTATTAGAGACGGATGAAAATTTTGGGACTGTTTTGAAATCTAAGGCTGAACGTGAGGATTATTTTATTTGTTGTAACGAGAAGAAGAGCAAAACTAATAAACGTAATAAAAGACCTTCATCAGCTTATGTAAATGGAACTGGGAATTTTAATATTGATATGAATATTTTACAGCAATTTTCTTTTGTTAATGTTACTCCTCCATTTAATCACAGTGAAATTCCATCTTGTATTGAGAATTTAAAACAAAGAATGGTATGGTATAAAGAAAATCAGGAAAAGACTGTAGCAGAACGTATTGAGAAAGCCAAAAAAGAAATTGAAGAGTTAGAAGCAAAAGCTTTACAGCAGAATCAAGAGAAAAAGCATGTTCAGAAAAAAACAAATGATATATCAAAAAAAGAAACAGCTGATTCTTAATATATTTTGATATTATAAAAGAAGTTTATATGGAATTTTACGAAATAATACTGATAGTAAAAGCTATATTTTTGTTTTGATAATATTATATTATTTTCATATTAAAGTTTTTGATATTTTTGTCTTATCATTAAATTTGTTCTTAATAAAATATTTCTTTCTGAACAATTTATTATCTTTTATTTGTGATTGTATTTAATTGCGAAAATAGTATTTATGCTTTTTGTATTAAATTTTTTCATAATTAAAATTTATTATACATATCTTTTTATAATTTTTTGTATTTATTTTTTAGAAACTTTCAAAAAATAACTATGAATAAATTAAAATGACGTTATTCATTAGATTTTTTTGAAATTTGCAATTTTTTCTTAGGATATTTTCCATTGATATCATTTTTTAGTATAATATTAAAGAAATTAGAAATGTTTGTTTAAAATCGTTTTAATTATGAATCAATTTTTTAATAAATTAATGTTATATATAGTTAAAGGTTTATATTATATGTATATTTTGTTTATTTTTTCAAATTTTAATATATATAATATTAATAATGAGCATTACTTAAGAGTTTAATGTAATAACAAACCTATTAAATGTACATATATATTCTAATAATTACCAACCAAATGTCACATCATCGTCATGTGCTGCTTGTAAAGCCTTAACATTGCTAATCTTTTGAAATCCATGAGTATCATCCCGTTTAAGAACAAGTAATTTAGAAGCATGTAAAATATATGCTTGTAGATAATTCTTTGTAATGCTAAATTTATAATGTAGAATAGAAAAAGCATACCTGATCTAGTAATGAGATACATATACATTCAACATCTAGTAAATCATATGTATCATCATTTTTAGCCCATTTAGCTGCTATTAATAGATCTTCAAGTTTAACCCGCGGTGGTTTTTGTAAAGGATCTCGAGTAATTAAGAACCTTTTTGTGTTAAAATAGATAAATAAATAAAAAATATATTATATACGATCTACGAAACAAACTTCTCCATAAAAGAATTTCACAATGATCACGAATTGTTAAAAATATTTGTTTTTTCAGTAACCAAGAACGTATAGCATCATGATTAATATGATCTGAAAATCCTTTATGATCTCCTTTAATTAAACAAAATATCACAGGTGAAAAATACTGAGAAAGATGATATTTTGAAAGAAGTTCTGCTGAAGGAAAGATTCCTAATATAATAGATGCAGTTGTAAGGTATATTAAAATCAGACTTCAATTTTTTAGATTATTTACTATCAAATTATTATGCTAACCGCTTGTTTTTATAGTTTGCTGTAAGACAATTATCAAATGCAAATAAAAGATGTCCTCTAGCTCTTGTAATTTGTTGCTGATACAAATTATATCTACCAAGATAATAACTGAATCCTATTCTTTCGGATATAGGATATAAACTAAATTCAATTCCTGATGATGTAATATTAGAACTAATTGTTTGACAAAGACGTATTTGATTAAGCTATATATATGTTAATATATTTTCTATTTATAAACATAATATACCTTAAAATATAAGCGCAGAAGAAGATTTGCAATATATAATGAGCACACTTTTTTAGAATCCGGGAGCGGATGTCTATTTTGATTAACGCATATTTTATAAAATCAAAAAATAATACCGATCACTCAATATAATATTAAACAATCTAAAAATTGCTCTAGATGTTTCACTTGTTGCAGTTTGATGAGGATCATGTGTCAGATTGTCCAATTGAATTGACACCTTAGTAAGAATTAATGACATATATTTTACAAGGGGTGTAAGCCATGTAGTATTAGAATGAGAAAATGTAGTTATAAGTTGTCTACATTATAAACATTATGAAAATATAATCTAGAAAAACTTACAAAAAGACTTGATAATATAGCTTATAAAATATTTCAATATCTGAGAAAACTACATTTTTAAGAAATTCCAAATATGCCATTACAAATTCCGAAAAAATTTTCCACGAACCAAATCTCCATTCACATTCTCTTGATATATCTGTTATTTCCAACTGTCATATATTATAAAAATATTTCCAACTTATTCCAAAAAATAAACCTGACATAATTCCTTTTTTAAAAGATCAACGCTTCCATTTGACCCATCAAAAACGAAAATATCTAACAGATCAACACTGTTACTTTTTTCATACACTCTTGAAAGTCTATTAAAAAACTCTTGGATATTCATTTTTTTCAAAAATATTCAATTTGAAAATTTCTTTCTATTTTACCCAAAAATTATCATTTTCACTCCGGATTTTTTTTAATATCATATTATTGTTAAGTTTAAATCATTTTTTATAAAAATATATTCCTTAAATCTCTTATTTAATACTCAATTATTTTTTTTTTTTTTTTATAAAAAATGGTCGTTGATGAAAACGATAAACTTTAAGGCATCGTCAAAAAAAAAAATACATATAAAGACTATTTATATTATCATTGTCTGCTCAAGGATTTGAATGATAGTTATTTTGTATATTATTTTGTATTTAATTGGTCTTATTAATGCCGTTTATCTTCCTGGAGTTGCACCAAAAGGCTATTATAAAGAGGAAAAAGTCCCATTAACAGTGAATTCATTAAGTCCTATGGCGGGTCCCATGCCTGGTTCTGTTCTTCAATATTATAGGAATGTCTATATGTATGATTGTTCGTAAAATTAGTGAGTTATTATGGTAAGTTTTTTGATATAATATATAGATTACGATGAGCGGTTTCATTTTTGTAATAAAAAGGGTGCAAAAGCATTGAAGGAAAGTCTTGGAAGTATTATTTTTGGAGACAGAATTTTTACATCGGATTTTGAGATTTTTATGGCTAAAAATGAGACATGTAAAGTTTTATGTTCAACGACGATTCCTTTATCAGACATAGGATTTGTAATAGAAAGAGTTAGAGAAAATTATGGAATTAATTGGTTTATTGATGGATTACCAGCAGTAGGGGAGGATCCTTTATATGCAGATGGAAAAATTTATAGTTTGGGGTTTCCTTTAGGAAATATTGAAGAATTAAAAAATACGGTTGAAATTAACAATCATTATCATATTATAATAGAATATCATAAATTTAAGAATGAAGTTTATCGTGTTGTTGGAGTTACGGTGATTCCGTTGTCGAAAATGAGCACAATTGGTTTTGATGAGAATGCAGATTGCTCAAGTAAAGAACCTTATATTCTTGATGAAACTAAGAATAATTCGATTATTTATACTTATGATATTTTTTGGAGAGAATCAGATGTAACTTGGGCAACACGATGGGATAAATATCTTCATGTATATAGTCCACGTATTCATTGGCTTAATCTTTTTAGTTCATCTGTTATTGTTTTTTTTCTTATTGGAATGGTAATGACAGTTTTGACGAGAACTCTTCATAAAGATATTATGCGATATAACAGTGATTTTTTTGATCAAGAAGACTTTCAGGAAGATAGTGGATGGAAATTGGTATATGGAGATGTTTTTAGAATTCCTAAACATTCAATGTTATTAAGTATTATATTGGGAAATGGTGTACAATTGTTTTTGATGACTATTGTAACCATTTTTTTTGCTATGTTTGGGTTCCTTTCTCCCTCTAATAGAGGATCATTGGGTACATTTATGATTGTTTTATACTTTTTTTTTGCTTTTTTTTCAGGTTATGTTTCTTCGCGTATGTATAAGAGCTTGGGTGGTGAGTTTTGGTATGTTTTTTATATAATTTTTTTTCATAATTTATATTAATAGGCTAAAAAATGCAATATTTGCTCCTATTTTTATTCCTGGAATTGTTTTTTTTATATTTTTTCTGCTCAATCTTGTTTTAATATCTGCTCATTCATCAGGTGTTGTTCCATTGAAAACTATGTTTGTTATTGTTACTTTATGGTTTCTTGTTTCTATGCCATTAAGCATAGCCGGTTCTTTTTTTGGATTTCGTACTAAAGTATAAAATAGTAATAATAAACACATCAATATTTACATTTTAGTCATTTAGTCATCCTGTAAAAACGAATCAGATTCCAAGACAAATTCCAAGTCAAGCTTCATACATGAAATTTTTGCCTTCATTTTTTATTGGAGGAATATTACCATTTGGTGCGATTTTTGGTAAATTTATAAAATTAGTTTTTTCTACTATTTACTTCATTTTAGTTGAACTTTATTTTGTTTTAAATAGTATCTGGTTTAGTAATATATATTATATATTTGGTTTTCTTTTTATTTGTTATATTATTATGGTATATTTATTCTAAATTACATATCAATCACAAAAGCAAACTAATAAATAAAGGTTTTGACTTGTTCAACGGTAACTATATTAATGATATATATGCAATTATGTTCCGAAGATTATCATTGGTATCTATTTTAATTATTATTTAATTATATATTATTAATTCTTTTAAAAGGTGGTGGAGATCTTTTTTCATTGGAGGCTCTCCCTCATTTTATGTTTTTATTAATTTTTTATTATTCTGGTTTTCTAGAATAAGATTAAGTTCTTTCGCTTCTCATATTTTGTATCTTGGATACAGCTTTCTTTTGACATTCTTATTTTTTATTTTAACTGGTATCTTCTACATATAAAAAACATCCTTATTAATTATTTTAAGGCACAATAGGTTTTTTCTCTTCTTACTTTTTTGTACGTAAGATATATAACTCTATTAAAATTGATGTAAGTTTTTTTTTAAAAAAAATAAAACACTAAATCTCTAACCTTATTTTTTACAGTAACAATAACTTATTATTGATAAAATATCATTTTATTTTGGCATTATTTTTCTGGGATCTAAACTTTAATAATATTCTATTTATTATATAAAGTATTAGAGTTTTATTAGTTTATTATATTTTGAGACTAATTCCATTGTAATTTTTCTTAATATACATGTCTTAATCTTTTTATCTTTTAATATATTGTTTTTGATTTTATACGTTCTGACCGTGAAAAGTCAGTAGAAGCATAAGAAATGGTGAATTATGCCAGTGAAACAATCTTGAAGCGCCAATTAAAGGTTTTAGTAGTATTTTACATATATTTTAATATTAAATATTGAAAAAGGAGATTCAAAAACATCCTATTCAAGGTTTTTCAGCAGGGTTAGTTGATGATAATAATGTCTATGAGTGGGAAGGTATTTTTTGTTTTTTTTTCTAAAAAAAGATTGTAAAATAATAATTTTAGTGCTTATTATTGGGTTTGTAGTCCTTAATTTTATGTTTGTTTTAGATATTGAGAAAAATAGACCAGAAGATACATTATATGAGGGTAGATAAAAATAAAGTTTTTTTTGAAAGAAAAAAGGACTAATATTAAAGGGGGGTTCTTTAAATGTCATCTTTCGTTTCCTCGTGTATGATATATATTGAATTTATATATATATTATGCTAATTTTTTAAAAAAGGAATATCCTCATCTTCCACCAAAAATGAGAGTAAGTTTTCTTTTTTATACAGAAAAATGCAAAAATATATTTCCCTTTATTTTAAATTTCATAGGGGAATTCAAAAGCTAACTTTTTTGAATTAGTTTATTACTGAACTATATCATCCTAATGTCTATGAAGATGGTCATGTTTGTATATCGATTCTTCATCCTCCTGGAGAAGATAAATTCGGATACGAAGATGCTTCAGAACGATGGAGAGCTGTTCATACACCCGAAACCATTCTTCTTTCTGTTATTTCTATGCGTACGTATTTTTATATACAATTATAATTATCTATAAATTATATTATAAAAACTAATATATATTAGTTTCTAGTCCGAATTTCGATAGTCCAGCTAATGTTGAAGCTGCAAAACATTGGAGAGATGATCGTATGTATTTTTTTTCTTTAATATTTTTCTTATTTTCTTTATAGCTCGAGGTTTTGAAAAAAAAGTTAGAAAATTGGTACGACAAAGTGCAGAAAACTTTGAATAATAAATCATATTGAATTTCTTTGCATTTGAGGGACGGACAACATGTTTTTTGTATTTTTTCTTTTTATTTTAAATTAGGGTTATGATTTATCGCTCGATTAAATGATATTCATTTGACATATTATTGGGTTATAAAAAATACATATTTTCCCTTCTGTTCCTCTTTTTTTGTATTTTTATTGATTAAATTTGTATGAAATCCTAAATCGTCAAAGGATTTATCCTTTGTGAATGACAAAATATCATGAAGTTCTTGATATTTTGTGGAATATATATTTGCCTTGTGCTTATTCGTCTTGGATTTTCTATTTCAGAGAGTTATATTCATCCTGATGAGCATCTTCAAGGGATTCAAGTAGTTGCTGGTTTTTGAAAAAAATAAAAAAAAAACAGAAAAAGGCTTATAAACCGTAGGAAATATCTTAAATATTAAGGTAGAATATCCTTGGGAGTTTAAAGGACAATTTCCAATTAGATCAATTGGTCCTTTATTGATTATTTATGGGCTACCATTAAAAATATCTCAATGGATTTCTGGAGGTATTTTTTATTGAAAAAAAAAGTTAAAATTAAAGTTTAAATGAATAAGATACTCCAGTAAACCCTTTGTTTATTTTTTTTCTTTTGAGAGTATTTTTCTTTGGACTTTCATTTTTTATTGGTAGGAAATTCTTTAAATGGAGAGAACTATTTTATAATGATGAAGATTGGTTTATTTATACAAGTACGCCATTAAAATATCGAAGAAAAGCACTTTTGATTTATGCGTCATCGTTTGTTACATGGACATATCAAACACATACATTTTCTAATTCTATTGAAACAATTATGGTATCTATTTGTTTGTTTTTAATACAAAAAATTAAAATGGTAAATTATTATGTATATTTTTGAAATTATTATAGATAGGTATTAGAATATTCGTCCATGGAAATGTGTTTTATTGGCTATTTTTTCAAGTTTTGGTTTTTTTTCACGTATTACTTTTCCAATTGTGCTTCTACCATTTGTTGCTTCTTTTTCGAAATCCCTAATTAAAAGGTATATGATTCTTTTTCTTTTTGTGTATTTTCATAATTTTAGACCAAAAATAATATTCTCAATTATTAAATCTTTTATGTTAATGTTTTTTATTTTTATTCTAATAGATTCTTTTTACTATGCAAATGGTTATCGAGTTATAATAACACCGTTAAACAATTTTAAGTATAATAGCAAATATATTAATTTACAGAAACATGGTATTCATTCATATTGGACTCATTTTTTGATAAATGTTCCTATACTTTTAGGACCAGCTATAATTTTGCCGATTATTGTCAAAAATATTAAGTTTAATCTATATTTGATAAGCAGTGTTTTATATATTTTGATTTTATCTTTATTTCCGCATCAGGAGCTTAGATTTTTATTACCAGTTTTTCCTCTGTTAATTATTTATTTATCTTCATTGGGAAACATAAGGAAAAAGAAAATAAGATATCTGTTTATATTCTCCTGGATCATATATAATATTTTTTTTGGAATTTTTCTTGGTTTTTTTCATCAGCATGATGTTATATCTATTATATTTTTTTTGAAAAAATATTTAGTAAATGATTCATCAGCAAATGTAGTTTTTTGGAAGACATACCCTCCACCAACATGGTTATTTTTAGATCCTCCTGATTCAAAAATAATTTTTAGTCATTTGATAGGATATTCTGTTAATAATGTTCTAGATTATCTATCTATTAAAAAGCAAAATGGGTTTGTAAATGGTTTAATATTAACAATTTCTTATATATTTAGTGTTAAATCTATTTTTATTTTTCCTACTTTATTAATAGAAAAACTTCCATGTGTTTTTGAGGAATTAAGAAATAGTTCTTGTAAAACTAATGTAACTTTACGTCAAATTTTCAAAACATCATATTATATTGGCTTAGATGATTCAGATTTTATAAACAATAATATATTTTTCGTATTAATGGATTTAATAAGAAAAAAAGGGTTAGTTGTCTGTGAGGTTATTTGATTTTTCTTCTATATAAAGTCATAAACAGCCTTTGTTTTTTTTTGTTATATTTATATATAATGGCTATAGTTGTTGAAACATTATAAAAGAATTAAAAAATGCTTAATTATATTGCATTTAAATCATTTTAAATATTAAATATGAAGATGATATTTTATTATTTATGTTTCTATTTTTTTATATGGAATTAGAAGTAAATAGTATTAAAAATATATTTAGATTACAAGTTAAATATATTAAATGTGAATTTTTTAGTAAATAAGTTCCTAAAAAGCCTTCATAAAATACTATCTTCAGAAATTTTTCCATTGTTTATATTAAAAATTTAATATTTTTATATAGAAATGTGTTAAATTTTCATTTTATTTAACTATTATGTTCTAAAGAATCCTAAAAATTAAAAATGAGGTTTAATTATGTTAAAATATTGTTTTTTTTATACAAAATGTTTTAAAATTATTGAAAGACTCATATATTTTTATTATTGATAATAATTTGATTGTGATATATATGTTAAAATTTAAAAAGAAATAAGAATATGTTTGTCTTTATTGTAAAAAATTAATCGTATTATTTTATTAAAAGTGTTTTATTAAAAACATCTTTATTTTGACCATTCTTGTATATTTCCATAATTAAATTCTTTAACTAAGTCTTTTTTATTCACTAAAAGGTAAATTAAAAAGAATAAATATGCATTCATTATATCTACCTTTCCCTATATGGTTTTTAGGAATACCATTAGGTAGGATTTTTAATATTGTAGGAATTTTATAAGTAGCTAACATGCTTTTTAAATCTGATCTTAAATTATTTAATGTTAATTCTTTTTTCTATACATGATATTAGAAATTGTTTTGAAATTTTGATGACTTTAATACATCTGGTGTAAGTGATACAAGAGCTGCTACTCTTTGAGTCCATACTTCATCGTTAATACCAATTACTGCAACTTCATAAATATATGGTCTAAAAATTTCTAAAATTAAAGCTAGTATTTTTTAAAATGATGACTTACAATGAAAGCATTTTTTGTTGAACTTCAAGAGCAGAAATTTTATATCCACCTGACTTTATTATATCTATATTCCGTCGTCCATGAATTATATATGCACCGTTTTCCATTTTAGTTGCTATATCATTAGTTTTAAACCATCTAGTTCCATCTTTTTCATATGCAAATGCCTTTTTTGTTGCATCTGGTTTGTTGAAATATCTATTTTATATTAATTAATATTTATTTAATTGTTATGTATATACTCTTTGAAAACAGTATCACCATTAACCCAAATTTCCTGATCTTCATCTTGTATTTTTACTAAACGCACTTTAATATAAGGTAATTCCCATCCTACACTTCCTTCTAAACGTTTTTCAAATTCTAATCCACCGCTTAAAATCATTCCTGTCTCTGTCATTCCATATCTTTCCAGTAAAATATGTCCTGTAATTTCATGCCATTTCTTTCTTAAAGAAATTGGAAGTTCTGCTGAACCAGAAACCATTAAACGTATTTTTTTCATTCTAGATTTCAATTCAGCATTAGAAATTTCAAGTCCATTGTTTGTATAATAATGAATAAGTTTAGAATAGATAGTAGGAACAGCCATAAACTGAGAAATTTGAGGTAATTTTAAATCCAAAAATCTAGACCAAACATCTTTGGCGTTAAATTTTTCTAAGAATTCTATAGTTCCTCCTGCCTAATTTATAATTTCGAATTTTACATTAGTAATATATGTATACTTACATATAAAGGACATATTAGTGCATTAATTATGCCATGAATATGATGTAAAGGTAGAATATGTAGTAATCTATCTTTTGAAGAATATTTCCACGCCTCTACTAATGATATTACTTGTGTAAAAATATTCTTATGTGTTGTTAAAACTCCCTAACTGAATTAAATATGGCCTATATTTCATTTTATTTAGACCTTAGGTGATCCGGTTGTTCCTGATGTATATAATATTAGTGCTCCTCTATCTAAATCAAATGGAAGAAATTCATAACTCTCCTATATTCCTTAGAAGCTATCTTTTAATAATATAAATACTTTTTGTTGTATTAAATTAGATTTTAAAAGAACATGAACATGAACTTTTTTTTTAATATATATTAATATGTTTTTAATTTTTTCTTCAAGAAATGAACTGGTAAGAATAATATCCACAGAACAATCTTCAACTATATACTTTATTTCAGCAATTGGATAAGTAATACCTTTAAAATATCAATATAACTAACTTATTTAAAAAAAATGTAAGATACATATAGGAACTGCAATCCCTCCTGCTGCCCATATCCCAAGAATCGAAGTTGCATATGAGAATCCTGGTTCGACAAAAATTCCTACTCTCTTTTGTTTCAAATCTTTTTCTTCTTCAATTGTTTGTAATGATGATTTAAAGGTTAATATATGATGAATCAAATCAAAGTATGAATAAGACTCTTTATTCTGTTTAAATTCAATAGATATAGAGTTTTTATCATTTTTCACTAGTTTTTCAAATATTGGAGTCTTTGGAAGTGCTATTTGACTGAGAAATATCCAATAACATCTATAAATTTACTTGATATATTTTGTCTTTTCAAATTTTTTGTTTGAAAAAATAAAAAACATATATATAATCTTTTCTTTTTTTCAATATTTCTGATATTTATTGTTTGTTTTATTCTAAAAAAAGTCATTAATATTTAATTTTCTTCACTTATTGATATTTGGTGGTATAATTTTATAGATAATCTAATAAATATAATTATTTATATATTAAAATATAAGTATGAAATATTTATATTTTAATATTATTTTAACTTAATATGTTTGATTTATTAAATTATAAAGATTTTTATATATTTTTACATTTTAACATATTATTTATAATATTATATATTTACAAAATTTTATAAGTAGTTTAATTAAAATTTTTTTTGTAGATTTATACTAAAATAATCCTTTATGTATAGTTCTAGAGTTTTTTAAAATATTTTTTTAAATTTTCTTTTAGATCATTTTCTAGATAATACAAGTTTAATGTATTTATTAAACCCAATTAATTGAATCTTTTAACAATAATACATTTTATATTAGAGTTTGAATTTCATTATTTATAAGATCTTTACTATTAGTAGTTCTACGTTATTTTACAAAAAAATACAAAAATACACAATTTAATTATGTTTGAAATCTAGAGATTATGTTTCTAATGAATAATATATGTTTTTTATATTTATCTAATAAATATATTTTATGAGTTTATAATAGAATTTGATAACAGTCCTAGTGAAAAAATACTTGATTTTAACCTATAATATTTACATACATATACGATAACTTGCATATCTGCCACTTGTTTCACTTCGTCTAATAATTTTAACTGTTTGACCTCGTTTTAACCCATAATATCGTGCAACCGGATCCGCTATCTGGATCCGAGGAAGTTGCGTTTCTTTTAATCTATAACGTTCTAATAACTCTTTTTTTTCCTGAGGAGTAAGAACGATATGTTTTGGAACAAGCTCATGATGCGTAATATTTACCAATAAATCTGATTCTTGAAATGCTTCAATTGTAAACTTCCCTGCCATTGTAGCAATAATTTTATTAGCTGATGGTGTCATTGATGTTTGATAAATTAAAATCCCAATTTTATGCCCATGTTCTTGAAGCATATGTATAAAGTCCTGCATAGCACTAATACCAATAGATGGTTCTCTTTGAAAAGCGACATATATCTGCTCCTTATTAGATCCTGGTGGAGATCGTGCATAAAAAGAAAGAGTTGATCGACTTATATTTTATTTAATTTTTATCTTAAAAAATATATTTTCTTCTTACTCGACACCATTAATAGTGCAATACTGCTGTTTAAATTGTTCAAGAGTTATGTCTAATTCCTCTTGAGAGACTAAATAGCCCTGATATTATTAATATTTTCTTATTTTTTATTTTCAAAAAATACTCGGTCATGGACCATTTGATGGGCTGTTTTCCACACACGAAAAACTTTGATTATATCTCTTTCATCTGAGAAAGTATTCATTGCTTTTTATATAAAAAATAGGCAGGAAAATAACTTTTTCTTAATACCTAATTTTAGGCTATAAAATCTTCGACGTTGACATTTTAAGATCTAAGGATTTTAATATTCAAGAAAAACATGGTAAAAAAGAGGAATTGCTCAAAAAAACATAAAGATGTGAGTATATCTTGTTATTCTGATCAATTTGATATTAATTTTGTAGGGTAAAAATGGGTTTATAGAGAATTATAATAGTATTATAATGAAGTAAGAAGATGGTATAGTTTTGAAGGTATATTGAGTTATATATAGAAACGAAAAGATGGAGAATTATTATAGACAACAGGGTATTGTTGAAGATGATGATTGGGAGATGTTTATGGAGAGTATTAAGCAAAGTTTACCGACAACATTTAGAATAACAGGATCTAAAAAGTAAAAATAATTAACTTTATATATTTTATATGACTTTTTTTTGAAAGAAACGCTCAATGTATTAAGAAACATCTTGAAGATGAATATTTTCCTTTATTTAAGGGACTTAAATATGAGGGTAAAGAGATTGAACCTCCGAGTCTAATATCTTGGTATCCAAATCAACTTGTATATTCTCTTAATACGCCGAAAACAGTTATTCGTAAAAATAAAGCTTTTAAAAAGTTTCAAGATTGGTTATTTTATGAAACAGAATCAGTATTTTTATTTTCCAAATAAAAATAGCTAATGGATATAAGGGTAATATTACTCGTCAAGAGGTAGTGTCTATGATTCCTCCACTTTTATTAGATGTAGAGCCATACCATAGTATTATAGATTTATGTGCTGCGCCAGGATCAAAAACAGCACAATTTTTAGAGGCTATTCATAATAAGTTATCGGAAACAGATACTTGTGAAATATATCCTAAAGGATTTTTGATTGCTAATGATGTTGATTCCAAAAGGGCATACATGCTTGTTCATCAAATAAAGCGTTTTAATTCTCCTTGTATGATTGTTACAAATCATGATGCATCTAAATTACCAAATTTTTATGTAGATGATGGAATTGATAATGATTTGGATCCATCTAAGACTGCTAGGAGATATATTTTAAAGTTTGATCGTGTTCTTGCTGATGTTCCTTGTACTGGAGATGGTGCTATTCGTAAAAATCTTAATATATGGAAAGATTGGGATATACGACAAGCTTTTGGGTTACATACGTAAGTGAGAATTTAAAAAAAAGTGTTTTTCTGACTAGTTTTCATAATAATAGGACTCAAGTGAATATATTGATTCGAGGTCTTCAATTATTAAAAGTTAATGGAAGATTGGTATATTCAACGTGTTCTTTAAATCCTATAGAAAATGAGGCTGTGGTATCAGCTGTTTTAAGAATTTATGGCAATAGTATAAGGCTTGTTGATGTTTCAGATAGGTTGCTAGAGCTTAAAAGGAAAAATGGAATGAATACATGGAAAGTAATAGATAGTAATGGTGAAATACTTGCGTTTGATGATCGTTTTTCTTTGGATCAAAAAAAAATGCCAAGATCATTATGGCCTCCAAGTGAAGAAGAAATAGATAAGTTTTGTCTTGATAGATGGTATTTTATTTTTAAGAATATTACAAAAGCTGATTCTTATTCAGTTTACGAATATATCCTCATCTTCAAAATACTGGTGGTTTTTTTGTAGCTGTATTTGAAAAGATTGAAAAACTTAATGATATGAGTCGTAAGCATCATGAAGAAGGTTTAAGGAAACAATATAAAAGAGATCTGGATGATTCAGGAACTGATATTACGTTAGAAAATGATTTATCTAAAAAAGTTAAGAAAGATACTAGTTTTATTAATGAAACATTGCAATTCGAAAATTCTTTAGGAAATAAAGATTTACAAAATAATACAATAGCTAATTTTTTAAATTCTTCTGAGGTACAAAATAAAGATTCTAAAACTCTAAAAAATTGTGAATATTTTAAATTTCTTTCTGAAGATTGTGAAGAAATAAAAAATATTAAGTAAGTTGTTTCTTTTTCATATTTTTAACATCAGAAAAGGGCTTTTTATAATATTTCTAATTCATTTCCTTCTACTCAATATGTTGTACGCAATATTAATGCAGTTCCTACACGTTTTATCTATTTTTTGTCAAAAAAAATAAAGAATATTTTATATCATAATGAAGATAGGATAAAATTTGTTCATGGCGGTGTAAAAATGTTTACTAAACATGAATTTCTTAAAAATTCTTTTCCTGAAAATATCTGTAGATGGAGAATCCAAAATGAGGGTGTTAGGCTGCTATTTCCTTTTTTAGGTCCTGAAAGAGTTATATATGCAAGTTTTAATGAGCTTAAGATATTTTTGAATCATGATTATCCAAAAATTGATATGTTTCCTGAGGGAAAGGTAAAAACATCTTTAGAAAAAATATCTTTAGGTTGTATAATAATGGTTGTTGATTTGGAAAATGAAGAATCTGTTAAAGTAAAGCTTAATGTAATTCTTCCAATATGGAAAAGTAATGTTTCTGCGAAGTAAGTAATTTGTTATTATTAATTTAATAGTCTAATTAAAATAAGTTTAATGCTTTCAAAAAAAGATAAAACGTATGTTTATATTTTCTTAAATATTAGCTTATATTTTTTTAGGGTCCTAATGATGCGTGTGTATGGTTCTTCCTATCATTTTAAAGATCATCTAAAAGATGATCTTTTGCTTAATGCTTCTAATAATATAGAAGCATAAAAGTTCTTTTATTCTTAAGAATATAAAGTTTAAAGATGTTTAAAAAGGTATTATATTTTTAAAAAAATACTAATTTTAATGTTTCTTATTAGAATTAAAATTATATAAACTTTAGATATTTTGTTTTCAATTTATATTTTGAAATTATGTAGGGTTCAAAGTATTATTTTTAGAAAATGATATTATGGTCTGTTTAAAATGTTTTTTCAATTTTATTTTACATTCAGATATCGATTTTGATAAGACCATGACAAATCCTAAGAAAAGAGCAGAGAAACATGAAGCAGCAAGAAATCGTGAAGAAGCGTTGCGGAAGGCGAGGAAGGATGCAGAAGAGGATGCTAAGTGGTCTATTGGAGTAAAAGCAGTAAATGTAAAAAAAGAACGAGATTTGCAGAAAAAACAAGAAGCAGCTGAAAAAGTATAAAAATATGTTGTTTTATATCTCTAATACAAATAGAAAGCAGAGAGAGATGCTCTTGAAGCAGAGGAAATGCGAAATATTTCTTCAAAAAGTCATGGGCGTAGATCGCAAAAAAAGACAGATTATAAACTTTCTATTGATAATTCTTATGAAAAGGAATGTCCTAAGACTTATTCCGCATGTAAATATAGCAGAAGATATTTTACTTTTGTATTAAATCATCTTAGCAAATATTGATGATGCTTTGGAACTACTTTCATTACAAACTAAAGGAAATGCAAAAATTATATCAGAAATCGATAGACATCCTGAACGGCGGTATAAATCAGCTTTACTGGCATATGAAGAGCAGCGATTGTCTGTTTTAAAAGAGGAACATAAGGGTTTACGATTGCAACAGTATAAAAATATAATTCATAAAGAATTTAGTAAACATCCAGATAATCCGATGAATCAGGTATACTCTTAAGTTTAATGAATGTTTTGATTAAAGGCTATAGTTAACATCTAAATATAATGCAACTAAGGATGAATTAAAAGAGATTTCAGAAATTGAAAGAAAAAGAATTGAACAACGTTTTGAACAGAAATAATGAATTTAGGAATCTAAACAAAATTATTTGTTATCTAAAATATATATAGTTGTTTTTTTTTGGTATAATTCGATTTTTGAGTAATTAATAAAAGGATAATTTTATTAAAATGGTTGATATACTTAATGTTTGTTAGATCTTTTACACTTTAAAAATATTTTTTGCTAATATTTATATATAAAAGTAGCTATTAATCTATAAAAAAATCATAACACTCTTTAATAAAGATTTTAAAAAATATACATGTTTTAACAAAAATTAAAGTCTAACAATAAATAATTTTTGAAATATATTTTCATTATCAATTCTAACTTATTTATTTTATAAAATATTTTGTTTATTTTTTAAACTATTTATCATTTTAAGATAAAAGATTTATAATTAACAAAATATAGTTTTTATATTTTTATGTATAAATAATCTTGTCAATTACTTTATTATTTGCTTCAAAATCATCTCAAGATCTTTTATTCAATATCTATTCGGTTTATATGAAATATTAGATTTTTTATATTTATTATATATTGAATAGCAAGTTTATACATAAAAAGGATTAAATAAGCGACTATTATTAAAGATCTATATTAATTTTTACTGAATAAATTGTGGTTCTTCTGCTTATAGTGTTTTTTGTTTAAAAAAAGAAGAATGATCTATGATAATGATGAAAATGATACAGAGATAAAGCTTGCTCTTCTTTCTTCAATTTTTCCAGATAAATCAATTGAAACACTTCTTGAAAAATTAGTAGAAAATAATGGGATTGTTGAAAATATATTGAATGTTAATTCACAATCTGATTTTAAAAATGAAAATGCTCTTTTGAAGAGAAAAAAACAGAGGAAAATTGAAGAATTTATAGAAAATGATGAATATAAACATAAACGTACTTTTGTTTCTGGGAAATTGTCGTCTGATACTTTGTGGCCGATTAAAATGCAAAATGATTCTTTTGAGCGTTCAAAACGTGTAAATGTACATGTACAACATTTATATTTTCCAGATCAAATTGGTAGTACAATTCAAGATCTTTATTTATCTAATAATTGCAGCAAAATTGACGCCTTGTACATTAATTCATAATTTTTTAGGGAAAGATCTATGCAACTCTTTACTTTTAAAAATGTTAAAAGAGAGTGAAACATGGGAAAGAAATGAATTTCGGCTTTTTGAACGAAAAGTGGTCTCTCCTCATAAATCTTGCTATTATCTTTATTCTGATGAAAATAAGCTACTGGAACAAAAGTTTTTCCATAATGGATTAGAGGTTTTTTCATGTTTTTTTGCTTAAAAAATGTATAAATCTTATTTAGATTAAAAATGTTAGAGAGTTTTCTGAAGAAATGAATGTTGTTCGTCTTCTTGTTAAAGATATTGTTAATAAAATTTTGTCAAAAAGAGAAAATTTAGAATATCAATATCCTGGAGAATGGGATCCTAATATTGTGGTTGCTAATTTGTATAAAAAGATCTGATGTTTCTATATTTCTTACTAGAATTAGATATTCTAATGCCAAAGAAAATCTTGGATATCATTCAGATCAATTGACTTATTTAGGGTACATATTAGAATTCTTTTAATTTTCTATTAAATATGATAGGCCTATGCCAACAATAGCATGTATCTCTCTGGGTACTGAACGAGAGTTTCGTTTAAAACGTGTAGGTTTTGAACATAACGAAAGTGTTAAGAGTATTCATTTACCACACAATTCTCTATTGATTATGTAACAATTTTAATACAATGTTAATATTAATATCAATTTATATAGGCATTCTCCATGTCAAGAAGATTATAAACATTCTATTCATCCCGCTCATACAGTTATGCTACATCCAATATCTGGAACAATAAGAATAAGTATAACATACAGGTTAGTATATTTTATCTTATTGTATTTTTAATAATTTAGATTTTGCCGCAAAACATATCAGCCAAAATATATACCAACTTGCAAATGTAATATACCTTCTGTATTACGTTGTGTTCAAAAAAAAAGAAGTACTAAAGGTAGATACTTTTGGAGTTGTAATGCAAATAAACTTGTTAATGGCAATGGTAAAGGTTGTCAGGTTTGTTTTTTTATATTTTTATATTTTATTAATAAAAAACTAGTTTTTTCAATGGGCTGTGTTTACTAAAGATGGTGAAAACATTCTTGCTTATAAAGAATAAGAATTTATTACATCATATTTGTATAAGATTTTAAAAGGTTATAATATTTGATAAGATTTATCGATTTTACTAATTTTTTCAGGCACAAATATTAAAATTTTGATGAATATTTTTTTGCAAAAAAAAGGTTTTTATGACTGATTCTGATGTTTCATTGTTACTTTCTACTATTGAAATAGCTTTGCGGCAATCTAGGACGTCGCTTAAAGATTTGAAATTATTGCCTATAGATAAAGGAATATCACTCTTATCATTGAAATTGCATTTATTTCTTTCATATTTACATAATCTCGCACTGTTAATTCTTGTAAAAGTTCATGGTGAATCTATTTCTGAAGGGAAATATGCCTTTATAGTTGAACGCTTGGTTGAACTTAGAGTTATATTAGAAAAAGGAATACAACCTATTGAGGCAAAACTTAAATATCAAATAGATAAGATCTTTGGAAATCTCTATAAGCATGAGTTCTCAGAGAAACATAAAATAGAAAATACAGGTAAGTTCTATATTTGCTTTTTTTTTAGTTATAAATTATTAAAGAAAATGGATTATTATATAAACCAAATCCTATGGACCTTCTTCCTGTGGATAGTACCAGTGATAGAAGTGATTTAGTGAAAAAAGGGATTTATCATCCTCCTAGAATTTCTTCTGCTTTACCCTCTGAATCAGTTGAACAACGTTTACCATTGAATCATACACTTCGAGATTTTATTGCTTCAGAGATATCGTCAGCACCTGTACCAGGTCCGTCTATTGGTTCTAATATTGTTTTTTATGGAAAACGGCTTCATGCAGCTTCTGCTGATGAGCAAAGAGATCTTCAACAAAAAAGAAAATATGAAGAAGAAAACTTTGTGCGTCTTCCAAGTAAAAAATATAAAAGAAAAGGACAAAACGTTTTTGGTGGTGAAGACTGGAGAATTTTGGATAATGAACTTTACTATCCAGATTTTTCACCTGATGAAAGTTTAGTTTCTAAAAGTCGTGAAGAAATAGAAAATGAAGATACTGCTATAGTGAAACGTTTTGGTGTAGATTTTAATAAAAAGAAGAAGGCATTAGCGAAGAAGATTAAGTTGAAAGCAAAAAAACACAAAATTTTAGGCAAGACAAAGGGTTGAATTTATTAAAATTTTTTTTGGATTAAATGAGAATATGGTTATGATACATTATTAGATATATATTAAGGTTTTTTAAACAATGGCGCTATTTTTGCGTCCCATTCATTATGCCAACGATAACGAGTTTCTTCCATTGCACCTTTTTTTAATTTTGCTAATTCCTCATGTGAATAAAACAGTTTCTGTTTAATGATTATTCTTATTATCATGGTAGAATTTGTTTCAAACCTTTAAAGAGTTTGCTAGCTGGTTTGAAGAACTAAAAATAATCCCATTTTTACCGTCTTTTACAAGTTCAGGAAGACTATATATAATTACAAATGTATAAATATTTAAAAAATACATACGCTGGAGATTCTATAGCACAGACAGGAATCCCGCAACCAAACATATCTACTATTTTCATTGGTAAATCTAAACCACTAGAACTAGTATGAAGACATATTCCTAAGTCCGCGCTACCTATAAATCGGGGATAATCTTTAGCATCTAGCCATGCAGTGACGATCTTGACATATTTTAAATTTAAGTTTTTAATTTTTTGTTCATAAAATTTTCTTAAAGGACCTTTACCAGTAATAATTGCAAGTATAGATAACGGTTCACGATTTTTGCTAAGAATTGTATTCATTCTATCAAAAGTAATGAATGCTTCTAATAAAATGGAAAAGTCTTCGTCAGCTGTCCAAGAAGTAGATGATACTAATAGTTTTGTTTTTTCATTCGAAATATCAAAATCATAAGTATGAACAAATGTAGAGAGAAATGATGATTTCTCCAGGTTATCAAGAGGTTTAAAATGCATTGGAGGTCGGTCATGAAGAGTGTAGATCGGCGATCTATATTGTTTAAGATGATCAAAAAAACTATAAACTATACTTATATTTCCATTTTTCTTGAAGAAAAGTTGTCATTGCATAGGAAACTGTGAAATGAATGTCGGCGCAATTTCCAAAAACTCGTTCATACCTGAAGCATTTGTAACAATCTTGATTAATGACAAAGATATTTTACCATTTGTAAAGTAATGTCAAAATATGTTTAGACCCCAGTTTCAACGATAGAACAGAGTATCCCAGATTATGCCAGTCAATAATTAATTTAATTGATCTCATCGAACATATAAGACGAGTTACTCCAAAAGATGGAATAGAAGGTGGATTCTTTCAAATATAAAATATTTCACCTAAATTAATCAAAATATACCTGTAAAACTAAGTATTCAGTGGATTGAGGTAAATAAAACAAGGCAAAAAATAAGAAAAATGTTTGAAAAAATACTTTAATAGGTCCACTCAAAAGAAATGGTAATAAATTACATTTATTAAGAAATTTCGGCTCAAAAGGTATATAGATAATATGAATATTTTTTGATTCTTGTATATTCGGAAACAACAATGATCCTATACCTATTTTTCATCCTTTTTTTACTTAATTAACGTTATATACCTTGATATCCTACAAGATTTACTTCAAAACCATGTTTTGAGAATGAAAGAGCATGGTATTGCATTCTTGGGCTCCTACCAAGGTCTCCTAGTGCAACAAGACATATAGATCGTTGTGATATCTTACGATTATTTTTATATCGAGATCTCAGCAGTTTTTGAAGCCCAAATCCCGCAAAAAAAAGGATTATATACCATATTATCATGTTCTATTCTATCCCCATAGAATACACCTTGTTTCTCCTTTATTTTCTGCCTTTTTTAATAAAAACCACCTGGCTTTGCTGCTGTAAAAAAATTGGACGTTGAATACTGAAAGTACTGAATCGACGATCTGGTGCACGTTAGAAATCCCTCTTTTTATTAAGAAATAAGCAGGATTAACAGGCAAAAATGGCTAGAGAATGGATACTTAGAGGGTATTTGTTTAATATTTCTTTAAATAAAGCTAATTGAATAATTAAAAATAGCAATCAATGGCTAAATATGTTGGGTGAACAATTAAGCTTAATACTATTTGTTAGGGGTTTAAAGGCGGCAAAAGTGTCAGATACAGGAAAAAGGATGTTTTCTGGAGTGGTTATATTGATTATTTTTCTTTGTTTGGGGCTTGGAGGAGTTTTTTATGATAAAAAAGATGGAAAAATGTTATTGTTGAAAAAATGTCTGAAAAGAGTCGAAAATGAGGGTTTTTTTAGAGGGAAAGGAAAGGGATCTATGGCTTTTATGGGTTTTTTAGTCTTTATTTATGTTTTTTTGGTTTATAATGTAGCAATGTGTTTTAGTGGGTTACGGTTAGTATTGTTGAAATAAAGGTTAATATTTATGGGAAAAAAAGAACCGTAATATTGATATTGCCTATTTTTATATTTCGTATGATTGAAAATAAGGAACATAAGAGAATTTTTATTTATAAGAGGAATTTTTTTTTTTCTTTGTTTTTTCTAATGTTGATTGATTTTCTAAAAAGTAATTGAGAAGATATATATGAGTTTTATTTATGGTTTTAGGTTTCCTATTGAGAGCGGTTTTGGGATACTTTTTTGTCGGATTTATATGGATTTTGTCTTTTAATATTGACATTCCAATCAATTTGAACAGTTTTTTATTTTCTTCTTTGTATTGCGTACCAATTGTTTTATTTGAGTTTTTTTTGGGTCTTTATGATTCTAGGTATTCAGTATCTACATTTATTATGGTTTTTTTTTCAAGTATAGTTCATATAATTTTAAGATTTGTAAAAACATCTGATTCTATATATATGATTAAATTTTTTTGGCCTTTTTCAACAGTGATTGTAATATGTATGAATTATCTATTTTCTAGGGAGTATCCTGGTTTAATTGATTTGTTAAGTCTATTTTTGATATATTATTGTAAGTAATGACAAGGTTTTGGATATGGCTTAATCTTTAGGCTTTTACAAAAGCTTAAATTGTTCTGAGAATTATATAAAATGTTATTTTAAAAGAGATGTTATAGATATACATAAAGTAAAAACTTATTTTGCATTTATTATGAAAAATCCGGATTCTCGAAATATTTTTTTCTTTTTTCTTTTAAATTTGGTATTCATGTTTATACAAATGAGTTATGGGATCCTTTCTAATTCTTTGGGTCTTATTTCTGATTCAATTCATATGGCATTTGATTGTTTTGCGTGAGTTTTAGCTTTAATTTTTGAGATTTATATATAATAGAATTAGATTATTAGTTGGGTTATTAGCGTCTATTATAAGTAAATTTCCTCCCTCATTTACATTCCCATTTGGTTTTTCAAGGATAGAGGTTCTTTCTGGCTTTGTGAATGGTTTGCTTTTATTATTATTATCTATATCTATTATTATAGAAGCAATTTCGCGAATATTAAGTCCAAAAGAGATCCATTTAGAAAAGCTTCTTTTAGTTAGTATTATTGGTTTCATTGTTAATCTTTTTGGAATTTTTTTATTTAAACATGGGTGAAATTATTTTTTTATTCTATTTATTTTTTAATCAGACTAGACATAATCATAATCATTCTCAGAATTTAGATGGTTTTAATTTTTTTGAGAAGAAACATGGGAGTAATGACTGTATACATAATCATTTTTTGAGTAATTGCATTAATGTACGTATTTTTTTTTAAAAAAAAAGATAAAAGTATATTTTTTATTCATCTGTTATTTAGGATATTCATAATAATGTCAATATTTATGGGTATATAATGTTTTGAGAAGGGTATTTGTTATAGCTAATGAATGTTTTAGTGTGTTTTTACACATATTCGCTGATACTCTTGGTTCATTTGGTGTGATTGTATCAACATTACTTATATATCAGTTTAAATGGCCAGGATTTGATTCTTTGGCTTCAGTTCTTATTGCGGTTTTGATATTTGCTTCTTCTATTCCTTTAATTTTGTCATCTGCCAAGAATCTTCTTTTAATTGCTCCTCATGATTTTGAATATAATGTTTATAACGCATTGAATAAGGTGAAAATGCATTCAGGGATTTTATGTCTTGAAAATTTTCGATTTTGGATGAATAATGAAAGCACAAGTAGTGGAATAATTCGTGTGGGCGTTAAGAATGATCAAGATTTAAATATGATTCGTCAGGAAGTAGAAAAAGTATTAAAAGAATCTATAAGAGGACTTGTTAATGTTACTGTTGTTACTGAAAGACGCTGATCAAATTAAGTTTAATAAATCTATTTTAAAGATTTCTTTAAAATATTATACGCAGAATCATATTTAAGCTTATAATTTGATTATAATTAAATCAAGGATCGACAAATAATAAGCACATGATGATATTGAATATTTAAAAGTATTTTTTGATTTCTTTTAACTCTAAAAATTCTTAAAGGGTATCTAAAAAATACTTTTATAAAAGACATCAAGCAATATATTATTTTTAAAAGTTGGTAAAGGAAATTATATAGAATTGCGGAGTAATTAACGTATGTAATTTGTTTTTTTATTAGAATAATTTTATATTTTTCGTTAGGTTTAATTTCGAGATTTTTAAGATATATTTAAGAGAATATTTAAATGTTTGAATATTGATTTTATAATATTTTTGAAGGCAATGACTGAACCTTTGGATTGGGAGATAAAGAATAATTCGCCTTTTTTATCCTCAATAAAATCTCTTATTGCAGGTGGATTTGGAGGTGCTTTAGCTGTGTAAGATTCTAAAGTTATTTATTGATCAGTTTAAGAAGTCTGATATTATGTTGTAGTCTTGTTGGGCATCCGTTTGGTACTTTTAAATTCTCTTTTATGGGCTAAATTGAATTTTTGAAGATTTGATAAAAGTACGTTTACAAACTGGAAAAGAATTATATACAGGATCTTTTGATGTTCTTAGAAAGATTATTTCTAAAAGAGGGTTTCCTGTTTGTTTCTCATATTTTTTTATTGTAGAATATGACTTTTCAGGGGCTTTATCAAGGTTTTATACCGCCTCTTCTTGGCACAGTTCCTATTATTGCAGTTACATTTTGGTATATTTTTCTTCTTTCTATGATACATATATGAATGAAATTTAGTGGTTATGATTTTGGGAAATTTTTAATGAAAAAAAATTCAGGAGCTTCTGATTTAGAAATTCGTCATATAATGTTTGCTGGATTTTTTTCTGCTTTTCCTGCTACATTTGTAACAGCGCCATTTGAGCGAGTTAAAATTATATTACAGATTCAAGGGCAGAATGAAAAGAATAAATTTAATGGTATATGTCATGTTTTAAAGCATTTGTATAAAACAGATGGTATAAAATCAGGTTTATTATGATTATTTCAAAATTATTGAATTTAATTTTTTTAGTATTTAGGGGAGGTTATATGACATTGGCGCGAGATGCGCCAGGTTCTGCCGTCTATTTTGGTGTATATGAAACTACAAAAAGATATATGATGGAAGATAACTCTGAATTATCTCTTGGAACAACTATTATAGCTGGCGGTAAGCAATTTGAAATCTAATATCAGGAATAATTGATGTCATTTAGGTCTTGCTGGTATTGCTATGTGGTCTGCTATTTTTCCAATTGATACAGTAAAATCTGCTATACAAGGTTCGGATAAGATAAGTGTAAAATCCATTTGTACAACGTTGTACCGTCAAGGCATTTCACGTTTTTTTCCTGGATTTGGGACAGCAATGTTACGTTCATTTCCCGCAAATAGTGCAACATTTTTAGGTGTTGAAGTTACTTATAAGATTTTAGATAAATTATTTTAAGTCTCGGAAAAATCAATTATTTTTAAACATAAACAAAAAAATAAGATTAATCACTTTTCAATGATATATTGTATACATAATTCATGAATATTAATTCCACCAAAAACTTACGCTAAAACTTATGCTTAAACTTCTTACATAATGCCACCAGCCTACCTAATTTCGTTAGGTATTTAAATAAACAACAATAAGAGGCTCAACCGGAATATAAAGGCAGTCACCAGGACCAATAATGCTTTCTACATATTTTGCTTGTAAAAATTTGGGAAATTTTTCTGTATCTGGATTATCAAGATCGACCTTTTATATAAATTAACAAGTTTATTCTAATGAATTTCTCCTACCTGACTCGTATTACTCATATCTATGCCCCCTTCAATAGACCGGGGATATAACGCTTCTCTTTCCTCAGGTGCATATAACCTTACATATTTCCATCCTACAACTTGAGAAAGAATATTATGATATGGATCTGTATGTAAAGGACTAACAGTACCCTCCCCACCAAACCATACATTTAAAAGAGGTTCGTCTAGTGTTGGCATCTCTTTAATGTATTCTTGCTGATGAAAAGGTATTGGCGGAGGTGTCAAAAAACAATAATCTGGAATAACAATCTGTTCCCTTAATGCTGGTATTTGAGAGAATAAATCATGTTGTGCAAGATATCCGATTTCTTTTTCCTTGTTTTTTTCATTTGATGAGTTTTTTTTTTGTAATATATATTTTTCCAAAAATTCATAGAAAGGCATTAACCGTTGTCCCCAATCTTCACTTGTATAATTTTTCCCGATCTCCACTGGTACAATACGAAGTCCTTGATGTGTTTTGTCTAATAATGTTTTTATTTTTGCCCAGCCGTCTTGAGCCAATGCTGGCCAATGGTTAATACTATTTTTGATGATAAGTGGTTGCTTAATATTAAACATATCTTTGTGGAATGCTTCTAAAGAAGGGCATTCTGCGTAACGAATAGGGAATTGTATTTTTTTGTGTTTTTCTGTTTTTCTTACATAAAAATCTTGTATTTGATGATCTGCATTTATTTTGGGTTCTTGTAAAGCCAATAGTGTCATTATAAAGGCTTTAACATCCGCTCCGTTGGTCATAATAAGTGCCATGTCAAGTGTTTTAATAATTTCTGCAGTTTCTTCATGCATTTCTGTTTGTATTATAGCCTTAAGAATACTTGCATAGGCATAGAGCTGTTTCCAGGCAAAAGGAACCTTAGAAAATGGATAGGAATAGAATTTTTCCGTGCTTAAACGTAAAGTGTCATTCACCCGGTCTAAAATATTTTTTAATTCCGTTTGTGTTACATCTGTGAAAGGAGTTTCTTGTAGGACTTGTAAACGTTTTAATGATTGTCTAATGAGATAGTCAACGGCCATTCCGCATGGTCGAAATACATCTAACAATATTAAAAACTAGTAGAAAAGAAAGTAAAAATACCTGGAAAAAGCCGTTTTTCAAGTTGTTTAAGGATATTGTATTGTTTTTGTCGGGTCTCCATTAAATGTGTAAAAAAATCGTAGGAACAAGAACGAATTTATAGGTGTCAAAGATCGATATAAATTTTTGTTTTCTTGATATTTGCTTTCTAATAAAAAAAATCGCTAAACCAAAACGTACAATAACGTGATTTTTGGAGTTAAGTATGCCTCTACTCCCAGGACCATTCAACTGTTTCTTTAACACGTCTATTGAAGTTAATGATAATATATATATATATATATATATACCTAATATATTCTTTTTTATTGTCTTTATTGAGTTGTGCTGCTTCCGCATTTGCAGGTGAATTGTTATTTGGGTCATTTAAAAGAGATTGAATACTTGTAAGAATTGCTGCGACATCATATGTTGGAGACCAACGATTCTGAAGAATATCTAAGCATAATTCCCCATTTGTATAAACATTTGGATGGAACTAAATTGCATCAAAAAAAATATATCTTCTAAGAAGCTTACCATTTTTGAAAGAAACCGTACAAATGGAGGTTTGTTTGGATACTAATAATGTTTTTGTTAAAAATTGTATAAACTCCAAAAAAAACCATACTTGTTCATCAAACTGCATTATAAGTCGGAATGTTCCATCTTCAAATGGTGTTTCTGCTGGCCCAATAATTACTGCATTCCTAACATAGTCAGCCATTATAGTAGATTTATATATCTATTTTAACCAAAGCATAACATTATCTGCTATTGGGGATGCGCTTACACCTGCTGGTGGATCTTGTTGCATACGCTATATATAAAATTAAGCCTAGTTTAAACATAATTAAACACAATAAAGTCTTATACTTTGAAATCTCTCATTAAACGTCGCCGTGCTGGACTTGACTAATCATGTGTTATTAAGTTTTATTGCTTAGAAAATTTACCATCTTAATATTTTCTATATTTCCTGCTTATTCTATGGATTTAACTGCTATATATACCTTATATACGTCGTATATCTGTTATATATGCGTTTTCTATGCGTCTTATATGCGTCTTATATGCACTTTTGTAGTGTTTTTGCGGCGTTGATTGTCTCCTATTTTCTTTGATATTTGCTTTGGCACTTAATGAATATATCGATAAAGATGATGTATAAAAATTTAAATCTTCTCACCCAAGCTAATGTTAAAATATAGAATTATATATGTTTTTGTTATATTTTTTTTAAAAATATTATAATTATTATTTAATATACTTTTATATTTATTTAATATAGGGAAATATAAATTTTATGTATACAATGATTTAATTTGATATATTTTATTATATTATTTAAAGAAAAAAAAGATTTTATTTTACAAAAATTGTTTAAAGAAAAAGATTGAATTGTTTATTATTTTGATGAATAAAATGCTTTGTTCTTATTTAAATTTTTTATATTTTTATGTCTCTTTTGTTTTTATATTTATTTTTTTGAATATCTATTATAAAATGATATCATTTTGTAATAGATAGATATGAAATGATTTTAAACGCGTTTATTCATATGTTTTATATTTATCTTTTGTATTATATGCGTTATAATTTATCTTTAAATAAATTTTATTGTATACGGTTTTTCGGTGAATTTATATGTTTAAGTAATTTTTGATGTATTCCTAGCTTTGTGTTTTATATATGCGTTTATGTATGCGTTTATATATTTATTTTTGATCTTGATATCGCGTCTTTCATGAATGGCTTCGAACCATGTCCAGGTAGTTTGTCGGTTTCGACCCTTAAATAAGTTTGAACGTAGTCTTGGAAATGGTTCGTTGATTGTATGTTGTGATACATCAACGGTTGAGATTAATGTAAGTTGAAAAAAGACTTAAAAATGATTTGTTGAAGAAGTGTTAGACAAAAGAATTAATTGGACGATTTGTATTTGATAGAGTTTTTGATGGATCAGCACGTCAATCTGAAGTTTTTGAAGGAACAATTCGATCCACAGTTGATGGTAATATATTAAAGGAGTATTTGAAATGTATTAAAATAGATGAGATGTGTTAAAGGGATATAACGGGACGATTTTTGCTTATGGACATACGGGATCTGGCAAAACATATACAATGATGGTAGGGTTAGTGTAATATATTTTTTGGTCTGAAAAAAGTGATTAAGGGACCGAATATTGATAGCGAACTTAGAGGAGTTATTCCTCGAATAGTAGAGTATATTTTTGAAAGCATTATGAAATCCCAAAGTTTTATTGAATATATGGTGAAAGTTTCATATATGGAGATTTATATGGAAAGAATTCGTGATCTTCTGTGTCGTCAGTAGAAAAGTAATTATTAGAAAGTATTGACAAGTATTTAGCACAACAAGATCATTTGCCCATTCATGAAGAAAAAAATAGAGGTGTTTATGTGAAAGGATTAAAGGAAGTTTATGTTTCTTCATTAGATGAAGTTTATCAGATTATTAAAAAAGGAAATCAAGTACGAGTAGCTGCTGCAACAAGTAAAATAGTATGTCGATGAGATCTTTAATGATAATATTTTAGATATAAACCCGGAAAGCTCACGATCTCATGCTATTTTTTGTATTACGATTATGCAAAAGAATCTTGAAACAGAAAATACAAAGAGTGGACAGCTTTTTTTGGTTGATCTTGCTGGTTCTGAAAAGGTGGCAAAGACGGGTGCTAGTGGACAAACATTAGAGGAAGCAAAGAAAATCAATAAATCCCTTTCTACCCTTGGTTTAGTTATTAATTCTTTAACTGATGGAAAGGTAATTTTTATCTGATTGATATTTAACTATTATTAATTCAAGAGTCAACACATATACCTTATCGTGATTCTAAACTTACTCGTATATTACAAGAATCACTTGGAGGTAATTCTCGTACAACGCTTATTATTAATTGTTCTCCATCTGCATTCGATGAACAAGAAACTCTTTCTACAATTCGTTTTGGAATCCGAGCAAAAAATATTAGAAATAAAGCCAGAATTAATCAAGAACTTTCTTTAAACGAACTTAAATTTCAGCTTAAAAAAGCTAGAACTCAATTGCTTGCTTCTTCTGAATATATCGTTGCTCTTGAAAATGAGCTTGATATATGGAGGAGTGGAGAAAGGGTCCATGAGGAAAAATGGACTCCAAAAATGATTATTGATATTATTCCAAAATCGAAAATTGTTTTAGATAATGAGAAAGATAATATTACAGAAAGTATTATGTTGGAGAAAAAGTCTGTGCCATTTATTCAAAATGTTATTATGGAAAAAGATGAAAGAGATAGTTTTTTGAAAAGGGAAATTGAATTACAGGATATGGTTATAGAAAAAGAGATGCTATTAAATAATCAGGAAAAAGTTTTGAAAGATGCAAAAGAGGAAATTCTGTATTTAAAAGAACAAAACAATGAAACAGTTAAAGTAATAGTAATTGGTTATTATTGACTATTTTTAATGATTTTAGATTAACGAAGAATTGACAACAAAGGTTAATGATTTACAATTGGAATTGGAAAGAATTACATTTGAAAATAAGGAGGCCTATATAACCTTAGATTCCTTGAAATATACAAATGAGAGTCTTGTGTCGGAGTTGAATAATATGAGACAAAGTCTTTTTGAAGCTAAAGCTGCAATGGAGTCTATCGTCGATCATGAATCTTTGAAAAAGAAAACAAAACAAATAATGAAAGAATCCGATTTTTCTGTTAATAAAATTAGTTCTTCAAAACAATTTTTGGATGATTTGAATAATTTTAGTGAAATCACTACTAACAGCACAAAAGTTTTGAAAGATAGATTAACTGAAATGCAATCTGTTATTTCTAGTTTAGAAATTGCACTTAATGATCGAATGAACGAAGCTGATAATCTTAAAAAAAATAATAGCAAATTAGAGTATAGGCTAAAATATGTCGAGGATGAGTATCAGTTTCTTATAGACAAGTTATTGTTTAAAGAGAATGAACAATATATAAAAGTTCATGAAATATTGTTTAATCAGTCATGCAATTTGCAAGTATGCAATGGTTTGTTTCAGGTTAATAATTCTGAAGAAGTACCTTCTAAATTGTCTAAAGAGGCATCTTCTAAATCTTTTAATGAAAGGTTTTCTATAAAAAATGAAGTACGAATGATTCAATTAAATCCTTTCTAATTATAATATAGTTTGATGTTTCTGATAATGATAACTTAGTTAATAGTTCTGCATTAAAAACAGAAGAATTTAGTTTAGTGAAAAAATCTTTAATGAAAGAATTTCAAGAACGTCGTGATAAGGTTTGTATATGTTTTCTTTTGCAGATACTCATGAATATAGGTAGTCGATTTGGAGATTTCTCTTAATGAAATTCGTCAGCAATATACTAATATATTGCGTAATAATAATGTTAAAAATCAACGGAAAAAGATGTTATGTTTGGAAAAAAACCTGGAACAATTAATTGTTATACAAAAACAAGTAAATTCTTCCAGAATCTAATCTATTTATTGTTAAAATAATTTAGTTGGTAGAACAAAATACATCATTAAAAAGAGATATTTCTATAGCAGAACGTAAATTAGTTGTAAGAAATGAACGTATTTCAAGTCTGGAAACATTATTATGTGATGCTCAAGGGAAACTTATTAGTCAAAATCGTGCATTTGAGAAGCAAATCCAGATATTAAAAGAGCGATTGGAACGAATACGAGGTAAAATAAAAAAATTATTGCATAAATAGTAACTTTAATAGCGAAGGAATATTCATCGGAGTTGAGCTTTGGGAAAATAGCTAAACCTTTAAGGGGTGGTATGGGCTAAAAACCTATAAAAAATATCTTGGTTCAAAAGAAAATTTAAGGGATAATATATATATATATTAAATATTGAATATCTTAGATAAATATGTGACATATTTAATGATTTGATTCATTTTGATCTTTAGGGTCATATAAATCAAGACCTATAAAAACATTGGTTTTTGGTTTTTTTAAAGGAGGCGTAATCTGTGTTATTAAATCTGAATCATTAACATGTATGTCGTTTTTTATAGGTGATGATTTTGTTTTTTTGAATAAATTAGATTCTACTTGTGGTGCCATTAGTACGCCTTTTCTCATGGCGTCCTCTGGTGGCCATGGAAAATAAGCAGGTGTTGTTCCATAAAAGCCTTTTGCTGGATTATAGCCATCTGGCGCTGATGAATATTTGGAGATTTTTGCTGCGTAATCAAGAAGCATTGTATGTGGAATTTTCTCTGCTGATAAAAAAGTTTTATCACTAAGATTTGTTTGATGAAGACGTTGACGTGAATTTAAAAGATATTGTAAACATTTATCAATTTGTTGATTAAGAGCAGATGTTTCATCAATTAACGCTTTAATGCGTATTATATTTCTTTGATGAATAGCGACTAAAATAAATAAATTTCTATGCTTATATATTATGCATAGATAATTCTAATGCTTACGTTGATCAAGTAATTGTTGAAATGCAGCATTTGCTTCAAGAAGTTTTATTGTTTGGGTCAAAATTGATGTTGGGTTAGGAGGGTTAATAAATAAGTTACAAAATGCAGTTGCTGTAGTGGCTAGGGTGTCAAATGCAGAACAGTTCATTTATGTATCGGTTTTTATTATTTTTATATTATTTATTTCCGAAGTTTATACGATCCGTTGCCGTTTCTACTAGGGATTAAAAACTTTTTTAAAAGTGATTAAGATTTGCTTTATGCAGTGATTTGAGGAGGAATCAGTAATAACTGTGTATTAACGTTTAAGTTTAATCAATGCATTGTTTTTCTATTGAAAGAATAGCTTTATTGATTGATTTGGGAGATTTTAAATTTTGATTATTCTATGGGTAAAGCTCAATCTAAGCTTAGCCAGGAACAGTTATTAGAGCTTCAGGATCTTACGAAATGTGGGTTAAATATGAATTAATTAATTAAATGTTTTGATAAGAGTTTAATAGTTGATAAAAAGGAGCTTCAACAATGGTTAGTTTTTTAACAAAAAAGAGACGGGAAGTTGATAAATAAAGGTATAAAGGGTTTCTCAAGGATTGTCCATCTGGGCAGTTGTGTAAAGAAGAGTTTCAAGGGATTTATAAGCAGTTTTTCCCATTCGGAGGTATAATTGAATCTTTTTTTTTGATAATTTTAACTAAATTCAGATCCTTCATCATTTGCTGAATATGTTTTCAATGTTTTTGATTCGGATAAGAATGGAATGATTGATTTCAAGGAATTTATATGTGCTTTATCAATTACGTCTCGTGGACGTCTTGAAGAAAAATTAATGTGTATGTATTTAAAAAAGATGATTTTAATATTTATTTCACTTTTAGGGGCATTTCGTCTTTATGATATTAATAATGATGGGTTGATTACGAGAAACGAAATGCTTCAGATTGTAGGAGCAATTTATAAAATGGTTGGAAATATGGTTAAACTTCCTGAAGATGAAGATACACCCGAAAAGGTTTGAAAAATATATTTTTATAATTGATTAATGGACCTAGCGTGTAAATAAAATCTTTGGCATGATGGATAAGGTTTTTAATAAAATTTACCTTTATACAATATTCTAATTTTCTTATAATTAGGATTGCGATGGTTATTTAACTTTAGAAGAATTTAGAGAAGGCAGTAAAAAAGATTCAACAATCGTTCAGGCCCTAAGTCTTTATGATGGCCTTGTTTGATATTTTTTTCAAAAAGTTTGCGTGTTATTTTCAACTATAATATATGTATATATTGGCATATTTGTTTTCTCATTTATGTAGTAGGATATAAATAAAATAGTTCATTTCATATTGAATATTTTTTTTAATTTTTTGATAAGATATAGATCTACAATAATTAACTTAAAAATACCTAATTTTTATTATATTTTTTTAAAATGACTAATTTTGATGTTATTCAAGAGGAATTAAAAGTTCTTGCTTTTTGGAAGGAGATTGATGCTTTTAAAACATCATTACAGCTCTCAAAAGGTCGCAAACAGTTCAGTTTTTATGATGGGCCACCATTTGCCACGTAAGTTTATTATAAATTTAATAAAATGTTAAAAAGTGAATAAAGAGGTCTTCCACATTATGGGCATGTTCTTGGTATTATTTTTATAGCTTTTTATCTTTTTTTAATCTGTTTTAGCTTCTACTATTAAGGTTTTAAATGATTTGAATATTTGTATTTAAATTAGTTAATATACGCCTGTAGGATATTGTAACCCGCTACGCACATAATACAGGACATTATGTTGATAGAAGATTTGGTTGGGATTGTCATGGTTTACCTGTTGAACATGAAATAGATAAAAAACTTGGAATTAATGGAAAAAATGACGTAATGGCAATAGGGATTGAAAAGTGATAAAAAATGCTTTATTTGTTTATGTTTTACCATTTTCTAGATATAACAGTGAATGCCGTGCAATTGTTATGAGGTATTCTGAAGAATGGAGAGAAAAGATTGAAAGATTAGGTAGATGGATTGAATTTGATAATGATTACAAGACTCTTGATACTCTATTTATGCAATCAGTATGGTATATTTTTAAGAAGTTGTATGAAAAAGATAGAGTATATAGAGGCTTTAAAGTCATGCCATATTCTACAGCATGCACAACACCTCTTAGTAACTTTGAAGCTCAACAGAACTATAAAGAAGTTTCTGATCCGTCTAGTAAATTTATTGAATATGTATTTTATATTCTAAATTGAATAGTTGTTGTATCATTTCCTTTATTGGAAGATCCATCTACATCTTTACTTGCATGGACGACAACACCTTGGACATTGCCATCTCATCTTAATTTATGTGTGAATCCTGATTTTGAATACATCAAAATATATGATGAAGCTTCTGGAGAGAATTTTATTTTATTAGAAAAATGTTTGGGTATTCTTTATAAAGATCCTAAAAATGCTAAATTTAGAAAACTGCAAACTATTAAAGGTGTTGATATGAAAGGTTGGAAATATGAGCCTCCTTTTTATTATTTTTATGAGCGTTTTAAAGAAAGGGCATTTAAAATTCTTTTAGCTCATTATGTTACTTCTGATAATGGTACTGGAATTGTTCATCAAGCTCCGGCATTTGGTGAGGACGATTATAATGTGGCTTTTGAGAATGGAATTATTGATGAGGATTTTCATCCTCCTTGTCCATTGGATGAAAGAGGGAATTTCACAGTTGAAGTTTCTGATTTTGCTGGGATGTATGTTAAAGTAAGTTTAATAGTCTTAATGGAATGTTTTAATGTTTTTTAGGATGCTGATAAAGCTATACAGAAAGTTCTTAAACAAAAAAAAAGATTAGTTGTGCAAACTCAAATAGTACATAGTTATCCATTTTGCTGGAGATCTGATACACCTCTTTTATATAGAGTAGTTCCATCATGGTTTCTAAAAGTTAAAGAATATACAAAAGATATGTTAGAAGCTCTTGAATCAACTAGATGGGTACCCTCGTTTGTTAAAGATAAACGTTTTATAAATTGGATTACAAGTTGTAGAGACTGGAATATTTCTCGAAATCGTTATTGGGGAACTCCTATACCTTTATGGGTTTCTGATGATTTTGAAGAAATTGTATGTATAGGTTCAATTTCTGAGCTTGAAGAACTCTCTGGAGAACGAAATTTGACAGATATTCATCGAGATAAGATAGATCACATTACAATTCCTTCTAGAAAGGGAAAGGGTGTTCTTAAAAGAATAGAAGAAGTGTTTGATTGTTGGTTTGAATCTGGAAGGTAAGGAGGCTTTATATATATATATATATATTAATATATTGGTCTAAATAGTATGCCTTATGCATCTGTGTATTACCCGTTTCAAAATTCTGAGAATTTTATGGAGAGTTTTCCTGCTGATTTTATTGCAGAAGGTCTTGATCAAACTCGTGGTTGGTTTTATACCCTTCTCGTTCTCGGCGTTCAATTATTTGGAATTGCTCCTTTCAAAAATGTTATTGTTAATGGATTAGTCCTTGCTTCTGATGGGAAAAAAATGTCAAAACGCCTTAAGAATTATCCTGAATTATCTATTGTTTTGGACAAGTATGGCGCAGATGCATTACGATTGTATCTTATTAACTCCCCTGTTGTACGTGCTGAATCTTTGAAATTTAAGGAAGATGGTGTTAAAGAAGTTGTCGCGAAAGTTATTATTCCATGGTGGAATAGTTATAATTTTTTTGAAATGCAGGTGAAACTACTGAAGAAAACTCATGATCTTAACTTTATGTATAATCCTGTTAACGAAGCAAGTAATAATGTGATGGACATGTGGATATTGTCGAGTTGTCAAAGTCTTATAAGTTTCATTAAGAAAGAAATGTCAGGTTTGGACTTTTTTAAGTTTTGTAGTGTGTCTTGATTTTTTAGAGTATCGTTTGTATACAGTTGTACCAGTACTTCTTAAACTTATTGAGGATATGACAAATTGGTATATTAGATTTAATAGGCGAAGGTTAAAAGTATGTTTCTATACTAATATTTTAATTATTTTCTGAGTTATTCTGTACAGGGAGAGTATGGAAAAGATGATACATTGACTGCATTAAATGTACTTTTTGATGTTTTATATACTTTATGCAGAACAATGGCGCCTTTTACACCATTTCTGACAGAAGCTATTTATCAAAATCTTAAGAAATATATTCCAAAGACTACAGAGGAAGATGTTAGATCAATACATTTTATTAGTTTTCCAGATGTTATAGAAGAGCGTTTTCAGCTTGATGTTGAAAGAAAATTTAATAGAATGCAAAAAGTAGTTGATTTAGCACGTAATCTTAGAGAAAAAAAATCAATCGGATTGAAGGTAGATTTTCCTTATTTTAATGATTATTTCTGATAATGTAGGTACCTTTAAAACAGCTTGTTGTAATACATCATGATGAACAATATTTGAATGATATTAAATCTGTTGAGCAATATATTAAAGAAGAGTTAAATATTAGAGATCTTTTCCTTTCTTCAAACGAAGAAGAATATGGTGTTCGATATAGTCTTGTAGCAGATTGGCCTGTGCTTGGTAAAAAGCTTCGAAAAGATATTGTTAAAGTAAAGAACTTTTTATCAAATGTAACTTTTGAACAAGTCAAAAAATTTATGCAGAATAAAGAAATTATTGTTGATGATATTAAATTAGTTGAAAGCGATCTTCAGGTTTTGTTTTTGGTTTCTTTCATGTTTTTTTTAAATGAATTAGGTTATACGTGTTCTTGATTTTGAAAATGCAATGTATTATCAAACCAATACTGATCAAGATGTTTTTATCATTTTAGATACTAGAATTTATCCTGAATTAAAAACTGAATATCTTGTAAGAGAGGTAATTAATCGTGTTCAACGTCTTCGCAAGAAAGTTGGTTTACAGGGTATACTTAAGGTTTTTTATATTTTTTTCTAAGTAAAAACTAGTTATTGATGATATTCGAATGGAATATGTTATGATCGATGATTCTATAGGTTTGGAGGATGCTATTTTTCAACATCAGATGCTTTTAACCAAAATTCTTCGTAGGCCTTTAGAAAAAAATCAATCAATATTACATGAAATAGATCCTAAACAGATCGTAAGGGAAAAACAGGACGTTCAGGGTGCAACTTTTATGTTATCTTTATTACGATTATAAAATATTTAATATAAATCATTGATATTTTCCTCTTTCTTTTCTATTGTAGTATTAATAGTATATTAATTCTAGAAAATGTATTCTTGTCTTCTTTATTTTAAAGTTTATATCTCTTATTTGTTTTTAGTAAATGTATACGATAAACGTTCATAATATATTCCACTGATTTGATTCCTTTAAGTCTTGTACTAAATGGACTCCGACTCATCAACCAGTGTATCTCAAATAACTGGTATATTTTTTCTATTTGAAAATACATTTCTTTTTCTTTTATAGAGAATCAATGGGATGATTTTCTTGAAACAGAACAACCTGCTGCGCAGTGTTTATTTTGTTTTTCTAAGTTTGACGATACACAGCTTGTTTATAAACATTGTAAAGAAGGTTTATATACATATAATATTTAATAATATTAAATCTTTCAAGTTCATGCTTTTGATTTACAAGCACTTCGCAAACATTTTAATCTTGATTTCTATAATACAATTCGTCTCATTAATTATATTCGTGATAAAGTAAATAAAGGATTATCTCCAAATGTAATGGCACAAGAAAATTATGTTGGCCATGATATATATTTACGGCCTGTTCTTCAAGATGATCGTTTACTTATGGGTAAAAAAATATGGCATATAAAATTAATTAAAAAATATATAGACTTAGAAGATGATGATGATGATGACGATAATAACAACAATTACGATAATATACATACTAATTTAAAAGAAAAAGATAATTCAATACCAAATTTATTTAATGAAAAAACTAAAAGTAATAAAATCTGACTAAAAATTTTATTTTATACTTAAAGTGATAATTCTATATTCTAAAATATATAAACTAATTCCTTTTATTTCATAAAATAAGGAAATATTTATGCCCATATTTTTTAAAAATTTTAACATATTATTTTTCATATCAGGAACACGTGGGTGTCTGCGTAATTTTAAAACATTTTCTTTAGGAAAAAACATTCTTTAAAAACTTAAAAATGTATATTTTCTCAAAAAAAAAACATTTCTTATCCCCTTAACCCTTTTCCTCAAATTATTGCCCGATCACGCAGCAATTAGAATTCAAATTTCTTGAGACAGATTTATTCTTTCAATACATTATTGTTTACATAAATGTCAACAGAAAAAAAAAACAATGGATATAAAAATACAGATTTATTGCAAACTTTCTCCAAATTGATCTAATTCAATACTATTGATGTTTAACCACCAAATCCATAAATCGTTCTTCCTTGACGTTTAAGTGCATAAACTACATCTAAACTTGTAACGGTTTTACGCTTCGCATGCTCCGTATAAGTTACTGCATCTCTAATAACACTTTCCAAGAACACTTTTAAAACCCCTCGCGTCTCTTCATATATTAAAGCCGAAATACGTTTAACACCTCCACGACGTGCTAAACGTCGAATAGCTGGCTTTGTAATACCCTGAATATTATCTCTTAAAATCTTTCGATGACGCTTTGCTCCACCCTTTCCTAAACCTTTACCACCTTTTCCTCTTCCTGACATTTCTTTTAACTAACTTTATTTAATATTAATATTAATTTTTATTTTTATTAATTTATTACCTTTCAATTTTATTTAATAAATTGTTTATAAATTAGCTCTCTATTTTCTTTAATTTTTTTCTTTAAATTTCCGTCTTTTTCTTTGTCTCCGTCTCCTTATCAGTCTTTGAGTACCCAGCAACCATCAAAAAAATCGTTGTTGATAGTGTTAAATTGACGTGAAAAAATTCCTTATTTACTACTTTAGGTCTGACTACATTCCAAGGTATCATATGTCGGAGATTGTCACGTGTTGCTAGGGCGTTGTTAAGGAGAGGGTTTGATGGGGAGGGTGCATATAGTCCGAGGGTGGTTGTAAGTTGAGCGTTTCTGAGTAAAAGAAAAAAAGATGGCGCGTACAAAGGTAAGGAGTGTTTTTTTAATGGCTGAGAGAAAGGATGGGCATATAATAAGTGTACAGCACGCATATAATAGGCACATAGTAGGAATATATGGTGTTTGAAATGAATAAATAATTCATTTTAGAATGTGCTGTTTTTTTTTTTTTTGATTGTTTAAGAGATTTATTAACTTTGATATTAGCAAACAGCAAGGAAATCTACAGGAGGAAAAGCACCGAGGAAGCAGTTAGCTACGAAAGCAGCAAGGAAATCAGCACCAACAACAGGAGGTGTTAAGAAGCCGCATCGTTATCGGCCAGGAACTGTTGCACTTCGTGAAATTAGAAGATATCAAAAATCTACAGAATTATTAATAAGAAAACTTCCATTTCAACGTTTAGTAAGAGAAATAGCTCAAGATTTTAAAACGGATTTAAGGTTTCAATCATCTGCTATTGGTGCTTTACAAGAAGCCGTTGAAGCATATCTTGTATCTTTATTTGAAGACACTAATTTATGCGCTATTCATGGGAAACGTGTTACGATTCAGCCTAAAGATATGCAGCTTGCTCGCCGTCTTCGTGGTGAGCGGTCATAAATTGTTAGTTTAATGTTTGTGGCAGGTCATTGAGTTTGTAAATTTGAGTTTCTTATGTATATAATTTTTAAACATGATTGAATTTTTTTTATTCGTAAGATGTTTTGTATGAAAAAGCTTGTTGATGAATGTTAGAAGGTAGAGATATGTTTTTTTTTGTAGAGGTAGAATGTAAAGGAGTAAGTTGATTTAATGTAGAATGCTGTATTTGAGAATAAGTGTTGAATGGAGTTCCATGGTTATTTTGTTGATGAATAGATGAAAAAGAATAAGGTATTGATGTGGGCCGTGATTGCTGAGATGATATGGCATTATTTTGTAGATGATTTTTGAAAAAAAGTAATTGATTAAGATTGTCGATATGTTGATGGTTAGATAATGGTTGGGATTGTGTATTTATTGATAGATTGTTAATATATGAATAAGATGGGTGAATAGTGCTCGGTTGTGAAAGATATATGCGAGATTTTTGTGTATTATATGATGTATTTGTATCCTTTTCTGAATTTCTGTGCCTTGTAAGGTTTTGAGTTGTGATTTTATTTTCAGATTGAGATTTTGTGCTTTTAATCAAGGATTTATACTTCATTTCTTCCTCGTCATCCGAAAATTCTTGTTCGTTTTCATCAATTTCTTCATCATGAATATTGCTGGCATCGCTTCCTTTGTTTGCTTTTAATTCTTTTGTAAAAATATATTTGCTGTATTCTACTACAAGATAAACTTTTTTACCTATGCTAATTTTTTCTTTGTCAATCTTTTCTCGAGCGTCAAGTCTAACAGAATACAAAGGTTGTGAAACTCGTCCAAATACTTCAAAAATCTGTTTTTGTTAGATCAAGAGAATTTATAAATATTTTTTATACAAGTCCTAAAATAGAACGATCTTCCAAGACTAGCAATGTTTCTTCGTCTAAGACCTTATATTCATCAAATACGAACGATTTAATAACAACGATATTGTCTACGATTTGAGATATCTCCCCAAGATATTCAATTGGAATATTATCAGTTATTATAACATCCAGTTTCTTTATTTCTATGTTTTTATAAAGAATTTCATTTTTTGTTTTTGGAAATTCAAATACATTATTGCTCTTTTCATCATTTGAAAGTGCTTTGTTTTTATCATGTATATTTTTTATACTAGAATTAAGTTAAAAAAAAATAAATCATTACACATTATTCACCTATCGCATTCGCTTTCTTCTGAACTTTCATGAACTGAATCCATTGATGATGCAAAATAGTTAATTTTTTTTTTTTCGCTTTTTAAACTTAAGTCTGAACTTTCTGTATCCGATGATATAAGACTTTCTGAATCATATTCAATAACCACTTCCTCATTTTCAGATGCCTTGTAAACGCTATCAAAATCAATTGTTTTTTGATTTTCTTTAATTTCTATTTTTGTGGAGTCATTTATTACTGAATTTTTTTTTTCTGTAAAAATATTTGAATCCCTATCAATAGGTTCCTTTAGTTCCTCACATGTTTTAAGCTTTTCATGGCCTACTTCCTTTTCTTCAGGATATTCAAGCAAAAAAAGGCCTGGAATATGAAATATTTGATCTTTCTTTATTTCGTTTAGCTTTTGTAGAATCACTTCTGACTTTTGATTTTCGTCTTTTTCTAGCATTCATTAGTAAAAATATAACATTTCATATAAGAATATATGCCTCTATCCTTTTCTGATAGGTTTTCCATAGTTTTTTAGAGTAGATCTTAAGATTTTTTTAAGTCGATGAGAGATAAGATCGTTAGTTTTTGATATTAAAAAATTATGTAAAATTAAGAAAAAAATATGAAAAGGCTTTTTTTCTTAAGATTTATGTTTATTTAATTTTTCTAAGTCTCTTAGATGGGCTTTATTTTCGACTTTATTTTTAATAAATCTTATTCCAAGATTTTTGGCAGCTCGGTATTCTATTATTCATGATTGTGATGAAGGTGTTATAGTTTTTGAAAAGAATAGTTATGAGTTTATTTTCTAGTTTATAATTATTGGGAGCCTCTTCATTATATTCTTCATGATTACGGGTTTCAAACATGGGAATATTCGGGGGAATATTGCATTAGAAGTTGGTTTTATATTTTACTTCATTCAATTATTATGATTGTTCCTAAAAGTCTAGGATTTAAGCGGGTATTTTTATTATTTAGTATGTTTTGAATAGGGCGATATCTTTAGATAACTGAGTTCTTTTTTATACGTTTTGTGTTCGCAATATTATGTGCTTTATCTGAAACGAAGCTTTGTCTATCTATAATTGGTGTTCTTGGGAAAGATATAGGCTTTTTTTACTTTTTATTTACAATTACTTCCGTAGGGATGTTTAATGCGTCTACAGGTGGTTTTATTAGAAAAAAAAAAGTATGTTTAACGCATAATAGCTTTTTTGCCATCTACTTTTACAATGTATACATCTATGCTTGGGTTGTCTGCTTTTTTTGAATCGGCATTGTCGAAAAGAACTATTGAAATTATATTTTGGTTTTTTTTGGGTGGTATTGTTGGATGGCCATTCTCATTAATTCTTGCTATTCCTATTATTTCTTATGAATTCTTGATTTCTATATATAATATCCCATTAAAACAAGTATTTTTGAAATATTTGAAAGCGATATTTGTTTGTATTATTATATTGGTATGTTTTTATGTTAATAATGTTTCATTTATCATAATATTAGGCATTTGTTTGCTTGGTTGATTCTTTAGCTTATAGAAAATTTCAAATTGTTCCGTTAAATATTATTAAATATAATGTGCTTAGTGGTAAAGGAAAAGGGCCTGAAATTTTTGGTGTAGAGCCGTGGTGGTTTTATTTTTTAAATTTACTTTTAAACTTTAATGTAGTTTTTATATTATGTTTTTTATCTCTGCCTATTATGGTGATTTTTTTCTTAGTTTGATCTCTGCTAATTTGGTAGTTTTCTTATTTTTCTCGGTTTTCTTTAAATATTGCTAAAAAGGGATTTCTTCTATCTATTATTAGTCCTTTTTATCTTTGGTTTTTTATATTTACCATTCAACCACACAAAGAAGAGCGTTTTTTTTTTGCTATATATCCTTTTATATGTTTGAATGCATCCATTGCTATTTCTCAATCATTATCGTTGATTAAATCTTACAACAATTTTAGATATATATCTTGCATAGTAAGATATATTTATGTCTTTATTTCTACATCTGTTTTGGTGATATCATTTTTAAGAGTTTTATTAATTATAGATGCATATAGCGCACATATGTCTGTGTATACGAAAATACCGTCTGCTAGTAATAATTTTAGGAGCATACTATGCATTGGTAAAGAATGGCATCGTTTTCCATCATCTTTTTTTGTTCCAGATAATATTAGTGTTAAGTTTATTAAAAGTAGGTTTACTGGACTTCTTCCTGGTGAATTTATTTCAAATAAAGATGAGTGGAGAAGTGGTATGTGGTTAATTCCATCAAATATGAATGATTTAAATATGGAAGAATGGGAAAAATATGTTTGTTCAATACATATTTGAAATTGTTGATTTATTAATTTGCTTAATAGACTGATATTAGTCAATGTGACTATTTAGTAGATACAGATTTTTTTGCACGTTATTCCTTTGAAAATTCGACAGAAGATATTATAGAACCAAGATATGTAAAAAATGAAGAAATGTGGAAGAAAATATTTTGTATGAATTTTTTAGATGCATCTTCTACAAGGATATATAGTCGGATTTTATGGATGCCTTCAAAATTTAGTCGAAGAATATACGGGGATTATTGTCTTTTGAAACGCAAAAAGTTTCATAAATTATAGTTTTAATTGGTATATCATTATTATTGATATAAATGTAATCGTATTTGAAAACAATAATTCTCGACTATAATTATGTATAGCCTAAAAATGAAATGTGTTTAAGTTTGATTCGTATTCTTTTATAATTGATGGTGTATTTAGTACAGTATTATTGTTATGATCATTTAACGGTATTTTTGGATATAAATCTTTATAAGTTTTTTTATAATTTGATAAGAATTGATTTTCAAAATTCCATCCTTGTATAAGATTAAGAGCAAGTGTATCACAGCCTATATAAGTATAAAGATGAGCTACATAAAGTATAAATTTAAATTCTTGATATTGAGAAATAACTGGATTTTTAAATATTTGTGAGCTTTTACTTTTTAATTCTTTATATAAGATAATTAGACTTGGATCTCCGTCAAACATTTTTTTATAATTAATTGGAATTATGCTTTTAGAATTTTTTTCTAGTAATGAAGTTAAGGGAAGCTATAATGTTTGTTAATAATGAAAAATTAAGAATAGGGAAATAATTACAACAAGACTTTTAATGGAAAGGTCTATTTTCCCTAGAATCCAAAATGCCCAACAAGCTAACCATCTATCATTAAATTTTATTGCATCTGGAATTATATAAGTCCTCAAAAGATTTTTAAATATTTGACTATCGTCTCCTTCATATACTCTAGATATACCGATTGCAAGAGAAATGTCTTGTAAGTTCTTTATGCATATATTTACTGCATTTTGCAATTTATCTGCAAGAAGGAAGAATGCTGCAGAGTATTCTAGAAGTATTAATTTTAATAAATATAAGCAAATTTATTATACCATAACGGTGTTTTCCTAAAAGAACGAATGCATTTTTTTGAGCTGCTATTTTCCAACGAGTTTCAGAAAAGTCATTTGATAAAAAGTTTATCATAATTTTTTGATTAGAGTGCCCAGTAGCCATCTTCCATAAATTGAGGAGTATATTCTTTTTCCTTAAAGCGATATAAAATAGTGAACAAAATTCTGGATTTTTGTCATTTATCAGATATTTTTTATATGCTAATGTCTCCATTTGAAGTTTCTTATTGGTTAGTTTTAAAAAGGAATATTATACTATTTTTACCAAATTTTTTCTATCTTTGAGCCAAAAAAAACAATAGGAACTGTGTATTTGAATATAAGTAAAATTTTTTTCATATTCTTGATTAATAAGTTGTAACAAAGTTTCCTTAAAACCCTTAGAATAAGTTAATTAATAGCATAATGAAATACTTGAGAGTCGCTGTGAAAAGCCCATATGGCTTCTTTCATTGATATATTGACCTTTTCATTGTTAAATAGATATAAATTTTTCAAAAAAAATAAATAGTATCGAATCCCATTAGTATCAATAGAATTTTTGTGCAATTCAATCTATAAATGATGAGTATATTTTGTTTAGAATGCATTGTTTTTATACATTTTTTATAGATTTTATTAAAGAAATTAAGTGATGTTGTTCAGAGGTATTAAGATTAGTAATAGTATAAGATAATAGACAATCATTAATCCGAGATAATAATCTTTCAAAAGGAATCTGATCAATGGTTTCTATATTTTTATCTTCAGTACTAAAAAGTTGATGATAATTAAGATGCTTTCTGTCATACTGATTTTTCTAGAACTTGTTAATATGGTATAATTTTAGGATTGATATAAGTTCACTTTTTTTTTTTTTTTTAAAAAGACATCAATTGGTATTCCCAAGAAGCTATCTTTAATTTCGATTCTATTTTTATTTATTGCATAGTTTTTTTCAAAAGAATCTAGAATTTCGTATAAATTAATTAGTATATTTCTTACATTTTCTATATCTCCTTAAATATGTTAGTCTTAAGCAAACATTTTAATCAATAATACCTATTAACAATAATTGTTCAAGGAATTGAGGATGATATACTGGTAATATAGTATTAAGAAGCATTATGTTTTTAGGCGATATGTATTTTTCATTTGTTTTATGAGGTATATTAATGGTATCAACATTATCATTTGCTTTATTATATAAAAATAGTTGGTTTTTGCTTCCAACAATTAAAGTCATATTATTTAAAAAAATTAAATGTTGTATCGAGTTGTTCGTTAAACTATATATTATATTAAATTTTATTTTATTGTTTATGATTAGGATTACCTAGATATATCAAAACTTCTAAAGAGAAACCAAGATTTTTGTTTATTTTCATAATTATGGCTTGTTTGACAAATAAGAATAACCTTATATTTAAAGCATAGAGCAAGTACTAATTGCGAGTTCTTTGTGCATGTCCAATCTAAATTAGATATTTCACTTTCTGTAGAAAAGTAATATCTACATTCTTCAATTTCAGAAAATTCTAAAGACCGGATATCCCAAATTGTAAGTTCTTTTCCTTTTTGACATACTAAAAAAATTAGCAAATATTAGAAAATATAAAATCATGAACTTATAGCAAGTTTTTTTGAAAATTCTTTTATTATTTTTGGTTTTAGTATTTTGGTTTCTAAAGATTCTGCTTCAGGTAAAATATATAGTTTTCCATCTTTTGAAATTTTTTTAGACCATATTTTTAATTGGCCAATAACAGAAATAGTAATGAAGATTTCTTTTTGAAAATAGGAACTTCGTTTTATTTGATTTATTGGTAATACTAAATGCAAATCACTTTCATAAAATAAAGAAAATTCTTGAATTTTCTCTATGTTTATGTTTTTACTATTTTCTTTTTCGCTAATTTTTGATAACTTCCATATCCATACTTTTTTTGTCGCTGTAATAGCCAAGAAGTATGTTTCATCAAGTAAATTTTGAGATAAATTTAGAGGATTTTTTAATTGCATGAAACATAATATAATATCGACTGGGACATCTTCACATGTAGCTATTATATTTGCAGATTTTCTCCTAATTTCTAAAATTGAAATATTTTTGAAGTTTAAAATGATAGAATTTTTTTCTTTTTAAAGTCAATATTAAGGAGAAATATTATTTATTTACCATTAAATATTATTATATGTGTAGGAGAATCCTTTAGCTGTAGACTGAATATTTTTTTAAGATTTTCAGATTTGTTAAAATATTTAATTTTCCAGATAATCATAGTTCCATCCATGGTCTTTGACAATAATATATCATTTTTTGGTGATTTTACCAAAGAATTTATATGATTGCCATGACCTGTCCATGTAGTTTGAAGGTTGAATTTACGTTTTTGAGGAGTAGAACTTATAAAGTCTAAAAAATTTATTTGATAAACATCAATATTTTCGCCGAAATATAAAAAGTATAAGTCAATGTTTACTTTGGAAAAAACATTAGTTCATTTTTTATATAATTAGGTGATATGCCTTTTATGTTCTCTTGTTCACTAGCTGGAATAGCAAAATATTCTGCATGTTTTAAGGACTCAGAAATGTGAAGATTTGATTTTTTTGTAGAAGAAATCGGTACTATTTCGATTTTTGAATTAATCCCATTATTATATGCCTATAAAAATTATAAGAATGTATTTAGAGTATTGATTTTATCTAACTAATATGGCAAATGCCCAGACTTGACCATTATTATCAAATGCTAAACAAATATCTGCGCTTTTATTTTTTATATTAATTAATTTATTTATTTCTTTGTTGGATGAATTTTTAGGTATATGTTGTAAAGATGATGTTAAGATATTATTATCAATGATTAAACAAGATGAATCCTCTCCAAGATTATTTGATGGTATCTCAAATAGCGATGTATTGTTTCTAACATCTATTATATAAGATAATTTAAATATGTATGATTCTGGCAAATTTTCTTGTGTCCAAATACGTAATATTTTGTCTTGTGACATAGAATATAATATATTATTAATTACTCTATTAAATTATTAAGTCAGTTTTAAAAAGAAATTAAAATACTGATCATTATAGGATTTTTTTTTCCATTTTATAGAAGTTATGGGTTTGGGATGTGGGAGATAAACAAGTTTAAATGATTCTATAGGTTCATGAAAATCTGGCTTTTTCCATATTTTTATAAAACAATCCGCCTTCTTTATTTAGATTTTTAATTTTGATCACTAGTAATTTCTTATACCTCTGAAATACAAGCAATTAATTTAGCATCTGGTGATATTATAGCAAAAACGACTGGACGAGAAAGTTTTTGAGACCAAATTATTGCTCCGTCTTTTATATTTGAAGAATATAAATTTAAACATGTTCCTCCAATTAAAATTTCGCCTCTATCACCCCATGATAAAGTAGATATGGTTTCATTATTAATAGTAAATGTTAATTTTAAACTCCACTTTATACTATTTAGTTTAGCGTCTATGTTTTTACATTTTCGTACAGAAAATTCCATTTTTTTAGTGATATCAAATATGTATATATTTGATTTACTGGATACGCAAATCTTATTTTTTTAATAATCAGTTTTTTAATTGAAAGTATTATACTCTCCCTGATCTCCTATCAATAGCGACAGCAGTAATTTCTTTCTCAACTGATAATATCTGGATTATCTTTTTTCCATTAATAAAAATGGGTACTGATGTTCCCGACGCATATGCCTATTTTATTAAATTGGATTTAATATTATTTTTAAGTGAAAAATGTACCACAAACGTCCTGTTATTATAGACCACTGCAGAAAAGGCATGATAGGAGGCCAAAGGTGCTCCAGGAGAAATATTTGGCATAAATTAATACTTTATGTTGTGAAAAAATAGTATTTTTATTATTTGAATCGATAAGAAATTTAAATTTTAAAATATAGTTTTTATTATTATATATGTTAAATATTATGAAGAATTTCTTGTGCTCTTCTAAATTACTTAATTGAATTCTTAGTATTTGGTTTTTAGCATTAGAGCTTTGTAAATCGTAACTTGTTTAAAAAAGGTGACAATGCGAAATTATTGTAAGATATAATATTTGATGAGTTTCCAAATAAGGAAAAATTATCATTCTTTGTACTTTCTTTTTCTGGTACATTCTTTTTTTTTAATTGATGTTTCCAAAAATAAAATGTTTTTTTCATAAATAATTCATTTTGTTTTTTTTTGAAAAGATGTGCTTGAATTTCCGGCCCCCGTAATTGTAATATATGTAATTCCCATTTTCTAATGTACTTCTTTATAAGCGTATGATTTTTTTTTATTAAAATAACTAGAGCGTTATTACTCATGGAAAGTATAATATTTTGTTTTTTTTTCCATTTTATAAAGTATAACCTAAAAAATCGATAAGACTTTTAAAAGAAAAAATGAAATTCTAATATACTTAATGTTCTTTAGGTTTTTTTCTTTTCGAGTTTGTATAAGTATTATGTCGAGATTTTTATATTTATTTGTCCAAATACTAAAAAATTGTATTATAAGGCATTGATACTTACTGGCACGAAATTTAAGAGCAATGTCATAATTTAATATGATACTTTTAAAATAATATTGCCAATGCATAATAGTTCTATGGCAAAGTTTAAGATTATGATTATAAATGAATAAGTTGACATGTTGTTCTCGGGATTTAATTCTTTTATGAAATTTTCCTTTCCAATGAAGAATACTATGTTTTGTATAGAAATAATTGCTTTTATATTTTGCAGTAAGATTATTTTCCTGAATATTGATATTTTTTTTTCTCCATATATTAATAATGTTTCTTTTTATATTAGCAGAATATATTCCCTATATAAGTCCATTAAAACATATATTAATTAGAATTATAGATAATTACCTTTGCGTTTTTTTTATTTTTATTTAAAAGGGTGAGTTTTTCAATCCATTCTAAAAAAGTAACAATTTTAATTCTGCGATCAATTTTATTCTTTAATATGGAGATCAATAGGATATTTCTATCATCTAATGTACGAAAATATTTTTTCCAAAGATAAAACGTTAAATAGTATAGTCTACGTCCTCTTACTCGAAGTAATAAAATCAATCTTTCTTTTAGAATCCATTTGTATATAATTCTTCTTCTTAATTTGTTTTCTAATTTAATTAATAAAATATTAAGATAAAGCACTTGACGCCAGTTTATAAATGTTAAGCGTAAAAGCGTATAGTTGAAAAAATTAGATGCTAACTGCATATTTTCTGTTTTTTTTTTCCAGTTTAAGAAATATTTTTTACAAAGAGACTTATTTTTAAAAGACAAAAATTCTTTTTTTGATATTTCAATTTTATATTTTATATCCCATGTATGAAAGATCTTGATTATATTCATGTTATTCGATAAAGCAATTGCTTTAATCATGTTTTTGTAAATTTTTTTTGATTTCTGGAACCATAATTTGTAATAATAATTTATTATTTTTTTTGAATAATTTTTAATAGCGGTTTCGTTTTTTGTATATATTAATTGAAGTTGTGATTTCCATAATAGAAAAGTATCATACTTTTTTTTTGAACTTTTATTTAGTATTAATTTGTCTAAATAAGTTTTAGTAAACCAACTAATAAATATGTGCTTTAAAAGATGTTGTCTCTGCCATTCTATTGCTTTATACATTATGTTTTTTTGTATTAATAATTTTTTTTTCCATATAGAAAATGGAAAAGATAGAAGATGTAATGCAGCTATTTTATATTGCATTATCCATATTTTTCGCCATGCATTTAAAAAAATTTTCATTAATATGAAATTATATAATTGTTGATGCTTTTTTTTTTTTATATATAACATCTTTAGCCATTTTATGAAACTTTTTTCCATTAATACATAATTTCCTGCATTTTCTGCATTTCTTTTTGTTTTTTTGAGATATAATGATTTTTGGTGCCAGATTTTTAGTGCTTGGAAAGATAAAATATATGAATCATGTAAAATAGCTTTAGAATACATAGATTGAAAATAGTTGAAAATATCTTCCGTTCTTCTAACCCAAATCTTAAAATATTTTTGTTTTATTAGTATACAGCGTTCGTTGTAAATATATTCTGCATGTTTTGCATTTTTTACAATATTGTTATTATATGTTGATATTTTAACATTTTCTTTTTGTAAAGACTTAGTAGTAACGGGTGAACTTTTGGTTATTTGTGAAGCTAAGGAGCTATTGGATGTTTCGTCTGAACTATAAAAAAAATCTTTTAAGCTTTTTGATGATTCTTCATAGTTAGGAGTAAATGTATGATCTGTGTCTCTGTTTTTATGATCTAGAATACTATTCTCTGGAGTCGTTTTTTTTATTGACCTAAAGTCAATGCCCATATTCTAATAATGTTTGTATAAAGTTATTTTTTTATTGTTATATTACCTTTATTAAAGATTTGAATTTATATTCCCATCCTTCTCCCTGTATTTGCACAAGTTTTAAGATATATTTGTAGTACACACGGTCATTGGTTGAATCTATATTTTTTCTTTTTAAAACAGTATCATATGCTTCAAATATTGCAAGAAATGATCCTCTTTGTTTAGAAGTATCTGCAACAACTACTATTTCATATAACAAATTTAAATCTAAAATATATGTTATATGATGGAATAATGTGAAGAAAAATAAATGCCTGCAGTAAACTTATGCATTTTAAATTATTTTATATTACAAATGCTTATTGATTTATTTTTTCTAACATGAATTTTTTTTAATAGTTTTAATTTTGAATTCTTTATATGTAAAGCAGTTTCATATTTTAATGTAATTTCTTGTTAATATAGATAAATCTTTGTTGATGATCAAATATGATTCAGCTTTATGAAATTGTGATTTCGAAATAAAATGGGTTGAATTTTTATTAAATATATATTAAAAATATATTAAGTGATAAAATTAAGAAAAAAATATGAAAATATTCTCTTGTTTTCAAAATTTGTTTTCAAAAGTTGTAAATTAAAATTAAAAAATATGTTTAGATTTTCTATGAGAAAAAATGTATTTAAAAATATTTGTATATTGTTTAATTTGTATATAAAAAGGTTATCATAGACATTTTGAGCTTTTAAACTTTTAAACTCATTGAAATTATATATTTTTAAAATATTGAAATTCCGGTTTTATGTTCTTAATTTGATAAATAAAAAGTTTTGATTTTAAGTCTTATATTTTATTTTATGGAAATATTATTATAAGAATACATTAATACTTGTATCTCTGTTTATGTTATTAGATATATTTTCTATCAATTTGATGTAATAGTTTTAACTATTAATTCTACCAATTTTTCAGCACATTCTTCATCTTGTCTTGCGGTTTCAACTATAGATATAATTCTAGAAATCCCTATACTAATTTCTTCTGAAGGATGAATTTCTCTAATAGATTTTAAAGCTAAGTTGCGCTCTGTATCAGACAGGATTTCTAAATGCCTTAAAACAGTATCTAATTCATGTAAAGATGAAACGTTTGGGACCGGTATATCTGCATCAAATGAAGAAAGAATGCTCATATGTGATAAGACTGTTTTTTCTGATGATGTTACGATAATAAGAAGCCTTCTACTCTATTAAATATTATTATGAATTACGATAGTCCTTTATTTTTTATACCTTCGGAGGCCGCTTTCTAAATAATATCATAAGTGTTTGAAGAACAGTGTTAGAAAAACGTGGTCCAATGGGCACCCAATCTAATTTATTAGTATAAATAAATAATAAAATTATTTAATACCCAAAAGTCTTTCAATATTATCGACAACGATTACGCTTAATGGACTTTTGTAGCTATCATTAAATATTTTACCTAATGCTGATACTTTAGCATTTTCGGAAAATCCAATCATGGATTCTGGTGAAATTAATTTTATAAAAGGAAATTCTGATGCAAGTGCAATTGTTGCAGCTAGCGCTGTCTTTCCGGACCCTGGAGGACCATGTAATAAAAGACTAATTAATGGTGTTCTTTCACTTTTACGAACCTGTTCGACAAAAAGTTTCCCTTCATTTAAAATATTCTAAGTTTTAGTTAAAGTATGAATAATAAATAATACATTCAAACCTCTATATATGAAGAGAATTTAATTATTCCGTTACGAATAGACTGCTCTAATTCTTCTTCATTAACACCAAATGCTGGTTTTACTTCTTTTAAAGCGTTTATAAAATCCATTCTATTTACTTTTAAGTTTTCTACATCCTCTGATACACCAGCAACAGTTCCCACCTAATATAATGAAAAACATATATTAAATTGTATTGAAAATACTTTAACATGTCTATTGAATGCAAAACTACTTGCACTTTTTATTAAACCACCTATTTCAGCTCCTGAAAAATTCTTAGTTAATGTAGCCAATTCGTCTAAATCCACATCGCGATCTATGACTTCGTTTTTCTTCATTTTTGATGTATGTATTTTGAGAATCTGTTTCCTTCCATGTTCATCTGGCAGTGAAATTTCCATGTGAACTTCTAGACGTCCAGGCCTTAGGAGAGCTTCATCTATCATGTCAAATCGATTAGTCATTCCAATTATTAAGATATTATTAAGTACATCTACGCCATCCAACTAAAAATATAAGAAATTTGAAAACATAGTTTTAGTAACATTACTTTCGTCAATAGTTGATTTACGATAGAATCACCTACTCCAGTGCCGTCATTTCTGCTTCCTCTTTGTTTACATATGGCATCTAATTCGTCAAAAATTATTATATGAAGACCTGAATCTTCTCCTTTCTCTTTATACTTTAAACATTAGGTTTTGTCGAAAATATATAAATATATTACTTCTTTTTCTGCATCAAAAAAGAGCTTTCTTATATTTTCTTCACTTTGTCCAACAAATTTATTTAAGATTTCCGGTCCATTTACTATTTTTGGCTCTCTAGCATTTAACATTTTACCTATCTGTCTCGCCATAAGAGTTTTTCCTGTTCCTGGGGGACCATATAGTAAGATTCCCTTTACATGTTGAATACCAAGTTTATCAACCAATCCTGATGGGAATATTCTGGATGCAAATGCTCTACGAAAAATAGCACTAAATTCACTATCTAACCCTCCTATACCCATATCCTCGAATTTAAAGTTAGGTTGAATAATGGAATTTGCATTAGGCCTCCTCGTTGATGCTTTTATTCTTATATTGGAATTCCCTGTTTTATATATATTGATAGAAGTATGTAAAGTAAGAATGCCTCGTGTATATGAATTAGATGAAATTTCCATATCTTCTGTTTTTTTTTTTTCACTGATAGATACTTTTATACATTTTATATTTTTTACAATTGCTTTTATATTATATGATTTAAAATCAAAAATCAATTTTTGTTCTAATGTAAGAATCTGATTTTGAAAACACTATTGTTTTTAACATATTAACATTATTTTTTAAAAATAATACCTTTGAAAACCACTTTGCCATTATTTCTCCATCAAATTGTTCCTCTGTTGTACGAAAACCTGGAACAAATCCTATTTCCAGATCCATCGATTCTATATACATAATATCATTAACAAACGGATCATATGATGTCACTGATACGGATTGCCCGAGAGACCACTGTGCCCAATCTCTTTGTATAAGACTGGCACCAATATGTCCTTGTTTCATTTCTGTAACAACCTTGGTGCTAAAAATATAAAAATCATCACATATTACATATGTATTGTCTTTAAAGTCATATGGAGACACCGCCAAACAATTAGTCAATTCTATTTGTTCTCCTTGAGTTTTTGGTATTTTTACAATGGTATATATTCCTCCTTGCTTTTTTTCTTTATTTAGAGAATAGTTTGATAAAACATTATTTGGTTGTCGATTGTCATTGAAGATATTACTGAAATTTCTATCTTTATATTCCTGTGCTGGTTTGTTTTTATTCATTTTGACAGAAATATACAGATTTTTATTGATATTGACAATTTTGTTGAATTCGAAATGGTCGATTAATTTTAATGTTAACTTTTAAATAATGATATTTAAAAAATAGGAGTGAAATTATTGAAAGACTTGATAAGACTTATACGAAATGCCTCTAAATATTCTTCATCATAAAAGGTAAAGGCTTATTAGTTTTTATTTTTTGTTTTAATAGAGAATATAGTTGGAATGTTTATAATAAGAGTAATATTGAGAAAGTTCGCCGAGATGAAGCCCTTGCTAGAAAGAAAGAAGAAGAAAGGGAAATGCGTATGCGTGAGGCTGTTTGTAAACTTTCTTTATTTGATAGTTTATTTATTTGTTTAGGATGGAAAAAGACGTTTAAGAATTCTAAGAGAACGGTCAGGACTAAGAGAATCTGAAATGATTGAAGATAGGACAGAACATTTAAAAGGGAATTCTTTATATTACAGTAGAGCTCATGTTCAATCTATGAAGGATTCTGATGTTCATTTATTAAAAAATGAGAAAAAAAGGAAGAAAAATGATGACATGGCAATGTTAGATAAAGTACTTAAAAGGAGATGTGAACCATCCCAGAATAAACATATTAATTTTTGGGAAGATTTTGAGTCAGGGGTATTTTTTAATTGTCAAAAATTATAAATGTGTTAATTTTTGATAGAAAATTCATACGGATTATAGTAATCCTGAATATGAGAAAGAAAAGGCAGATGCCGACAAAAAATGGAATGATATTATTACTATGCAGTTAAGTAACTCATCAAAAGGTTTTTTAGTTTCTTTTTTTATTCTTTATAATTCTATTTAGAAATGTCTCCGTGGTATTCTCATTTGAGTTTGCAGTCATCAGCACAAAGAAAAAAGGATCAACAATCCATTGAAAGAGATATAAGGATCCAGAATAGTATCAAGGATTTTAATGATCCTCTTACAGCTATGCAATCATATCTTAAACAGAAAAAGAAAATAAAAAATCTTGATTTGAATAAAAAAGCATGTGATTCTTTAGATAAATATAATCATTTTCGTAAAACATCTTATGAAGAGTATACTCGATTGGCTATATCAGATAAAGTGCATAAAGATATAAATAAAGATAAAGTATTAGAAGGAACACATTTATCTAGAGAATTTCAAGAAAGAAAATTACAATCAATGAGTGATTTTTCTAATCAATATATTACTGATTATAAGATTATAGGGAAATATAGTTCTCAATACAATCCTGAATATGTTAATAGACATGAGTAATGTATTGTATTTTTGTGGTATAATTTTGGAAATTATTCTTGTATTGAAGCAACTTTTGCATTCTTTATTTGACTTTTATTTATGTTTGAGGTCTAATTCTATAGAATAATATTTATGGGAAAAATATATAATATTAATCCAAATATATATGAAATTTATTTGATTATTTATGAATATTTTTCAATGTTTAAATATTTTTATTTTATTTAAAAATAATAATTATTAATTTCCATAATATATGGCATTATAATTATTATTTATGAGTTCTTTTTGAAAATATATTTGTTAATAGATAACATTTAATATATTTGATAAAAAGTATATACAGTTTATGTTAGAGTTAGAAATCCGTTTAAAAATTAAAAAAAACCGTGATAAAAACATCAGTTACTTCTCATTTCTATATTTTCGAATACCACCTCCCACCACAATAAAAGCATATATCACATGCATCTATCAATTTTGACACAAATGAGTGGTCTTGATTTGAAAAAGAAATACGCTTTCTTGAGCAATTTTGACAAGTTTTGGGGGAAGTATCCATTAGAGTAAATAAAGTTATAGAGCACCTTGCTAAGTTTTTTAGACTTAATATAGAAAAATAGTGTTATTACGCCATGTATGTTTTTTTTCACATGTTCCAAATTCTACATTTTTAAATGGTATGTTTGACTTGCAAACGTTACAATACTCCTCTGTATTTATTTTCCAATCTAAATTATTTATATTAAGTTACATGAAAATAATTATATTTGCTATTACCATGAATTTGTAATAATTCGGATGATAGAAAGTGTTGTTTCCAAATTTTTAAAAGACTTAAAAGTAAATTGTCGTTTGGAAAATAATTTATAATAAATGAACAGTAAAGCATGATTAATTTTCTTTCTTTGGATGTTAAAAGAGAGCATGATGTATGTTGGTGAAAATAATTAGATTCTGATAAAACGGTCATTATTAAATGAGATCGAAGATTAGATATAATTGTATGATAAATAGTTTCTAGATCCTTTTTCATCTCATTATAATTAGTTTAGTTATGTCAGTATAATCTACCAATACTTTAAACATATTTATAATTGAATTTAATAATCTTTGTGAATTTAAAAATTTTGAATTAAATAATTTATCAGGTATGGTTTGGCATATTTCATCACTAATAATTCGTTATTAGAATTATTATATAAAGAAATCATGATTATGTACGATATTTCTTTATTAAATTTTTTTAAGTGATCAAAGCATTTTAAAAAATTTATTTCCCTATATGATGTGTTAAAGAATTTAGATAAGCCTAGATCCCAAAGCATGCATGTTGTCGAAAAATGAGTATCTAATAAAATTAGTTTTTAATGTTGAATTATTAGTAAATTTTACTTGATATGACATATTGTTCTACAACTTTTAAAATTTTTTCATTAGAAATATTTGATGACTCCAAAAATACTAGCTTTGCTTCCGCCTGTTTATGTGTAATATATCTTATCTCATCTGATGGTATGATTCTTGATTTTTATTAGAAGAAAAAATAGTAAGTATATATGATTTACTCGCAAATGAAAATCTGATATAGAAATGGAGGAAGCGACGATAATCCGTATATTCTAATATTAAATTCTGAGAAACTGTGCGTTTGCATGTAATCAGAAAGTTGTTCTTTGAGTTTTGAAGTAATATTATTAGTAATAGGCTCTATTTCATTAGAAAGTTTTGAAAAGGTAAAAGTTTGTATAAGGCCATTATGATATGCCACTAAAAATCCAATAGGATCTATGCCATTATATATAATAGAAGTTCCTGAAGTTATGAATTTAGATCAGTTTTTTTATTTTTGCTACCTGAAGCTTGTAAAAAAGTCCCTGTATGTAAATATTTTATGAAAATAGGATCAAAAGTTACTGAACATTGAAAAACTGAGATTCGTTCAACATGTATTAAAATTAGATATAATATTGTCTGTATACATTAATTGCAATTAAATAGCATTTTTGTAGAAATATACTGATTGAAGAAGCCATAAAGAATTGTTGGAAGGAGTCTCAAACTCATTATTATCTACATATAATTTTTTTATAGAAGGGGAGATTAAATAAACGTTTTCATTATTTATAGATACTGATAGTTTTATAATTCTTGTGGGTCCGGATTCGCCAGATACAGATAATAAGCTGCAGTCTTGAGTATATTATTATATAGGTTTCAGCATTTTATGATATTACATGTATTAACATTTTCTTGTATCCATGGAGAAAAAGAAAGTTTTGTTACCCATGTTTCTAAAACTTTTAACTTTAAACTTAGAACAGCTTCTTCTGAAGTTATGCTTTTCTATATTATAAATTATGATAAATAGAGTTTATGTTACCTCCAAAGTTCAATTTCACCATATTCATTTCCTATACCTAGATAGCATTTTCCCCATTTTTCTTCCTGTGTATAAAGTGTTGGTGACCATAAGATACCTTAAAATAGTAAGAGAAAGGTACAATAGAACACGAGAATTATTTACATCGTGCTCTTGATTTTAAAAAATCAGTTATATTAGTGTTCGGTTTTGAGGAATTGAACAAATATTTTATAGTAATTTTAGAAATGTTGTGTAGCTTTTTATATTAGTGTAATAATTATTAAATTATTTTGAATATACGAGAACCCATTTATTTGAATATGGGTTTTTGTATGGCTTAAAGATATAGACAACGTGTTTTGACGTTAATATAGCAAGTACGCAACTATTGATTAATTTAAAAGACAATAACAAAGATTTGAATTTAACTTCTTTGATTCTGACACTCCTGTAGGCGACCAATCTATTTCCTTTATAAAAGTATCTGATGATTCAGAAAGATAAAAATGTTTTTTATCTATTTTTGTTAAATAAATGCAAATAGTTTAAATGATTTACCGTGAAAAATATAAGTATTCTCCTGTAGCTCAAAGTATGAGGATAAATCTATATCTTGAACTTGAAAATCTTTTTTTTGTGATTGAAATGAGGTATTCCATGACTTAAGAGTTAATATTGAACATAAAATGATCAGAGTATAAATTTACAATAAGTTGAACCCTAGTTCCGCATGCAATTCCTATTATTCCATCTTTTGATAATTTGCATGAATTAAGGGTAAAAGGTAGTCCAATTTTGACATTTTTAATCATATAATTAAAATAAAAATGTTAAGTTTCTTGAAATATCGGGAGTTGTATTAAAATATAAAAAAATATAGGTTAACTTATTTAAAATTGTATTGATATTAGAAAATGGAAAAAATGAGTTAAATGTTTTTTCAATTTTTATGTAAATTATTAAATTATATATATTTAAGTGTTGTAATTTGATATTATATATAATCAGGAATAATTGCTAAGTTTATTATTAGTTTTGAAATAAGATTTCAATTTTTGGACATACTCTTTGAATTTTCAACGAGTTTTTATTAAAATGTTTTTTACATAAATTATAATTAAAATTTAAATATTTTATTTGAATTTTAAATTGTCAATTAAAAATATTAAAAGCAGAAATATAAAAATGTGTAACTATCATAATTTTTTTATTTTTTGCACTTGTAGATGATTTAGTATAAAAAAAATATTTCTTGATTGTTTATAGTTTATAAAGTTATCAATAAAAATGTTAAGATATTTTTTAATATTGAAATTTGATTTTTTTATCACATTTAGTATTCTATTGTTATTGTAATAAGAATAATATTAAGGTTTATAAAGGAAGGATTCTGTCACTTTTGATATATATTTTATTTTTTGAGAATTAAATATGATTTGAAAGATAAATTTTTAGATGATTTAGTTTTAAACACTTGGAAATAAATAATAGAAAAAGAATACATATCAATTTAGTAAATAATTAATAAAATTTATTTTTTATTGTATTCTTAGAATTATGTTAGTTATAGGGTGATATTAAGAATTTTGTTTTTTTTAAAATTTTAATAAGAAATGCTTCTTTTTGAGCTTCTTCCATGTGAAACAATTATAATGATAATTACATTTGTAATAGGAGTAGAAAACTTACCGTTTTGTTTTCTATATTGATTAGTTTAATATCAAAATAGAAGCTTGATATTTGTTATTAACTGCTTATACATTTTACTGTGTAAAAATCAAATTAAGCTGACTCTAAAATATATTTGTTTGTATATTTGATTTATTAATATTTTATATTTCAAAAAAATAAATGTATGAGTTTTAGTTTAAAGATAACTTTATAATTTTTGTTATATTTTTATTGATTATTATCAATAGTTGATTAAATTATCTGTTTCAAAATTACAAGAATTTATCTGGAAAATTTTAACAAGTTTTTAGCCTACTTTCTGTTTTCTATAATTGCAAAATATTGTTAAAATCTTTAGATTATAAAAAAAATAGAGAATAAAATAATAATTTTAAATATTTTTTAAAATCTTTCGTTTCTTTTGAGACTTCTCGAATTTGTTTTTAGATCATTAAAAAGATTTATATTTATTTTTTTTGATTTTGAAGTTTTGCTTTTATTTTTATCGGGTCAATATTTTAAAAATTAGGTAAAGTTGAATCATATTTTTTATTTGTTTAATATATGATAATTAAATATTTTTTTTGTTTTCGTTATTTTTTTATGTTTTACTTTTTGATGTTCAATTATTTAATTTTAGAGCGATATGCTTGTATTTTGAAAATGTTTAGGAATTTAAATATTAACGTATAGAAATATTGTTTTGATTTTGTTTGTTATAATTATTCAATGACAAGGCCTATTTTTTTTGATTTTTTTATATAAAATTGTTTGAATGTATCGTTTATAAATAACATTGTAATAATTTAAAAAAAAATAGTTTGTATTTTATATAAATGAAATAGTTTAAAACAATGTTTAGAAGGATTATGGTTCTAGTAGACGTTATAATATATTTTGTTTTAATAGTGTTTAAATTTTAATATTACTATGTGAGCTATATTTTATAAATTTAAGTATAGATAAAATAATTGATAAATTGAACAATTTTTTCCAATATTTGTGAGAAAGAATAAAATTTATTAGAGCGATTTAGGAATTAGTAAAAGTAAGAAATATTCATAAACAATATAATGTTATTATATTTTATTTTCTTTAATATTTAAAGTGGGCTGTGAAAATGGAGTAATTAATGTAAAAGAAAAAATAAAATGTTAGGAAGTTGAAAATTAAATGGTCTGAAGTTTTTTTAAATATAGTATGAACAATATTTGTTTTTTTTATATTAAGTGATATTGAATAACATAAATTTATTTCTAGATAATGTAAAATAGACTATGTTCAGAGGATTTATTAAAAAAATAAGCAATAAAATAAAGAAATGATTTTTATTTAAGAAATAATGTTGCATTAATATATTTTTAGTGTTATTGTATATTTTTAATGTTTTATTAGAAATTTCTATTGGTGAAAGGTATAAGATTTTTATTTGATATTTTATTAACATTATTAAATTTATTAAAAGTAAATGTATATTTCTATTTGCTTTTTAGTTTGTCAATTTAAGATATTAGTTACAATTTTTTATAGAATTTTTAGTTTAAATATATAGAATTGTTTTATATATTCAGGATAATTTTTTTTAGATTTTTTAAATTTCATGAGGATTTTTATTTATTTTACATTTCTTTATAAAATTTATGTTTATATTAGAGTATAATTTTTTATAGTTATAAATGAAAAATTTATTAATGTATAATTTTATAAATCTGAATATTTATGACGTATTCTTGTCAACTTTTAATTATTTTTTATGGTATATGTATATAATATTTATATTTTTTTACAGTTAGGTTTTTTTTTGAAAGATTAACTTATAAGTGTTAAAAGTTTTTAATTGTTTTATTGAAATTAATAGAAATATAAAAGAACGAACATAAAATAAGTGTTTGATTATTTTTAATGATTAACGTTTTTATACATTAAATGATAAATGTATATCTTTTTTAAGTTTTATTTTAATAATTTAAAAAAACGTTTTAGAATAGTAAACTATATCGTAATTAGGGCAAAAAGTGCAAAGACATTATGAATATAATATTTTTATGGTTTTTAAAAATTATATTAATTTTTGAAAATCGACTTTCATATAAGAAACCTTTTAACTCGAATTCAAATTTTGTAATTAATTGAGAAATAAATATATTCTTTTATTTTTCTATTTTTAATATTATGGGAATTTCACTATTTTTATATAATTATGAAATTAATATTTTAAGAATTATAAAATAACGATAAAAAAAATGTAAAGATTAAATGATAAATAATAGAAAAGCATGTTTTTAGGAATTATACAAAGCCTTCAGAATATTATTGGAAGGTTTTTAGTATTTACTAGTTTTTTTAGAAATGATTAATTTGTTGAAAATAATTGTGTATTTTCAAAATATATTAATTAATCCATAATTTCGCATATATTTCCTTTATTTTTTCATAAAAATTGGTTAAATATCTGCTTTTTAGACATTTTTTATGATTTTTATTTGTAATGATAAATTATTAAAACTTTTGAAAAGATATTTTTAAAATGTATAGCGGCGATTTTAATATAGAGAAAAAAAGAGAATAAAAGTATTACTACAAATAAGAAGTCTATAATTCAAGATTTCTGTTTTTGGTATAAATTATTAAAAATGGCGTTTTTTTTTAACAGAAGACAAAAATCTGTTCAAGATGTAGTGCGTGGAGTAAAGGATGGAATTCAAAGATTAGAAACATTAGGATCTATGGCCGATAAAAAAAGAGTATGTTATAAGATATCTTTTTCTTCTGTTTTTAAAAAGGGAAGGTGTTCTAACTTTTTAGGTACAGGAAGAAGTATCTCGGAGTCTTCAAGCAATGAAAGTATTATTATATGGTGATAATGGTATGGGACTGTTCTATTTTAATATAAAATGTTTTTGAAATTATATTCGTGTTTGTAGATACTGATCCTGTACCTGATCAAGTTACACAATTATCTCAGCAAGTATATCAAACGGATTTACTTTATTTATTTGTAGTTAATTTTGTCCATCTTGAATTTGAAGTATTTTCTGTTAAATTTTTAGTTAATTTTTTGTTTATTTTAGAAGTCTAGAAAAGATGTTACATCTATTTTTAATGTTTTTCTTAGAAGACAAATTGGGACTCGTTATCCCACTGTTGATTATCTTGCTACAAAAGAAGATACTCTTTTCATTCTTGTTAGAGGGTAATATTATATTACTTATATTTTTCTTATAATAATTATTTTTAGTTATCAGATTCCTGAAATTGCTCTTCATTCTGGTCTTATACTTCGTGAATGTTTTAAACATGAATTACTTGCAAAAATTGTACTTTGGAACTCCGTATTTTGGGAGTTCTTTACATATGTTGAAAGTGGAACATTTGACATAGCTAGTGATGCTTTTCAAACTTTTAAAGTAAATACTTTTTGTTGTATTATTTATACTAATTCCTATAGGAACTTTTGATTCGACATAAAAATATATCTGCTGATTTCTTACAAAATAATTATGACGATGTAATGTCCTTTATATCATACGAAAATCTTATAATAATATAGTTTTTTGAAAAATTTACTAATCTTTTGAACTCTTCTAATTATGTTACAAAGCGACAATCTATAAAGGTATGATTTTCTGAATAATTTTATTTTCATTGATTATGAAGCTCCTGGGTGAAATTCTTCTCGGACGATCTAATTTTAATATTATGACAACGTATATTCAATCTTCTGAAAATCTTAAGCTTATAATGAATTTATTGCGTGACAAAAGTAGAAATATTCAGTTTGAAGCATTTCATGTTTTTAAAGTAGGTTTAGCTTTCCTTTTATTTTTCTTATTTTTAGGTTTTCGTTGCAAATCCTAATAAGACAAAACAAGTTTTAAATATTCTTATTAAAAATAAAAATAAACTTTTGATTTTTTTATCTAATTTTCATAATGATCGTAAAGGTTTTTTAAAAAAATGGCTAATGAATTTTCTCATATATTACAGATGATGAGCAGTTTAATGATGAAAAGACGTTTCTAATCAACCAAATTGAGGCACTTTAGTTAGTAACTTATTATTATTAGTACATTGCATTTTTGTATCTAAATGTATTTTCTAAACTGTAAATGGTAAATGATATAATAGAAATAATTGATTTTATTTGTATTTTAATGTTTTCGAAAAAATTGTGGATTTTGTTTTGAATTATTATTTGTCTAAAATAATGGTTATTTGTTTGGTCCTAATATGGCATATTTTACTTGATTATAAGGGATATATGTTTCGGTCCATAATAAAAATTGTTCTGAACCTTGTTCTAGCAAAATTTCTAAACCATGTATAGTTTTCCAATTGTATGCTTCTGCAATACTAATAAGTTCTGTTGTATCTGATCCGTATGCCATATCTAAAAATATACCTTCTGATGATTTTCTTTTTAAATTAAAAAGATTTTTTGCTATTTCTAGAACAGAAGGATCTATTGGGTTATCTGCTGGTATTGTAGAGATCCCTATTCGAATATCAAAATTTATATTATTTAATTCATGATATTCTGTTATAGGAATTATGCGATCTGTGTTAAAAAAATAATGTAATTTATTTAGTTTATCTTTGGATCGATTTATAACATAAATTGGAGATATTCCAAGAGAAAGCAATGCATATATAGCTGCTCTACTTGCTCCTCCTGCTCCAATTATAAAACCTGAGAAACTTTCGAAGGATTTTTCGGATTTGTTAAAATTGTTTATTACTTTTATTATTCCTTGCCAATCTGTATTTTCACCTTTAAGAATATATTGACCATTATTATATATTTTTGTTATAGTATTGACAGATCCAATTAATGCTGCATGATCTGATATTTCATCTAATAAAATTGATATGTTTGTTTTTAGTGGAATAGTAACAGAAGCTCCTCCAAAATCTTCTAAATGTAATATTTCTTTAAGTTCACTAATGGAATCTGTTTCAAATAATTGATATTTATATGGAAGACCTAAAATTTCAAAACCTAAATTATGAATATTAGGTGATTGAGAATACTTAATAGGTTTTCCAAAAAGAAAATATTTTTTTTCTGGAAGAAGACCCATTATATGAAGTGCAGTGTTAATTTCTTTAATTGATAGTTGTCCAGGTGCTATTTTGGATGGTAGCAATGGATGAGTAACAGGCGTCATAAATGTATTCATTAATCTAGATAACTGGCCTTTTATGCCTGTGTTTATTATTATTGAAGGTATTTTTTTATTAATAATTTTGTTTTTAAATTCTTCTAATAAGAAATTATCTTCAATTGATGATGAAGTTCCTACTAATTTTATAATCTGGCCATAGTGTTGAGCTTCTTTGTATTTTTGTATCCATTCAAAATCATCGCAGGATATTGGTCTCTTAATATTATGAAAAGAAACAATTATCTTTACATATGGCCAAGAGTTATTTATGGTTTTAAATAATTCAGATGCTATGTCTAACTCTATATCAAGAAATTCAAATCCCAATTTTGCACCATGTAATATATATTCTTTTGCTAATTTTTTTTCAGAAGAAGGAAAAGATCCTCCATGATTCGTTGTACGCAACGTATAAATCAGAGGAAGATTAGTTTTTTGACGAAGTAGCGATATTTTCTCTGCTATATATTCTAAACTTGGATATTTGCCAATTTCCTCAGGTTTTTGAAATAAATCAATTCTTAATTCAATTGCATTGCATCCAGTTGTTATAATATCGAGTAAAGAAAAAATGTTTTCAAGGTCAGAAAATGCTAAAGATAAAAAATAGCTTCTTTTTTTTTTCAAAATTAGAGAGAAGATGTCATTTTTCCCTGTAATCGTTCTTAAAAAATTATTAAAAGAGGACTTAAGATTTAACGGTATATCCCTTTTTTTAAATTTTGTAGAATCTATTGAAATCATGTGAAACTGATGAGAACTACATAAATTATACCATCTTTTTCGTTTTTCCCATACGTGCATTATATCATCTTGATAAGCAGGGCGTGTTTTGTCAGTATTTAAATATTTAGTAATATCTTGAATATTACGATGAATGTGTATAACAATTCCATTAGCTTTTATATAAGATATTAAGAGATTTCTAGCTTCTTCAGTCTCAATAATGCCACCTCCACAAGATACAATATAGTTTTCTTTTTTTTCTGTTAAAAGAGTTTTGAGAAAATGTAGTTCTTTTCTTCTAAAAGCATCCCAGTTATATTTTTGAATGAATTCCAAGATTGTTGTTTTAATATCTTCCTCAATAATTGAGTCTAAGTCAATAAATTTCCGCCCAAGAAAGTCAGCTGCAAGTTGTCCTAAAGTTGTTTTTCCAACTCCCCTCATTCCAATAAGAAAAATAGTGCATTTTGATGGATGATGTAAAATAGATGAATTGATTTCGGGGTTTAAATCGAATTCAATTCCTTTCATTTGAACTTTGAAAGCTGAATTTAAAATATCCCACCAATAAGGCCAGGTTTTATTGACACAAGCTTTATCTAAAATAGTAGTTGGTTTTTGGGAGATGCATGCTAAAACACTAAAACTCATTGCAATTCTGTGATCATTATAGCAATTTATTCCTTCTACTGGATATGAAAGATTGGAAATATTTTGTGCTTTTACATATATTCCATCAGGAAGTTCACCTGCTTCTATTCCAAATTTTTTAAGCTCACAAATCATAGCATCGATTCTATTACATTCTTTAATTCTTTGATTAGAAATTCCGGTGATTTTCGTAATATATGGTTTTGATTCTTCATAAGCAACAGAGGCTAAAACTGCTGCAGTTAAAAAAGTATCAGTCATTAATTCCATATTTATAGTCCCCAATGATTTGAGTTTTCCTTTTGGAGGACCCTTTATATATGTAGTTGTAGGCGATTGGACCACTTCACATCCCATAGGTTTTAAAATATATTCTGCAAATTTAGAATCTCCTTGCAATGAAATACTACCAACATTAGATATAGTACAGCTTCCACCTGTTATTGCAGCAATTGCTAAAGGATAAGTAGCTGAACTTGCATCGCCTTCAATTATATATTCAGAGGGACAGGTGTAGCATCCTTTTGGAATATAATATGTATTTTCTTTTGAATGAGATCTGGTTATGTTAATGCCAAATGATGACATCATAGAAATAGTCATGTCTATATAGGGTTGAGATATTGGTTTTCCTTCAATTAATGAAAGAGTTACTTGTGTTTTTGCATATGGTGAACACATTAAAATTGATGATACATATTGGGATGAAATAGTAGCGGAAAGACTAATATGTCCTCCACAAAATCCTAATTTCCTTGGTTTAATTAATAATGGTAAGCAATTTTCTGACTCAAGATATTCTATACAACATCCATTATTTCTAAGAGCATCTACTAAAGGGCCAATAGGTCTCTGTTTCATACGATGACTTCCTGTTAATATTAAATGATTTTTATTTGAATCAGGTGGTACTAGTGCACAAATACTAGTTAAAAACCTAGCTGTTGTTCCTGAATTTCCCAGATATAATTCCATTTGGGGGTTTTCAAGGTATCCTGATTTTCCTTTAACGACTAATACATCTCCATCTTGTCCCCATTTGAATTCTGCTGCATTTAGTTTTTCTAAAGCAGAAAGCATGTAATATGTATCATCCGAATGTAAAAAATTTTTTAAATAACAAATTCCGTTAGAAAGTGAAGCTAAAATTAATGCTCTATTAGATATCGACTTAGATCCGGGAAGAGTAATTGTTGTGTGTTTTTGAAATGCATTTAGTGGAATACCATATAAAAGGATATTTTGTGATAAAATAGTTCTAATATCATTGTCAGATACTAAAGATGCTTTTTTTTCATATGTTTTTCCTATTGCTGAAAGAAGGACTATTTTTTTATTACTACTATCATTTTTTTTGTCTATAGTCATAATTTCGAGAATATCTTCTATTAAATGTTTTTTTCCCAAAGTTACTTCTTTAAATCGTCTATCTTTAAGAGATGTAGGCAAACCCCATGTATTTAAACATTTAATGAGTCGTGATACCACATTAGGATTTAGTATACCTAAATACCTAGAAAGTTCTGCTTCTTTGACCATCCCGATAGAAATAGATTCTCCATGAAGAATATGGGGAGCTAGGATTGTTTCTATTGCATGTCCTATAGAATGGCCAAAATTCAAAAGAGTTCTAAGATCTTTTTCTTTTTCATCAATAGAAACAATATGAGCTTTGATTTTTATCGAAGATATAATATATCTTTTAAGATCTTTTATAATTTCATTAAGTTTTGAATGTTTATTAGATGTTAATGACATTGATCTCACTTTTTTTGCAATTTTTTCTGAAATGTTTTCCAGAGTTGCAAATTCTGATTCATCCCATATAATAATAGTCTGGATAGAATTAAATTATATAGAAATTCATCTGATTTTTATAACCTTAATTAGTTCTGCTATACCATTTATAAATTCTTTTTCTGTAAGTGTTTCAAGAAATGTAAAATCAATAAAAATTCTTTCCGGTTGCCAAATAGTACCAATTAGATTTTTTCCATAAGGTGTATTTATAGAATTTTTCCCTCCAATAGATGAATCTACCATAGCTAAAAGAGTTGTAGGAATTTGAATAAAACGAACTCCCCTCATAAATGTTGCAGAGACATAGCCTACGAGATCGCCTATAACGCCACCCCCTATAGCTATTATAACAGTATCTCTTGTGCATTTTTCTGATAAAAGCCAATCTTCTATAAGTGCTTTTGTTTTTCTTGATTTTGATTTTTCTCCAGGAGGAATTGTAAAAAATAAAAGACGAGAATTAATAGATTTTTGTTTTGCCATAGAAATGAAATATGTTTTGAAATTAGGAATATATAAGGTTTCAATATTTGAATCCGTAATGATTACATATGTTGGAGAAAATATATATGTAAATAGTTCATTAATTATATGTGGCCATAAGTGAAGTCCAATATGGATAGAATCTTTTCCCAAAATATTAAGTTTGATAATTTCTTCATCCTTCATTGAGAAGGTAGTTTAATATGAATAATTTATGTATTTTTTCGATTCTTGAATGAGAAAGTTTTTTATGCTTAATTTTATAATATGCAGTCTTATAAGTTTAAATATAACTTATATAATAAATGATTGGAAAAATCATATATATTATTAATATTTACTATTTCTATTTTTAGTAATTTTTTTTTTTGTAAAACCATATTTTGATTAATACTTCTGCTTGAATTAACTTCAGCCAAATGTGTCTATAAACAATTTATATTTATGATAATTTTCTATATTTGTTAAAATGTATTTTTATTTGTATTTGAAAATAAATTTATTACAAACCTTAATTTTAAAGTTTATATTTTATGTATAAAAAACTCAAGTTAAAATTATAAAATACTTAAATTTAATTATTTTATAAAATTTTTATTAATTAAAAATCTGTTAAATATCTAAATATTATAATATTTAAATTAAAAAATATGAATATTATTTTCTTATTAGACTTTTTATAGCATTTTGTTCCTAAAAATGAATAATATTTGGTAGCATTGATTTTATTTTCATACATGTGTATTAATTATGTATTTTATAAAATAATAATTTAGTTGTTTATAGAATATATTTATAATATACTGTATCATAATTTTTGATCTGTATATTTATAAATAATTCTTTTTATGTAATAATAGTAAATTGTTTTTTATATAAGGCAATGTATTTTAGTTTTTTTTTTTTTTTAATTGAGATTTTTGGATTGATTTTCTTTGAATTCGATAATTTTTTAATTTATAATTTTTATGTTATGAATTTAAAGAATATTTTAATATCATAATTTAAAATAATTTTGAAAAAATATGATTTACACTAAAGAAACAACATCTAATATATAATTATTTAATGTCTTTTTAATTGACAGTAATGTTTTATTAAAGTTCTGATTTAATTTTATGAGTTTTTTTTTGAATAGTTTCTTGCATAGAAATAACAATTAATGCAAATCCTGCAATGATAAATATCGCAACTTTTATAATATTAAGATTTTGTTGTAATAAGAAAAACTTACACATTCCATATCTAGTAGCATCCCATTTACTTCTTTCTAATATTGCTCGAATTTCTCCAAGAATAATTGTGAATTTATTATTTAATTCTTGGATTTTTATCTCGATATCTTTTTCTTCTACTTTATTTGAGTTTTTTCTCTCATTAACATCTATGGCCACATCATTTTTTAGAGCCATTAAATCTTCTTTAAGTGTCTGCTCTAATGTTTCCAATTGTTTCCTTAAGTTTGATGTTTCTGCACGTAAAACAGTTGTTTCATTTTTCCTCATAGATTGAATTTCTGTTTTAAGCTCTGATTGGGATGTATGGAATAAATGAGTTTCCTAATTTATATTTTAATATGAGTTTTTTTTAAGATTTCTTACATTTTCAAGATTTGAACGAGAAATAAACTTTGTTTTTGCCGCTTCTAAATTATTAATTAATGCGTGAATAGATTTCATAATAGCAACAGCTTGACTATGAGTGAAACCTGTTGTTTCTAGCGTAGAAACTAAATTATAGGTGTCGAATTGATGTATACTAAATTTAGAGCTGTTTTTAAGTTTTGTTAATAGTATTTTTGATGTTGGAATGTGAGAATGTATAAGTATTGCATCTTTCTTTGGTTCTTCTGTATTTTTTCTTCTTTGCAAATATAGATGAAAATGTGAGTTAAAATAGCTCTGTATAATGGCTTTATGCTGGGGTTTATATTTCCTTGCCAATGGATAAAGAAACCATAATCGATAATCTAGTAAAATAAGTGACCTATAAAGGAATATTGATTATTTTTATTTTACTTTGAGTAATTTTGAATTTTAAATTATAGTTAGTTAATTTTAACATTTTATTAAAAATTAGATAAAAAGTTATTTTAAATTATTAAATAAAATATTCAAAATTATAACTCTATAAATATACGAGAATATTTATACTAATTATGAATAGTAAGAAAATCAAACCATATTTTTGTTTTTTCTATATATTTAATGATTAATTTATTTATTATATCGTGATTTTCACTAACGTTTCTCGTATTATACTAAAAGGATTAATTTTATAAATATGACATTAAAATAGTTACGTTTATAATATAATCTATTTTTTCTAATTTATTTTTATAAGGAACGTTTCCAAATAATGCAAGTAGGTATTTCATATCAAAGTATAGTTGTAGTTGACCTGTAATAGTTATATGAATAAGTTGAAAATTTTCAACATTGCAATATAAGTAGTTATTCTCATCTTTGGATTCTTCGTTTTCTTTGTAATCTTCATTTTCATTTAATGATTTAGGATTAAATGCATTTTTTAGAATAGAATAGATTATGTCAATAAAACAATAATGTATAATTAGCATAGCGTCGTAGTCAAAAATATCAATTCCAATATTCGTCATATACCAACCAAGATCTTGAATAATAGTAATTAGTTGAGAACTAGGATGATTTGGGAGAGATATTTGGTTATCTAGTTACATAAGATATTTGCAAATTCTTAAAAACCGACTAACTTTCCCATAAAATGTTTAATTTTTTGGCTGAAATCAATTTGTTTATTTCTGTTTTTAGTTTCCTTTTTATATTTTCATGCAGAAAAATATATAACGATAATGTTTTATAGAGTTTCTTTAAGTGATAATTGCAGAAGAAATTAAGATCAATGCCAAGAGGATATGAAAATTTAACCAGTTTAATAATTCTTATAAAATAACATATGATATTGATATCTTTGGAGAATTATATGTAATTTTTAATAAATTTATCTTTTTACCTGTATTGGATATATTATTATCTGAATTTAATCTTAAAAAAACAGATATGGTTTTTCCTATGTTTTTGGACAACTTATTATATATACATTTTATTAGTTTTAAGTGAAAATTTGAAACATTGTTTTCTTTGTAAGTATCTGATTTTAAATTTTCTAATATAATATTAATTGGTTTCTGTCTTTTTGAGATTATTGATGAATCTTTTTCAAGTTTTTCTTGAATTTTGTTGAGTTTATTTTTGAAATTTTCTATAAAAATAGTTGGTTTATCAATTCGAGAGTTTATTGTTAATTTAATATCACCATTCCAAATTTCGCTATTGTTTTTAAATAAAGATGATTTAAATGATTCTATAGATAATAAAATTAAAAATGAAGTATAAATAAATATTTAAATATTAACCGTTTTGTATTTTTATATTTTTAAGTTCGTTATTTACGTGTTCTTCTAGTTCTAAAACGATATTTATCGAGAATTTAAGTATAGAACTTATACGTTTGTTAAATATAATTTCTGTACTTTGCCAAAGTTTTGATATAAATGTATTTAGTTTGGTATTTTTCTCATTAAAACTAATTATTGTCTGTTCAAAAAATAGTAGAATATTATTCCATTGTTCTACTAGTGATTTCATAGTTTTGATTTCGTTTAAATAATAAGATCCATTATGCTGAACAATTTTTAAAATCTCATTTTCCCATTCTATGTATATATTATTCGAGTTATCTTGAGTCAACTTATCTGACTCAAATGATGATTCTTCTAATTTATAATGTTGCAAAATATGCATACTTTCATTATAGATGTGATAATATTTGGATACTAAAAGACTATCTATTTCTAGTCTTGTTTTTATATAGTTTTTAAATTCTTTTGGGAATATGCATTGACCAATTATTGCAGTATAAAGAATTTTTTTCAATAAAAAATAGAAATTGTTCGGATCCATATTGACCTTATAAGAAATATCAGAAATGTCTTTTAATCTAATTTCCCAAAACATTTTCTCAATATCCAATGATGTTCTTCCTAATATTATATTAAGGGAAAAAAGATCAGATAGAATTATATATGTATTTTTTTCTGGAATAATATTGCAGATTTTCTTTTTAATCATTTTTGCTAAAAACTCTTTTGATTCCATAATTGGAATGCTATTTAAAAGATTATATTTCTTTTTCATCTAAAAATTTAAGTAAAGAATTGGTATTGTTGTAAAATAGTACTTTTAACTCGTCATTTAAAGCATTAATTTTATACAAAAGTGTTGCAGCCAACAAGTACTCTGAATTTGATGCTAGTTTCCTTATTAATTGAGGAAGACATAGTAATAGCTTCGTAGTATAAACATATATTAGCTTATCGTCTAAAATTTATTAAATTATAATCATGTACATGTATGAATACCATAAATAGGAATTTTAAATTTTATGTTTAAGCCTATTGAAGATTTGAATAACTTTTCTGTTCCAAAAGAACCTTTAATCTTTATAAATTGCTCATTAATAGTTTTTAAATCCTCTTCAATCTTAATAATTGAATCAGCGATACTCATTATATTAAAATAATTATTTCTAAAATATTAAGAGATTAAAAGGTGAATTTTTAAAATTACTTTATAAGTAAAAAAATTTCTTGGTTCTTTTTATTAATGTAATTTCTTAAACAAATAAGAGAATATTTTTGAAAAAAAAGTGAATATTTTATACCCAAATTTTTCCTCAAGCTCTTTATATTTTGTTATTGAAGTATTCGAGAAAATGTCATTATAATCTGGCAATTCCGGATCCATTTTGTGTTTAAGCAATCAAGGCTTGCTTTTTATAGAATTATTCTATATTTTAATAAGCTATTTAGTTTTCGATTAACACCTGGGTTATAAATTTTTTTAACGTATATATACACAAATATATATATATATATATATTATATGAATAGTAAATATGTTTCGAATTCATATGTTAAAATTTAAATCAATAAATATCTTTTCAGAATAGTTTTTTGTGATATAATTTTGTAAGTTTTAATTTATATTAATTTTTTTAAAAATTTTTGATTCAGTCTCAAGACTTATAGGCATAGAGGAATAAGTATATTTAAATAAATTCTTTAGCATATCTGAATCCTTTTTTGGAATTTTTTTTAGAATCTGATGAAAGTTTTTACCAAAACATGCCATTAAAGATAATAGCTTAAAAGAAATTTCTTTTTTATGGCTTGATTTTAATTGTTCGTTAGATGCAAAACGAATTAATATTGGCATAATTGTCACCATAGCTATATATTCTAAAAATAATAAGATATGTGTTTATTACAATAGAATTTTAACATACGTTGATTATTTCCCGATATATTTTTAATAAGATCGATTATAATATTGCAAGCGTTTGTTCCTATATCAAATATAGCTGATTTTTTGAAATCTAGATAAGCCTTTTTAATAATATTAAAAGAAGCAAATAGTATAGATTGGAGAATGTAGCGTTTTATACAAGAAAAAGATGTTAAAAGTGACTTCATACAATGTATAAGTATTTTCGCTTCCTATCATTATTTAGTAAAAATTCTATGAAATTTATCTATTTACATCGTTTGTAGGTGATTTCGTAAATAAACTATGATATTTTTGGAATGATTTACTTTTTGGGGGAAGTATTTGTCCGGTAATTGTCATAATCACTGTAGCCAAAGGTAAACCATATTCCCATGCTTTTCTTTTGAAAATTAGTGACATATATACATTTATATATATGACTCACGGTAAATCTTGAATTATTCTTGTTATTTGATCCAAAATATTTTCTATCAAGTTTTGTGAGATTTGATAGCTTTTTTGATCAATTTTAGATGTAGTTAATATATCTTCACAAAGAATTTTAACTAGTGGAAGAATTTTAGGAATTAAATGATAAGAATTTTCATTGAAATATAATTCTGTTTTATTAGTATATTTTCAAGTATGGTTTAATTTTTATACTTAATATTATAAAAAAAGTGCAATCATAAAAATCATATTGAATTATAAGTGGGAATCTTTTTATAATTTTTATATATGATTCTAAAGAATATATTATCAAATTTGACATATGTTCATGAGCCTTTAAGTCTGCATTTATCAATAATCGTATAAATAGTAGTGATAATTTTACCGTTTATAGTAGTGTTAGTATGTTGAAAATAGAATATAAGTGGTAATATTATGATCTCTGAGAGCTCGTGTAGTTTATTTGGATAATTTGGCATATTTTCTTGTTGGTCCGAATAATTTTTGCTAATATTAAGTTAACGTATATTAAAATTTTATGAATATTAGTACTTATTTTTAAAATGTTTTTGGTTTTTTACTGGATAATTATTTACTAAACTTGTTGCAATTCGTATTATTAAAATTTGAATAATTGGATGTTCTGTTAATAATAATCTTTTAAGGAGGGTTACCAGTTCTGAAAAAGTGGTATCAGAATATATAATTTCATTATGTAGAGATATATTTAATATTTTTTCTAAAGCAGAAAGTATATAAAGCTTTTGTTTGTCTGTATTTATGACTTTTTTGTTTGGAATAGAGTGTAGTAATGCCTCAAAACATATTCCAAAAAGTAAGAAAAATAATGTGGAAGTTTTTTTTTTATGGTTAGTTCTTTTGTCTAATTTCATGCTGTCTGAATTATTTGATTCATACCAAGTTATTGATTCAAAAATAATGTTTTTATTTGATTCTAGAAGAATTGAAATAGCATAAACCATATTTATCCAAAATTTATTACAAATCTTTTTTTGTTAGTGGAATTTTACTAATATTTAATGGAATACCTCAAACAATTCATTATTATTTATATTAGAAAATATTTTGTTGAAATTTATTGATTGTGATGTTAAATGAGATAAATTATTAGACAATTCATATGTTCCGAAACAGAATTTGGTATAATCTCTTAAGGATGTAATCCATAAAGGAATGAGAAGTGATAGATTTGGTTTGATTATAAAACTTAAACATGTTTTATGCTCACTAGCAATTTGGAGTTCTGCCCAGACTGAAACAATAGATAATTTAAGCAAAATTTGTGAATTATCAGAACATTTTAGATCACCGATTGAAATAGTATCTTCTGAATCTATAAATATTTAGAAAATAAATAAAAATAAAAATATAATAACTATTTATATTTAAAAGGGCTGATGAAAGCAATTTTATAATTCTTCCTGTCTTCGGAATTTCCTTTAATATTTCACTTGTTAAGAAATATGAACAAATATGCATTGCAAATACTGCAATCTCTGGAATTGAATCGCTTGAAAATGATGGAATAATGGCAGAAACAAGCTGTGCTTCGTATTGTTCAAGTAAAGACAATGTGGGAAAATCTGGATCTTTAAAAGGAGAAAATATCTAAATAAGATAAGAAAATTGTTTTAATTCATTTTTAATAACCTTTATAATTTTTTGTATAATTTTTAGGCCTTCAAAACGAATATCGTAATTTTTACCAGTAGATGCCATAAATCCTATTTTGATTAAGTTTGAAATATTAGAAGACATAGATGAAATTTTTTGAGATATTTGTGAATTTGAATATTTTTTAAAGTAAAATTCCATAGACAATAAGTTATTGATACACTGAAGCATTAATTTTTGTGTTTGCCATCGCAATCTCTTTAATTTTTCTTGAATATTATCGGAATTATAGCTTTCGTCTATTTTAAATATACAAGATTCCTCATTTTTTAAACTTCTACTAATATTTTTATTGACTTTTTGTATAATTTTATTAGATGATTTTTTTTCAAATGTTTTTAAACAAAGATGAATCCAATAATTTTGTAGAGAATCTGATGTATGATATAACCATATTTCAATGATATTTTTTAGTTCTTCAATTTCTGGATTTGAATCATATGCTAGCCATATATATGCATCTAGATTACTTTCTCCCCATTTAAAAACGCTTAATGTATCATGCTGCATAAGTTGGTAAAGTGATTTAACTGATGCTCTAGCTAAATTTTTATTTTTCGACATTATATTTGTTTGAAGAAGTTTTACGAATAAATATGGGTTTAATAAATCAGATGAAAATAGTAAAATATGCTGTGCGCAATATATAGCTTCAGCTAATACCTCTTCATTATTTTCTAAAAGAAGGCCTCTTATTAATACAGATACTAGTTTTTTTGCTTCAGTATTCTTTTGAAGATCTGGACCAAATATATTTACAATTGCATTTAAACATCTTGTTAAATTGCATAATATTGGAAATCTTAATGACAGATTAGATATAGTTATTGAGGTGTTGCTAGTATTATAGTCCATTCTGTTATATATTTTTGAAATAACATTTAATATATTCAAACAATATGAAGACATATCAGGTCCAAAAGATTGAATGCCTATAGCTATACTCTCAAGGGCCCAAAAACAGACTTCGGAATTTTGGTCTATACTTAAAGATTGCAAAACATCTAGTATTTTACTAATGTATGAACTAGGAACCATTTTCTTATAATGATTTAATATTCTACCTAAACAAAGAGCGCTACTAGAACGAGAATCTGAATTGTCCAGTTCAATAATCTCCCTCATGTAAAATTTTATAGAAGGTAGAAGTTGTTTCTTTTGTAAACATGTTAATCTTCCAATAGTTTCACATGAAATTCTCCGAATAGCAGGATTTTGTGAGTTTGTACCATGCTATACAGTTAAAAAAAATAAATGATTTTTCTTAGTTACCTTAGCTATTTGTTCCATCAGATCTATTGCTCTTGTATTTTTTAAGTTATTTATTTGATTTACATTATTTTCAATAAAACGAAGGATTCCAAGAACTGCTAGATTTGAATTACAAATTACTGCAATTTTTTGTTGAAAAGGTTTAATATTAGATGATAATGTGATAAATGTAATTAATTGCTCAAGAATGCTTTCTTTAATTTTATTTGATTGATTTAAAAAAATAATCCCGAATAATAGGATTGATAAGTCAATGATTTCTATATAAATAGACAGTTGATTCCATGGAATTTCATCAAAAGATGATAAAATATCATAAAGTTGTAATGAATTGTTTTTTTGCAAATTAAAGTTCTAAAAATGTAAATAAGAAAGTTTACTTAAAAGAAAAATTACCAAATTATTTCCAATATTGATAAGAGCATAATCTTTTGGAACATATATATAATTTTGAAGCACAATATTATTAATTTCATAGATTTCTTGATAATTTGAAAAATCCTGTAAATGAATAAAGCTTGATATCCCATCAATATTTTGATTAGAATGTAAATGATAATAGGATTGATAATTTAATGTGTTTTTAACTATAGTAACATATGGACTAGCAAATTTAGTGATTAGACGAGATATGAGCTCATTTTGTGTACTATCTTCTGGATTTTTCCATATAATAAGTAGATAGCATTGTAATATCCTTTTATGAATCATGTTTTCTAGCATTTCTTGAGATAATTGAACATAATCATCTAAAAATATACTATTTTTTTGTCTTTTTGAAAGAAGAATAAGGAGTGTATTTGTTTCGTTTAACATAAAACTTGTTTTCTTTAACACGTTTGTTGTTAATAATTCCTTATTATGCAATAAAAAGGAAAATATAGATCCTAATGCATATTCTCGAGTATACAATAGAAATAAAGTTTCTAATTGATTTGCTTCTGGAGGAAGATTATTTATTGAGGGGTTTAGAAGTGTGTCTTTCCATAATAAAAATAATTCAGATAGATGGCTTCTAACAAAAGATGATCCAAGTTTCATTAATGAACTAATCAGTGTCCATGCTATTTGTACATGTATTAATATAGTATGAATTGCATTATTTCTTGTTAATTTTAAAATAGAACATGATATTAAAAATATCTCTGAGAAAATATCGGATGAAATATATAAAGGATTTTGTTTTCCAATACTAATTAATCTCGAAAGAGCCAGAGCATATCCCCTTATACGTAATTTTGAAAGATAATCGATATTATTAATATCTGTAGATATGAATTTTTTGATGTGTTTTAAGCAAAAAATCATTAAATATGTTATATCATTGGGAATAGTAATTGCGAAACATTTAATACACCAGCTTGTATATTTCTGAATTGTTAGACTTGTGCAGTTTAGTATGAATAAGAGATTATCTCTTAATGATTCCTTTTTTAAAAATTATAATTTTTTATTATACATTTTTACACTTACACGAATAGTATTAATAATATTGCTGAGGGTTAGAATAAATTTTGATATTTCACATAATATACCCGTTAGGACAAGCTTCTTTGCTTGAGTAAAGCCTAATTCATCAAGCCATATGCTTAGATATTCTTCGTTTAGTATTTTCAATGCTCTAAATTGCGAATCTTCATCCAATTTTTTTCTTATAATACTTAAAAAACGACAAATGATATTTCTAGTTGTTGAAATTTTTTCTTTATCTTTTATATTATTAATTACAGAGGCAATGTCGGAAATATGGTTTTTGATAATAAATTTATAATGACTTATAATCCATTCTTTTTCATAATGCTCTAAAAACTCTGAGTATATACTTATAATAAATTCTTCTATATGAGAATTTGTTATATGTTTAGCGTAAATATCTGATATATATTTTAAATAAAATATATATTTCTTTTTTGAGTTTGAATTAAAATATATGTACTTTTTGGGTGATGTTGGTAATATTTCATTTTCTGGACTGCCATTTGATTGCATTTCTCTATTTTCTTCTAATGAAAAATTAGAATTCTTTGTATCTAATTTTGAGTTCGTTATTAGCATTATAGCTAGAACTTTTGCTGCTTGATCATGAATAGAAAGAACATGATTATTAATGAATTTAGTAGTCATATTTTTGACAGTATCAATATCTGTATAACCTGAAATTGGCACACAAATCTTAAGAAGTTCTTTAAAGCACTAGTATATATTTAAATAGATTTTTTATTTTATAAAAAATATTACCATCAATGCTTTTAATTTTATTATATCAGTTTTGTCTGATAGACCTAACTTTATAAATTTGAATATTTTTTTAGTTTTGTTTTCATCTATTATACATTTACAAGAATTTAGAGCTACTGATAATGTTTCGAAACAAGATTCGCGAAGTTCAATTATCTTTAATAAATTAGAAGAAAATAATATATGTAATAAAATCACATTATTTGAAATTTTAAATATTTTGAATGTTGCATCTATAGTGTCATTTAGATGAATTGATAGCTGATATTATTTAATACTGTTTATATAAAATGAAATAATAAATACCTTATTCTTAGAAGCTATGTAGATATGTTTAAGAATAATTAACGATGTCCTTAATAATCAGATAATTAAATAAAAAAAAAAGGTGAAAAACCACTTAATATGTAAATCAAAATCTTCTATTTTTGGTAATAAAATATTTTCAAGTAAAATATTGAAAGCGCTGAATATTGAAATAGAATTACCTATTAATAGTTAAAGGTATTCTATAATAATATTTTAAGATTTACTTCTGGAAAAAAGTATTTGGAAACAACGACCTAATTGATTACGTATTATTCTTGAAGGTACTAGGATTTCTGGCTTTATTATTTGAAAAAGTATTTGAAGTATTTCTGTTTGTTTTATATTTAATTGTTCTAATTCGAAATTTTCCAATTCTTCTGATATTTCCAGTAGAATATTAAAAAGGATGAATTCCTTTTCTTCCTTACTTATACATTCCAATTTTGTTAAGTCAATTTGAAAAATAGTCATTTATAACTTAAAATTATTTGAAATATTGTAAAAAATAATATTAAAAATGTATGAGTTATATATATTTTGTTAATTTTTTTTCAATTTTTGTTATTATAAGCGACATGGTTATAAAAAAATGTGAATATAATAAATTTATTAAATTGTTAAGAATTAATATAAATAATATATATAGCCATGTTTCTGTGGATTTTTAAGTATGTCGTACTATATTCTTGAGTTTTTTCTTAAAATATATTTATAGTTTAGTTTATTAGATAATTTTGATTAGGAGAGTATTTAAAATAACTAGTTAATTTTCTTGTTTTTATGAAATATTACTAGAAACAGTGATTTAGAAGATAGACTTATATACTTCTTTATTGTAATAGATTTTGATAAATTTATAGATAGATACATATATTAAATAAATATAACTTTAGCAAAAATATGAATAATAATAATTATAAGAATAAGATGTCTCATAAAGACAAAAGATAATGATTGCTTCATAATTGTTATTTTAATTCATATTTGTTTTTTTGAGATAATTTTATAATTTACAATAAAAATCTGTAAAGGCATTGAATAAATTGATAATATCTATTATATATTTGATTCTCTTAGTTTAAATATATTTTTTTTGTAAAAAATATAGGAACATATTTTCTTTTATAACATAATTCTAGAAAAAAAATCAATTTTTTACGAAATAGTAGATACCTATTTATTATGGATCTTAAAACTTGATATTATGTTGAGCCTTCTTTTCAAAATAATTATGACAATGTTTCCTGTTTAATAAAGAAAAAAAAAAAAAAAAAAAAAAAAAAAAAACATAATGAACTTGATATTTATAGAGTAAGTTTTCATTCTTTAAAACTTCATATAGCTTGAAATGTTTATAATTGAGTATATATATTAATATTATATAATTATAAAGCTCTTGAAAACATTGATTCACATGAATCTTCTTGAGAAATTCCATAAGTTTTTGTCTGATATTTTTCTGTTTTTAAACGATATAGCTCATTTTTAATGTCATTTTTATTTATTGGTAGACAATTTGTTTTTTCTTTGGGTGGCCAAAAGTTTAACTTGCATCAGTAAATAATAACAATGATAATAATAATACGTAATATATTATATGTACCATACCTCTTTTACATATTTTCTATAAAAACTCGGGCTTCCGAAATAATACATGATTCCAATTGGAAATATGACATAAATACCAAACTAATATTGTAAAATTGTTGAATTTGGATAATAAAAAGTGTATACTTTCAAAATTTCTAAGTTTGTAGCGTTCATTTTTTTTTGAATATATCAAGGTTTTAAATCTTAAAATTATTAATATCGTAAAATATTATTTTTTATTGTTTAAGAAATATTTTTCTAGTATAAAACAAAGATTTGATGTGATGAAATGGGAAGTAAAACTAGGTTTCTAGAGTTTCTGTTTTATATTGTTTATGATTAGTTTTTAGATACAATGGTTTATTTCATCGAGAAAATAGATCAAGTTTGAGTAAAACAAAGTATCCACAATTTGATCAAGATATATATTATTCTTCTTTCGATCAACAATATGATGGTAACAGTTTTGGACTTTCTGGAAATCAAAATGAATATGATATTGATCATTTAAGTTCAAAAATTAAAACTCTTAAAGATGTTCGTCATAATTTTTATTTTCCATTATTCATGGATTATGCACTATAGAATTATATTGTTAATATTTTCTAGATAACAATTTCTATAGGTGATGAAATTCGTGAATCATCTGTATTTCTGTCCTCAATGGTAAAAAAGTAATGATAATTATAATGTAGTTTTCTAATTTTCTTAAAAGAATGATAAATTTTCTAGTACAAGAGTTATGTTAAATAGTATATTTAAAAATATGAACCGTATAGCTATGCAACAAAATATTGGATGGTTTCATTTTTTTTTGTTTATTTTTTTTGTATGTATTTTGTTTTGGGGTTTTTGGTATATAAAGTTTTAATGATTATGAAATGGATTGTTTTTTTTGAAAAAAAAATATATTTATTTGTGTATAATATATAATGGAAAATGTTAATTATTAACATTGATACTAGTGTTATGTTATTGTCACGTGCACGTGTTTTTGTTTTGTCTAACGTTTTTTTCCTACTGATTTAATGAAAAAGCAATCTTCTGAAACTTTGCGGCATAATAGTGTAAGGGTTATTGTTAGAGTCAGGCCTCTTAATGAGAGAGGTGATTTATTTCCTTGAAATGTTTGTTTTTTTGTAACGTTTAAAGAAATTGCTCGAGGTGCAAAATGTCTAGTATCTGTTAACACAAATGATAGGCAAACTTTAATTGTCAAATGTCCTGATGATTGTGACCCTGCCAACTCTAGGGCTTCTAAGAGGAGGATACGTGAATTCAAAACATTTTCATTTGATAGATGTTTATGGTCTGTGGATAAAATGGATAAGCACTTTTCAGGTCAAAATGCTTTATATGATTGTTTAGGCAAAGAATTTGTTTCTCATTCTCTTGAGGGTTATAATACTTGTATTTTTGCTTGTATGATATTTGTTTTAGAATAGATGAGATTGATCTTACTTTAGATGGTCAAACTGGATCTGGTAAAACTTATTCAATGGTAAGATTTTTATGCTTTTTTATTATTTTAAGTTGATATATTTTGGAAGATTGGTAGTTCGGATGATCCTGGGCTTATGCCACTAGCATGTAAAGATTTATTTGAACAGATTGAAGAGCGTTCGAAGATGGATATATGTTTTACTGTTACTGTGTCATATTATGAAATTTATAATGAAGTTGCTATGGATCTTTTATCAGCAAGGGATGTTATTCAGAAGCCGGTGGCTTTAAAAGTTCGTGAAAGTCCTGTTGATGGCCCTTATTTAGAAAATTTATCTGAATTTCAAGTTACTAGCTTTGATGATGTTCTTGCTTTTATTCGAGTGGGTAATAATGTATTTCATATTTTCCTCAATTTCAAATAAATTGATAAAAAAAGGCAAGGATAACTGCAAGTACACGTATGAACGAAACATCTAGTCGCTCTCATGCCATTTTTACAATAAAGATAAAGCAAGTCTATTTAGATAAAAATGCGAAAAAGACTGTTGAAAAAACTTCTCTATTTAGGTTGCTTATATATTATTATTATCTTTATTCTTATGATAAATTATAGATTGATTGATTTAGCTGGATCAGAAAGAGCATATGCAACTGGTTCTACTGGTTCAAGATTAAGAGAAGGTGCTTCTATTAATAAATCTTTAACAAGTCTGGGTCGTGTTATAACATATCTTTCTGAGGGGAAATCAGGAACTATAATTCCATATCGTGATTCTGTAAGATTTAATATTTTTTTTTTTTCTAATTTTGGATTAGGTTTTAACTTTTTTGCTTTCTGATAGTTTGGGTGGTAATAGTAAGACCGCTATGGTGGCTTGTATATCTCCCTCCGACTATGATGAAAGTCTTTCGACTCTCCGTTATGCAACTGCTGCAAAACATATACATACTAATGCTGTTGTTAATGAAATAAAAGAAATAAAGTTTGCGTGTAATGCCGATATAGAAAAAGAACTTGATCATATGACACGATTACTTGCTGAGCTTCAGGCTGAAAAAAATGAGTTAGAGGGGCATAAATATGAATCTATTAAATTAAAAACTATAATAGATAATTTGAAAGATGTTTATGGTAAGCAAAATTTTATAGTTTTATTATTTTTGATATAATGAAGAAACACGTATATCGTCTTTGGAAAAAGAGAATGAGGCGCTTAGAATGCACCTGAGATTAGCAATTGATTCCATTCGAAATCCTATTTTTTTTCCTAGATTAACTAAGTCTGAATTTATTGTCAATGATATTGAGTATGATTGTATTGATGATAATGTTTTTGAAGTGTTTCAAAATGATATAGATGCTTTGAAGTTTGATCTTTATAAGTTTAGTCGTGAATTGATTTGTTGAATATTTTGTTCTTTACATTTTTTTTTGTTGTTGAGTTATATAATACAAAGAATGTATATGAATAAGATGTAAATTAGTTTTATTATATAACAAATTTAATAATTTGATTTTGATTCTGTTTTTATTAAATAGATATACTGTGTTTAATAATTATATGAAAATAATGTATAAGTTATTAGTATGTTATAAATTCTTTAAAAAACATAATTTGAAATACTTTTTAATTAAATTGGTAATAGACTTTTTATAACTTGACACAAAAAAAAATATATCAAACGTTATTATAAAATTGCTGTATTTAAAGATTAAATTTCTAAATGCGCTTAATCAGATATTTAAATTATTTAATTATATATGAATAACATATTAATTAAAATATATGTTGAAATTAGTAATTTATAATTGAGAGTATTATTTATAATAATAAATTATAAATAACTAAGAATATATATTAACTCATAATTTTTTATAAAATGTATAAGGCTTTTATAATATTTTATATCAAAAATATATATATATATATTATCAATATACATTATATATTATTGTTAATAAAAATTTATAAAAAAAAAAATAGATATGAATAGCAAATGAGTAAATAGATTAATTATTTGAAAAAAATATATATAAATAATTATAAGATCATTTAAACAATAATTACTAAATTTCTATAAATTTTTATATTTAGTAATAGTTAATATATAATTATTTGTGTATAAAAACTTTTATATTTAAATAGTAAAAAATATAATTAGATTTAATTTACAAATTCAATTATTTTTGAAACAAGCTATTTATTTAAAGAATATTTATATAATATTAAATTTTTAAAGCAAAGTTAAAACATAATATAAAATATAAATAATTATTAAAATTAAACTGATCTTTATAGAGTTTAATATAATTTATATATAATATATTTAATACGTTATTTTTATACTAACAATTATATTTTTACAACCATTATATTTTTACAACCATTATATTTTTATACATTTTATATAAAATTATATTAATTATTTTAATAAAAAATAATTATAAATAATATATAACAATGAATCAATTTTAAATAAAATTAATATTTTTAGATTATTCATAATGTGTCCGTAGTAATTTATTTTTTAAAATAAAAGCACTAATCAAAAAATTAATAATTTTTAATATTTTAGTATTTATTACAAGATATTAGAAATATGTTTGACGAAGGAAATTATTTTAACATCATAACTATGATTATTAATAATATTCTAGAATTATTAATCAAAAATCGATTATTAATTGAAGAAAGGCCATTAAAAAAAATATTAAAACGATGCATTTCAATCATAAAACGTCCCTATAATATCTCTACTGAATTTCAGTATAATCACGCATATCATTAATTTCAAATTTTAATTTTTAGAAAATCATTAGATAATCAAATTAATATAGATTTTACATATTTTGAACTTACCATAAAACGATTATTATTGCTATGGAAAACAAACAAATTAGAAACATTAAATTACTCTAATGAAAAAATAGATATAGGTTATTTAATTCATTTATTTTTTATATTTAATAAAATTATTCAGAAAAAAAAATATTATTTACAAAAACTAATATACATCAACTTTATGATAAACTTCACGAGATTCAAAAAACTAAATCAAACAAGATTGAATACAACAATTTGACAAATGAAATCCAAACAGATCATCCTAAAGATCGCAAAACATTACAAGAGTAAAATGTAATTATGATTTAATTCTATATAACTTTATTTAGTCTTATTAATAAATTACACTCTGAAATTCGTGACCTAAAATTAGAAAAAAAATCATATATAAATACATGGCATTCTAGAAAATCACAATTTGCAGAAACAATTAACAGTCTACAAGCTATATCTGATCAGATTCAAATTGAAAAAGAACAAGGTATATTTGTAACGTTTAATACACAATATAACATAAACAGAAAAATCTAGAAATTTATCTGAAATTGAAACGCATGAACAAAACACTTAGAAATATAGTAATAATAATATGACATTTTACAAAAATATATATAATTTATTTTTTTACGCCAAAAAACTTTTTTTTTTTTATAATAAATTTACATTATAAATATATAAACATTGTTTCTATCATAATATAACGGTTATAATTCATATTTATTATATTTTATGCACAACAGTCCAAACACATAATCGGAATATATTACTAGTTATATATATCGATTAACTAGTATATTGAAACTAAACCGAACAGTATTAAATCCCAGTTTCGTAATATTTATGTGTAACGTTACTAATGTTTATCTCACAATCTTAAGAAAATACTATAAATTATTTTATTAACTTTACAGCACCATTCATTTTTTTTTTACATTTTTATTTTAAAAATGCATAACGGCTAATGATTTATAGTTTTGTATCATAAATCAGTTAACATGCTATAACAAGCGTTATTCCATATCTTTTTGCAGTGTGTTCGTACAAATTGCATCAGTCTGACCATATGTATATGTTAGAGTTCTCAAAAATTTAGTGTTTCTTCGAAAATTACACATTTCTCTTGCACATGCAGTTTTATGTAAAGAATCATCCATTTCAACATAATTCTGCGGCTCACATCTTTCTTTATATTTTTCATAAAAACTTCTATAACCACCATGCAAGATATAAATTTCCGGATAATATAAAAGAGGATACCTTTTCATATTAAGTTGCCTATCCCTATTTCTTAAATATAATGCTCTATTTTTATTTTAATCACAATGTATATATCAAAAAAAAAAACATACAATCTTGGCGCACGATGTGAACTATATTCACAATGAAAAATAATCAGACATCTTTTAGTCTTCGGATTATCTAGAAGAAGTGCATCTAGAGCATCCTTTGTATTTATATTAATAGCTCCCATAATATGACCTCCATTATATTCATATTCAAATCGACAATCTACAATCATATATTCATCACATTGGTCATGATAATGCCCATCTAGCAATCTGACAATCTATGAATGTTAAAAAGAATGATATTATTAGTAAACTTTACTATATCACTATCGATTCTTTTCAAACGATCGTCTTTAATACTAAAACAAGGCAAAATTTGACAATCATTAGAATTAAATTCAAATGGAGACAATTGTAAACATAGATCACTATTTTCTTGTCCCTTATACTTCGTAGAAAGAAAATCGCAAGAATTCTTATATAAGCTTTGTGTCCTTCTCCACTTTACTAGCCGATGATCCATATCATCATTATCCATAAATGAAAGTGGGGAGGCTTCTAAAGCAATAGAATAGCGAGAAAATAAAGGTTTTTTAAAAGGCTGGAGAAATTCAGAATCAACATTTCCAGTAGAAAACCGAACAGGATTTGGCGAATTAGAAAAAAGATCATTCAAAGCAATATCACATGATTCATTATCATTCTTTATCTGATCATTGTCTGCATTTTCTTTATCATAATTAGTATCAAGAATGGATGGATTTATCTTCGACTATACAATGTTATATAATGTTAAAATAAGAAAACAAAATTACTTTTTCATTAACCATAAATAATGAATTCAATATATTATTATTCAATTCATTAGAGCTAGATATATCATTTAAAGGTGCTTTAGAATTCTTTATATCACAATAATCCCTAATTATAATTTTTATTAACTACATTTATCAAAGTTCATATAAATACCTTATTTCTGGGTTTACATATGAACATAAATTCTGGTCATCAAAAGCTTCACAATACTCAGTACTAAAAGCAGTTATAGTATGCTTTTGTGGTAATGGGGAATAATCCATAGTTTCTATAGGGGATGAACATGGTGTAGCTATATTAATATTTCCCATCGTTAATGAATCAAATTTAGGAGTAATAGGATCTTTTAAAAAATTCAATGCCGGTGTTGATTGATGATCGCATGAAAACTTAAACAAAAGCGAACGTCTTGGAGTAGGAGGAACAGGGCTATATCCAAGTCAATAGCAGATATATAACACATTACAACATACCTCTTATCAATATAAAAATTACCAGAAAGTTCAGCTACAAGTGATGTTGTAGGACTCATTTTAAATGATCCAGTATCAAAACATATGCTATTATTTCCACTCTTAGAAGATTGTTTTAAGTTAATCATACCGAATTTATTATTCTTATCACTATATTTCTTCCCGGAAACCATGAAATTAGATTTGTCAATCTCATTGTATCCTGATATTGATGTCATGCAAGAATTCTGATTTCCGGAAAAACAAAAAGCAGCAAGAGGTGAAGTATCCATATATGAAATATCTATTATCTTTTCCACCACATAGAATAATAATCTTCAAACTATCATTATAAAAAATATATTGAAGAAAATCAGGAAAAGAGTGCCAAATACTATGAAAATATCTTAAAAAGATAAGCAAATTAATAAAATAAAACCAAAAATTTCTTACAAAAAAATAAATTAGGAGAAACTAAATTCTTTTATATTGTAAAAAATAAATATACCAAAATAGCTATTTCAAAATACAATGACCCAAAAAGCTCTGAAATTTTAATCAAAAACCTAATAAAATTCTAATAGATAAAAACGTTTAGACAAATTTAAATTGTTTATTATGAAAGTGATAAAATGGATACCATAGCAACCATAAATAAAAAACAGCATTTAAAAAAAATATTTCAATTAAAAATGTAAAAAACTAGCATTATTTTTACATTGTTTTATATTATATATGCAAAAAAACTTCATATATATAATAATAATAACTATTTTTTAAAGAACACATTTAATAATATAATCTATCAACATGACAACCTTTTTATTAAAACATAAAATTATATGTTTTTATGTTTACAAATATAAATTTAGATTACCTTATATATTTCAAAGTGAATAATAATTACATTATAACAACTCGAGTAAAAAATATGTTAAATGTATGTTTTTTTTATAACAAAAATACACAATTCATACTAAAATATTCATTTTTTTTAAATAAAAATCAAATATTTTTTAAAAATTTAAATACAAATATATAATTATATATGTATTTAATGATTTCACATGTACTTTATGCTATTTACCAAAGATCGAATATGACTATTACACATCCTAATTAATAAGTATCAAATCATTATAATTATATTTTATAAAATGACATTATTTCAAATATTAGTATTATATACAGATTAATTAAAAATATTTAATAAATATCAAATAAAATAAATAATTATTTTACAAAAATTATATTATAATAAACCTAAATATATCATATTAAAAACAAAATGTCTATTTATGACATATTTATATCCTATTAAACAAGTACTACAAAAAAAATATTTTATAGAATATTTTTTTAAATAATATTATCAAATATAATTTCAAGTTTTAAAAACTGTTATAATTTTCGTGCAGTCCAACCATGATAAAATTAACCAATTAACATAATTCTTATAGAATCTAATTAATCATTTATTTTTCTATATTCTAGCTTATAACAATATTATACATAAAAGATAAACATTATGTTATCATCCAAATCTATAGGAATTATAGGTCTTTTATACATTTTATTACCATAAATCCTAAAATTAACTAGGAGGTGGAATTTCTGGACTATCTACTGCATGGTATCTTTCTCGTTTGTTTTCCCCATCTACTAAAATAACTATCCTTGAATCATCTAATAGACTTGGAGGATTACTTAATACAAAAAGAATTGACTCTTCTCACGGTACAATATATTTTGAAGAAGGCCCAAGATCTCTTAAACCTACAGGAATTTCTGGATACATAACTCTTGATATGGTATATTTTAAATTAATTTAAAATTAACTAACATATAGATAAAAAAATTAGGTTTAATAGATGAAATGATTCTTGTGCCAAAAAATTCACCAGTAATTAAAAACAAATATATATACTTCCAAAACCAATTAAACGCTCTTCCTACTTCATTATTATCAGCATTTATATCGAAAACACCAATTTTCCGTTCCTTTTTATGGGCAATAATATCTGAACCATTCAAACCAATTAGAAACAAAAATATTTCAGATGAAACAATTTCTAGTTTTGTATCAAGAAGATTCAACACATCAATTTCTGAAAATTTAGTTAGTGCTTTTATACATGGAATATATGCAGGAGATATTGATGATTTAAGTATTAAATCTACTTTTCCACATTTATGGAATTATGAAGAACTTTATGGTAGCGTTTTAAAAGGAATTTTATTTAATGGGATTTCTCTAAATAAAAATGAAGAAAATATAAAATCAACTATTGAAAAAGATTCGAAAGATATTATAAAAAAAACAAAAAACACATATATATATTCATTTAAAAATGGATTAGGTACACTTAGCAGTGCTATATCCAAGAATCTTTTTACTAGAAACAATGTTCATATATATTTTAATTCAGAGGTTCAATCACTTGAGTTTAACAATATTTTCAAAGTAAAATTTACATATAATTCTAAAAATATTAAAGATAATAGATAAAAACAAATACATCAGAATTTCATTTTGATCATTTGATATCTGCATTACCAATACAAGTTCTTACAAAACTACTTGATCCTTTTAAAAAACTAACAAGAAGTTTTTCAAGCACTACTATTTTAGTCGTAAATCTTTTTTTCGATAATCCAAATCTTTTACCTTTTCAAGCATTCGGATATCTTATTCCAAGGTCAGTTAGTAAAGAGGAAAATCCAGAGCAGGCTTTAGGTGTTATATTTGATAGTAACAGTTTTCCCGAATTAGACACATACAAAGGAACAAAAATGACAGTAATGATAGGAGGAAGTTTTTGGAAGCATAAAGCTATATTCCCTAAAGAAAGCGAGTTTATTAAATTAGCACGAAATGTTATTTTGAGACATTTGAGAATAAAGGATACACCTGTTATCGTCAACTATAAACTCCAAAAAAATTCTATACCACAATACAATCTTGGACATCATCAGGATCTTAAAAATATTCACAATTATGTTTATAATACATATAAAGGTAATTTGTCTCTTGTTGGAAATTTCTACGGAGGTATTGGTGTCAATGATTGTATAAAAAATGCATATCTCCTTACAAGAAGATTAAAAGAAAAAGGAAAAGCTACAGGACTAGAATCCATAGAATAAAGCTAGCTATGCTCTAAATTATTAAATTATATACAAAATATATACATGTTAAAAAACTAAGAATCATAATATATATTAACCGTTTTATCAAGAGATCCTGAAGCTATAATGTTATGGTCAGGGTGTGTGCTTACAGAAACTACCACATCTATATACTATTAAATTAATAACATAAATTATATCATATTATACCGGAATGTCCATCCAATTTTTGTACTACTTTTTTAGATTGAAGATCCCATATAAAAATCAAATTATCTTCAGAGCCGCTAATACTTTAAATTGTTAGACTATATCATCATATCTAGCATTCTATTTACATCCATTTACCACCAGTTACAGAAAATGAGGCAAGCATACAATATCTTTTATTAATATGACCTTGATATGTCTACATCTATAAATACTTTCAAAAATACGAATCAGTTAAAGTTTACTTTCAGACATTTTCCACTATGAAAATTCCAAAGCTTATGAGTACTGTCCAACGTACTAGCAAGAATATATTTTCCATTAGGAGAAAATTTAACAAATGAAACAGGAAGGTTATCATCATCAACAAGAGTCTTTAAACAATGCCCTGTTGCAGTATCCCATATTCGTCTATAATTATTAATAATATAATAGTAAAATTTAAGTTTCCAACATTAAACCATCATAACTACAAGAAACAATCATTGTACCATCTCTGTTAAAATGGACAGCAGACACAGGATCAGAATGTGCAGGCAAAGTTTTCATACATTTTCCTTTTCTTTTTATTAAAATTTTTAGCGCTTTTAAAAATAAAACCTTTCTTAACATCCCATATACGAATACTTTCATCAAAAGATCCAGAAACAATTAAATTACTTTGAGGATTATAATTTATACAAAATACATAATTTGTATGTCCCTTCAACACTTTTATTGTTGTTCCCTAAAACAGAAACTTAAAAAATACAGAAAAACATGATCAATTTAAATACAGTCATTAAATTCCAAATACGAATCGTTTTGTCATCACTAGCAGATGCTAATGATTGTGAATCAGATGCCCATGCAACATCAGAAATACCCATTAGATGTCCTTCAAGAGTTTGTTCAAATTTTCCATCTAATGCATTCCATATTTTAATTAATTTATCAGCAGCTAAATAACTACATAAGTTCTATAGATGTAAGTCAGAAACAGCCTACCAGAACTTGCTAACCATTTCCCATCAGGACTAAATTTAACACTAGATATAGGTTCTTTATGTCCTATCAATGAATATCTTAAAGTATAATTTGAAATTTTTGGAATAATATTAAAATTGCAATTATCAGGAACAGAAGTAGAAGTATTATCTAAAGAAATTAAAAGCTTCTTTTCAGGTTTTATCCTTTTTGTTAAAGGCTGATTGTCTTCGTCCATTTAATGAAAAAATCAGTTTTAAAAAATCGAAAAAATACATCAGCAAAAAACTATAATGAACAAAAAGATTAGAGTTTTATCATTAAATTGTTGGTAATATTCTTTACATATTAACTATATCGTACAGTTAAATACTACAATAGGGGATTAAAATACATATCAAATTATCGCAAAGAACGTCTTGATTTAATTTCTAAGCGTATTGCGTCAGAAGATTATGATATTGTAGGCCTTCAAGAAGTTTGGGTATATTCCGATTACGAGAACATGAGGAATAACACAAAACACAAACTCCCTTACGGAAAATTTTATTTTAGTGGTATTTTTGGATCAGGGCTTGTTATTCTATCTAAATTCCCGATTGAATCAACTTCAATATATAAGTATTCTTTAAATGGTAGACCAAGTGCTTTTTATCATGGTGATTGGTACGTGGGAAAAGGCGTAGCAATGGCAACACTATTAATGCCTAATGGAAAAAAAATTGAATTTTTTAATACACATGTTAAAAAACAATCAATACAATTACCTAATTAATTATTTCATAGCTTCATGCATCTTACGGAGGAGAAAATGATGAATATTTATGTCACAGAATATCACAGGCATGGGAAATTTCGAAATTAATATCATCTGCTTTTACAGCAGGAAAAATGATAATTATTGTAAATTATTACTTTTAAAACCATAGTTTAACCATTTAAAAAGGTTGGCGACTTTAATTCAAAGCCAGATAGTATTATTTTCAAAATTATTTCTTTCAGTGGTTCAATTTCAGATTCATGGAACATTAACATAGATCAAAATCAGTATAATAAAAAAGCACCAAGTCACGAAAAAATTATAGAAAAATTATGTTTTACATGTGATTCACCTATAAATACATGGAGGATGAAAAAATGGAAAAAATCACCAGGGAAATGTGAAGCAAAAAGATTAGATTATATATTTATAGATACATCTTGGTTCATAGTAAAATACGTCAAGTTAGCTTTTACGGAAATAATACCTTCCTTAAACTGTTCATACTCTGATCATTTCGGAATTGATGCTCTTATTGAATTCATGAATGGTCCAAACAACTCTAATCCTAATAAACTTAAAATTGAAGACTTAGAAATTATACAGCAAGAATTCAATAACCATATTAATCAAATAAAAAAATACTCTTATTTAAAAGCTATTTATTTCTTCATATCTATTATTATAACAATTGGCTTACACATTTCAGTCTTTTGGCCTCATAATATATATATTACATTTCTTCTTTTTCTTATTAATAGTACTATTTTCTTGACTTGTATTTTTAGTCTATTAGAATTCATTTTTATATGTTGGGAACTTCGAACACTTTCGGAATTTCAAGAAGAAATTTCTTTAGTAAAACATTTAATTTTATTTAGTTAGTCTTAAATATCGAGTGCATCAATAAAAATATTCTAAAACTAAATATATATTAGATTTTAGTACAAAAATAATATTAAAAATATTTAAATATCGATTTTTTTTTAAAAATTTTTATAATTTTACAAAAAAAATGGTTCTTAATAAATTGTTCAAAGTAAAATAATCATATTAATTGATTCAGTGATTAATTATGTAGTTAAATACAGGTGGTTATATTCCAGCATTAGGACTAGGAACATGGCAATCCAAACCAGATGGTTATTTTACATATTTTAAATTAATAATTGCTAATAAGAAATTAGAAGTCTCTATCGCAGTAGAAACTGCTTTAAAAGCAGGATATCGCCATATTGGAATTATTAGAAATTTATAATTTTATTATTAATTAATAATAGGACACTGCTTTTATGTATTTAAACGAAGAAGGGGTAGGACAAGGCATTAAAAATAGTGGAATTCCTCGAGAGGAAATTTTTGTAACAACAAAATTGTAATTTATTTTTAGACTCATTATATCTGTACTTATTTCTAGAGCGTGTACCTTTCACTCTCGTGCAGAAGAATGTTTAGATCAAAGTCTAAATAAAATGAAATTAGATTATGTCGGTATGTATACATATCTTAATAACTTAAATATAATTGTTTAGATCTTTATCTTATGCATTGGCCTCTTTCCCTTAATCCAAATGGAAATCATATTTTTTTCCCAAAAAAACAAGATGGTACTTATGATATTGAGAAAGGATGGGATTTCTTAAAAACATGGAAATCACTTGAAAAACTCCTAAGTACAGGAAAGGTTGAGTATAATATATTGTAAAGATGCAAGTATTCAATTGCATAAAGGTAAAAGCTATTGGAGTTTCAAATTTTAGCACTGTGAATTTGGAAAAACTATTGGAAACAGCTGAAATAATACCAGCAGTCAACCAATGTGAAGTATTTTTTTTCAAAAAATATTAAAACAATCTTAACTTTAATAGTTACATCCTTATCTATCACAAGAAAAACTTCTTAAATTTTGTATTGAAAAAGGAATTCATTTAACTTCATACTCACCATTTGGTTCTACAAATACACCACTTCTAAAAGAGCCAATGGTTACAGAAATTGCAAATAAAAATGGAATGACAGAAGCACAAGTCATTCTTGCTTGGTGCATACAAAGGGGTACATCTGTAATACCAAAATCAGTAACTCCTTCACGAATTATAAGTAATCTTCAAGTTTCTGAACTACCAGAAGATGATTTCTTAAGATTAAATGAACTTGGAAAAACACATGTATTTTATTCTAACTCCCCAAGAAAATATTAATATTATTGTAGAAAGTTCGTTACATTTCACTAAATAAGGATATAACTATTTTCCATGATGACGAGTAGATATATTATAGAAATACATAATAAAATAATGTATTACATTGTTTAAATTTAGAAATTTATTTTAAAGTTTTGAGACGAACCATACTTTCTTCATTATTTATAACACTGATTTCTTTTGCTATTATATTATCTACGCGACTAAGAGGACTTCCTTCATATTGTAGCCATTTTTTAAATACATCTAAATCTTGCTCTGTACCTTCTGCTTCTATTTCAACAGAACCATTTGCTTATCCTGAATTAGTCTTATATTAAAAATACTTAAATCTAACCTGTATTTCTACACCATCCTACAATTGACAAAGATTTCGCTTTTTCAACTATATAATTACGGAAATATACGCCTATAATAAATCAACAATTTTATAAATCTATTTAAAATTTATAACCTTGAACCTTTCCGAAAACTTCAAAATAAACACGTTTTTTAGTCATTTTTATATTAAAATTTATTCGTTACAATCAATTTTTAAAAAATCGGTCTGCTTTTTAAACTTGAAATATCTTAATAAAATGCTTTATACCCAATTTCAAGGATCTTCAAATATCAAGAAATATATAATTATATATTAATAATAAAAACTTTTAATAAAAATTTTTAATTTTTATACAAAAATATAAACGATAAATATATTTTATTACAAATTATATTTAAATATTAACAACTTAAATATAAATCATTCCTATTAAGACTGAAAACCCAATAACAATTAATTCATCTTTACAAGTTTGACCTCAAAAACAAGATCAGAACCAGCTAAAAAAATAATAAACATTCTAAAATAAAATAAAAACATATATTACTACCTGGAATGCCTGAAAGCGCCTTTTTTCCATAGGCCATAGAACAGGGAACTGTAATACGTCTTTGACCACCCAATGACATCCCTTTTATACCAACATCCCATCCTTTTTAAGTCAAAAAAAAAAAAATACAAAAGAAGATTTTACCTTTAATAACTTCACCACTTCCTACAACAAAAGAAAAAGGCTTCCCCTTAGTATTAGAATCGAACTGCTTTCCATTTAAAAGTTTCCCAATATAACGCACCCCAACCTATATATAGAATTAATTTTGAACAAAATAAAATAAAATAAAAACCCTGCATCCATCTTTCACCTGAGGGCCTTTGCCAACTACTTTGTCCTCAATAACCACACCTCCTTCTAATGTTTTAGATTTAGATGTTTTAGTAGAATACTGATCAAGATCCTTAGCAAAGGTAACACTAGGTTTAGAATTCTGAAAATTACGAGATTCCGAATCATTATTTTTCGAGAAAATATTCGATTCACTTTTTTCCTCAGAAAAAGAAGATTTATCAGAATTATGTTTAAATTTTTTTCTTTGTTTTTTAGTAAGCTTTGAAATATCGACATCACCACTGTCTAAAATTCTTTTTTTAGAAATATCCTGTTTATTGCCATTATTTCTTATCACACTATCTAAATTATCTAGACCATCTAAACCATTGTCTAATAAATTTCTCTTTTTTTCTGAATCAGAAGCTTTACTTTCAGACGATGAAAGTTCTTCAATTTTAGGACTATCATCACCTAATTCATCAGATTCAGAATCATTAGCATCAAGATCATCTGAATATTTATCAAAAAGCTCATCCTCATTAGAAGAAATATCATAATCATCATCAAAGTCTAATTAAATGTAAATATATAAAAACCAATTCTAAAAAATTACCCGAAAGAATAACATGATTACCTGTAAGATATACAGGACAATCTCCACTAGTAGTAAAAAACACTTCTTCATCCGCACTAAATGTCAAATCCAAACTTTGTTGATATTGATCGCCATGCTTTAAGGTACAAAGTACAAACTCAACTTCAAGCTCTTTAAGATCAGATTCAGAAATATCATCACTATCATCAATGTTATCATCATCGCCATGGAACCTTGGTCTACGAATAACTTTTATGGTAGAAGATTTAGAAGATTTATCAGATGAATCAATGGCAGCCATAGTTAAACGAAATGCACCAGCTGTATCCTCATCATCATGAGCGGGAACACGTTTTCCTGGCTCAACTTTACAGCCCCATAACGCTACGGCTTGAACCATTTTTTTAAAAAAAATAAAATATAAAAATAAATTTTATTCGCTCGATGCAAAAAATATACTTTTTTTTGCTTAAAAATTATTTAAACATAAATATATTATATATGTATATATAATTCGAAATAATCAATGGAATACCTTTCTGGATTTTTTTTTAATATATTAATTACAAAATTATAATAAAACATAATATATATGTACATAAAATTAAATATATGTAAAAACAATAGATAAAACATTTTCTAATAAAATTACAAATACATCTTAAAATAGTTTATATATTAATAAATAAAATTTAAAAAAAATGATAATTACAATCAATTAAATGCTATTTTTATAATAAAAATTAAATAATTTATAAAGAAATATTTTTTATATTTTAAAAATATTCAAAACTTAAAATCTTATATCTAAATATTTTATACAAATCATACCTAAGAAACAAAAACATAATTTAGATTTATACTTTGCAAATTAATTTCTAAAGAAAACTTAATAAAAACAATTATAAAATATAAATAAAAATATCCTTATTAGATAAAGAATAGAAAATTTGAAACTTTACTCTTGTATAAAAATATTACAAACATATTTATAATTTTCAATATCTAGACCTATTTAAATTATAACAAATTACGTCTTTATTTAAACATTTATAGATTTTATAAACTTTTATAAAAGTACTAACTATTTTTAAAAATAAACTAGAAAAAATATTTTAAAATGATTAAACTAGTTTTCATTTTTTTTCAAAAAAAATACCAAAAAATAAAACAAATTTATATTCAATTATTTCTTAAAGATACATTTTTAAAACCTTATATAAATATTTAAACAAAAAATTAATCATTTTATCATTTATTTTTAACAAATTACAAATTAAAATTCAAAATTAATAACTTTAAAAATTATATTAAAAAATATTATAAAAAATCCTATTAATAGATTTATAATAAAAACTAATTAAAAAATATCTTAAATTGAACAGCTCTTTTAAAATTATTTTTCGTAAGATGTTAAATTATCTCGTATATTTTAAAAAGCAAATTTGTTAAAATTAATGTGATTAATAAAAACAATATAAAAAAAATAACTAAAATACACCATGAACAATACACCAAAAAAAAAAATAAAGAATGTAAATTATTAATATTTCTAAATAAAAAAAATAATACCAAAATAATTTTTAAAACATATGTTCTAAATAAAAATACATATTAATATCTAAATCAGAAATATATCTAGTTTAATATGTATTAATTTATCTTTATTAATATTTATAAACACATTTAGGATATATCTTAATATTTCTATAATATTACTGATAAATTATGTCAATATAACTATAAACTAAGTTACTATTCATTTTTTGGTCGTTCTAAAAGCAACTTAATATCCTTATCTACAGATTCCACAACCTGATTATTTGCAAATTCCCCATAATATTTGCAAACTTTTTCACCTTTTTCTTTCATAATATCTTCAATAGTAATATTCTTATCGGAAAATATCTTAAGATGATCAGAAACTAAAATAATATTTAAATTTAATCAATTTTTTCAATATTAACATACTCAAATGACGATTTTTGCAACGAGGACATTGAATAATCACAGTACCATTGTGATAAGCCTGTTTTGTCATCCTATGTGTTGTTCTACTTAAGCATCTGAAATAAAAATTAAAAAAATATACTAAATAAAAAATGCAACCTCTGACATGTAAAAGTAATGAAATATGAAGGAGTCTTCTCATATCCACATTTTAAAGTGCCGATACCTTTTTGCCGAAAAAACAAGATACTATTTAACGTTTTTATAAAAAAATGCTTATTTTCAAATTTTCTTGATATATTAATTTTTTTTAAATAAAAAAACATTAATATTTTTTATTTATTTTTTTTTTTTCAAAACACTTTAAAAATCAAAACATTATCCTAATTTCATAGTTAAAAATCTACCTGAATAATTTTATTTAAAATAATTTAACATTCGAAATCAATTTATCTACATCTAATCTAATTTTTATATCAAATTTATAAAATAACAGATTATTCTATTAATTTTAAAAACATATAACAAAAATTAATGAATAATAATCAAAGACTAAAAATAAAAATCCCTAAAAAAGTAAAAATGATACATAGAATTATGAAAAACTAAATATAACTAGTTTGAGAAAGAAGCGTTAGAATATGACTGGAATATATCTTGGAATTTTCTTTCTCAAGCAATTAGAGATATATATAAAAAAAACTCGTCTGTATTGTCATTTGAAGAACTATATCGCAATGTATATAACTCCATTTTACATAAGCAAGGGGATAAACTATACGATGGAATAAAATCAATAATACAAGAACATTTAGAAAATATTTCAAATTTTGAAATACAACCTGCATATAAAATAATCAAGGCACTGAATAAAATAAATATAACAGATATTGAAATCATAAAGGCTAACTCTTATTATTTACAAACTCTAAAAAATGTTTGGAATGAATACATTCTTTCTACGAATATGATATCTCATATAATGAAATATATGGTAAATGGATATATAAGACGTACGTATTTCCATCCTTATAATTAACAGGACAAAGTTTATACAAGACAAGCGAATAAACTACAAATTTATGACATAAGCATTGTACTTTTCAGAGATTGTATCATAAAATGTCAAGAGCTAGCATTTGGAAAATGCGCTATTACAATTATACTAAACCAAATACATATGGAGCGTCAAGGAAATACAATAGACAGATCATCAATTAAATCATGTATAAATATGTTTAATAGCCTTCCTGATAAAGTAAATACAACTAAAACTGTTTTTGAAGTAGATCTTGAGACATATATTCTTTTGGAAACTCGAGAGTTTTATGCTAAAGAAAGCAAAAGACTCCTAAAATTATCAGATGCTAATGAATATCTTATTCAATGTGAAAAAATCCTAGAAGAAGAACATAATAGAGCTAATAATTATCTCCCATTTGAAACTGAGTCAAAAATAAAACGTATTGTAGAAGAAGAAATGATTTTACACAACATGGGTACAATAATAAAAGTAACTGAAATGTCATTTAATATTTTTACTAATTAACAAAAAGATGGAGTCATCTGGCCTTTTTTTCATGCTAGATAATGAAAAAATAGATGATCTAAATCGTTTATATAATTTATTTGTTAATGTAGATCCAAATTTAATCGAATTAAGAGAAAATATTTATAGTAAAATTACTGAACTTGGAGAAATTATAAATTCTAAAGTTAATGACATGCTTTTATTAGATAAAAGGGAAAATATGGAAGCTAGAGGAACCTTAGCAACATATGCATTTGTTTGGGTTAATAGTATTTTTCTACTTAAAGATAAATATAATAAAATTTTAAAATTAGCATTTCAAGGGAATAAATGCATTCAAAATACTATCAGCGATGTAATTCCACGCCCCTCATTTATATAAATTTAATATTAATAGGCATTTTCTAAAAACATAAATACAAATCCTAGATCTATAGAATTTATATCTATATTTATTGATGAAAACTTAAAAAAAAAAAACAAGGTATTCATGAAATAAAATAAAACTCGACTAAAAATTCATAGATTCCGAAGAATGATATAAATATTGTTTTAGATAAAGCCATTACTTTATTCCAATATATTAAAGACAAAAATATTTTCGAAAAATATTATAAAAATTATTTTGCAAAACGGTAATTTTATATAATAAATAACATTTTGTATAAAACTCATCACTTACATATATTTAAAGACTCTTGCAATCCTATTCAATATCAAATGATACAGAAAAATATATGATTACAAAGCTAAGACTCGAAGCAGGCTGCAAATTTACAACAAAATTAGAAGGAATGTTTAAAGGTATTTTAAAAATTTAATTGTAATAATTTAATTATTATCAATTATATAGATATTCAGCTTTCAAAAGACATAACGATAGAATATAAAAATATGTTAAAATCAAATTCTTTGGTATTTTTTTCTTCCAATTTAAATATTTCACATGAATATATTAGAAAATCCCTTTTGAATTAAATGTTGCTATTTTGACATCAACATTTTGGCCTATAACACTGAATAATAATTTAGCTTGTATTTATCCACAACAAATTGAAAATGTAAAAAAGTCATTTGAATCATTTTATCTTTCTAAATATAATGGAAGACGACTTTTATGGCAAGAAAATATGGCATTAATAAATCTATAACTAATTATTTTTATTTTAATATCATTTAGGGAAATTCAGATTTAAAAGTATTACTTAAATCAAATACTTACAAAATAAATGTATCTACATATTCAATGATGATTTTGCTTTTATTTAATAATATTGAAGAAGGGGAATTCCTAAGTTACAAGGTATACTTTTTATTAATATTAAAATCATTTATTAATTTCTATACAGGACATTCAAATAGCAACATCAATACCAAATCAAGAACTTACAAGAAATTTGGAATCTTTAATTTGTGAAAAATATAAAATTTTAATAAAACATCCAAATTCACAAAATGTTGAAATTTCTGATAAATTTTTATTTAATCAAAGTATTTCTTTTCCTAAAAAAAAAATAAAAATCATAATTATAACAAATGATAAGACCAAAAGACAAGAACACGAAAGCATTATAGAAAATGTAGGAGAATCTAGGAAATATCAAATAGAAGCGGCTATTATTCGTATTATGAAGTAATTATTACTTTTTTTTTTTATTCTAATAAAAAAAGATACCATAAAACATTAGATCATAATACTTTAGTAGAAGAAACTATAAAACATTTATCGTCATATTTTATTCCTGATCATTCAATAATTAAAAGAAGAATTGAAGCATTAATAGAGAGAGAATATTTAGAAAGACATGTATTTGAGAAATTGATATAATATTTACTGATTTTATATATAGGATAAAAACCATGAAACATACAACTACTTAGTATTATTAAAATACTTTTAAATGTTCCGCCATCTAACTGTTTACAGGCATAGTAAAATACATTACAAATTCTTATAAAACAAATATATTATTAAATATTAAGGATTTATGTAAAAAACAATATTTTCCAGCAAAACATCCTTAATACATTTAGCAATAGAAAAGAAATGCTCCAGTTTTTCTTAAATTAAAAAGTTTTGATAAGCATTTTTTTTAAAATAACCTGTATTATAAATATAGAATCTTTTAATATAAATACAATCTCAAACCGATTTTTTCAATTTGTTCCTTTTTTCTTTTAATAACCATTCTAATCAATTTATTAAAACATATTCAAATGAAAACGTTATTAACATTATCAATGTTTGAGATATAATTTCAGAAATAAAAAACAAATAATAATATTAATATCTTGAAATAATATAAGCTTATTATTTAGATTATTTATGCTACCATCATTAATTGAAAAAATCAATCTAGTCAATTTTTTCAAAATTATAATAAATATATAGAAAAATATATAGCTTATTAAATATTTCTAGAAAATAATTTCTATATTGTACATTTTCTTAAAATTAAAAATATCAAAAAGTGTAGAAAATAAATTATTTAAATCTAAAAAAATAAATATCAAAATTAGTTTTTAAATTTATAATTTTTCATTATTCTTAAGTTCTTAAAATTCAAAAGAATTTCACAAAATCAAACAACTCCATTAATCCATATTTATTAAATAATTGATATATATCATTTATTTTAAAAATAGAAAAAAATTACTAAATAAAAAATATCATTCAATTTCTCAGAAAAAAGAATAATATTCCTGAAATTAACAAATTTGCTTTCTTTTAAACATTATATTGCAACATAAGAAAAAAGAAACTATTAAATATAATTCATTTTATCCGATTTTTCTTATGACAATTTTATATTTAACATTAAATAAATACCATCAAATTCTTATTCAGATCATTAACCAAAAATATATTTATCATTTTTTTTCAATTAGTATCCTTTATACCTTTGATATTTAGCCCTTTTAAACTTTAAAAAATATTTATGCAACTACAAAATATTATGTCTTAAATTTCTTTAAATTATTTAATATAATTTTATTTAAAAACATTATAAAAATAAATGAAATACATCCTAAATATAGAAATAAGCTATATTCATGTTTACTAATAAAAACCAAAATGCAAGTAAAATATTAAACAAATCAACATGCAATATTTTCATATTAAAAAATAAAATATAATTAAGCCCTAAAAACAAAGAACATAAGCGCAAAAGAAAGTTAGAAAATTAAAACACTTTTTTAATCTACAATTAAGTAAACTTTCAAAAACTTCTAATAAAATTTACAATTTTAATATCAAAAAATTACTCTAATATATAAATTTCAAAAAAATTCATCTGAATCACTAAAAATAAACAATATGAACTATAAATAAATAAATTAACATTCCAAAGCCATACAAAAAGCCACTTGTTAAATTAATAAACTAGCTTACTGTACATAGTATAAAATAATCATTGTTACAAAAATAGTATTTTTTTATTAATATTTAAATTTAAATATTACATTTTAATTAATATATTAGTAGATGATTTAAAGACTAGGGTAAAAAAAATCAAAATCATTTTACAATAGCTCTTAAAATTATTTTCATTTTCAAATATTTTTAACAGCTTTTTCCAAAACCCTTATATCAATATTTTAATAAATATCATTTATAACAAAATTAACATGATTTTTTATTAAAAAAGTATAAAAATAAAAAATATTTTTTAAATAATGTCATTAACTCTTTAGATAATACAATTTTTTTCATCTATAAAATTCCATAAATAATATACTATTGTCTAATAATAAAATAAATTTAACTTTGTAAAATATCTTAATTAAAAATTAAAGATATAATGAAAGACTATGAATTTCTAATATATATATATATATTTTTAATATTTCATTTTCCAATATCTTAAATTTCAACATTGTATTTTAGCCTTCGAGGTAGCTTTAATTTTTTTTATTATAAATTATAAGTGTAAACAATTTAATATCATACAAATATGAAAGTATCATGGATTTGTATGCTATTACTAGGATCTTTAGGAAGCAAAGCTAGTCAAAAAGAAATAAAAACGGACAACTCATGGAAAAATCTAAATATGTATAAAACACATGAAATTTCTATTCCACTATTCATACAAATAGAAATCGAAAAATTGATCTTTCAAGATCCTATATTCAAGAAACATCTACAATTGTTATTCAGAATATAGGAAATACTCCTTTAGATGAATATTTTTGGATCATTGATAATGATATAACAGATAAAATCAGCTATATTAAGGCAAAGGAAAAAGATGAAAAAAATCTATTTATTGAAGTAGCTCCTTCAAAAGAAAATCCTTTTAAGTAAAAAATAATTCTAACATTAAATATTCTTACATATCTAGTGACGTTAAATTATATATCATAAAACTGTCTAAACCTGTCCTCCCTCAAAGATCAATAACCATAGAAATTGATATAGCTGTAATAGATACATTAAAACCGTTTCCTGATGTGCTTTCTCAAGATGAAATTCAGCATCTTAAATGGGAAGGGTTAAAATATTCTTTGTCAATTTATTCTACAGAAAAACAAAAAACAATTTTTAAGTGAAAACATAGAATTTTATTATATACAGTAGTTAATCCTAAACTAGAATCAGTGCTAATAATATTTTATCATATTCTCAATTCCACAAAGGCAGTTCAGCAAATCCAGTATTATTAAAGTCACATCTTATATATAACTTCCCTGATATTGTCAAACCATTTAACAAGGAGTTTATTTATATTCATTATACATACGAGAGACCCATTACTGTTATAAAACACTTAAAACGTGAGGCGGAAATATCCCATTGGGGCAATAACATTGCAGTAAGAAATACTTACTCAATAATAAATGCAGGTGCAAGGTATTAAAACTATAAACTTCTATATATGTCTAAAATAAATAGACTTAAGGAAAATTTTTCACGTTTAAAATGGGTACATCAATTATATTATGGAACATTTCATGCAGCGATACTTTCACTACAGATCAATCTTAAAACCGAAACTAGAGACACTTATCACATTGATAAAGTCGGAGTTGTTTATACAGGAGAATTCATATCAAATTCAGGAAATACAACTATTAAAATCAAACCTAGATACCCAATTTTTGGTGGATGGAATTATTCATGTACAATTGGATGGAATATGAACCTAAACAATTTTTTAAGAAAAAAAAACAATAACGTATATATTTTAAAAATACCTTTTGTGGACGGACCTATAAATGTTTATTATAAAAATATATCAGTGAATATTATTCTACCAGAAGGATCTAGGTAATTATACATGTACAAAAAAACTTTTCCTTAATCGTCTTAGAGTTTTGGACGTTGTTTCACGTATCCCTATTTCTAAAAGTGAAATATCAACCTATAAGACATATATGGATGTTATAGGAAGAACATCAATAAAACTATTTGCTACAAATTTAGTTGATACAATATCATCAGAAGAAATTTTTGTATTTTCTAATTTAGTTTTATCTTTATTTTCTAAAATATTTTAGATATTATATGATTATTCACTATGGAATAATTTTAGAAAGCCTTTAACGATTTCTATAGCTTTTGGAGTACTATTTCTTAGTTCATCATTATTAAAGAAACTTAAAATTAAAATTGGAGAATGAAGCTCCAAAAAGTGTAAAATAATATTTTATACATATTAAAAATACTATATTTTTTTTTTTGAAATCGTTAGAATTCTATTAAAATTCTAAAATATTTTAATATCAGATTTATTTTAATATATATTCAAAAAAGTTAGAGAAATTATACCCAAAGACATATAAGGGGACTAGTACATATATATACTTTTTAAATATTCAGAAATAACGAAAAGACTTTATTTTTAATTTAAGTAAAAATAAATGCTAAAAATTTATTAATTTTAACAATAAAGATTTAAAAATGGCACATATATCAAGACAGTCAAAAACACCACAACTTCCTGTGCTTTACGTGAAGAATTTAAGCTTTAAAGTATCTACAGAAGAACTTTTTGATCTTTTTGGAAAATTCGGACCAATAAGGTATGAAATTAAATTATTTTTAATATTAAAAGCACCAAGTTTGATGAGGATATAGACAGATTCGATTGTAAGTAAATATTACTCTTTTCTTATAAAATTTGCAATTTTAATATTATAATTCATTGCATTCTCTAAAAACATATATATATATATATACATATATATATATACATATATACATACATACTTGTATTTAAATTTGAATTCTAAAATAAATAGGGGGAATGATAATACAACACGTGGAACTGCATACGTTGTCTATATTGATTATAATGATGCAAAAATGGCATGCGAGAAGCTCAACGGCTTCAATTTTTCAGATCGATATCTTACAGTACTTTATCATCAGCCTGAAAAAATATCTGGAAAAACAGATACAGCAGAAGATATTGCATTAAGACAAGCCAATCTTGAAAAACTCAAGCGAGAATATAATATTGAATAGCGTTGTATATTTCTATAATAAATCATGCAATAAATACATTTTTATACAAAAAGAAATTACCATATATTATTTCTAAATAATAATAACTAACTATATATTTTATCGTACTATTATTTATATTTATTATTGTATTATATATTTATTTTTATTATTATATTATATATTTTATAAATTAGGTTTAATCACATGACTCCCATGACCACAATACTAAAATATAGTTTTATATAAATCATAGAAAAAATTTAAAAAGAATAAAAAACTCAAAAACATATAAGCCATATATATACATTATATATATATTTAAACAATAAAGTTATTTCTCATTGTTTAGTAAAAAAATAATCAATATGGACCCTATAGAAGGGTATATTAATCTTTTAAAACATAAAACTAAAATTTAATATTTATTTAGTATACCTGATGAAATATTAAAAGAAATAAACGAACTGGAAATGTTTGTTATAAAAAAGGAAGAATTAAATAATATCATAGATAAATTCGTTCAACAATTAGAGAAAGGTAATTCAAATTAAAAAATATAATTAAGCCAATAATTTTATAGGATTATCAAAACAAGGGGAAACAATTGTATGTATTCAGAAGATCCTATGCAAAATTTTGATATATCTAAGCCTATGTTTCCCACATGGATTTTAGGATACGCCAATGGAGACGAACAAGGCACCTATTTAGCTCTTGATATAGGTAATCTCGAAAAAAAATATTTAGTTTTTACTTAACTGTTTTCAGGTGGTACTAATTTTAGATTATGTAAAGTTAATTTATACGGAAAGAGAAAATTTGATATCGTACAATCAAATTACAACATTGTATCTCATAAAAATCTAGAAAACAATCATAATGAAAAATATAGTCTCAAGAATTAAAGAAAAGTAATTCAGACGTATTTTTTGGATTCGTAGCGAAATGTCTTAAAGATTTTTTGAAAGAACATCATGAAATCAAAAAAGACATAACACTAGGGTTTACTTTTTCATATCCATGCAGGTAATATACAAAGAAATTAAAGCATCACAAATCCTGATTGTCTCAGACAAGACAGAATTGATCAAGGGATTCTCAAACATTGGACAAAAGAATTCGACATAAAAAATGTCGAAGGTCATGATGTTGTAGAAATCCTTACCAAAGCAATTGAGAAAGAAGTATATATCTATTATATATTTATAAGCTTTTAGTAAATTTATAGAATATTTCTGTAAAAGTTGTTGCTCTAGTAAATGATACTGCCGGTACTTTAATAGCTTCAAATTATGTCGACAGTACAACAGAACTTGGTGTGATTTTTGGAACAGGTAAGTTTTGATAACAAATTAAGCATTTTTCACATGTAACAATATAAAGGATCTAATGGTATAAAAATAATAGCAAAATATTACTATTAATGTCGTTTATAGCTGCATACATGGAACAAGTAAAATACATTCCAAAAATTAAACATTTAAATCTGCCTCCAGATCTTCCTATTGCTATAAACTGCGAATGGGGTAATATCGTTTAAATATTTCTGTCCTTCTTAAATAATGCAGGTTCATTCGATAATGAGCATCTCGTTCTTCCACGTACAAAGTATGATATTCAACTTGATTTAGAATCTAGATCTCCAGGACAGCAAACATTTGAAAAAATGGTATCTGGGTTTTATCTAGGAGAAATCCTAAGACAAATTTTATTGGATTTATATAAGAAAAAATTATTTTTTAAAGAACAATATCTTGAAATGTTGAAATGTCCGTATTCTCTTCAAACATCATATTTAAGTATTATTGAACTGTAAGTAAAAGTTCTAACTAAGCTTTTCCTAAAAAAAATAGAGATACTCATGAAGATCTTACAGAAACATATAAGTTAAACATTAAAATATTGTTATCATATCTTATGTTTTTAGACTTTTCAAAACACAATTTCATATAGAATGCACAATATTTGAAAGGAAAATTATTAAAAGAATTACGAAATTGATAGCAAAGCGATCTGCATATCTCAGCGCTTGTGGAATAGCAGCAATATGTAAAAAAAAAAATATTAAGGTTATAACACTCTTCTATTTATTTGTTTTTATTTTTTTTTAGGAATGTTCTGTAGGTGTGGATGGCAGTGTAATAAATAAATATCCTGGTTTTAAGAAACAGGTTTGCGATGCATTAAAATGTATACTTGAGCCATATGGTAAAATATTTTACCTATTAAAGTCAGCTCTAATATGAATAAAGGAGACAAAATTAAATTAATCAATGCACAAGACGGAAGTGGTGTTGGTGCAGGTTTGCTATTTTATAATAAAAAAACCATTTTTTATCATTATTTTAGCTATTATTGCTGCTATAACTACTCAAAGAAAAGAAAAGGGCGAATTCATTCATATTTAATTCAGAAAATTCTTAATTTTCTATATGCTATGTTAGAAAATATTATATATATTCATTTTTATAAATTTATAAACACCCTAAAATATAATTTAATACACGCTTTAACTATATATTCCTTAAATATTATTCATAAATGACAATTTTTTAAAATACATTTCCTAGAACTCATGAAAATTATTGAATCATGTATAATAATATGCAAAGCGCCACAATCCTATTTTTCCACTTTTATTTCCAATAGCTATTTCGCTTCCCGATGGAGAAAATTTAGTTACAGTAACATCTCCAAGAGGTGTAGAACCAGTTGGCCAATTTTTATAAACAGATCCAGTTGGAAAATGCACTAATCTAAGAAAATCACGCTTTTCCTTACTCGCCATAGCCAATATTTGCCCGTCGGGTGAAAATTCCAAAGTATTTATAGAAGTTGTCAAATTATTCAACGTTTTATAAAGAGATGGATTATTCAATTCTCCTGAAAGATTTCTTCTATCATAGACATTAACAATACCAGTATTACTCCTACATCGATCAATTTTATTAGATGTAACAGTATAATACTAACCCAAGTGCAAACCATCTATCATCAAAGCCACCTAAAGATATTTTAGTAATACCATAGCAACTATCGTCATTCCATTTTGACATAACTTTTTGTGATAAAATATTCCATTCCCATATTCCACCATATTTATTAGAAACACATATTCCTTCACCAGATCGTAGCCAAGAAACATCACTAATTTCACCTTCTATTTTAAAACCAGTAATCCATTGTCCAGTTCCAGCAGACAATACATTAAACCATCCTTTATTTCCAACAATACCAATAAATTTTCCACAAGGGCTAACTGAAATTTTTTCCATGCTTCCTTGAATATCATCATGACCATAAGTCCTGCTGACCTTTCTAATGTTTCCACTTTCAAGATCCCAAATATAAAAATATTTTCTTTGACCACCTACAATTATTTTATTATCATTCGGATGAAAAACTGCTGTTTGAATAGAAGATGAATGAAGATATAAAGATGAAACAAGTGGATTAACATCTCCATCAATATGAAATATCTTTAGAATACGATCATATCCTCCCGACAATAACAAAGGATAAAATGGATGAAAAGATAATGATAAAATTGCAGACTTCAACCCAATTAGCAAATTCAGTAAAAATAGTCTAATATAAATACTTCAGACGGAGAACAGGCATTTGCATCTTTTAGTCTTTTTATATTAATGGTAGTAGGAGGCAATACTGATAACGTTTTTCTAATATAACCTTCTGAAGATTCAAATAATGACTTTAATGATTTTGTAAATATTGAAACATCATTTAAAAAATAAGAATTATCAGAATTATCATCGCCAATATTTCCATTTTGCTTTAAATTTTCATCATTTAAAGATTTAGATAAAACTACCCAATTTGGAACAGGATTTATCCTTTCAAATCTATAAAAAATCAATATAATATTTACAACCTACAAACAGAATAACTGTTTTCTCAAGCGAATATTATATTCTTTACCATTAATTATATCCTCTTTTTCTGATTCCCTCAATTTTCGTAATCTTCCTACAGAAGCTAAAGAAATTAACAATCTTTCATCATCACTATCTTCCCATGCTGGTCTCTCTTCATCTATGCGCAGAGTCGCTGTTTTATTTAAACTGTCAGCCAATTCATTCTGGCAAGTAGATGTATCAACATAAAAAAGCTACAATATTTACCGACATAAAACTAAATACTCAAAAACAAACCTCATGGTCTTGAAGCAAAGAAAAGTCAACTGTTCTATCACCAAAAGATTCTGACTCATCTGAATTAGATATATTTAACAATGAATTCTTCAATTCTTCATTAAATGAATTATTATTTCCAAAAACTTTCGCTTCCAATATTTCTTCTTCTTTATCTTTACCATTTGAATTTAAGGAAAAGTCAGAAAATATAGAATCAATATATTTTTCAGATGGTCGATTCTTATGAATCGCCTTACTTTTCTTTGACTTTTGGCCCATCCTGTATGATCGTCAAAAAATTTCGATATTTATTTTTAATATGAATCATAATACAAGTAAAGTGTAAGAGATAACTAATTAAATAAGCACTCTATCTTACAGGAAAAAGATTATTTTTTGGCTCTTCAAATGGAAATTTTAAAAAGATTTTTGAAAAAACTCATGATTTAAACAAAAAACATAACTTTGATTTTTTATTTTGTATAGGTGATTTTCTTCCAGAATCAGGAACAGATGAATTAGAAATCATAGATCTACTTGAAGGAAGAATACAAAGTAATTGATGGTTAATATTTTTTATATTGCTTAAGGGAATTAGTTCCAATAACTACATATTTTTCAATTGGAAAACAACGTCTTCATAAAAAAGTTGAAAAAAAAGCAATTAAAAATAATGGAGAAATATGCAAAAATTTGTTTTATATAGGCACGAGAAAAAACAAATATTTAGGACTTAATAATATATCTAGGAAAATTAGGAACTTTAACAACATCAAAAGGAATTAAAATATCATGTCTAGGAGGGATGGTATATTAATTAATTAATAATTATTTAAAATAAGCTAAAAACAAAAGTATGAAGAAAAACAGTTTTACTGTAAAATATTACCAGAAGTAATAAATCTGATGTAAATTTTCAACTTCTTAATTATATAAATAGGATACTGAAATAAAACCGTATATTTATGAAAGCGAGGTAGATTTTATTATGAAAAAAGGGAAAGATTCGGATATTCTTGTTACATTTGAATGGCCTAAAGACATACATAAATTTTCATGCAAAAAGATGTCGAAAATGATTCCTGGGGTTCAATCTATAGCTAAAGTAACATCATATATCCAACCTAAATATCATTTCTCATCAAATGGTTCAATATTTTACGAAAGAGAACCTTATAAAAATATTTCTATTGAAGATAGACAAAAAACAAATATTACAAGATTTATATCATTAGGCTCATTAGATAACCCAGACAAAGAAAGAGTATACTATATATCATCAATTACATAAGAAATTAACATTATTTTAGTCTTCTTATGTAAGGTCTTTTAAAAATTTTAAATTTATTTAATACAAATCAGGCTTTTAATATCACAGCATCAAGTTTATATGATACATCAAATACGTTAAATATACCAAATGTTACACGAAATCCTTTTACAGAAGAAATAAATACAAATTCTAAAGAAATTAAGCATAATCTTGAAGATTCACAATATACCTTTTTCTGGAATAAAGAATCTTCAAATAGTATTAAGAGGCAGAAACATGATACCGAAATATCTAAATCATATGATCATATTATGTAAATTTCATAATTTTTATATCTCATTTTTAATATTTTAAAGTAAAAAAGAGAAAAAAGAAACTAATTCTGATCAAGTTCCTCAAAACTGTATTCGTATGTATGCACTTTTTTTTAAATGTTTATTAATTTTAAAGAAATTCACAATATAACAGATCATTTAATTTATAATTCATCAAAATTAAACAAAGAAAAATATGAAAAAGAAAGCACTATTCCACCCAATTATACTTGCAAAATATGCATGCAAAAAGGTCATTGGATTCAGGTAAAAATTAATTACAAGTATTCACTTATTTATTAATTAGAATTGCCCACAAAAAAAGACTACTGCTTCGAGAAAACCTATTCGTAATCATCCTAAATGTATTTTTTTTCTATTTATAAAAACATAGCTAACAAATTAGTGGAGTTTTGTTTTTTTTGTCTTTCAGATCCAAGAATTGCTCGTCATTTAATTACCTCTATAGGATCAGAAACATATCTTGCACTCCCAAAAGGTCCTTTAACAACAAGTTCCACTAATTCACCTTCTCTTTCATTCCCAGGGCATGTTTTAATTATTCCTATTGCGCATGTTCCTACAATTAACGCTATTGAAGAAGTAAACAGAGATAAAACTAAGGAAGAAATGGAAAGGTAGGTATCTCGTTTGTCATTTTATCCCTAACAATAGAAGATATCGTATATCTATCAATGAAATGTTTAAATCTAAAGGATGTGACACTGTAGCTTTTGAAATAAGCAGAATAAATGGCATCCACTTACATTGGCAAGTAATTCCAATAAAAAAAAATCTATCAGATGAATTAGAAAACACTTTTATTTCCATGGGAAATGAAAAGAAATACAATTTTGAAAAAAGAGACATCAAAAAGGATGAAGAAAATTATCTTCGTATTTGGTTACCCAACAACACTATTTTAGTTCACATAATAAAACCAGAAACATATTTTGATCTAAAATTTGCACGATATGTCATATCAAAAGTTCTTAATTTAGAAGAAAGAAGTGATTGGAAAAATTGTGTTCAAACAAATGAGCAAGAATTCCAGGATTCAATTCAATTTAAAAAACATTTTAAGGACTTTGATTTTACTATCTAAATACATTTCATTATTTATTAAAATCCAATTTGTACTATATTTTTTATTACCAATCATTTACAAAAAATTATCATTCTAATCTACAAAGCAATCTTCATTTCAATTTTTCATAATTTACTATATACATATTTTCAGCACAATTCTAATGAAAATATCCTAGATATATTGCTAATAATATTTTAATATATCTATTATTTATATTTATATCTTAACATTCAATATATCCGACAATTTTGATCTATGAAAAAACGCAATCAAAGACCAGAAAAATTAAGACAAGAAGAAATCGATGCAGGTGTATCCATTAAGTATGACGAACATGGGGAATCTTATATTGTTATTGGACAAACTATTGTTCGTCATAGTCGATCCAACTTTCCATCAAAATTAAACAAGTAAAAATAGAAACTATTTTTAAAAAAACCTAAGACAAAGAAGATATTGGCATCAAAGACGTCGACTTTTTAAATATTTTGATAGAGGAATATGGCTTGATGAAGAGTCTTGGTATAGCGTCACTCCAGAACCACTAGGACGTCAAATTGCAACACATTTATCGAAAATACATGACCACAATTTTGTCGTAGTTGATGGCTTTTGCGGTGCAGGAGGAAATGCTATACAGTTTGCATTAATTGATAAAATAGCAGGTATATCTTTTATTATTATTAATAATATTTCAAACATTTTCAGTCATTGCAATTGATGATGATCCAATAAAACTTATATGTGCAAAACATAATGCACGAATATACAATGTAGAACATAAAATTGTATGGATTCTTGCAGATTTCTTTAATATCTCAAAAAAAATAAAAGTATATTTTAAATTATATAACATTTAAATAATATTTTACAAGGGAGATATTATTTTTTTAAGTCCACCATGGGGTATTATGTATTAATCACTAATGATATTGATATAAATTAAACAGGTGGGCCAGATTATCAAAATTCAGAGGTGTTCAATATAGAAGCCATGAAGCCTTATCCTGCGTATATTTTCTAATTTTATTGGTTATTACTAATGAAATAAGCTCTTTATTATTTCATACAGCAAATTGTATGGTAAATAACAGCAACAAAATTGTCATGTATCTACCACGTACCTCATCTTTAGCCTCGGTAAAAAGAAATATATAAAACTAATTTCTAACATTTCTAGATAACAGCCTTAGTTAAATACCCACATAAAGTAGAAGCACATTATTTAAAGGCATCTGGAAAAACAAAAGCAATATGTTGCTATTTTGGCCCTTTAGTTCAATAATCATATATAAGTTATAAAATAATAAAAGTTTTGTATATATTCAACCATTTTATTTATCGAATACCCAATGGCCTACTTTTCTAACCGCATCTAACCCTCCATTTGCTAAAGTTTCATCATTTAACAAAGAAGCAAGACATTCCCATGGATTACGGCTTCCACCCCATTTCAAGACTTCTTTATAATACTTTTCTCCTGCAATACGAGATGTAGGATTTTTGGCAAATATATCCTTCCAAACTTTTGCAGCAATAGCACGATCAAAAAGATATGAATAATAAGTAGCGCCATATCCAAATAAGTGAGTAAATTGTGTCTGCCAAGATGTACCAGGAACCGATGGAAATAAACCCCATTTATCTTGTAAAGAATGTAATACCTTGGTAGAATCAAATCCTTTATCTAAAGGAGCGGATGTATGATATTGTTGATCCAAAAATGCCATTATAATTTGAGAATGCGTTTCAACTGTTTGCATCTTGAAATGATTTTTAATATAACTACTAAAATATTCAGGGGACAAAAATGAATTATCTGCTGCATGTCGAGCAAAAGCAGGTGTTATAGAAATATCAGAAGCAAAATGCTCCATAAGTACAGAAGGAAACTCAACAAAATCAGTCGCACAACGTGTTCCAGAAACATTATGAAAATCAGTACGTCCTAGCATAGCTAAAAAAAATTAAAATACTATTTACAAATAACAAATACATACAATGAAGTGCATGTCCCATCTCATGAAATAACGTCTCCAACTCAGAAAAAGACAATAAAGTAGGACCTTTATCAACGACTTGCCCAAAATCACAAACCAAAACAATAATTGGAAGTTGATATAACTTTCCATAACTCTTGAGAACTGGATTATTGTAATATTCAAAACTTGTCTCTCCTTTTACTAAAACATCATCATCTATTCTACGAGAACAGCGCACTGTATAATGCGCAGCACCACTCTGCTTTCCAGGTCTTGAGAATAAATCACAATAAATAACACCTATATGACCCTCCTCTGAAAATACATCTAGTTTTCTAACACTTGGATGCCATATCTCTCCAGGATAAACTTCAGATTGTACAAACCATAAACCATAAAGTTTTGTAAACAAGGTTGAAAGACCTTGAATAACAGTTCCAATCGAAAAATATGACATAATTGAATCTTTTTCAAAAAAAGTTGAATATTTCTTTTCTAAATTTAGATAAAAATCTTTATCCCAAGCATTAAGAAAAGATATATTAGAATCGAAAAGATGGATCCTCTTACTGATCAAAAGAGGCTCCAACTCTTTTTTTGCAATAGGCATATTATTTTTTGCAAGGCATTCTAAGAACTCAAGTACAAACATTTGATTTTTCATCATTTTATCAAGCAACGCTAATTCAGCATAGCTTTCCATGCCAACAAGTTGTGCCAATTCCGCTCTTTCTCTAAGAAGATTTTCCAAATTTAGGATTTTAGACTTCTTTGATTCTTGTCCAGAAATATATAGACGTTTTCTTACATTTTGATCAGGAATCAACGTCATTCCCATCTGATATATCCATCCCGAAGTAGGAAACTTAAGATTCGATCCATCTCCCCTCTTAAGCATAGATAATACCTCTGATGGAAGATCATTTAACAAATAAGATGGAATATCAATGTAATCTTGTTTAAGACTATAATGACTAAAAAAATGACGCCCTAATAAGGCTATACGACTTGAAATATCAACAAAATTCTTCCGTTTTTCATTTGATAAATTTATTCCCGATTTTTCAAAATCATGATGAAACCCTTTGGCAACAACTCTTTCTTCTTCTGTCAATTCTTTAACAATATTACCATTTTCAATAATCCGCGTTAATACCTTCTCTTCATATCAATCATATTCAGGAAATCTTAGAAAAACTCACCTTATAAAGTCCTGTATGTGTATTTAATATATTCATAAAATCGTACATATAATGATATGTCTCTTCTGCCGCCGCTACAAATTCTTTATCTGGATGAACCGTTCTTAATAATTCGGAAAGATCAATCACTCTACAAAGCCTGTCACTCAATCTATCCAAATCTTTAATAATTCTACGTGCGTCTTCTACGTTCTGAACTTGACGTTGAGTAATATCATCCGACAACAACTGCGCATTTTCTACTGCATCTCTAGCTAAGAAAACCAAGTCATTTGAAACAATTAGACCCGTATTCCTAAATAACCCCCCCTTATTTTCCACCAGACTTGAACATTGAACAGATTGTCCTGGCTTAACCCGATCAAAAACAGCTTGAAGTTCAGATACAGGTGTAACAAGAGATGTTAAACTCCTTGATACACATCTCACCGTAAAGCATGCATTTACACGCATCATTGGAGGGCCAATAAACCGATGCATAATCAAAAGCAGTTTCTCTGAATAAATCGTGCAAAACTCTGCATCGATAAGCAATATAAGATATATAAAATAATATATATATAAATAAACATTTGTACCAAATAATATAAAAATACTATATAAACATTGTATATATGGAATGATATTCTTTTTAATCAGTAGTTTCTTGGGAAACAGGTTCGGGGGAAACGAATACTACCTTTCTTTCTATTTCTTGACTTTTTTCTTCACCTTCTTTCATTAATTCAAGGATCTCTTCATCAAAGACTTTATTGGTTTTCCGAGATTTTGTTTTCAATTTAGTTTGTGAGGTTAATTGAGAATTTAATGAAACTCCTAGCATTTTCTCGGTTTCAGTAAGTGGAATTCCAAGTGTATCCTGTAATTCTTCATATACAAATGTTTCCGAAACCTTAGATACAGGTTGAATCTTTTTTCGAGTTATACCAGGTAATCTATGAAGATATCCATAACCTAAACCACATCCGAGTGCACCAGAACCTCCCCATTTTCTATTAGGTATAAGTATTACTAAACGCGTTGTTTCATGACGCCTATTATAAACATATAAACCTAAAGATCGGTTCATGTACTTTACTTATGTTAAAAAAATATTTTATAACTCTTACATACATTATCAATTAATGTTCCTAAATCAGATTCACTACGAAGAAGATCCTCTGGTGTACCAACAATATAATCATCATAAGGAAAGAGCCCAGCAGCTTCTGCAGGAGATCCAGTTTCAATACTCAAAACATGCCATACTACTTTTTGAGCAACACTTATTGAACACCAACGTAATGATAAACCGAAATGTTCTGAGGGTAAAAGAAGAATACATCTCTCCATCTGATCTTTTAATGACCAAATTACCACGCGAAGAGGCCGATCAGCACCTAAAAGATATGTAGAAAGCCATCCAAAATCCTCAGTCAGTTCTACTCCATCTACCTCACATATAAAATCATAATAACTCTCAATGCCTGCTTTGTCTGCAACAGATCCTTCAACAACTCGTAGAACATGAAATCCTATAATATATTAATTATAATGGCGTATACTATTTTCTTTATATACCATGAGTTCTACTTCTCTCCTCATCCTCGCCACGCAGAGCTGCACTTAATTGTCGCTTTAAACTAGACCACATAGTAATATCAAAAATAATAAACCATATTTCCCTATTTCTATAATTTTATAAATAAACCAAAGATATTTTTACATCTATCAATTATCGATTATATCGCCTTTAATCAAAATATAATTAAAACAAATGAAATAATAAGCATAATATTCAAAAGCCAAGGATATCATCAAACATAATAAGAATTATACTTATCCAAATAAATATTTATAAAAGATTTTCTAATATTTATATATTACAATATATCATTTAAAATAATATTATTGTTCGTCATCAGAAAGGCCAGAGGTATTATATACAGCATTTCCATGCATAGAACATCCTCTCCAAGTCTAAATAAGTTAAGCATTATATCATGAATATACAAAAAAAACCTTCATATGACCAACCTGTCCTAAAAAGATTTAATATAATATATAAAAAGCAAAAAAACACACCACAATTTCCACAGCGTCTATTAGTACTTGAAGTATTTTTCTTTATATTTGGTAAAGATGTTTCATACAAAACTGATGCTTCAGCTTTTTGAGCAGCCTTAGCAGCCTTTCGAGCCTGCCGTCTTTCATGATTGTGCTTTAATCGTGTCAATTGTTCTTCTAATAACTTCTTACGCCTTCTATTTACATCATCATCATCAGTAGGTCCCATTTTTTCCATCATTGTAGCTTCATCATCAATAAGCTGTCTATGCCTTATATATGCTCGTATAACATTAATATTATGAACAATCTCAACTTTTCTTTCTAACTGCCCAGAAGAGTTTCGAGTAAATCTTTGAATTCTTAGAACTTTATTAATTTGACCAGAACCCATTTGCGAATTCATAGATACATAATTATCATTTTCAATCAAATCAGCAGACTGTGGAGTGGAAACATACCATCCACCATCCATTTTATTATCATTAAAAGATTCTTTTTGAGAATCTACATATTCCGAATCACTCGTAGTTGAATCCCCTGTCATGCTTAATCCAATACGCTGAGATTTCCATATTCTTGCAATTTCATCTTCGTAAGCTTTTGACTGTTTAGCTATATTATATCCATGACTTGTTTTTGATTTATCTCCATCGGTTTTTTCATCCATTGTTTCATCCAATGATTTAAACCCCCCTTTCATTGACGTTCTTATAAAACTAAAACCTTGACCACAACCTGTTGGATCTCCTTCACCATGCAATTTTAACATAGCTCTCCCTTGAGTAGCATTAATAAAGTTTCTTGTTAAAATCCAAGGAACTAATTGTTGATCAATGCTTAGACACGTTTCATCCATATTCTCATCTTCTACAGCTCGCCCATATCCAGCATCTTCAAGATTCTGAAGACCAACTTGCATACTTTCGATAAGACATACCATTTCAGGGGAAACCATATTACGAATAACCACTTCAGAAGGAAGAACTTCGGAAGACTTTAATCTCCAATATCCTTGATCATCACCTTTCCTTTGAAAATCCATAAATTCCTTAATAAAAATAAAATATTGAATAAATAAAATAAAAATAAAATCAAACCTTAAGACGTTGTCTGAGTTGCATTTCATTTTGATCAGGAAAATGATGTGCCATCTGTTTAATAAGAATTTTCCCAGATTCTTCGCGACGTAAAAGACGAAAACAAATCATTTTGAGCCTGTTTTTACTAACCATTGTTATTTTTCTTGAATGAGGACCAGGAACATCAACTACAGGAAATGTTTGGCCAATAACATATAAATATTTTATATTACGAAGATAATATCTTGATCCCTGTGAACAAGTATTTCTAATATAATTAATTATGAATTATCAGAACGAAATATTTTACCGTATAACTAAAAAATCAGTACTTTGTGGTTCATGAGCAAAAATTGGAGCGCGTATCATCTTATTATACAAAGTAAGTACCGTCTCTCCAGGATCCACTGTTCCAAAGTTCCAAAAAGGAGAACGATCTTGAGGCTCTAAAATATGAGTTTCACCAATTGTCATTTTTGGTCTTGTATAATCTTCATTTGATTTTTTACGATAAAATACAACAACTTTGGATGCCATCCCAGGATTAGAAATAACAGAAGGATATTCCTCAGAATATTCCATCAATACGTAAGTAGAATTATCACTAAGAGTAATATCTTTAGTTGTGTTCAGTAATATCTTTGGATCCTTTATTCTATCCTTTTTTTTCTTTCGCAACCCAATTTTACTAAATTTAATTTCATGATCAATTTTAAACGTAATCACTGGCCTATGAAATAAGCGGCATTCTGTCTTTGAAAGCCTTGTCTTATAATAAGGACTCTGTAATCGATCAGCAACCAATCCATGCTCAATTGATAAATGGCCAAGAGTTTGACGAACACGAGATTGCTGATTTTGACGCAACAAATCATAAGCTTCATCATTAGATATATTATATCGTCTCGATAAATCATTATATAAAAAATGATCATTCGTTAAATGTTTATAACAATCAGAATTTGCCCTTTGAATATCAAGAAGAAGAAAAGGATCATTAAAATTAAGCTGTACAGGAGAAGCTAATTCAACATTTCCATTAAATATTCGGTCATCAATTTGAAGTTGAGAAAGAAACCCCTCTCCCATAAACTTAATCTTTGAATTCGATCGAACCAGCGTCACATTTTTACTGGGAGAAAATTCGTCTGAAAAGACTTTTCTATACCAATCGAAGCATGTCAAATGCAGATCATGATTCATTTCATTTGACGAAGACGAATGCTGAAATGTATTAGCCAGGCGTATGGGATATTTCAGAAGAAAATACGAAAACATCCGAAGACTCTTTATCGAGCTTTATTTCCTCATTTACCTCCTCAGAAAATGAAGAAATAAATATAACCTCATCATCCCATCTTGGCCGTATTGAACGATCAAAAGATGCAAAAGCTTGAGAATCATCCTGCTCCACATCCAATCTTACCCATGAAGGAAAGCAGGCTTATATCTATCAGATACAGCTCCATCTAACCTATTCTACTTACTACGAGTCATTTTATGCTTAACAGGAACAAAAAATGCTTTTTTAGAAATAAATAACTCACAAAACTTAAGAACCTCATTTTCCTGGAATTCTGGAAAATACTTCTTTAAAATGGCTTCACGGGAATGCTTTTCAATCGTCTTAGAACCACTTAAACTAGGATCAAATTCTTGTAGCGATCCCCATCCTAATCTTAACAATTGTATAGGTATCATTTCTGCTTCACCTTCTCCACAACCAGAAGGCACATAGCCTTCCCTTAAAATAGATTCTAGTTCGTTTGAATCATCTTTCTTCGATTCGCTAGTAACTACATCTTCTGGAAGATCATTATCTAATAAATCCAAATCATCCATCCATCTTTCTTCAAAAGCCTCCGTCTCCAATTCCTCCGTAAAACAAGGTTCAATAGAAACACGCTGGTCATCATCTGACGATAAAGACGATCTTATATTCTTTGACTTAGGGGGACGACCCATTTCTTAGTAATTGGGCCGCTACGATCTTAACGAGTAAACATGAGATTGATAGGCAGTAAAAATAATAGTATAAACAGGAAGAAATAAATAAATGAAAAATATTATTATATAGAGATCTAGAAGGCAAAGAATAAGAATTATTTATAAGAATCTTTATATTTAGAAAGAAATTGTATTTTCTAAAATTAGAAGTAAATAAAAGAATTAAATATTTATAAATAGAAATAATTGAAATAAGTTGACGATATAGAAGATTATTTATCAGATATTTTTGATCGAAACAAAATAAATATAGATATTGTCATAACCATAAGTAAAAAAAAGAATGAATATCGCATATTATGTGTGAAATCTATAATAATTAAAATAATTGTAAATAAAATTTATGGAAATATTACGAAAAATATAGCCAACAAGAGCGGGGCCGAAAAATGAACTAGATTTTTCAGTAATAGAATATAATGCATAAAATCTAGTCTCGTAATTTTCAGGACATAATTTGCCAAAAAGAGCTCGAGAATATCTATATTAATGAATAATTCTATTAGAGATAACTTGTTTATTATAATACCCTTGTATTCCTCCATAAAGGAACCCGAAAAACATAGATAATATGTATATTTCTATAGGTCGTTTTAATCCTAAAGAAATTGGAAAAAGACCAAGAATTCCATAAACTGGTATAAAAAGTGATAAAAAAAGAATAAAAACAAGGACTTGGGAAAGAGAAAAATTCAAACTTCGAGCAATATAAGGCCAAAGAAAAGCGCCCATTACACCAAACAATGTAGACAAAAAAGTTATTATAATAAAACCAAGAGGAGAAATATGCAAAGTAGATTTCACAAAAAGAACAGTTGTAGAAGAAATTGAGGAATATGCTAATGCTAATAAGAATTAAGAACAAAAAAATTATTATAAACCATCCGAAATAAAAAACCAAGCAATTAAAAAAAGCATTATTTTCTTGTATTTTCGTATATCTAAAAATGTCTGAATTAAAGATTTCCATGAATATAAAATATATCCTATAACAGGATAATTTCCCAATATGCCTTTAGACAATGAAGGTAAAAGAGGAGACCTAAGCCATAGTGCAACAGGAATAGTAAAAACCAACCACCATAATCCTAAAATAATATAAATAAACACAGCAATAAAAACACTGTATACCTGTTGCGCAAATAATTATTTGAAAAGACTTTATTCCTGAACCAAAAACAAAAATTATCATAATTGAAACAATTTGAAAAATAATAGCACCCAAATAACCTATAGCAATACCTCGAGATGAAAAAGTTGAAGATAAATCTGATATCAACGAGGATATATGCAAATCATATGTCTTCAAATAATCACGATAAATATGATTACCTTTAGAAACATTTTCTTTTCCAAAACCATCATCTGATAAGGATTGCCAAAGAGAGTCTAAGATCTTACGCTCCTTTAAAACTGAAGGATGATTTCTGCACAATCCGGGAAGGAAGGCATTAAGAAGGACAGTAGAAGCACTAAAACACATCTTTTCAACATTAATATAAAAACGCCATTACGAGACACATTACACTACTTAGAACAAAAAGAAATGAGGCAAAAAGATATCTCCTATTGATGAAAATGAAAGAAATAGACGATATACCTCCAATAATTGAAAAAACAAGAAACAACATTTTACGATTCTTTCCATAATCTGCCAAACTGCTAATACTAATAATAACGATGACCTGAAAAAATGACGCTATAGAATACACATACAATGAGAAACTATAACTATCTATCCATCCTATCCCATGAATATAAATAACACATAAATTTGATTTTTTATCAACCCGAAACAAATTAAACGCAAAAAAAGAATCATGGAATAGACACGGTGTACTCTTATCTGATAATAAAACACCCGAACTCCGAACAAGCTGCTCTAGTAACACAGGAATAAAAGTAGTTATTGAAACAGAAGAAAAAACTTCATTAGAAAATCCACAACTATACCATCCTAAAATATCCTTTTTAGATGTAAAACCAATATGCTCTTCTAATATAGGACTATCCTGCTGATCAGCTATAAATGTCATAAAAAAATCTTTTTAAAAAAATTCAGGAGATTTTAACATCTGTTATTCCTAAAAGCCCAGGTCACCTTGTTACCATAGCAACTTCAATAAAGATAAGATTTTTAAAAAAGATCATTTAATATCCCTGTTTCACATGCTTCTATATCAGGAAAACACATATCATACATTGAATCATAATTGTTTGTACTTATACGAGTTAAAAATGGTTTAATATCAGAAACATCATTAATTGTTTGAAAAACAAGCAAAGGAGATCTCTTATTATGATTACGAGTATCTATAAAAGTCTAAAAAATAATTAATTTCATTCTAATGCCACAAAAAAAGAAATATCCTACTTCAGATAATTCAACAGTAGATGAAGACTTCTGAAGAAATGTAAAAATTTTATGAAAAAGTTTATCTACCAAGGCAACAGGTTTCCATTTATCATAAAAATGGACAGCATCAATTGTATCTGTTATAAAAATCCATTTATAACTATAAGTCTTTAAAAAATTAAAAATTGAAAAAAAAGACATACGCTAAAAAATCCTCTGGCTCAATAACTAAAATTACATCCAAAAGCTTGCATGTATCAAGAAGTAAATCAAGAAGTTCCCTATTCCATGGGAGATCCCTCTCCAAAAGGTCATCAAAAGAATATTGAAGCTCAGATAAAATTATTGCCCAAAGTGAAGTTAAATGTATCGATGACATAGATACAATTAGTGTTCTAATTAACAAAAACACTTCTTTTCGAAGCACTCTTCTTAATTCCCCTCTAATATTTTCCAAAACAACATTTTCTATGTCTTTAATTTTATCTGCATATTTATCTTTACCTGACGAGATTAAAACAAAAATCAGCCGCTTTAATTGATATTTTCGAGCAAAGATCTCTGAATCTCTGAAAACGAAAATACTAGTAGCAGAATAAAATGGGAAACGAATTAACATTTCAAATAACCTCTCTTTATTATTTCCATATAATTGTTTAATAATAGGTTTCCATAATAAAGCTTCATTAAGAGAAATATAAAAAAAGGAATTATCATTAAAAGCATCTAAAACTTCTTTTCTCCAAGATTTATAAGAGCCAGGAACCTCACTAAGTTTAGCCAATAAAACGAGACTATCTTCTGAATACTTTCGAGGCCTATATTCAATTAATTATCATTATATGAAAATAAATAATCATACGACTGAGAATTCCGGTTTTCAAATCCAATAATGTTTGTCATAATCATGTTACAGGCTTGCAAAATTTTTTCATTATCCATTATTATTTTAAAAAGAGAAGGAATTACATATCTAAATAAAATAGAACCTAATTCATTACTCGGAAACGTAGGAGATGTAACAGATTTATTATTTCTACCCGATTTATTAGCACTATTAGGAACCTTACTTTCTTTTTCCTCAATATCTAAAAGCATTTTAACTTTAAAAAAATAAATAAATATAACATACCATTATAATCATCGAGTAATAATTGATTATCAATATTCTTATTTAAAAAAAGAGTAGAATCACAAGGTCTAGATGTCTTTAAAACAGCAAAGTTCAAAATTCGTAGATAAATATCCTAAAATCATATAAAAAAAGACAAATAATAACAAGAATATTACCGCCATTTCTTTTCTAGTCCGTTTTTCATTATCAAGATCCATTTCACTTAGTTTCCTAATCAATATTGTAGAAAAATGGAGTATGCATGTATTAATTATTTGATATTGTTGAGGAATGTTAACAACATCTCGGAGAAAAGCTAAACATATTGGCCAATTCTGCTTTAGAAAAGTTGTTTGAGAAAATTTGACAAAATTTGTAAGAAAGCTAACAATTGAATTCGGTGTTCTATAAACATCAAAATAAACATAAAAATGCAAATTGTTAATACAAAGAAATAACTAAACTAGATTTGCACTTGCCAGTAACAGAAAGAGGATTTATTCTAGAATTAATACTATTAATTAAAAAAGGAATTATTTCATGTTTTCTAGAATCATCAAACTTAGATAAAAAAGAGAAAATGCACTCCTCAGCCTTCAAAAATTAATTCAATCAATATACCTATATATATTTTTACCTTTATATCTCCTTTGTTTACTGAACTTATTAAGCTTTCTAATGTTTCTATAGGCCTCGTATCATAAAGTACATAGAGCAACTGCCTACTTGCAGTTTTAAGTCTCATATTTATAAATTTATATGTTTCTTGCTTTCCTAAATCAACAACAACAGTATTACCTTCTAACCAGGACCAAACATAAAAAGTCAACTTTACAACATCTTGAAAACATAACAATATAGAATTCAAAATCTGAATATCATTAATATATATATATATTTTTAAAAAACATACGTCAGTAAAAAAATCAACACTATTGGGAGCTTCAACAGAAAATACACCGGACATAACATTACCAAAAAATCCTACATTTTCAGAACTCTTAGAAACAAAATTTTTGAATTTATAATCATGGTTTTCAAGTGCCCAAGAAATTGTGCATTGCAAGGCATCAAAACAATGTAAAATAATTTCATAAGAAGATAAACTCCCCATTTTTGATTCTGAAAAACCAACTTCTAAGTCAACAATGCTAGAATTAATTCGACCAGATAATGTCTCTACAAATGGCATAAATATCTGAAATATATCACTGGTAAATAAGCCCAGACAATTTTTATAAAAATCTATTAAGATTTCAACATTTGAAGGAATGTTTGTTGCAGACAATCGAGTAACAAAAAATTTAACTAACATAAATAAAATGTTGCAAACTGATGACTTTTCTGGATGATCAATAGACTTTTCTTCCATAGACAAGAGACGAGCATTGTTCAAAAAAAGCTCTTTAAAACTAATTTCATATTGATTAATATTCCGTTTTAAAATAATATATAAAACATCCAAAACGTATTTATCTAGAATAGATTCAAAAAGAAAGTCCTTTATTATAAGCCTTTTTAAAAATACTTCAATGAGCTCTTCATCAAATAAATTAGATTTAGAAACAATATAAAAAAGAAGTTTGCTTGCAAAAAAATGAAGCTTAATAACTATTGATTTCGAATTTAGAAAATCAGAATCCGGAATCATATAAAGAGCTCTAGTTTTATAAGTTTATAAATAGAAAGAAGTCTCAGTTAACCTTATAGCAATTCTTACTAAAATACTAATATAACTCATATCAGGAAATGTAAAACAATCTAAATCACCCATTATTGTAAAATATCAAAACAAATATTAACTCACATTTAAATAACAATTTACTTCTGTCAATATCAACATTTAGAAGTTCTGTAAAAGCATGATCTAAAAAATCGATTCCTCCTGATTCAATAATTTCTACACATACAGATATATAATAAGACAACATTAAGACATCATCTGTTTCTCTAAACAGAAACAAAGAGATCTCTAATTCCTCAATAACTTGATCTTTAGGAGAACAAATAATTTCCAAAGATAATAACTTTGTAATTATAATGTCCAACAATCTTACACTCATCAATAATTATAAATAAAAAAAAATATATACCTAATAAAAGAAAAATCTAAAGTTTTAATCCAAGACTTCACTAAAAGTTTTGTATGAATATCATCAGAATGAAGAAAACCAATCATTATTAAAGACGGCCTTCCAAGAACATGAACAAAAAGAGACTCATCAACTTTAACAATTTAATTCTATCATAATAAAGATTAGAAAAAAATTACCACTATATTTCCATAATACTGTAAACTTAAGACAAGAAGTATATGAACTTTCACGAATATTCATTGCATAGACTATTATTGTTTCAATATAGGAACCATCAAGTGTTCTATGTAATGCCCATAACAACCGTGAAGCATCAATATGATGTTTTGAATTTCCAGGAGAAAAACAATCCCATATCTAAAATTAATAAGTTTCTAAAAATACTTGAATTTTCTAAAAAACATACATAAAAAACTAAAGGAATTAATAAATTATCAGTATTAATATCTTCAACATTAATCCATGTTCTTTGCAATAATACAATAATAATTTTAACTATAAAATAAATATGATCAAAATTAAGTTCCTTAAGACCAACAACAAATTCTATAACATCCAATATCCTTTTTTTTTGAGTTTTTGAGCATTGAGAGGCCTTTGGAATAAATTCATAGATAAGCAAGAGTACTTCAAATAAATAAAAATTATTATTAAGACAATGCTCTATATTATCAATAAGCTGATAAAAAATAGAATCCATAACAATCTCCCTAGACAATTTTGTAGAATTATGGGCAGATGAATAATCCTTATAATATTCTATAATATTATCTCTCAAAGCTACTCGATCTTGAACATTGTATTCATCCAATAAAACATTAGATACACTATTATTATTTGGAATATGAAATAATAATTTATGTGTAATCAAAAACAAAGTTTTCTCGACTGTTATATTCTCTGACATATCAGGAATATTTGAAATAATAATAAATAAAACCAAAGAAATATGAAAAAAAATCATATCCTCCTCATGAATATTAAAATTTGAAATAATATATAATGCAAATTTATAATCTAGAAAATCACAAACACCCCGTTTATCAACCAAAGATAATATTTTACTCCAAATTAACTTTGAATCTATAGAATCAAAAAATGTTCTAGCAGAAGATAAAACATTATTATATAAACTATCATTGTCAAATGAACTATATATATATATAGTTCTTATAGAGGGTAAAAAAACCTCAGAGACAACAATATTTCCTATGCTAGGCCTATCCATAAAAGACAAAAGAATTCTAAACATTTCTCCAAGTTTTACGGGATTGTTCTCATACTGAGTCAAATATTTTTTTATACTATTTATCATATGATCCATAGCATAATTCCTAAAATAAGATCTTTCATCCATGTTTTGTTCTAAGTCAGAACCCATAAGCCATGACCAAACACGTCGATTAAGAGATAATTCTTTTCCTAAAACAACTTTAATTGCAGATATTATTAAAAGCTCAATATCAGAAGGAAGAATATTTCTAATATATTATTAAGAGAAAAAAATATGAAAGTAAATACTTTTGGAAAATATCTGATGATAGAGGAACATTTTGAACTAAAAGCTCAAGAAAACCACGACAAATTAATAATTGTTCATCATTAAGTCCAGCACTAAATGCTCTTATAAAGAGACCAGAATCAGGATGTATTATTGGAAAAATATCTAATAAAGCTAAACTCAAATATAATCTAATAACAAACAATATAAATTTACCATTAGAGCTTCCTTTCAAAACAGGAAGACGTTTAGATAAATATTTTAAAGCTCCTTGCCTTTGTTGAGGAGATGTAATTATACAAAGCCAAAAACATTGCCAAAAAAAAGATTCGTCATCAAGCTTTTGTCGTATAGAATCCAACACATTAAAAGTTTCATTAAAATACTCTCCAGACTCTTCTTCTAAACCAGGAAGCAATGAAATAATCAAAGATTTTGTACAAGGGCGAAGATCTGAACCCAATGGTAAATAAAACCTTTCAATCAGCTCAAGAAAATGTGGCTATTTTTTTAAACAAAGAAACCCCATCCATAAAAAACTATACCTTAATCTTTGTAGATGCAAACGTCATAACATGTGCAAGACCACTACTCCAAAGAGAAAGGGATTCAGAAAGTCCTTTTTTCTTACATATTTAGTCCTATATATTATCAAAACGCTTAACATACTCCAATCAGCGAAAAAATATAAGAATATACTTCCAGCGTTTTCTGATGTACACCAGAAGGAAGATTCGGATTCAAACATTGCGATAACCTGCATGCAACAAGATCTTGATAAGGAACAACTGCAAATGTAGGATATGCTTGAAGAGTCTAATAACCCTTAATTGTTATAGTTCTTAATCTATTTAAAACTTCAATTACTTTCAAAAGTTTTGAAAGAAATGATATATAATCCGCCCATTCCTCAAAACCATCAAATGATTGAAGGATTTTATCCAATCCTCCTGAATATTTCTTAAATTTCTGAGAATTTTCCGAATCTTTTTTTTAAAAACTTAATATCATGAAATCTCTATATAAAACAACTTAATACCTTTAGCATGAAGGGGAACCTGAATCATTTTAGACGAAGATATAGATACCCTTTCTTTTTTCAGAGTAACCTGTTTAATCATATTTTTTTCCATAAATTTATCTTTTAAATTCTAAAAAAAAGAACACTATAATTCCAGATACACTTATTTCTATTAAGATAATTCAATCAATAATTTTCCTCAATTATTATATACTTTTAAGAACATCTATTTTACTCTTAAACATTTAATTGAGATTTCAAAATCTAAGCCGGACCTATTCTTTAACTATTCAAAAATATGAAAAACCCTTTTATAAGTTAAAAATCTACAGAAACATATGCATATCCTAGGAAGAAAAGAAATATAAAACTATTATAAATATAATTACATAAAAACTATACATCTTTTTAAAACATAACAAATTTGTCTAAAAAGAATATTTTAAAGATTTAAGGATTATTGAAAAAGAATAAAAATACAAGAAAACTGTATAAATCTACATATTTAAAAGAGTTTATATTTATATTGATAATTCAGCGACTATTACAAAGATATTTATAATTGAAAACTATAAATTGAAGGTTTAAATAGATGCACAACCTTAATGAGGCATCAAAATGTCAAAAAGAGAAGATCAATGTAAATCCTACGAAAGACAAATCATGTCTTGAAAATTATGATTTTAGTGATTTAAAAGTATACAATGAAGATTCTAAGAACAAAAGTAAATTGAAGGTTTTTTATAAAAAAAACATTAAAAAGATATTAGTCAGCAATATGGAAGTACAGAAACCTAAAAAACACTTTTTTATACTTTCAAGAGCAGGAAAACCTATATATGCTAAATATGGAGATGAGATAATAATATCAGAATATATGGGAATTATACAAACAATTATAAATCTTTTTCATAAAAAAGAAGATAATCTTAAGTACGAGATTATTTGAAGCTATTCTAAAGTTAATTATTTTTCTATAGAAGTTTTACGTCAAATAATTTAACAGTGGTTGTTTTATTAGAAGGTCCATTATACCTAGTAGGTATTTCAAAGCTCCAAGAATCAGAAATTCAGGTTATTTAAAAAGAAAAAGAAAAAATTGTAACGTTTTAAAGATTAAAGCGCAACTAAATATACTATATACTCAAATAGCAACAGTACTTACACTGAACAAATTATTAAATATTTTTATTCATAAAGAAAATTTTGACCTAAGAAGACTTTTAGGAAGTATGAAACAATAAGTTTAATTAAAGACTTATTATTATAGACACAGAAATATTTCTTGATGCACTTTCAGATATGATTGTTGAAGGAGAACCTTCTGTTCTGCTTAACGGATTACAATGCTTACGGTTAAAAAAGACAGTTAGAGAAAAAATAGACTCTATCCTGATTAAGACAAGAGCAAAAGTATAAATAGATGATTTTTTTAACAATAGCTTATAAAAGGTACAGAAGTTATTATGTGGAATAATTGCATCAAATCTATGTATAGTTAGTATGATAAAGCCACAAAACCGTTCTTTTCATTCATCTGGAAAGTGATTTAAATTTATATTTATAATTTATTTATAAAAAATAGAGTTATTTTTACTGTTTTCCATGATTTTTAATACTACTTCATTTAAAGATGAAACAGAACATTGGATACCATTATGTTTTCCTAAATTCGATCCTAAAGGATTTACATATTGTTATATAACTTTCATATGTGATTCAACCGCACTTATATTAATTTCAACAGATAAAGATGCTTTTTTTGAAATGAGAGAAATGAAACAAAATATTATTAATGTATTAGTTATATTTCAAGAACATATATCTAAAATTTATAGGATTTTAGGATTCATGGTATTTTAGATATAATAAAAATTGCAGCCGAAACATCATATACAACACGTAAAGATTAATTATATTATCTTAAATTACTAACAAATATAGTTGATACTAATACTCCCTGTATCTATCATTTTATCTACAAATCGAAAGTGGATACTCAATTTACTATGCCACAATGGAAAACATCTGAAAAAAATCTTCAAAAAAAAAAGTAATCTATTGTTTATTGTAAGCCTAACTTATTTCTGAATTTAGAATAATGAAAATTTACTATAAACTCCATTCATTAATTCACAAAAAACCGTTTACTAAATTTCAACTTATTTCTACTCAAAATTATACAGCAGTTGCTTGGGTAACATTTTATATGTTTTTGAAATCCTTTAATATTGTTTACAGATAACACCATCTTTCGATTTTTTTGCAATAGCTAATCCAGAAATAACAAAACAATATTTAATTAAAAATATAAATTTAGTATTAGAATGGATAAAAAAGGAAGAGCATAGATTATTTATTAAAAGCAGGGCTACATTCTAATTTTATATACACATTGTTTTAAAGTAAATTTAACTATATATTTATATACATTCAAAAATTAATATCAAATTGCATTTTTTTGAAGATTGCGAACAAGTTTTAATTCATTTTGAATATCCATTAATCTTTCTATATCTTTTACCTGAACACACTTAGAAGCATTTTGAACATATTTTTCAGATTTTAGTCTTCTGGAAATAATTTCTTCTTGTTTTTGAAGCCATTTAATCCTGTTCATTTGTTTAAAACTATTCAAACATAGTTTCTCAACACGCAAATGAAGAACCAATTCAGAATTAACAAATTTAGAATGTACATTTAATAAGCCACTATTCAAATCCTAAGAATATTATTTTGATATGAAATAATGTAAAAAACTTGCATTTAAACTCAAACTTTTCATGCCAATCATATTTCGAATAATATTTTTAAATTTTACAACATCTTCCTTAAATATCTTATTTCTATCATTAATTTCAATAATACCTTCATGTTCATAGTTTAAACGACCAACATTTGATATCATAGATCTAAATTCATGTACTAACATCATAATATTTTCTATTCTTTTTATAGAATCATAATCCAAATAAAAAGATCCATTTTTATGAGGATAATTTGATATCATTATACTTATTTTCGAATATGGATCAAATACCAATAATTTTTGATACAACTCCTACAAATAAATATTAAACGTAATAAAAAAAATTAATTAACCTCAGTAATAAAGGGTGCTATAGGATGTAACAACTTCACTACAGTATATAATGTGGAGTAAAGAATACTTAAGGCGCATTCTGCTCGCTTTTTTATATCAATAAAGAGAAAAAAATAAAATATATCACCTTATTATCATTCTGTTTTAATTCTTGTTTAATAAATTCTAAATAAACACTACATAAATCATAGACAATAAATCTCCTCAAGCATTTTGTGACGTCAAATAACCTTCTCAGCTCAAATCCCATATTACACAGATTAATAGTTTCTTTAAGCCTAGATATTATATATTTATCAAAAATATGCTCTGATTTAAAATTTTCATCTATAATTTTTAAATTATAGTATTTTATTTGACATAAAAAAAACTTAGTAGCATTCCAAAGCTTTGAAAAAATATATTTTGCAGAAGATACATTAGCAATATCCATGTTAATTTGATGAGTCTATAAAATTTTAAAATTATTAACATTTAAAAACTATATTTACTTGTTTTGTGTAGTCTATCAATGAAAATCGGAGAGAATCCGTTCCCATTGCTTTTACACCATTAGAGAATTGCTGCTTGGCTGTTTTTAAGTGATGTTTCATGTCCTGTTCTAAATCATTTCCATTAAAAGCATTATCTTCTGAAATTTCCAAAGAAACACCCTTTATAATTTGTAAAGGATCTATGATATTTCCCAACGATTTAGACATCTTTCTTCCTTGAGAATCCCTAATCTATAAAAATGTAAATTTATAATATATATGTATATATATTTACTAATGGATGAAGAATAATTTCATTAAAAGGAAATTTACCCGTAAAATGAGTACAAAGTAATGCCATTCTCAAAATCCAAAAAAAAAGAAGATCAGAGCCACTTTCAATAAAAGTTAATGGATATTCTAAATATTCAGAAATGAATATTAGTATTTATATTATAACTCACCAATCGGAATATTTTTATTGTCCCAGCGAAATACAGACAAAGGAAGCAATGCAGATGAAAACCATGTATCTAAAACATCAAGATCCTACTATGGATTAACAAAAAAACAATATAACACAATTTTTACTTGTTTAACATCTTTTCCACCTGAAATTTTCAACGCAGCCTGTTCAGATTCTGCTGCAATCCAATATCCATTTTCACAGTCTACATACCATGCAGGTATTCGATGGCCCCACCATAATTGTCTTGATATGCACCAATCTTCAATATTTTCCAGCCATTTTATCCATTTATTACTATAATGCTGTGGAAGAACAGAAAACTTTCCAGCCATATTATCATACACCTTTGAAGCTAAAGATCTAGTTTTAAGATACCTTTAATCAATTTAATAAAAAGAAAAATAAAGAAAAAACAAACCATTGTGATTTCAAAAAATATTCGATAATATCTCCAGAACGAGAACAGAAAGATATAGAAGTCTGATAATTTTGAGATCCACGATATAATCCCTTATCTTTCAATTTTGACAATATATATTTTCTACACTTAAGACGATCAATATGCTAATCAAGTTAAAATTAATTTCAGTAAAAAATCCAAAAACCTGTAATTCTGGAAGTAAACATGATGCATTCATTCTTCCATCAAAGTCAAAAACATTTACAACTGGTATTTTGTGGCGAACAGAAAACATATAGTCATTAGGATCATGCGCAGGTGTTATTTTAACAGCCCCTGTTCCAAAATTAGGATCAACCATTTCATCAGGTATAATAGGAATCTTTATATGAGGATCAAGGGGATGATAGCAATATTTCCCATGTAAATTCTTTCTATGTTAAAATATGATAAAAAAATAAATGATATCAACCAAAAATCTTATATCATTCGGATTAACTGAAATAGCTCTATCACCAGGAATTGTTTCTACCCTTGAAGTCGAAACAACAACTTCAGTAATATTACATGGATCGACTAATGGATATGCAATTTTATGTAACACTCCAAATTCAATACTATATTTGTTTTAATACAAATTTGCAAAAAATAAACCTTACGGCTCCCCTCTAATCATTATTTCAGTGGGCTTGTTGATCACTTTATGATCAACCTCAATGTCTGAAATAACCGTTTCCAATGAACATGACCAATTAACCATTTTCATATCTCTGTAAATTAAACCCTCATTAAATAATTGAATAAAGCAATTTGTAACAACTTTAGATAAAGATGAATCCAAAGTAAAGAATTCTTTAGACCAATCAAGAGAAGCGCCCATAAAAGCCTTAAACATTTTAATCATTCCAACAAAAGAAAAAAAAAACATATATACAATTTGATTATAAATATAAGCTACATTAAGACCTTTCCATTTCCAAATTATATCCTCAAACATACTTCTTGTCATATCTTTTCTCTTTAACTATTTTATATTAAATATTTTAAATTAACCCTTAAATCTACTTTTTGTGTTTTCATAAGAAATTGTTCCATAATACTTTGGGTAGCGATTCCTGCATGATCTGTCCCGGGAATCCATATAACTGACTTTCCTCTCATTCTTTCCCACCGAATTAGCGCATCCTAGACATTTAAATATAATAATATGAGAATTATTTAAGTCACTTGAATACTAATAGTTAAAGCATGACCAAGATGTAAAATACCAGTAATATTTGGGGGAGGAAGAATAGTTACAACACGATTACATGACGAACACTCATTAAATGGGTGTTTTGGTGAAAAAAACCCATTTTCTTGCCACCATTTATACCAATCTTGTTCTATCAGAGTCTATTGATATCAGTCAATCTTTTAACAAAAACAAATATAACAGGATCATAAGGGCCATCAAGGGAATGAGAAGGAATATGAGAATAATTCTTAGTAAAGAAAATTTGACGAATTTTGCAACGTCTTAAAAACACCATAAAATAGTTATCGTCTAAGATATGAAAGATAAATAAAACATTAAAAATTAATATACATGTTATATAAGTTTAATAACGTAAAAAGACCCCATTTCTTTTTTCATGATTTCTTATCTCAAACATAATTTGAACAGCAGCAAAAAGCGTGCAAAAAAGAGATACAAGAAAAAAAAAATCTATAAAATTTTAATATTAGAAATAAAAATATAGAAATTATAAACTTTGATAATTGATAAAAATACGGGTAAACATATCCTTCGTACCCTCAATACCAAGGGAAAATCCCACAAGATTAGCAATCATCATCATAATAATATTAACTGTAGCACCTAAAGCACATAAATGCCGATAATATGGCCAATCTTCCCACTATAGATATAATTAATAGAAAGAAAAAAGAAAGAAATATAAGTACTTCTTTTGAATGGAAAATATGGTAAGCTATGATCTCGGGAAGAATAAATAATGTAATTAACCAACCCCAAGCAAATAATCTTAAAGTAATATCATGCCATAATGCAACAAAAGTGAATATAACAAAAATATTTAGTACTAAAAACTTAGAACCACCAAGAGGAAGATATATATATCTACAAATGAATATTTTTTTAAAAAAAAAACGGTATTACCTTATTATCCAACGATTAAAGCTTCTATGCCAAGCCCTCCAAAAGCCTAAAAATGAATAATTATTATTTATGCATCTAACCATATTTTCGGGGGGATCAATTTTATCACAAAGAGCCCAAAGACGAAAAAATCTCCAAATAAGTAATAACTAAAAAATGTTTACAAATAGAAAAAAAAAGTAAATAAAAACTTTAAACCAAATAATCTGCAAATTAAAATACCCAATCATACTAATTTGAAATGGAGAGTAATTTTTCCATGACTTTGTTTTAGATATAGCAACAACATAAAAAAAGTGAAGAATCAGTTCCAATAAAAAAAAACAAAACAGTAATCTTAAAAAATACTTTATTGTCGATAAAATAGTAATATCTTTCGACGGATATCGTAACTATACTAACATAAGTCTCTCTATTTTAAGCAATAAATAAAACCTGAGAAATAAAGTTATTAAAAGATATAATTGGCCCTGAAAAATACAAAGGAGCATAAAACACATATGAAAAAAAATTCAATAAACAATAATCTGCATGAAAACACGAGCTATTAATGCGATTTTTTTCGGTTAATTGAGAGTCGGATAATTTCTTTTAATTTGATAATAAGCAATTAAAAAATTATTATTGAAAAATATAGATTACCTCAGAAACATCATTATTTAGTGACCAATAATAATCTAAATTATAAGATATAAATCTCAAAATAGTAGTATTAAAATATATTTGCCATCGAGGTACAAAACCATTATAACGATCCTATATCTTATTAGAACATGTAACTTCATCAATCCATTTTACCAAGAAAGATAATTTATGATAAAAAGAACCAAATAAATATCCTTTGTATATATCATTAAGAAATAGAATCCCAACATTAAAAAACCAAGTCAGTATAGGATTCAATTTATTCTTTGAGAAAATACAAGAAATACTATAATTTATATATGCTATGGTATAGATTTTAATAATACTAGTACCATGTAAAATAATAAGAAAAATAAATGAGTATATATTGTTGTATAAAATACGCCTTTGAACATCATTTAAAATCTTAAAATGTTTAATAACATAATTAGAAAAAGAACCTAAGGATAAATGAATAGTTGAAGCAAAAATCAGAATAGGAACATTTCTTCGAAACACTGCATATTGTATATCCGTATTATCCTAATCTCATTAACAACATAACTATACCATTTACTTAAAACCATTTTACGCTTTCCAATCCAACCAGAACGTAAGAGCCCAGAGAATTGAGCATAATTATGATGCGACGCTTATTTTTCATTAGAATAATCTAAACATATCTAGAAACACTTACTATTTGAAATATCATATGTAGTTTTTAGTGAAAAAATTACTGAAAAAAAGATAATCCAATAATAAATAAAAAATTCATAAGACATCCATTTAGATTCTAATTCCTTAGATTTCTTTGTATATAAAATTTCTTTATCATCCATATCAAAATCAGAATCGTCCTCAGAGTGACGCACCCCCTTAGATATCCTTAAAGAAAACAACGATAACATGTGTCTAAACATTTATCAATTTAATTTCTCTTAAATATTAAAATCGAAAAATCAACTTTCGATAGGGTTAAATATCTTAAAAAATTATAAAATATATAACCTCTACCTTTATAAACATTATCATACCATAGCTTCAATGCTTAACCAATTTTTAGGATTATTTTATTTTCTTTATTGTTAAATTATAGACTATAATTTTCATATATTCGTTATCTAAAATAAGTCATAATATATAATAAATGTTTCCACAAAAAGATAAATTATCATAGGAAACAAATATTTTATTATGAAAATTCAATATCTCTAATTAAAATAAGAAAATACAAAATAAAATATCATAAAAACCTCAAATTTTCCTCTTTCTCCTTAATATATTTATCTAGAATATCGATAAAATAATAACCCCATTTTTCAAATCTAGCATGAAATGTTTTATCATCACTTTTCAAAGCAATTGGATCTAAATCTTTACAGAAAAAAATTGATAAGAAAAAATTTAAACATAAAACATATCTTACTTTTTAAGAGTTTAGTAGCAATATCTAACAATTCCTTATCAGAAAGAATAGACGCAGGAGAAATCCCTTGCTCATTTGCTGTCTAGAATATTTTAGAGACCTCAAAAAAAAAATTAATAAAACATTATCACGCAATTGACACATCTCTTGATAACATCTTTCAAGAACATCCAATTCATATGGATTTAGATTTAAAGACATTTTATTTAAAAAGTGTTTAGGTGATGTATCTATCTTTGCTTTGAAATTTTCGAATCTATTTTTTTTTACGTTACAAATAGGAACAATTTTAGAAGATTTCTTATAAGTCTAAAATTAATTATTATTAATAAAACCATTTAATCATCTTACTTTCTTTCTATTCATTTTTAATTGTCTAACAGAAGACATATTTGATAATAATTCAATTGTTTCTTGTTTTTGAGAAAAAGTTTTATTAGATAAATCCGAATTAGAATTAGGTTTAAACGACATAAAAAGAGATTCATTCCCCTTCAAAAAAGACATTCCATTTCTTCCAACCTAAAACATAATTAAAAGCAAGAATAAAAATATATTATCCTACTTTAACATATGTAACAACAAATCCCATTTCGGTAATATCACTTACTTCCTTTATAATATCATAAGAAATAAGAACGTGAAAAAGTCTTTCAGCATCTAATCTTGACAAAGAAGATCCAGATCCAAATGAAGGCAATGCTTCATAACCAAAATTAACAACTTTATTATTCTTTATTCCTCGAAATATGTTTATACATTGTAATGCCGTAAACTTATTTTCTTGAACAGCAAGAACAATTTTTACAATTTCTTTTCCCATATGAAACATATCTTTTTTTACAACAAAAGATCCTTCTCTACAATTATCACATGTCTGATTGCACTCTTTTTCAGAAAATTTTTCATTAAAATAAGCCAACAATTGCTTTCGTCTACAATCAACTTTATTTTCACAAAATTGCAGTACAAGGTGCAAAGATGCTTTCTGGCGATTTTTCTGACTCCAATTAGCATATCCTTTATCAATCATCCTTTCTAGCTTTGTTTTATCTTTATAACTGTAAAATAACCAACATTGAGCAATATTTCCATCCCTTCCCGCTCTTCCTGTTTCTTGATAATAACCTTCTAAAGATTTTGGAAGAAATAAATGAATTACAAAACGAACATCTGATTTATCAATTCCCATACCAAAGGCTATAGTCGCAACTATAATATGGTATTTTCCACCTTTCCAGTCCCTTTGTACTTGTGATCTCTCCTTATTAGTCATTCCTGCATGATAATGATGAATTTTCATTTGATATTTCTCACGAAGTTTTCGTGCAGTATCTTCACAATTCTTTCTAGAGAAACAATAAATTATCCCAGATTTTCCTGCATAATTGGACATGATTATATCACGAACCTGAGAATATACTGATGTATCTCGAAATGCTACATTATAATATATATTTGGTCTGTTAAAACTTTGAGATAAAACAACACAATTATTGATATTCAAATTATGAATTACATCTTTCTTTACTATTTCATTCGCAGTAGCAGTTAAAGCAATAAATGGAACATTATGATACTTTTGTTTAATTTGTCCAAGTTGTTTATAATCAGGACGAAAATCATGTCCCCATTGACTAATACAATGTGCCTCATCTACAACTACTCTTGCAAAGTTATTTTTTGAATAAATATGATCCAAAACCTTGCCAAAAGAGTTATTTCTTACTAAAAATTCAGGAGTAACATAAAGTAACTTTAAAGACATATTGTTGGAATAAAGAATTTTCATAACTTCTTTCCTTTTAGAAACAGGGGTTTCACCATTTATTAATTCAGAATTAATATTAATACTTAGAAGATGTTCCACCTGATCTTGCATAAGGGATATAAGAGGAGAAATAACTAAGGTTAGACCTTTAGTCTTCCCTGAATCAATTAATGAAGGGAGTTGATAACAAAGGGATTTCCCTCCTCCAGTAGGCATAAGAAGAAATAGATCCCTTCCACTTAATGTTGTATTAATTGCTTCCAATTGATTGCTTCGAAATTCCTTTAACCCAAAAACATTTTTTAAGATCATAAAAACATCTTTCGACCATGGATAACTTATATTATAGCCGGAAACTAAAGGCATATTTGCAGTAAGCACAGATTTTTTAAGAGTAGATGTCTGATTTAATGACACTTTATTTTGAACAGAGTGAGATTCTTTACTAAATACAGTATCATGCTGTCTGGAAGTCACAAAACCATCAGATGAAAAATCAGATACGAAATTAGATGACGTCTTTTGAAAAAGTTCTTGGTTATTCGAGTTAAATACACTATTAGTTTCTGTATTTTTATCAAAATTATTTTCATGAAAAATGTCACATTGAGAATCATGGAATTCATCAAAATCGTCAGCATCTGTATTATAAATAATATCTGAAGATAAAGAATCACAAAAATTATCGAGTATTACTGGTGACTTCACAGGGTTTTGTTTATTTCCTAAAGAGTCAGCAAAAAGACACGCTGACTTATCAAAGTTATCATTATCTCGAGAAAACAAATCACATTCCTGAAATTTACATATAGAAGCTTCTAAATTTCCATTTGCAGTTTTTTTAGATAAATTGAGAGATTTTTCATCTTTTAAAGAAAGAGAATATGACAAATGATTATCAAGTTTCTCTAACCTTTTTTGCATCTCATCATTAACCTAAAATCATTAAAAATATTAACACATGAATTCATATAAACGCATCCTACATTAAAAACCTTCCGTGTCTTTTTTTGCTCTATTATATTTTCCAATTCCAATATTCTATGTTTTATCTCTTTTCTAAGGGATTTAAAAACATCCAAATAAATAATCTATTCAAACCTCTCTTCTAATAATGTACTTTTATTTTTCAATGACGCAGGGGAATCAGAAGCAACTTTAAGAAGTCGTTCCAAAACATCCTTCTCATTTTTATGAGCAAGATTCAGCTTTTCTTGGGTATCCAAAAGAAATAACTAAATAAAAAATTAAACTTTCAAAAAAAAACATATGTCAACCAAACCAAATCATTATAAGTTAGTGATACCAAAGATTCATCCTTAGGTATATCTATTTGCGTCAATTCAAAGTCATCTATAAGACTGTCGCTAGAAAATTCACTATCTAATACAACATGAGAATATTCTTTCAAAGGTTTATCAGATCCAATATTCATCTTTTGGGAATCAGCTATTAATATTTCAGGATCATTGTGGCCATCAGATTTATAATTATCGTCAAGAACCTCAAAGCGCATTTTTTCCTTTTCCAATTCATTACTATACATAAATTTTTTCATTATACTTACAAAATTATTAGAACTTTTACATCTTTTTCGATCATATACATGAATAAAATCAACCTTCCGTTTTGAATAATCATCTAACTTCTTATTTTTATCATCAAAGCGCGTAAGATCAATGAATATATTTGATTGAGAGTCCTCTGAGCTTTTTTGATTTATATTCGATATAAACGAGTTTTCATTCAGATTTTCAAAATCAGAAAGTAATTCTAAACAATATTTCATATCAGAAGAAGGGTCTGTCTCGGATCCTTGATCTATTTTCACAGGAAATGACTGATTCGATAATTCAGGTTCTGGGATAACACGTTGACATCCATATAAGGTCTGGGTCTTTATGTTTTCATCGCTCTTACAAAATCTTTATATTATATCAGAATATAAATCAAAAGTATTCTAATTTACTTCATATTATCGACTATTTTCTTTCTAATACCTTGGCTTGGAATATGTGGTTTTTCTTTATAAAACCATTTCAAATAAATATCTATATTATTCTTGACTTTCTGAAAACCCATTTATAAAAAACATAATATAAGGACCTCTTAAGAAGATATCGACTCTTATATAACAGGATATATGATGCCTATACCTAAATATAAGAAGTTTTGACGGTTGATAATATTTCATCAATAATCCTTCAATTTAGCTTTAGAAAAAAGAAAAAAAAGAGAAAATAACTTAAAAAGACAATTAGAACAAGATTTAGAAATTTTTAACGTTGTTTAGCAAAATACAAGGGAATTTTAAATAAAAAACAGTATTTTAAAATAAGGTACGTACTTGAGCCTTGGCGATTAATTACTATAGCAACGTTTCTAAAGATCTCTACGTATTCAATCAAGAAATTATGAAAAGGACTAAAAGGGCTAGAAATCAAGGAATTCACTACAAATTCAATGAAAAAGAGGATTTTGAAGTAATAGAAGAAGACAGTAGCAATTTTTCCCCAAAAAAAAACATGAAAAATGACAAAAAACGACGAATATATCATACAATTTTTCATGAAAAGAGAATTAAACGTATTGATAAAAAAAAAGAAGAGAACACAATAATTAATGAAGAAAATGAGGGGGAAAATATAAAAGAAAACTCGGAAATTAAAAAGATAGATATATTAGAGGTTGAACAGTCTAAAAATACTAACGGAATAAAAAATCTAATTAAAGAGAAAAAATCAAAAAAAGAGCTATATCAAAGAAAAAAAGAGCTCCTTAAAGATAGAATGAAACTTCCTATATGGACTGGTATAAATTTTATATTTTAATTGAATTATTTTAGTTATATATAGCTCGATTAAGATTAATAAAAGAAATGGAAAATTCAAGAGTAATAATTTTGTTAGGAGAACCAGGATCAGGAAAATCAACACGTAAGAACTTATATCTAAAAATTGAGTTTTTTTAAATGCGTAAGAATTACCGCAATTTCTTCTAAAATGCAATTATACAAAAAATAATCGCATCGCAGTTACACAACCAAGAAGAATTGCAGCTATCAATTTAGCAAAAAGAGTTTCAGAAGAAGTAGGAACAAATTTGGGGGAAAGAGTAGGGTATTCTATTAGATTTGATGACTGTTCTTCTTTAGATACACAAATTAAATATATGACAGATGGAATGTTACTACGAGAATTGATTGGAGATCCACTTTTATCGATTTATTCAACAATTATTCTCGATGAAGCACATGAAAGAACACTTATAACAGATATGCTTTTGGGGTTCTTAAAAAAAATAATAAAATTGCGTCCAATGCTTCGTGTAGTTATCATGAGCGCAACATTAGAGGCTGAACGATTTTCCACATTTTTTGATAATGCAAAAATTTACTTTATAAAAGGAAAAGAGCATCCCGTTAATATTTATCATACACTGCAACCCGAAAATGATTATGTCGATGCAGTTTTAAGAACAGTATTTCAAATTCATATAAATGAACCAGAAGGGGATATTTTAGCATTTCTTACAGGTAAATAATCCTTAAATATCTAAAATTGTTTCTTATTCTTTAGGTCAAGATGAAATTGAGTCGTTAGAAATATCCATTTGTCACTATGCAAAACAATTAGAAGAAAACGTTCCAAAAGTATGTTCATTTTCTTAAGAAACAATATTAATCTATTCTTCATAAGATGCTCATATGTACATTATTTTCCGCTTTACCTCAAAATATACAACAAAAGGCTTTTATTAAAACTCCATCTAATACTAGAAAAATTATATTAGCTACAAACATAGCAGAAACCTCAGTTACAGTAAAAGGAGTTAAATATGTAATAGATACGGGCTTAGAAAAGGCAAAGAAATATAATAATCGACTTGGTTGGTATTAAATATACTTAAAAAAATTAATTAAAATACTAGGCATTGAGGTTTTGCATATTGGGCCAATTAGCAAATCATCAGCACGACAAAGAGCAGGGAGAGCAGGAAGAGAGGTAAGAATGTTATTTTTTTGATGAAGAATGTTATTCATATTTTTTGAGGGACCTGGAAGATGTTATAGATTATATACAAAATCAGAATTTAAAAAATTAAAAAATACATCCACACCAGAAATAAAAAGAGCAAATTTATCATTTGCTGTATTAACTCTAAAGGCCAGGGGTGAAAATGATGTTATAAATTTTGATTATATAGATCCACCGTCTCATAATTCATGTTTGTATACATTTTAAATGTCTAACATAAATTTATTATTATAGTATTACGTTCTCTTGAACAATTATATTCACTTTCTGCTCTTGATGAAAAAGGGGAAATTACAAAACTTGGTTATGATATGTCATTAATCCCATTAAATCCTCAACTTGCACGAGTTTTAATTGCAGCAGCAAATGATTATGATTGTTTGTCATGTGTCATTGATATTATTGCATGTCTTTCGACGGAAAATCTTTTTATGTCATTTCAAAACAAAAAAAATGAAGCTAATAATGCAAAAATGAAATTTTTTAATAGAAATGGAGATCATATAACATATCTTAATGTATTAAGACAATTTATTGAAATAAGGAAAAATGAGTCTATGGCAAAAACATGGTGTTATCAAAATTTTATAAATTTCAGAGCGATAACAACTATCATGGTAATAATATCTCTAAAAATGTAATTTTTCATTTATAAATATTTAGGAAATTAGAAAACAATTAATGAAACATTGCAAAAATGCAAGTATGAAAATAGAGTTTTCAAATAAAATAGACACAGAACTTATTCTCCGATGTTTTCTTACTGGATTTCTTATGAATACAGCATTATTACAAGCGGATGGAAACTATCACACAGTTATGGGAAATACGGTATACATGTTACAATATTATATATTATTTTTTATAATCTATTTCAGATTGTTTATATTCATCCTTCATCAGTTCTATTTAATAAAAAAGTCGAAGCTATTCTATATAATAATTTGGTATAATAACATCCTTTATAATAAGAATCTAATAATAAACAAGATTTTCACCACTAAACCATACGTTCATATTGTATCTATGATTAAAAGTGATTGGCTACGATCAACTTCTCAAATAAGTAAAAATAATGGATCTTAAATATCTATATTTTTTGCAATTTCAAATGGAAAAAACTTTACATAAAAATATAATGCATTTTTTTAAAATACTAACTATATGTCTTCATACATCTAGTTTCTAAATGTGCAATTTCGCATGACTTAGAACAATATCTTTCACCGCATTTATTACATCTATAATTTCCCCAGTATCCACATATAATACATAATCGAATAGGTGGTCTATTTGACGGTCCAACCGCTGCTAAATGATAACCCGTATTTGCACCCTTCTATCGTTAAATTATACATATATATTTAAATCATACTGCTTCATCCAAATGCATTGCGAACGTCTTTCTTGATGTCAAAATCTTCCGAACATTTGCATTACTTTTTTTTGTACGAATTTCTATTCTAATTTCAAATATATCTTATAAAATATACCATTCTACCTTCATTCTTTGTAAGCTCAATTTTTACATCATTATAATTATCCCGTTCTAATTCTACAAGATGCCTATTAATATGTTTTATTTGAACACTTGGATCTATTATAACAACTTTATAACATATATTTTAGAGTATTTTAAAAAAATATTAAAAATTTACTTTTAGTTCTATCTGTAGGCCTTTTTTTACGGTTTAAAATAGAGTTTTCAACTGAAGAAACAAAAGGCATTAAGAAATCTCTTATCTATTAATATCCATCTATAAAACCTCTAAATATTTTTTCTTAATCTCGGTAACAATCTTTTAAAAAATCAAAAATATCTAAAAATAAATATATTACCTTTAAAATTATAAAGAAACAGACATAAAATTAACAAAGAAATATATATTTTTAATTCAAAAATATAATTATTTTTTTAGAGTTTAAAAACTTAAAAAATTCACTGTTTAGATTTATATCTAAATCTAATTTTTTTTAAAAATATAATAAAACTTTGAGATAATTGTTAACAAGTCATCTTAAATACTATTTTTACTTAAAAAACAAGGCGATAACACATTATTTTAAGATATTAAAAATATTCATATTTTTAGTTTTAAATATATCATATCAATAAATTGATAAATTAATACATTAAACTCTTTTATTAAAAATAAAATATATTTAACAATAAATAATATTATAAATATCTTAAATAATATACACAAATCCTATAACCTTAACTTTAAATTAATAATAAAACAAGTGTAATATATTTCCTTTTTTTTTACTCTAAATAAATGTTATTTACAACACAATTAACACTATAATATTGCACATCAAGTTATATATTAAATAAAATTCTATTAGATAAATATGACCAATTCTATAAACTTTTAAAATTTATTTAAATATTAAAACAAAACTTTCAATATTAATTTTTGAAATATTAAGCATTCAAAATTAAAATACTAATTTATTATGAAAAACATAATATACAATAAAGAATTACATACATAATACAAATAAAAATATCCTATTTATTCATTTTTTCAAATAAAAAAACCTATAAATTATACACAATCATTCACCTCTTAGCATTTAATATATTTTGTCTTATGTTTTCTTATAAAAATATCTTTTCAATCAAAATCTTCATTTCATATATTCTCATCTAATAATATTTATAATTTTAGTAGTATCGCAAGATTTTTTGCAGACCGTCTAATATCTTAGCTCTTGTCAAGATATCAAATGATTGGGTCTAAGACTTATATTCCTAGGAAAGGCTTTAATTTTGATAACTATCAAAGAAATCTATATCTTTTATCAAAAGATATTGCTTTACCACCTACTATTTCTACAGGAACAACAATTGTTGGTGTTATATATGAAAATGGAGGTATATTTTATTATATAAAGGAGTTATAGTTATTCTAAAGGTATTGAAAGTATGTATCGCTGCAGATACTCGAGCAACAATGGGTCCTATTGTGAGTTTTTTGCATTGATTATAAATTTTATTTAGTAATATGTATTTTTAGGTAGCAGATAAAAATTGCAAGGTTATATATATATATATTATTTAGCTATATCTTATATATTGTATCTTAGAAATTGCATAAGATTTCATCAAGAATATGGGCAGCAGGAGCAGGAATAGCGGGAGACATTGATTTTGTTACGTCTTATATTTCGTCACAAATTGAACTGCATGCTTTATATACAAAACGACAGCCACGTGTTATTACGGCATTGACTATGATGAGGCAATATTTGTTCAAATATCAAGGATATGTAGGTGCCTATTTGATTGTTGCAGGAGCCGACCCTACGGGATTACATTTGTTCACAGTTTCTGCTCATGGTAAACATCTATAAGTGAATTTAAATAAATATTCATACTTAAAAGGAAGTACTGATAAGCTTCCATTTGTTACAATGGGAAGTGGTAGTCTTGCAGCCATGTCTGTTCTTGAGACAAAATATAAACCTAATATGAGCAGACAAGAAGCAATAGATCTTTGCAAGGATGCTATTTTAGCGGGTATTTTTAATGATCTAGGTTCAGGAAGTAATGTAGATATTGTTGTCATAGAAAAAGAAAAGGTTTTTTTTATTATTTAAATTTCTATTTTTAATTATAACCAGACACAATATCTTCGTAATTATCTTAAGCCAAATGAACGAGCACCTAAAGAAAGGTCCTATAAATTCGAGAGAGGAACTACTGCAGTAATTAAAAAAGATATCAAAAAATATGTTACCACTGTGGATATTAATGATGAAATGGAAATTGATGAATAATATATATTTTACATTCTAAAGAATTATATGAAAACTCTATATTAACACTTTAGATAAAAGACATTTCATCAATTTCTCGTTGAAACTCTACTAATCTCATTTTTCTCGCATCTTTGTTATGTAACATAACTAATCCTGAACGTAATAAAATCCTTCCTATTACTGAATCTTCAACTATTATATACGGATCTGCACCTGGCAAAACTGATTGATTCATCAAATTCTAAAAACATTAACATTTTAATAAACCGAAAATAATTATTCCTGCCTCAAGTAATTCCTTTGTAGAATTGCAGAGAGTAAATTTATCTTTCTGTTCTATAGAAATATGTTTATCTAATGTTGTTTGGCCTGATTCTGCCAGCAACTTAGCATGTTTTTTTTCAGGTAAATCTGCATATCCAACTGCTGCACCAGATTGTTCTGCAAGCAATACATCACCCAATTCCTCATCAATAAACCTAACAAGCTCACGCATAAACTTATTAACTGATCGTTCAGCTTCTTTTACATTCATATGACATTCACTTGTTTCTAATTAAAAAAAATAAAAAATTATTAAAAACCAACTTTAATATCTCTTGAGAACTTCTTTGGCTTTGCTTTTCCAATTTTTTTAATCTTTGATCTAATAAAGATCCAATTATTTTACTTTCTTCTAATATTTTTTGTTCTCTTAAAGATATTAACATAAAAAAAAAAAACATAAAAAACACCTTTCAATTGTAGACAATGTCTTTTTCAACCGTTTTTCCAATATTTCCATAGTCAATCGTGCTTCTGTTGTATTTTTTTCAATTTTCTGCCGAGCAAGTAAACCAGTAACAAAATTATCATCAATTGTAAAATCAACCGTATGTGATGATTCTTCATATATATTTGCATAATGTTTTATCCATGCCAATCTTTCTCTTGGATTTTTTATACTCTAAATAATAAATAATAATTAGATACATTAAACATAATTTTATCCTTTCAAACCTTCTCAAGATCAGCCAATTTTTCAAAAGAAAAAGAATCTGAGATAACAACGTTAGATTCTTTGACCTCTTATCATTATTTTATGCTTTTTTCTGGTAAAAGCTTACATTCTTAAGAAATTCTGTCTGATAAAGAATTTTCTCATTTAAATCTCTAATTATCTCATCTAATTTAAATTCATAAGAATCATCCATAGAAAAGTGCAATAGATCTTCATTATCAAAGGAAATTAAAGCATATTTTCTACATTTTTCTGCAAATTTTTGAAATCCATTCATCATTAAGTTATCGTAAGAGTAACTATTCAAACCCTTAAGAAAAGGTAGAAAATATATTAGATAAAAACAAAATATTTACATAATTTTAGAAAAAATTTAATTAGAAAAAACATAGAATAAATTATTTAGAATCAATTTCTTTTTTTTTCATATTTTTTTTATAAAAAATGATATTTTTTAAATGTATTATTGAAACTTTGTATTTTAATTTTATTAAGAGATCTTTTAATAAAAATGATTATTTTAAATTTTACATTATAATAATTGTATTTTTTAAATATCAATTTTATTAATCATTTATTTTAATTTTATATTTATTCATTTATCATTATTACTATCTAAAAAATATTAAACATTTTTCATAATTTTTGATTAAATATATTTTTACCAATTTAAATATAAATTCTAAGTTAAATTTATAATAAAATTAATATTTAAAAAATACAATTATTATAATGTAAAATTTAAGATAATCATTTTTCACTAATATTATACCTTATCTCCTTAGGATTAACAAGAATTAAAATATTTTAAAATAATTAACTCTATAAATCCCAAATAAACATGAATTTTATTAAAATATTTTCTCTAATAAACTCTTCAAAAAAAAAACAATAGATTTATATTTTCACCATTTATTTTTTAATATAATTTACACCAAATACTAAAAAAACAAGATCTATATAAAATATTTCTATTCTAAAATTATTAAATACAAAATAGTATAAAATCTTAATCATAAAAGAATATTGTATTATATAAAATATCTAAATTAAAAATTAACAAAAATTAAATAGATAAATAAATAATATTATAAAAGTATGTAATATTTTAATAATGCAAATTGCAAAAATATAATCATTTATATAATTATACTTAAAATCTGATCCACATTTCCCTTAAATGAGCTTACGCCAATTGATTCAAGTTAAAATATTATGAATAGTAACAAAAGTAGTAAAAATTATGTGTTTAATCCATCATAATATCCAGTTAATTTTAGACCAATTTCAAAAGCATTCTAGTCTCAAATTCCAGAATAACATCTATTCTTATTATAAATATCTGGGGAATAAGATCTATTCTCCATCCTATCAAGGGTATCAGGATAAGACTTAACGTTAGATGAATAATAAATGGACTTTAAATCTTCATCTGAAACTTGATTAGAATTACCATAATAACTATAGTTTGAATTAACTGAGAGCTCAGAAAGATACTCTCTACTATCCACCAATACATTATTTTCTTTAGGTGATTCTACCTCAAAATCCGCCCAAAATTCCCCAAAATTCTCTTTACTTTCTAAGTTATTTACACCATAATGAAAATTCTCCGGATTTTTTTTATTAAAAATTAAATGCATTTTCTTATTATTTTCCAATTCTTTCTTTCTCCATGGAGATCTTTGAGGCAAAGGCTTCGCTGTATGTTTTGGCAACGAATGATAATACATATCCATTCTCTGATGATCATCCATTCTTTCTGGGTACCATACTGGGTACTGTGGAACCACTGTCGGCTGTACTAAAACAGTAGGCTGAGACCTAGCATATGTACTAGGTCTACACAAAAAACAACAACAGCAACAGCTACGTATAATATTCATCAAAAAATAATAAATAACAAGTACTATTCCCTCATCAACACAAATTCTATCAAAAAATTTACTTACAAATAAAAATCCCAAAAAGAATCACAAAAATCATAGGAATCAAGCACCAGTAACTATGAACGCATTCTTTCGGACTCGAATAAGCTTGTTTAATCTGATCAATAGTGTCTTTACTCGAATGATATAGCCCTTCAAATACATTTTTCGACCCATTTGATGCCATTTCTTCTTGTTTTAATCATCAAAATATTCTTCAAAAAAGCTCAAAAACTGGCAAACAATCCCAATTTAAATCAAACACTTAAATCCTCTTAAAAATAGATAATTTCTTATAAAAATACTTTCTTAAGAGAAAGATATGACCTCCAGTATTCAGCTATAAAAATACCCTTTATATACTAAAGCTTATACTAAGAATGTTAAGATTAAGCTATATTTTCTGTTGACAAATACCTAACCCTCAAACTAAGTTTATAAGATCTAAACCTTACATAATAACCCAATACAACCCTAACCCTTTCCAGATTCTACTAGACCTTACCACTATACAAGTCATATACACTATCACGTGACAAACAAAACCTAACCCTCTTATTCTATACTAGCCCTTATATTATTACCTAACCCTGACACTCCATCTTCAAACTCCGTATGCATCTATACAGTAAAAAACCATAATTATTCATCTTCTTTAATAAAAACACCTGGAAAACCCTCTATAACTCATATTATTAAATATTATCCTACTATCATCTTTTTTCGCTCTAAGCATAATTTGTCGTTAGACTTAAACTCCACCCTAATACAAGCTTAAAAAAAATAATGGATACTACTCAAAGACTTTGGAAACGGCATTATTGTGATTATAAACCGACACTTCAAGAACGGTATGATTGTTATAGTAGATGGAATGCATGGGGACGTTGGATCGTAATAAGTATAATATTAATTGGAATTATTCTTCTTTTTACATGTCTTTTGTAAGAAAAATTTATAAAAATAAATGAATATTTATAAGAAGTAGTTGTGCAAATAAGTGGCGGGCGGAGCAGGGAAATGCACCTATTAAATATACAGGATGGTTTATGCCATGGCAAGCTTATCCACCAACACAGCCGTATGGATATGCAATGCCGATGACATCATCATATCAACATCCAGGAGGGCCAGGTCGGCCTTGGCAAAATGAACAACATCCAGTACCGCCTTATGAGCCTCCAAACGCATCATCATCTAATGCTCAACCTCCATCACCAAGTCAAAAAGAAAAATAGGCATGTCTAAAGCCTAATTTTTTTAATAAAATGACGGGTTTATAATATTAAGAGTTTCGTCGGTATTATTAAAGTGTATTATTAAAGGTGTTTTATTAATAAATTTCTAATAATCTAATTTTTTAAAAAAAAAATTCAATGTAAAACATTAAAAAAGCCCTATAAATACGCCTTTACATTTTTCTATATAACCGACAACTTGCGACAGTGGTTACTCGGTTGGCCTGCTACCCGATTTAGCTAGCCAATAGGCTTTGCCTACGCAGGTTCGAATCCTGCAGTTGTCGGTTGTTTTTTGTTATGATAAATATGTAAAATTATGATTGTTTTAATTATCCATACGTATTTTTTTGCATCCATTAATGACCAATAATAGTTAAGAAAAGATTAAATAAATAGATATTAATCAAAAGCCAAAGAATATAAATTTTAACTAACGAATATGAATTCATATATTTTCCTTTTTTCTAATGAAACCGAATATATTTTTTTATACGAGTTACATGAAACCGAATATATATCCATTAGATTGACACCTGAAATAAAATATATAACTTCAAGTTAATATTCAAACATCGATTATATCATTAACAAAAGATTATAATTTAAGATAAAAGCTATAGAATAATATCGAAGCAGTAACAAATATGCATTAAGTAATTCTGAAAAAGAACATATACATAAAAAACCCATCCTTAACAAAATGATAAAGACTTGATCAACTAAATAAAAAAATTGATTAATAAACAAAAATCGAATACAATAATTAAATATTAAAGGAACCAGTAAAAAATAATTTACCTAGCTTCATTTAGAGTGATCTATTAAAACTTTTAAACAATATTACCAAGCTCATAGCTTGAAATCATAATTGAACATGCAGGACTTACTTTAAGTATTCGTGGAACTGCACCTCGAAACAGACCCCTAATACCCGTTTCTTTAAAAATATCATACATAACTTTCCAGGTGTTTTGCCTTACAGCTGAAATAGATCCATTAGTGTTATGCCAAATTTGACGACGTGTTTTAACAGAATCAAAAGGATGCGTAATTAATGCAGCAATAGCACCACTCAATCCACCAGAAATAAAACTCTTTACAAACTCAGACGTTTTAGGATTCAAATTCTTAAAAGGTTCTGGGGATTTATTTAAAAAATATTTAATTTTTTCATAACCTAGCCAATAAAATCCACTAAATGGAACATCACGCCACAACGTAGGACTCAATCCTTTCCATAAGCTTTGAAAGCCCTGAACTTTCACCATATCTTGAATACTAGTAACTACTGTAGAAAATATTGAACTAGAAGATGGAGAATGTGCCATAGATTGAAGACGGACTTTAAAAAGTTCTAAAGGAGAGATCACTGTAGCAGACATAGTCCTTGCAAATGCGCCACAGAACAAAGGTGCCAAAGGTGACGAAAAGTACTGACGAAGATGATCATATCCAACAAAATAAATAATTGTAGATGGCAACGCCATCACTCTAAAAAATATCAAATATGTCAGATAAAACATAAATCCAATTTACAATGTAGGTGACAATCCTCTCCATAATGCAGTAAATCCTTCATTTCGGGAAATTTTTATCATTGCCTCAAGAGTTCCATTAAACCGATTCCTTGAGGAATCAGTAGTATAATCTACACAGAAATGATTCAACATAGAATCCGTGTTAAAACAACATGCTATTTCTCCTACATTTTGAGAATGAAATGATGAATAAAAGATATTTCGACAACATGACTTCATTATAAATGTATCTACCGTTTGACTTTGTAGTCTTGTTTTAATCAAATCAAATGGTGTAACAACAACAGATGTAACAATAGCACCAATACAAGCTGAAAAGATCTTTTGAATTATTGTAATTTCAGATATTTGTTCCATATTAACTTATCTACATAATCTCACTTAATTGATCCTACTTCCTAATCTAAACGCTTTTTTTCAAGAAAAAAAACTAAGTAATAATCAAAAATCCTTATATGACTACTAATATTCCCTTTAATATATCTTAATATAATGTCTCTATTTATTTAAATTTCATTAACCAAAAATTTAATTTTTTTTAAAAAATTAGACCTCTTATCGAACTATTAAAAATGTCAATAAAAATAAGGGAATACATTAATTAAAATATGGAATAATATATTTAAGTATAAGTTATAATAGAATCAAGAATAAATTAAAGTAGTCCATCTAAGTTATTTATTTAAATATAGAAATATTTACAATATATTAACATTAAAAAAAGGAATTGTTTGTTTAATAGATACTTTTATCCCATAATTATAGTATGTATTTTATTAATGATATCTCCAATTAGATCCGATGTACATATTAAACCATCATCTACAGGAAAAATTCTTTTTTTATACTCTTTTTCGACATCGATTCCTCTACTCCATATAAATCGACAAGATTCAATTATATTATAGGGGGGTTTTAAATTGCTTGAAGACTTTGACATAGTTTCCATATATCCTTGTGGTTCCATGGATCCATTCTCAATGTCTTGCCTTCCTATCTTTTTATATGTTTCTAAAAAATCAAGTGATTGATGTTTTAATGCCATATCAAAAATATAATATACAAGTGTTCCTTTATCAAGTGCAATTGTATTATCGTTCAATAAATTGGAAGGCAGTGATTTTAATATAACACCCAAAGCATATCGATTTTTTGTATAGGTAATAATAAATTCTAACGAAGACTGAAATGATACATGAAAATTAGATGTCCCGGGAGTTTCTGCCTCTAATTTCCCAACAATTTCGAGAAAAGGCAATGTTTTGTAAACAATTTCCGCAAATAAGTGAATATTTCCACGAGAATCTTCTAATATTTGACAAAGTTGAGCCTTAATTCTAGAATGTGGATTCATATAACCATCAATAGCACCAATTTCAAGACAATACTTTACTAAAGGAGGGTTAGTTTCCTGATAATGGCTATCGTATCCAATTTTCAGCCAAAAATAGTTTCTTTTATAATAAGAAAATCTAACAGTATCTATATTAAAATCACCTAAAACTAAAAAATGATTAAACTCATTTGATTTAAAAACAAGTCGAATAACTGTCTCTATTTTTAACCATAATTCAAGAAACATATCAATAACCGAAGATATATTTTTACCCATTTTATAAGTAATTTTCATTAAAAAATATTTAGATTTAACACAAAGTTCAATGTTATCTCTTTTATATCGCCGCAACAATGCTGTTATAAACTTAAGGTTAATCAACTTCCCATAAAAAACAATTCTTAATTCATCAAAAGAATGTTCAGAAAATGAAAACTGAGCAAACATATTTTTACAAATCCAAACTTTAGCCATCGGTGAAATATCATTAGTATAAAAATAAAAAAAAGGTATCACCAATAATCGACAAATAGAAAGATCATGCAAGTATCCGTAATGAATGCCCCTTCTGTCAAGATCTCGAGAAAACTGAAGAATTGCTACTCTTATTATAGAATATTTATAAATGCTTTCAAGCAAAGAATATGTCGGTGAAAGATAAGAATCTACTTGGAAATCTAGTTCATCAAATTTTCGTTTTTTTCCAGAATGAATTTGTATTTTTTCAGACCATAAAATATTCCACCCTAAAAAAATATCATATCTTGAAATAGCAACTTCAAGAAGCCACCAAGTAGTATTCTGTCCAGAAAGAAAACATACAACAAAAAAAATACTTTTAGAAGACATTTGCTTCCAACCCAATATAGAATTCGTCAAAAAAATTGCATATTTAATTTCCGATCCAAAATTATCCTTAAAATCTTTTTGTTTAAAAGATCCTAAAGGAAATTTAACAACATCCCAACCTAAAAACTTAGCCTTGGACTCAATATCATCATATAGTATTTTGCATTTTAGTCGTATCAATATTTCTAATATATTTTGATTTGGAATATTAATTAGCTTTCCATAATTTTTTATACTCAAAGGTGAACATAGAAAAAAATCGGATTCCATAAGTTTAAATTTTCCACAGATAGGATTAATAAATATTAATATATTTTTTGCTTTTGAACATCTAATTTTTAAAACAGGAATTTCATTATTTTTACCCGTACTAGAGATGAAAACAGAATTAATTGAAAAACTATCAGATTCTAATAACATTGAATAAATTTTTTTTAGAAGCAGCATTGAATGAGCATTAATAATTTTAGATACTATCTCTTTAGCAGATATATTAGTTTCATTCTAAAAAAGTTAAAAGATATCTTTTAAAAATATAAATTACTATATTTAGATCATCACAAGATTGAAGCTCATCTCCAATTTTCCAAGAATAAGTTATTACTGAATAATCGTAATCAAAAGATATTCGATTATACGGAAACATATAAGGAATAATGCTCTTCTTCTTAGGTATATCAATATATATTCGAATGATATTAGGCCAACTTATAATATTTTTTTTCATTGATGTCCTAAATCTATCAGAAATAAGTAAAAAAACAATGGTCCCGTAATAACACTGGCCAATATTTCAACGTCAATGATCTTTTAAAACTATCAAAACTAACATTAAGCATATCTTTCCATTTTCCATATACCATTTCCTTTGCTTCTATAACTATAATTTCAAGTTTATAAAAAAGAGTAAATTTATCTTAAATAATGAAAAAAATACAAAATTAGTGTTAAACTTACGAAGAAAATTGTACAATTCTACCAAAGGTTCCTTTTTTTGGGCAATAGATGACTTTAAAATTTCATTGCCAAATTTCTCAATTTCATCTTTTATATCATCATTTGTAGCTGGCGCACCTTCAAAATTCCATTCAAAATCGACTAAAAACCATAGAAAATCATTTGTTTTGGAAATATCTTCTCCAACAAAACTCAAATAAATCACAAATTCATTCTCAACTAAAAATTTAGCTCTTCCATTTTCCACAACATAAAATAACATAGAATATGGTAAAACTTGATATAGAGACAGCCTCAACGAAATTAATATATTAAGTATGTTAAAAGTTTGTAGAACTTTATTAGGGTTTAAAATTTCTGGAGTTATAAATGTAACCTAATATATGTATATATAGTCATGTTATAGAAAATAAGAACTTCTTACAGATGTTTCTGAAAATTTAAGTCGAGGAAAAGTTCCAGTAGAAAGAACTTCCATAGCAGTAATAATATCAGGACTTCTAACCCTAAAACACAATAAAATACAAATAAAAATGTTAAAAATATACCGAGCATATGATAATTGATGCACAATTGCTTTCAAAGAATGAATAACATTTAAAAAACAATTTTTTTGACCTTGTAAAAATGCAATAATATCCTATCCTATATTTAAATAAATAAATAAATATTGTTTTTAAAAATACAATGCATTTTTGAACTTCTTCAGAACTGTATGCCCATTTAACAAGAACATATAATTTAATCATTTGCCTTTTTGTAGAAAATATGTATTCAAGAATTGTTCGTTTTTTTGAAACATTTGACATAGAAGGAAGCCTTAATCATATATAAAAATCCTCATTTCACTTAAAATAAAACTTACAACTCCAAAATATTCTGAAGTTCTGAAAATGTATGATAAACAACTTGTTGAATCTAAAATTTCATTAAAAAATCATATAAATCTCATTTAAACAAGGGAAAAAACGTACCACATCCTTTAGAGGAATCATTCCTTCCGTAATTTTAGGCAAAGGAGGAGGTGATATATTCATTATCTTCAACACTATAGGTTCTTTTTATACAAACTCTTATTTCTATAATTCAACACTTTTTTACCGTTTTTTTTTTTTAAAAAAAAGAAGATATAGTATTTTTATACCAAGAATCCAATATTTTCATATATTTTCAAGAAAAATGACCATTACTTACCTTATATCAGTAAAACTGTTTTTTTTTATCTATATCGAAGGACGTCGATGATAAAAATTTAATATCAGAAATATATTGACTACAGCTTTTATTATTTGTTATAAAACTAAGCAATTCTATATATAAAAAGCACAGGAATGCATGTGAGACATATTTTAAGTCTTATATTTTCTTGTATATATTTTTTTTTCTCCTTTATTTGTGCAGAAACAGATTATTATAAAGTTTGATCAAGAAGTTTTAATAAAACCAAAGAATTTATATATATTTAGATCCTTGAAGTTGATAGAAATGCAAATATTAAAGAGTTAAAAAAGGCATATCTTCGTCTTTCAAAAAAATGGCATCCAGACAAAAATGGTGGAGATGAAAAAAAGTTTCGCGATTTATCACATGCGTATGAGGTACTAAGCAACCCAGAGAAACGTAAAATCTATGATATGAGAGGGGAAGAGGGATTAAAAGCACATGAAGAATACGGCGACGCACAATATCATGATGCATTTGATATTTTTTCAAAGTTCTTTCAAGGAGGATTTCATGAAGAGAAAAAAGGGCCTGATATAAGAAAAGATATAGAACTGGAACTAGAAGTATTATATTATGGAGGGATTCATATAATCGATATTGATAAAGAAGTATTATGTAATTATTGTAAAGGATCAGGTCGAGATCCTAAACATAAAAATAGTTTAGCTCGTTGTAGTCAATGTAACGGGAAAGGGACTCAACTTATACGTCAAATGATAGCACCAGGAATGTTTCAGACGTTTCAAGTAATGTAAATTATATATTTTTAATAAATAAATTTACTAATGAAGTAAGTTGTAATTCATGTTCTGGACAAGGACATGTAATATCACATCCATGTACTCTCTGTAATGGAAAGAAGGTTTTAAGGAAAAACGAGAAGTATACGTTAAATATTCCACCAGGTGCACCCTATGGTTATCAATTTGTCTTTGAAAATGAAGCAAACGAAAGTCCAAATTGGGTGGCAGGTGATCTTTATATTGTTATTGTTGAAAAACCCTACTCGAAAAGTGGTTGGAGACGAAAAAACAGTGATCTTTATCGTACCGAAACTATTTCTCTTTCAAATGCATTACTTGGAGACTGGAGTCGCAGAATTAAACTATTTAATAACGAATATTTTAATATAACAAAACCAGCAGGTCATATCGTACAGTCAGGTCTGTAAATTAAAACAAAAATATTAACTCTTTAAAAACTTATCATAATATAGGTCATGTTGATGTATTTCCACAAAAAGGCATGCCAGTATGGAATTCATTAGAAAAATCAAGTCATTTAAGTAGAGGAAATGTTTATATTGAATGGAGGGTAATTCTTCCAGAACTTAAACTAAATGATCCCCTTCGAAAAAGTTGTTTACCTATATTTTTACATATTTTTTAGACTAATAACTCAATAGAACTAGCAAAAATTCTTAAAAATTAATTTTTAATCTTTACATGAAACAAATAATCATTTTGAACATATATATATTTATTTTCTTAATATAATTTATTCATCAAACATCTAATTAAAAATTAAATTGATACATCAAAACTAAATCTAGCTTATTCAATATACTTTAAAAATAGGTAGCGTAATACGAAAATTTTTACATAAAACACTTAATAATAATTGATTTATAAGTTCTTTAATATAAAAAATAATAGGGTAAAACATTTTCGCAAGGCTGTAAAAATGAAAAAAACCCTTGCAAGTTATTTAATTGTTTGTAGCAGTTCATTTTTTCTTGGTATTCTTTTTATTAGTGTTTGTTTTCTTAAAGTTATGGAAGTTTAAAAGCTGATAATAAATTAAGTGGATAGTTGATCATTTTACATTTTGGATGAATCCAGTAACAGATCAAGCTCTTTTAAATGCGGAAACATATTACTTATTGTTATATCAAGCACCATCTATTCATAAAATTCTCTTACATATATTAATATGTTTTGGCTTTTTTGCACATGTTATGAAACTTTATGGAGGAAATAAAAGTAATCTATTATTTGATAGCGGAAGTTTGGTCCTTTATATTGCTGGAATTATCATTTATAATGTTTATCTTATTCAGGGTATACTTTTTTATTACTATAATGCTTTTTATTTAGATTATTTAATAATAGGCCTTGAAACTATTTTTCAGCGTACTTATATTTCATTTAATAGAATAGATACATTAAGAATCTTAGCAGCATCACATGTTGTACTGGCACTTATTTTAATTGGTATTCTTGTATTACAAAGTAGTCAATTTTGTGCAGAACAAACAGTTATACATTCTGAAACATTAAGTAAACGTCCTAAAAAACATTTACAAAGTAGCCGGCGCCTTTTGTATTAAATAAAAAAAAACAAAATAGACTTTAAAAATTGAATTAAACAATGGAAAAGAACATGAAGTAATATTAGCATATTAAACAAAACATTTAAGTGACTATTTAAATTCTTTGATAGAATTATTAAAAAAGCTTGATCTAAATAAAATGATATTATCATTTTTATGAATTATTCAAGTTCAAAAAAGGATTATTTATATAAAAACTGCTATATACAAAATCTCATTTCATAAATTCTTACATTTATACTTCATGATTTAAAAAAAATCAAAATTTATTGAAGAGAATAATTATATACATAAATAAGTTTTAGAATAAATATAAATAATAGTAATAAATGTACTAAAATTTAATCTTAAATATAAATTACCTTAAATATTTCCATAAAAAACTGAATTTTCTTCATTAAATCTTAAAAACCCACATTTTTATGATTATATTCTTCAATTCATAAAAACATAAGAATACTTCCCCTTAATCTCTTATTGCACGTACTCGGGATCGAACCGAGGACCTCTCGCGTGTGAAGCGAATATGATAACCACTACATCATACGTGCCCATTCCGGATTTTTAGCAGATTATCAAAAAATAAATATGAACTAGTTTGTAATCTATAAACTATCAAGATGTAGTTTAAACGTTTCTTTAAGGGTATTTAAGAGAATTTATAATGATATGTCAATACATATTGTTTTAAATAAACTTGAAAAAATAGTTGAAATAATACAAAATTTTCTTATATTACTTCATATTAACTCTAAATATTAATTTAAAAACTCTAAAATTTTACATATTTCAAAATCAAAAGATATATATTTATAAATTTATTGAAGAAATATATAAGGCAGAAAGATTTAAATAAAATAATAATAAATTTATATTATAAGGACTTTATAAACTTTAATAATAAATTTATAAAAAACAAAGATATATTTAACAATTATAAATGAAATAAATATAATAAATTTCGTGTTAAGACTTAAACGATTTGATATAGATATGAATTTTTTCTGGATAGAAAATGGAATTTTAGAAAATGATTGAAAAAACACACAAATAACAAAAAAAATATTAATTTTTTTAATATATTAGTTCTATATCTCTAAAAATTAAAAGAAATCTTTTATAAAAATATCAATTATATTTATAGTATAATTTTAAAAATATTAAAATATAATACTTTTATGTTTTTAAATAAAATTAACCTTGATAAAATCTCAAATATCTATTTCAATAATATTTTATTAATTCTGTATTTATATAAACCTTATAGACAAAAATGTAATATTAATCATATAATTACAGATATTTAATAAAATATAAATATATATTGAATATTTAGTAATTTTGTATCAAAATCAAAAAACATTTAAAATATAAGATCATATTTATAATAAAACCATTTAAATAGTTTAAATACAAAGCATAAAATAATATTTCATTAATCATAAAACCTTCTAATATTATATAATTAAATAGATATAGCCATAAATTTCAATCAAAATTATATTCATAAAACAATAAGTTATCATCAATCATAATATATCATATCTCATAACCGTTTAATAATTAAACATGAACAAATATGCACCCTAAATACTAGATTTAAGCAGTAATCTTATCAATGTTGTGGAAGTGAAGAATGAAACATCATACGAGACAACCGTTTTATGCCAAAATATGGAGAATTCAGAGGTGATTCAACTCCAATATAAATAAACAAATCATATAAAAACCCTCCCAATAAACATCCTATAAAAGGTGCAATTATAGGCACCCAAAAGTAATAATGACCAGCAGACCATACTTCATTACCATAACCTATGACATAAGATAAAAGACGTGTTCCTAAATCACGAGCCATATTAATTGCATAACCCGTTTGCCAACCTAAGCATGCTCCAATGCCAAAAATGAGAAAAAGAATAATCAAAGGGCCTTTATCATTTGCCGGAGTATTGTATTGGTCACAAATAGCAAAAATACAAACCATAAGAGCAGCGGAACCCACAACTTCAGATAAAAATTGCCTTCCTGTCGAAAGAAAAGAAGCAGGATATGTACTAAAAACAAAAGCGGTTGCAGTCGGTCCAACAACAGTTCTCTTACCAGCTCCTTCATATGCATCAAATGCAGAATAATAATTTAAATAGACAATTAATGCACCGAAAAAACAACCAGCTGTCTGAGAAAGTGCATAAATAGGAAACTTCCAGAATGGAAATCCTCGAAAGACACAATTCGCAAGCGTTACACATGGATTCAAATGTCCTCCAGAAATTCCTCCACTGATATAAACACCTAAATAGCCGTTATTCACACTATATTTTAAATCTATCCAACTATACCAAACATAACTCCAATACCCCAACCCCAGTTAATTGATTGATAATTTCCTTTTGTACTACCAGATAGAACAACTTGTGCAACAACTCCATCACCAAAAAGAATCATCTATATCAGTAACTCAACCAATCTAGAAATAAAAAAAAATACCACCAAACATGCAAGAAATTCGGCAAAAGGCTCTCGTAATACCTTACGAAACTTAACCCATGCATTTTCAATAGACAAACCATCTACATAACAATATTATATATTAATAAATATCCCATTGATCCTACTTTTATCAATTGTTGCTATCTAATTTATTCAAAGAATATTATATGTCTTGTTATCAATTTATTAATGACTTACATTTATTAATTGAGGGTTATCTTGATTCTCAAGCTTATCATTAGAAATTCCAACTATTTCTGTCATATTTAATTAAAATAACTTGAGTTTTATGTCTTTTTTATTTAACTCTGCTTAAATAGAAAGATTCTTTATTTAAACCCTAACCCTTAACCCTAACCCATCCCCAATACATAGACCTAACCCTTTAAAGAATACAACCCTAATAAATACAAAACCAACCCCAATATATACAATACTAACCCTTAAGCATAAACCCTAGCCCTAACACTTATACTCCAAACCCTGACTAACTGGTTTTAAAATGATATCGTCTTATCAAAATCAACCATAAATTAATATTAAATAGATATATTTTCGAAATATAAAGACCAGATAATATGAATAGAAGCCATTCTCTTCGTCATGGAAGACCCACATCAGGTAGTTCACGTACAAATGGACATCGTAAGGAAGATTTTAAAAAGATTGAATTAAATTAATAAAAACAGGGTTTACATTTTTAAGTTTACGAGGTCATGCAACTCATACAAGTCTTCCAAAGCTTATTAAAATGGAAAACAATTTGGTTTCAGCATATGAAACAGCAGGACGAGAACAACAAACAGTTGCATCACAATTATCACAATGGGGTATTTTATTAGAAAAAAAAAGACAAATAATAAATGATGATAATAGGAGAAGAAACGGGAGATGACGCTATTGGAGATCTAAGTGATAAGGTAGCAGTTATTCTTTCAGAAATAGGAGATATTGAGGAGAATCATGCAAGTCAAATTGATGATTCACGACGAGTGTTAAAAACAATTCGTAATATTGAAAATTCAGTACAACCATTAAGAGATGCAAAACAAAAATTGATTGATCAAATTGTTATATTAAAGCATAAAGATCCGGAATCAATTAAATTGATTGAGCAAGAACAGAAATTGGTTCGTTTGGAAGCGGAGAATCTTGTAGCTGAAGCGCAGTTAACCCATGTATCTCGACAGAAATTAAAAGAGGCATATAATATGTATTTTTTGTCAGTTCAAGAACGAGCAGAAAAACAGTGTCTTTTATCACATTATGGTCGCAAACTTTTAGATTTATTAGATGATAACCCAGTAATTCCAGGAGATACACGTATCGCATATGAATCAGAAAAAGAAGCAAAGGAACTCCTTCTGGAAGCAGAAGAAGCATTACACTCATGGCGTCCAGGACAATTATCTTACGAAAGGGAATATACATCAAACAATAATTTAGTAACGGATCAAAGTCATAACAATTTTCGAAAACCTGATTTGTCTACAGTAGCTATTATTAAACGTGAAACAAATGAAGAGACTGAAAAATCTATATCTTTAGCATAATGTTATATCGAAAACGTTTAATTGATTTTATAAATATAAAACAGTATTTCTAACAGTTTAATCATACAAATAATATAGATAGCATGCATTAATCAGAAAATCGTTATTTAAATGAAGTTCTCTTTGTATTAGCGAATAATTAATTTCATTTTTTTAGTATCATGAATTAATCAATTCTTATTTCAAAAAAATGTCTTTTTTTAACAATTTCTAGAAATTCAAATATTTTCAAAAAATATCAATTTTATTAATTCATATGTTTCAAATATAAATATAATATATTTTTTCAATGAAATCTTTTCTCATTTAATTACTTATCAATTTCATCTAATAGCTTTGGTTTTTAACCTTTAAATTTTAGCCAAAACTATAAAATAATGGGTATCCAAAGTTTTCATACATTAGAAAGAGAGAAATTATTTCAAAACCCAAGGAGGGAACCAGCATATCCAGATCTTTTAGCAATCACTGCTCCACATATCGAATCATTTAACGCATTGACAGATGATCAATTATTAAATCTTGCAGTTCAAGATATTGGGAAAAAATCAGTTTTTGATAGGAAAAATGGGGGACTTGGCAATAAACTATCATGTAAAAACTATTATTCTAAGAAATAATAAGTTTATTGATTTAACGGTGGGTAGTTCGTGTTGAAGAAGTTCAAATTGCAAAACCAACTCTTCCAACTCGTGAACGTACATCTATCAATCGAAAAATACTCCCATCAGAAGTATATATAATCTTTATATAAAGATGTATGGAATATTTAGTTTTGCTAGTGTCGTGAACGTTTTTGCACGTATAAAGCTCGCCTTCTTTTGAAGCTTGCATGGAGCGTAAATGATGAAGAAGAAACAACAGAAGTAAGAGAATTCGGGCAAATCCCAATTATGGTCAAGGTAAGAAAATTATGGTATTTTTTATATTTTATACATATTATTAACAATTTAGTCGAACCGATGTCATATTGAAAAACTATCACCAGCAGATCTTATTGCATCTAGAGAAGAATCAGAAGAACTTGGAGGATATTTTATAATTAATGGAAACGAAAAAATTATTCGGATGCTTATTGTCCCAAGAAGAAATTATGTAATGGGTTTAATACGATCCTCATTTACAAACAGAGGTGCACATTATACACATTTTGGAACACAAATTCGCTGTGTTAGACCAGATGAAACATCTCAAACAAATACTTTACATTATCTAAGTGATGGAAACTGTATTTTTCGATTTTCATGGAGAAAAAACGAGTATTTGGTTCCTGTAATCATGATCCTCAAAGCACTTATAAATACTAACGATAAAGAAATTTTTGATTCTATTATTGGATCAGATAGAGAGAATACAGTTTTAATAGATCAGGTTGAAATTTTACTTAGAACATATAAAAACTACGAACTTTATACACAAGAACAAACTTTACAATATCTCGGTGAAAAGTTTCGAATTATATTAAACTTGGATGAAGATCTTACTCATGTTTCTATTGGGGAAAAGTTACTAAAGAAGGTTGTCTTAGTTCATTTAGAAAACAATTATGATAAATTTCGAATGTTAATGTATATTTATGTATATATTATTAATACGCTTTCTAACTTTTTAGATTTATGATACAGAAACTTTATAGTCTTGTCTCTGGAGACTGTTGTCAAGATGATCCGGATTCTCTTCAACATCAGGAAATACTTCTTGGGGGGTTTTTATATGGAATGATTATTAAAGAAAAAATAGAAGATTATCTATATTCTTTAAAAAACACTATTTTACAAGATCTTCGAAAACCAAATAATTCAGTTAACTTTTTTGAGAAAAAATATATTTCTAAATTATTTCAAAGAGTTCCTAATGACATTGGCTCAAAATTACAATATTTTCTGAGCACAGGTAATTTAGTTAGTTCTAGCGGTTTGGATTTGCAACAGACAACAGGATTTACTATAGTTGCAGAAAAGCTTAACTTTTATCGTTATTTAAGTCATTTTAGGATGGTACATAGAGGTGCATTTTTTGCAGATATTAAAACTACAACAGTCCGTAAACTTCTTCCAGAAGCATGGGGTATATTTCTATTATTTCAATTCATATAAATTAATCTTATAAGGATTTCTTTGTCCTGTTCATACACCTGACGGGGCACCATGTGGCCTATTAAATCATCTAACAAGTAAATGCAAAATTGTTACATCAAATATTAACATAGATTCCATACCATGCTTACTTGTAAGTCTTGGAGTAAATCCGACATCAAATATAGTGAGTACAGAATATTCATGTGTACAGCTTAATGGAAAAATTATTGGATATTGTACAAATAAACTAGCATCTCATATTGCCCAATTACTTCGTCATTGGAAAGTTGAAAATTCACATAATGTTCCTTTGCAACTTGAACTTGGACTGATTCCTAAATCTTCCGGAGGGCAATATAAAGGATTATATATATTTTCGTCAAGATCTCGCATGACTCGTCCCGTTAAATATCTTGCACTAAATAAAGAAGATATCATTGGATCATTTGAACAAGTATATTTAAATATAGACATAGATTCACATTTTTCCGGAAAAATAGATTCACAATATTCTCATTCTGAATTAAATACATCTAATATATTTTCAATTATCGCATCTTTGACACCATTTTCTGATTTTAATCAATCTCCAAGAAATATGTACCAATGTCAAATGGCAAAAGTATTAATATATAATAAATAATGTAAAATATTCTAATTTTTTAAGCAAACTATGGGAACACCTGCATCATCATTAAGATATAGAACTGACGATAGACTTTATCTTTTACAAACAGGACAGGCACCCATTGTTCGCTCAAAAACATATGATCTTTATGGATTAGATAACTTTCCTAATGGAACAAATGCAGTCGTTGCAGTTATTTCATATACAGGGTATGATATGGAAGATGCTATAGTTATCAATAAATCATCATATGAAAGAGGATTTGCTTATAGTACAATTTACAAAAGTGAAAAGGTAAATTTGACACAAAAACGACAAAAAGGGGAAAAGATTATATATCATTTTGGTTTTGGAAATGATAAACTTCATCCGAAATGGATAGAAAAATTGGACGCAGATGGATTACCAATAATTGGTATAAAATTAGAAGATGGCGATCCCTTAGCAGCCTACTTTGATGAAACAACAGGGAAAACAATGATTCACGAGTATCATGGAATAGAAGATGTTTTTGTAGAAGAAGTTAGATTACTTGGTCTTTTTTTAAAGAATATTCAAATATCAATACTAACTAAATCAGGGAATGATTCAGGAGATATGGAATGTCAATGTATTCATATAAAACTTCGAATCTCTCGTCCCGCGACGATCGGTGATAAATTTTCATCCAGACATGGGCAAAAAGGTGTCTGTTCTCAAAAATGGCCAGCAGCAGACATGCCATTCAGTGAGAGCGGAATACAACCCGATATTATTATTAATCCTCATGCGTATATTAATACATATTCTATTATACAATGTTAATTTTATTTTAGGTTTCCTACCCGTATGACTATAGGTAGAATTATAAATAAACTTCATTTATATTATTAAAAATATATTAGGAATGTTCATAGAAAGTATGGCTGGTAAAGCAGGAGCACTACATGGACTTGTAGAAGATTCTACACCATTTACTTTTAACGAAAAAAACACAGCAGTGGATTATTTTGGAAAACAATTAATAAAAGCTGGTTATGGATACAATGGTAATGAAACATTTTATTCAGGGATTACAGGTGATATTATGGAAGCAGAAATATTTACAGGAATTGTTTATTATCAACGATTAAGGCATATGGTATCTGATAAATTTCAAGTACGTTCAACAGGACCTGTTCATAGTCTTACACATCAACCCGTTAAAGGACGGAAACGCGCAGGAGGCAAATATTTTTTATTTAAAGTTATATTTCCTAAATATATAATAGGTATTCGTTTCGGAGAAATGGAACGTGACAGCATAATAGCGCATGGAACAGCATATATCTTACAAGATCGTTTAATGAATTGTAGTGATTATACAAGAACCTGGATATGTAGACCTTGTGGTTCTATTCTTTCTCTTACACCAACTATGACTATGGCAGGCACTGGAAACTCATTTAGTTCAAACATAAGATGTCGCCTATGTGCATCAGAGGTTACAGGATTTGAAAATGATTGCGATATATGGCAAGATAGTACAGGTAAAAAATTTAGAGGAGGTGATAATATTGCAATCATTGCATTACCATATGTATTTAAATATCTCGCAACAGAACTTGCTTCTATGAACATTAGGCTAAAATTAAATATAAACAAATCATAATAATCTACTAAAGGCTATATCTTTATATTCATAATTATACTATACATCAGAAATACAGGGTTATCTATTATTTTTATCCAATCATTTTAGAACCTATCTAGACTATTTTTAATTCCTTTTATTAATTCATAAAGCTATCTAATTAATTTCTTTTAATATAATAACAGCAATACCGGATAAAATTGTTCATTAGATATTTTGACTAGAAATTCATTTAAAAAATATAAATTGATCTAAAGCATCTATCTTTAATCAGGTCAAGCCCATATCCTTTCCACCTACTATTTTTAATATTTCTTAGATGTTTTTTTTATGAATTAATAAATTTTGGAGAGGAATATTTTCTATTTGCATAAATTGTTAGCTAATAAAGTGATATAAACGTAAACCCTAGATTTTCAATGGTTACACAGTGGTTTTACATATAAAAGGGCTGAGATATCTCTGTATTTTCCACAATTTTTTATTTTATTCACTCAAACAAGCCAATCCACGAATTTATATAAAATAATAATATCAACTATTTAAGCTAAAATTAACTATTTTCAAAACTAAAAATAAGGGAGATGCTTTATTCTTCAAGGTTATGAGCGGAAATCCTCCAAAAAGAACTATTTTTAATCACATTTTTTCAGAAAATTTAAATATTAAGCCTCCCGATCAGTCTACTCAAAGTATTGTAACAGCATGGGAATCAGCGAGCCAATTCTTTACTCCTGAATTCAAATATAAAGGTACTTTATAAACAGTATATTTGATTATAAAAAGAATATATATTTTGTAGATGTTTCACCCAATATTAAAACAGCAATTCATATTCTTTGTCACAATGGATTAAAAGAGCTGTTACAAGAAAGTTATGAACGTATGTTTAACTATATAAAATGGATTTTAAATTTGATTTAAAAAAAGATTCAATAAGGATTCATTTTACAGAAAAATTTTTACCTATTTTACAAGCATATAAAGTTATTTACAGTTTATATTTTCCAATATATACTTATAAATTATAGATTACGCAGTCTAATTTTACGGAATTTATTGAAAAATTAACGGAGGCATATCATATTTATCAACGACCACTTGTATTAACTCATTTTAAGTAAATTTAAATATATACATAGCGCTTTTCTGATAAAAATAGTGCAGATAAATCATTTAAAAAAACATTGCATGCATTAATTAACAATTATATTTCAGAAGATAAACTTTATTCTGTTCTTTTAGAATGGTTATCAGAAAATATGGCATTTTGGGAAAAAAACGAATCAAGTCCTCAGGTTACATGTTTCCTTTCTACTTGCAAAAACATAGAATTAGTTGGACTACAAAGACATTTGGAAAAAGCATTTTCTGAAAGTATATCTCGAAGGCTAAATAAACATATAAGAGAAAAATATTCTAAAAAGTGGAATAGAAGTGTTCAAGAAGAAATTGTCCAATGGACTATTAATAAATTGGGAAAACTCACATTTTTAGTTTTGAAGTTTGATATAAACAAGAAAGATTTATATTTAAAATTAGAAACACTTGCATGTCACTTTCTAGCAATATTAAGGTAATAAAAAATATTTATGTCTTCTGATATTAATTTTCTTAGAATTGATGAACTATTCGATATTATAGTAGATTATCCATACTCTTCTGTTGCATTAGAAGATTTAAAAGTATTAGAGATTTTACTCTTTTGAAATTATAACATTTTTTAGCGATCTATGAAATTATCTCCTCTTAGAGATTATTTAGTTAACTCGTTTCAACAATCGTAAGCAAAAAGTATTCGAAATATCTTTAAATATATTTTAGGTGTAAAACAAGACTTTTGCATCCAGGAGCAGACACACAAGATATAATTTCTCAATATATATCAACTATCAAATGTTTTCTTATTCTAGATCCTCCTGGTGTACTTTTAGATAAAGTAGCAAAACCTATTAGAAAACATTTAAAGTCATATTTAAAAATTTTAACTTTTTTTTTGATTAATATTTTATAGAAATCGAAATGACACTATCAAATGTATTATGGTAGGACTTGTTGGAGATGAAACAAGCGAATTAAGTGAAGAACTTGGCCAAGCCGATCCATCCTCTGTTCAAGTAGATGATGATGATGATGATTTTGATAATCTTAATTGGACACCAGATCCGTTTGATGCTGCTCCAGGTAGTAAAATATAAAATTATATTATTATTATTTATCTGCTATATTTAGACTTCCAAAAAATGAATAATAATGATATTATTAAAAGTCTTGTTAGTATCTATGAGAATAAAGATATTTTTGTTAGAGAACTCCAGAATCTTCTAGCAGATAGGCTTCTTACTACTATGAATTACGAAACTGATAAAGAAGTAAAGTGTTATTTCAAAATAAAGTATTTCTTAACGTTTTTAAGTTACGAAATTTAGAACTTTTAAAATTACGATTTAGTGAAAACAGTTTGCAAATGTGTGATGTAATGCTTCATGACATTGCAGAATCTAAAAGAATTGACGCAAATTTACATAAAGAATTTGATAGTAACGTAATATTCTAAACAATTATTTTGCTACAGTAAAGCTTAATATTTAAAGACACCAATACATGCAAGCATACTTTCTCGACTTTTTTGGCCAAATTTTAAAGGAGAGACATTATTTCTTTCAAAAGAAATCCAAAGGTAACATATAAGCAATATTTTGAAGCCCAGAACATCTAATTTAATTAGCTATATGGATGACTATGCAGAAAATTTTGAAAAACTAAAAGCTTCGAGAAAATTACATTGGATACCCAATTTAGGCCAAGTGCAAATAGAAATAATTCTAGAGGATAGGACATTAAATATGAATGTTAGACCTGTACAAGCATCTATTATTTTACTTTTTCAGGAAAAAGGCAAGTAATATTAATATATCTATATATTTACTTAAAATCCTTAGATGAACAGACTATAAAAGATGTAATGGATGCCATAGGACAAGACTATGCTGATTGTAGAAGAAATACTCTTTTTTGGGTAAAATATGGGGTTCTTAAAGAAATTTCAAAAGATACTTTTAAAGTTCTAGAATATGCAGAAGTAGAAACATCCAACAAAGGTTTTAATTTTTAATATTAAAACACAATGTTAATTATATTAGCTCTTTCGACTTTCGAGGAGTCGATTTCAAATGTTCAGGTAGTAGAAGACCATACTTCAGAAGAAATGAGAATATATTGGTAATTATTTTTTTTATAAGAAAGACTTCTAATTTATAGGTCGTTTATAAATGGAATGCTCATTAATCTGGGCCCATTGACTTTAGAAAGAATCCACTCAACATTACAAATGTTTGTACCTCCTCCAAATCTGTATAATCGGTCTATCGACGAATTACGAGAATTTCTTGCTTTAATGGTAAAGGAAGAACAATTGGAATTTATTTCAGGTCAATACAAACTTAAAAAACAATAAACTACTAAAGTAATATTAATAAATAATAAATATAACCTATAACACGTAACAATACTAATAAACATTTTCCACAAAATAAAATATTTAGAAAACTGAATAATATTAAATTATAACTTCATATTTCCCATTGCAAAATATTGCTAAAAAATACCTAAATAGCATTGAAAACTCATAAATTTTAAGTAGTTCCAAATATACATTCTCTTTTTCTAATCAGAGGAATTGATGTCCGAGTCATAAATGTTTTTTGTGAAGGAATCATTCTCATAGAATCTTTATTTTCTAAAATAGGCAAGCAAGTCATTCTTCGAAAAGATGGCCGTGGTATATTAGAAAACGAAATATTTTCTTTATATTTCATAAATTTCATATCAGATGTTTTATGTAATATTCCTCCAGTAGATACCATACGTCGTATCGAATCACATGATCGAGGAATATTTGATTCGAAATCTTTCGTCTTAGTTCCTGAATAAGAAGAGTTCTTTACAGGTGTTGACTTTGGAATTAATTGAGATGCAAGCGCACTGCTAGCTTCCGTTTTTTCCATTATTGATGAAAATAATTTAAATCTAGGAAACCGTAAAGGAGTTTCCTCAATAAAAGAAGATATTTTGGATCCTTTAGATGGTACACTACTATTTTTAGAATTATTTTAAAAAAATATTTTGCATACCTAGAATGACACAAGATTCTAGGCGTAGAATAATTCTTTGATCCTGTTTTTAACGTACTAGATAATGAAGATCGACGACTAGTTTTAGATACAGGAATCAAAGAATATTGCTTTGCTATATATTTTGGAGTTTTGGGAGTTTTTGGAGTCATTATACATGATCTAGTTGATTGAGATGCTTCTGATTCCGAGTCATGAGAAACAGACTGAGCATTATCTTCAATGATTTCAGAAGTGGAATCATCTTCCAAAATTATATTATCGATTTTGATAATATCTTTGTTCAAATTTTTCCATCTTTCATACAGGGCATTATAACCTTCAATAACTCGACTATTACAGGTTAATTTGTTCCAAATTCCCCATTCCATAAGAGTAATAATCCTTATAATAACTATAATTTATTAAAATATATTTAGAATTTTATTTAAAAAAAAATACCATAACTGTCCTTCTTTACTTTATATGTTTTATAAAATTCACTAGCCTTTTTTGTTAAAGGAGATAAGACATTAAATTTTTTTATTTCCATCTCTAAAGAATCCATAATTTGGGTAGCCTATAAAAATTATTAATATATATACAATAAAAACATGCATATGTATATCCTAAACTTACTTGTTTATTAACTTGTGAAAAAACAAACAACCATTTATCTTCCTGAAACTTCTTTTTTACAGAAAAAAACTCATCTTGTAATTTATTACACTTGATTTCCAAATTAAGTCTTTTTTGTTCTATATTATAAATAGCACTAGGAAACAATTCAGATGCCTTCTCCTTGAAATACTCAATTCGAAGTTTGAAAAAAATGAGGGATGTTTCAAGAGGCTTAACTTTCTCATGAACTTGACAAATAAAATTCTGACAATTCATATTCCATTTATTCAACATATCTGTTGAATTTATTTGCTCTAAACCCCCTACTTTTTCCCCATCAAAAATATCTTTAACAAATGATTCTAAGGTGCTAATTTCAACAAATCGGCCCGAAATAAAAGGAATATAATCACACCGTTCTTTGACCTCAAAAACAAGTACTTCACACTTCTTAAGTTCTTGATTTATCTGGTTCAATATTTCAATACAATCCACCCATTCCTTTGAAATTTCTATTTGAGATTTTATAAAACCTAATAACTTCTTAATAAATATCCAGCCTTGATAGACTTCTTGACGCTTTGTATTTAAATTTAAAATATCAAAATCCGTCAAATTCTCAAGAACTGGACTAGATGTTTCTTCTATAAACTTATCAAAAACAGGAGATGAATTTCGAATCTCTTGTTCTAATTCATTAAATAACCCCTTTGCTTGATTTGCCCATTCAATATCATCCTCCAAATCAAAATATTTAAAAATATATATAACTAATTCAATCCATGATAACATATATACTGACACATCCGTAAAAACATAAAAATATTCTTCTTTGACTTCAATATCTTCTTTTTCAAACAATTTCATTCGAGGGATAAATAACAATGATCTAAGTTGAGATAATTGCTGCTCAAACGAACTGCTCTGAAGAAAATCAATAAATTCCCGTCCCATAAGTTTATTTAAATAAGAAAATCCTTCATTATCCTCCTTTTTGTCCTTTATTTTATCAATTTCTTCAAAATAATTTGAAGACTTATCCATCTTATTTTAACAATTTTTATCTAAAAAATTAAGTCAAAAAAAAATAAAATATTTAAAAAAGAAACTAACCAAACAATACTCATACAACCCTTTAATATATGTATTTCTTCAATAAGTCAGTTTAACATTTTTTTGTTGTCTTAACCGAGACCGTCTCTGGTAGTATCGATCTTGATTCGGTTATCTTAAAAAATCTTAAAAAAATATTTTTATGATTGAAACAGCTCAACAATATTTAGTGAGCAGCATTCCGAAGCCAGAATGGAGGACTCAAGTATGGTGTAAGTCAACCTTAAGGTATAAATTTCTGTATTTTTTTTATATATATTCAAAGATATTAAAGTTACCCTGTTAATCCACATTTATCCATTGAGTCTATTACGGATATGCTTCTTAAAGCTCCGGGTGTTGTGCAAAAGGTATATTTTCTTAAGATTTTATCAAAGGAAATTAAAGTTGAAGGTTCCTTTTGTTTGGAATTTTATTGATAAACCTGTAGACGGTCAAATTTTCTTAGTATGGCTTTCTCCAGAATCAAGTATGCATCCGCCTCCAGATGGATTTCAATATATGGATTCAGAAAATTGTTATCGTATTGATATTGGGGGAAATGTATTTTTTTTTTTTTAGTTTTATAAGAAATTAATTATTTTAGACAGTAGAAATTTTTGAACATAAATATGGGTTTTATCCAATGACAGAGTCTCATACATCGCGTATTAGAAGGAGATTTAGACTTGTCAAGGGGGGGAATGATCAATTATGGCTTATTTATTATTTAAGATCTAGCGAAAATGGTATTTTTTTAGATGTTATAATTCAATATAAATTGAATATCTAGATCGTTTGGTTGTGAATAGTCATACAGCTACTCCTCAGCCTTCACGCACCTATCCTCTTCCTTTTATTCAAAATAAGCCGTTTTTATTATATGAAAGTACTACGCCGCAACCATCTCGATCTTATAACTCTGTCACATCTAATGTTCCAACAAGGCCTATGATGTATTATAATAATTTAACATCTGTTCAAGGAAATCAGAATTTTCAAAAACATCAATATACTAATCAATCTGGAGGAACACATTCTACTGCTACATATAATACGCAACCAAATATTCCTTTATTTTATGATTTAAAAAAAAAGACAAAAACAAATTCATCAGCTTCTACGGATCATGGATCATCAAATTTTCAAAATCCTTTATTACATCATTCAAAGGCAATATCAGAAGAGGAGGAACCACAAGGGGATGAATTGGATTTCTTAACACCTCGCGATATATCTATAGCACGTTACATGAGACACCATGATTGGATGGAGGAAATATTTAACAATACTTTTAAAATAAGTAAGAGCTTTTTAAGTAAAATTAGTTTTCTGATTTTAAAGGTAATATTTTATCATCTCCACTTTTTCCTAAGTCAGAAGATTATACAATTGAAGCTTTAAAAGAAAAATTATCTAATAATGAAATACAAACCATGAAAGATTTGCATGAAAAAAAAATTAATGAAATAAAATTTTCAAATGAAGCTATTTGGCTTAAAAATGCGATTAATGATTTAAATAATGCGCAAAATATGGAAGAAATTGCATCCGTAACAAAAGCCGTTGAAGAAAAGTTAAGAAAAAGTGTACAAAAAGTATCAGTAAAGGAAATATATATTAAAGAAACAAACAAGGAATTAGAAAATTCAGAAGTTTTTAAAATATAGAAATTGGGATCACATTCATACAAATATTACAGATTTTAAAATTATATAATAGTACGTGCTTGACGGGATAGCTTTGCTACATCCATTTCTACATTTATCATTGATTACATATATTACTACAACATTTATTCCTACCTAACTCCGAAAATCGCTCATTTGCTTCTAGTTGTGCCAAGTTTAGGCTTTCAAACATTTTTTTTGTATCTGCCTGAACACTTTCAAGTTCACTTTTCGTTATAACACTATCTTGTATTTTTTTCACATCTTTTTCTATCTTTTCTACTTGTTTTACGCCTTTAATAATAGAATCTGTCACATGCTGCAGTTCTTCTATAGACAAAAGAAGTGTATTTGATGCATATTGATATTCACTTATTAAATAATAATATCCTATTGCACTAGCAAGACTTGTTCCAATAAAAAATCCAAGAAATCCTCCACGGAATGAACTAACTATATTTCTTTAAATAAATCTTATATATTTCTCTCTAATGAAACCTACCTACTATTGAAGGTCGACTCATATTCATTGGACTATCAGGAGCTTTAATATCTGAATAGAATCGTATATTCTTATAAATAAATGAACATTTTCCCCTAATTAAACGTTTTTCAATGCCAATTAAGCCTTGATTGACATTCAAAAACCAATTCATCCTCTGCCATTGCATATTAATTTTTAGCGATTTTTTCGATTTCTTAAGAAATAAAATTAACCTTTTTCAATAAAGACAATTATTCTTATGCAAACCTTAATATTCCTTTAAATCTTTTGAATCAAATTTCTTAAGCTTTATTTTTATCATTTAGAGAAATATAATACTACTTTAAATGAAATTGCTTAAGAAATTATTAAATTTAAGGCATTTTTATTAAGTTTTCTAACGATCTTTATATTAACAGTCTTATATTCTAATAATAAAAATAGACAAGGACTATTAAGGGCTTATAAGATAGCATATATTAGGAACAATATGGTAGAATATCTTGGAATAACATAAGTATTTAATATAAATTGAAATTAAGATATAAAAGATTTAGAAAAGAAGATTAGTAAACGGATGAGAAAGATATGAAAAATCTTAAGAAAAAAACAATTAGAACGCATAAACCTGGTACTAAAAAAGATGGACTATTTGGCACGTTTTTCTTAGAATTGATATCATTTTTTTTTCCAAAGCATAATGGTAGGTCAAGAATTATAAGTGTTTGATGATAATAAATTATAAGGTTCAAATAAAAATGTTTGCATTTCATCGCCTGTAGATTTTAGGTAAGATATTATTATGATTTTTGGAATAAATTTAGTTTTAAAGGCATCTTGCTCATGCAAATAACAAAAAAGAAGCAATTGCTATTTATGAAAAATTCTCCTTTAATGTATTTGATGGTATTTAGGGAGAAATTATAGGATTTATTTTTTAATTTTTACATTTAGAATCAAAAAAAAATACGACAATGTCGATATTGCTTGATTCTGAAAATAAATCAGTACAGGAAAATGAATTACTTCCTCCTTTAAAAATGGGTCAAACACCTTTTATTCATTCGACATCTGAAACGCTTATTGTACCGTCTGAAAGTACAGTTATTTATCGGAACAATAAAAAAAAAGCATTATATCTAAGAAATATACTATTTCAACAGCCATCTTTAAGTACAATTGAAAAATCAGCAGCTACAAAAATATTTTTTGAAACATATTTTCATAATATTTTTAAAAAGCCAAATCCAAGAGAAGAAAGAAGAAAAAATCTAGAAATTCAATTAAAAAATCCCAAATTATCAGATAGAGAACGGGAAAGTCTTCGTCTTAAATTTAACAGGGAAGAAACAGAATATCTTCGATCTCTTCGCCAACGAGTAGACGCATCAAGTTTTGTTATTTTAAAAACTATAGGTCATGGGGCTTTTGGTGTTGTGAAATTAGTAAGAAAAAAGGATAATGGCATGATCTATGCAATGAAAATTCTTAAAAAAGCAGACATGTTGAAAAAAGGTCAAGAAGGGCATGTACGAGCCGAGCGCGATCTACTTGCTATAGCAAGTGATAATGGAAGCTGGACTGTAAAGTTATGTTATTCTTTTCAAGATCTTGCACATTTGTAAGTTTTTCTATTGAATTATATTTCTAAACTAAGATATAAGATATTTAGTTATGGAATATATGCCAGGCAAATAACGTTAAATTAATTGATATGTTGTTCTTATGCCCTATAGGAGGTGATTTGTTGAATTTACTTATCGTCAAAGATGTATTTCCTGAAGAATTTGCACGGTTTTATATTGCAGAAATGGTTCTTTGCATAGAGGAAATACATAAATTAGGATATATTCATAGAGATATCAAAGTAAAAATTGAATTTTAAAAACGAGAAAAAAAACTAATAATATCAGCCAGATAATTTTTTATTCGATAGACATGGTCATATTAAGATTTCTGATTTTGGTTTATCAACTGATTTATCGTGGTTACATGACTCTGCGTATTTTGAGCATCAAAGAGTATATCTTCTAAAAAAAAGTGGAATTAATATAGGAAATAGCATTAGCAAAAGAAAAGGTCTTAATATATTAACAATGCTAGAATTGCATGAAGATAAGGATACAGGCGATGGAATTCTTTCATGGAATGATGAAAATCGTCGAGAATTTGCATATAGTCTTGTTGGAACCAATAGTTATATGGCGCCAGAAATTATTAGAGGAGAAGGATATACAAAAAGCTGTGATTGGTGGTCTCTTGGAGTTATCCTTTTTGAGGTTTATCTAAATCATATTTTCTCTAAATATCTCTAATAATTAAAAGTGTCTTTATGGATTTCCTCCATTTGTTTCTAAAACCAAACATGCAACAAGAATGAAAATACTTAATTGGCGTCAAGCTTTACATTTTCCTACTACACCGTCAGTTTCTAAGGAAGCACAAGATCTAATTAAAAAACTTATATGTGATCATAAAGATCGTTTAGGCTCTAATTTGTGCAAAATTTATCCTAATTCTCTGAATACAATATCCGAATACTCTGCTTCTAAAACATATCATTATTGTTCTGATGCAGACGAAATAAAAACACATTCATGGTTTCGCAATATAGACTGGAACTCTTTGCATAAACAAATACCCCCATTTATCCCTAAAATTAAAAATTTAGAAGATACAAAATATTTTGAAGAACTTAATAAAGATGAAGTACTCCAATCTACTCTCGATATAAGTCATGATAAAATAAGAGATTCGCTTCTTAGAGACAAGGTAATTCATAATGCAACACATAGATATGTATGCTAATCTTATAGATTTATGGAGAACAAATACTTCAAATTCGCAAAAAACTAGCATTTAAAGTAAATATTTAAATATTTCTTCTGCTATTTTATCTTATAAAACCAGGGTTACACTTATCGAAGAAAACATATTCCTATAAATACCCAAAGCATAACTTGCAACTAACAAAAGACAAATAGCGACAATTGCATATTGCTATTAAATGTATCTATTTTATTACAGAAAACATAATTATGGAATATATATGAAAGAAGCAATGTTTTTTATAATACATTATTATACTATTTTATAAAATAAAAATTCACAATATTATCTAAGAAATATTTTATCTTTCGAAAAGACTTCCCTATATTTTTTATAATTCTATTAACTCTATATACTGTTTCCAACAATTTTTTACTAAAAATAGTTTTGCTTATACTTCCAAATCATATTTCTAAAATTCCTATGCGTTTCAGGAAGAAAAATAGTAGATGCAGCTAAAGAAATAAATATTGGCGTCATAAATCGAATTGTAAAAGAACCTAAAAACAATGAGGATCTACTTAAATATAATAATAAAAAATCCATACGTTTCCGTGTTAAAATCAATCCCGCCATTCCTGCGATCATTACATATATTCCTCCTGATATAATTTCTCCATTTGAAGGTACAAGTTCTTTAGTAAATTTTTCTACCTTATTTTCAATCCCAATCCATTTATCTATTATTTTCTCAATCTTTATTGATACATCTTTAACATTTTTTTCAAGTTGATTTCTACTTTGACGAATTTTTAATTGTAAAGTTGATGGAGGTATTTTAATTAATGTTACTTCATTTTCTTCTTTATTATATATAGGAAGCTAAACAAAAAATTAACAAAATCTTTATATATTTAAAGCAATATCCACTTTTTTATCTTCAAAAACTGATTCTGTCATTCAAAATAATTAAATTTTCTAAAAATTACAATTAAAAATTCTTAACCTTGACCTTAAGGAACTTGTATTCAAAAATATAGGGTTAGTATCGCTAAATTAATTTTAGAGACAAATATCTTAAAAGAGAATAGTTATTTACTGTTTTCATATTTAGTTAGAATACTATTTTTAGAAACATTTCCTTATTTATATTATTTTAACTATTAAAGATAATATAAAAATAAAAATAAGTGAATAATTTTTATTTCAACCTTTATTAATATATTTTGTTACTATAATTATTTTTATTTTTATATTTTAAAAATAAGATTATTAATTATTCTTTTTACACCTTAATTGGAATATATTATAAATACATAAATTATCTTAACCATAAATAATTTATTTCTCTTTTTTTAAATAACTCTTACATTTTAATATCTTTAATTAATTATATAATCAATTATTCCTAAACCGGTTTTTTAATGTTAAAAAAAGTTCCCAAAATTAAGTAAGTTTTTATCTTGAGTTATAAGATAATTATTTTTAAAAAAAAGAAAATGCGTATAAAGATTACTTCTCACACACTATTCAGAAGTTCTATAATGTAATATTTTTTTTAAACTAATACTGTAAAAATTAAGATTTTGTGGCTGGCATATAATGATTAATCACTAAAAATAAAAACCAATTGAGCCATATATTAGTATTTTTATAATAAGGAGGCATTTTCATTTTTAAAATTAATGAACTTTTAAAAAGCCTTAATAATATTTATATTAAATTAAAAAAGCCAGAAATATTTAAAGATCCAAAGTGAAGTTAATAGTTCTACATCTTTAAGGTATTATTAAAGCATAACCTTAGATAAGATATTATAAATTATTGGATCACTCAATATCAGAAATATATAGGCATTATTATTTCTCTTATATTAATAACATTTTTGGAAATCTAATTATATTATTTATTTATTACTATTTATTATGAAATTACCATATACATTTTTTATTCATCAAAATCATCTACACTTGTGTATAATCATGGTATTTTTTATAAGTTATATTTGGTCAATACCTATCATGGGTTATCCTAATTTAAGTTTAAGTAATACACGAACACCTAGATTTTCAGGGGTATAAATATTTAATATAATACATATTGATTTATAATTTATATAGATTCCTTCATTAGGATTTATGTCGCGTATTTTTGATTTCCTAAAGGGAATTATCAAGTATTTTGGTAAAGGTTATAATAAAGATGATACAAATACTACATCCTCTAATACAACAAAAATTGATGTCCTTACTCCTATTACTACTCGAGAACCTCTTTCATTATTTAAGTCTATGAATAGTACACTTTCTCCATTATCTATTCATGAGAATGACCTTAAAAAACCTATTCACACAAATAAATTTTATTCTAATTTTTATCTGGGTACTCAACGTTTTCCTTCATTTTTAGATCCCTATGTTCTTACATGGAATTATGGAGTCTATAGCGGAATAGCTGTTGCTCATTCAGACGATAACCAAAAGGTTTTGAGAAGCTTTGCGTTCTGCTGATTATAAAACATTAATTATTTTTTAGGTATTCGGAGAAGGCACCCCTCCTAAATATTTCTTTAACCCTCTTGGTGTTTATTCAGCAACTTTTACTGCTAAAGAATTAGAAAATGCAAGTCTTACATTAACTTCTCTTGATCAGATGTCTGTTAATGTAATTGTAAATCCTAGCAATTGTACAGAAAAAAAAATAGAAATGCCTTTAGTTAGAGGGATGGCTTACGTAACTGGAATTTATACGGATTTGACGCCTATTTTTACATCAGTTGTCGGATTTCGAAATATTGAAAAAAAGCAAATAGATGATTATTATAAATTTAAAGCAACTTTACACGACGGAAAAAAATGGCTTTTATATGTTTTTCCTAAAGAGAAATCTGAATTTAATTTTGAAATAGAAGGAGTAACATTAAAAGCAACCAATGGAACATTCAATGGGTTTATACAGCTTGCAAAAATACCAATCGATAACGATGACGCTGAAAGCATACTTGATGCTTCTGCTGGTACTTATGCAACAAAGATTTTATTGTCAGCATCAGTTTCAGGCAACACGGGCAGTTATACTTTTAGGTTTGAAACGCATGATTATAAAAACAACTCATTGCTTCATTTTGCTATGCCTCATCACATTGTTTCATTTGATAGCGATACAGCTTCTAGAAAAACTAATCTCTCTCTTCCAAGTCCAACTAATGGATTAATGGTTGCTTATACCGGGAAGTATTGGAATATGTTAGAGAATGATTTGCCTGTAAATATTAATTTTTTTCCATATTCGCCTTCAGCCAAAAAACCCTCATATTCAAAGGAAGCTTTAGAAATGATTAGGAAAGCAGCTATAGATGAAATTGCTCAGGATTTTTGCTTGCAAATAGACCCAAACAGTTACTATTTTTCTGGAAAAGTGCTTTCGAAATTTGCGTTATTATGCTTTTCTATTAAAAATATTCTTAAAAATGATACTCTTGCCGAAGAATGTTTAACAAAGCTTAAAGATTGTTTTATGCCATTTGTGAAAAATAGTCGCACTTATAAATTGGTTTATGAAAAAACATGGTTTGGAATTGTTACAGAACAAGGATTTGTAAAAGATAAATTGTCGGATTTTGGAGCGTCTTTTTATAATGATCACCATTTTGTAAGCTTTAATAGAATTTTAAAGATTTTGCTAATTTTTTTAAAGCATTACGGATATCTTATATTTACAGCAGCAATTATAGGATATCTTGATAAGAAATGGATCGAGGAAAATAAAGATTGGGTTATTGATTTAATACGAGATGTTGCAAATCCAGTCAATGATTCTTATTTTCCGGCTTTCCGTTATTTTGATTGGTTTGCGGGGCATTCTTGGTCTAAAGGACTATTTGAGTCAGGTGATGGCAAAGATGAAGAATCTTCATCAGAAGATTATAATTTTTACTTTGCAGTCAAGCTATTTGGCCATTCAATTAATGATACTGTTATAATATCCAGATCAAATTTAATGTTAGCTGTTATGAAGCGATCATTACTCACTTACTTCCTATACGAACCCTCGAATACTGTAATGCCTAAAGCATTTCTTTCCAATTATGTTGCTGGAATCAAATTTATGAATAAAGTATGTCAATTATGGCTTTATATTTTATTAATATTTGATTTAGATAGACCATTCTACATATTTTTCTCCAAGACCAGAGTGCATCCAAGGAATACATATGCTCCCATTAACGTATGTTTTTTTGAATATTTAATTTTTCTAATTTATATGTTTAGACCCATAAGTCCTTATATTCGAATACCATCGTTTGTTAGAAGTGAATGGGATAATAAATTGGCATCAATAGTTGATACCATTGAGGATGGATGGAAAAGTATTCTTTATGCAAATCTTGCTATTATTGACCCGAAAAAATCATATGAATTCTTTTCAATGAATTTCGATAAGAAGTTTCTTGATATAGGCTCTTCCTTGACATGGTATCTTGTATATTCATCTGCTTTTGCGAATTCGAAATAATTTATTTTTATTCGTTATGATCTAAAATTTGCAATAATTTTATATACTTTATAATTCATAACATATAATCATATATTTTATATATTTCTAATAATACTAATTCATAATTATTATTTACTAAACATATTTTGACTTTTTTCCAATTTATATTTTATTTACTATAATGTAGGTATTTATTTTATTAAGGTTTTTAAGGATTATTCACTATTAATATTTATATGGCTTATAAATAAATATTCATCAAATCCAATATTTAACGTTCTTTCTCTTCAAATATATGAATTTTTGAAGATATAACATATGTGCAATATTACGCTATAAAGTTAAAAAATTAACAAAACATATAATTTTCTTATTTAAAAAAAATATATTCCTTAACATATTTTTAATATTTAAAATATTTAAATAAAATTTATATTTTACATATTTTAAATAAATTTCTAAAATTCATTAAAAAATACCTTAAATATTATTTATAGTAAAAAGTATAAAATTTCTATTTGAAATCAACACTAAACAATTTTTAAAAAAATTTAAAAATTTAAAATTAAAATATTTTATCAACTATAAAAAAAATTCATTAATCACATAATTCATTTTTTACAATGATTGAAATAGAAAAACTAATGAATATTTCCTTTTCATTTATTTTTAGATAAATATAAAATCTTTAAAATAAATATAAAAATATTATTTTTTATATTTCAAAAAATCTAAAAAAACTAATATTAATTTTTAAATAACAATAATAGTTCACATTTAAGAAAATACTATAAAATCTTGATTTAAATAACATTATTTCGCGTAGTAAAATTATAATTTATACTAGCTTTCATATTATTTTTAATATTTTTCATTTCATATTCTATTTATACATATAATTCTATTAAAATTTACCATTCTTTTTAAATGGAACATAATATAATAAATTTTTAATAGACTTTTATAAACATTTCTATGTTTTAATTTTATTTTAAAAATATAGAGAACTATAAAAAACCTTGGTAAATAATTTCAAATGATCGGTTTTACAAAAGTATTTAAATATTTAGAATATTTTAATATTCTTTGAATAGAGTATTTTATACAAATCATTTCTTTTTAACTAAGTCTAAGTAATATAAAAATGTCTTTAGAATCTTCAAAAAGGTCACAGCCTGTAGATGAAGAAACAAAATATGAATTATCGACTAAACGTCAGGCTACATTAGATAAAATAGAATTAGCAGATGAAACACAGATCATAACGCTTAGAGGAATTATTTCTGGACGGGACGCTACAGCAATTATTGAAGAAAATGGGGAAAATATAAGACTTTTACAAGAAAAAACAGGTTCTCAAATACATTTAAGTGAAAATGTTCTTGGGTCAATTGAAAGGATTTTAACATGTACTGGAACAGCAAAATCAGTTGCCAAGGCATTTTCACTTATTATTCGGCTCTTACACAATGAAGATTTAGATACAATTTCAAGTCCTAATGATAAGCCTCACAGAATTCGTCTTGTAATTCCACATGTTCTTATAGAACATATTATTGGAAAACATGGCTCTAGTATTAACGAAATCCAAAAGATTTCAGGGGCACATATGAGCGCGTCAGATATTCTTCTTCCTTTAAGCACTGAAAGGACATTGGTTATATATGGCATTGCAAGTGCTATATATACAGCTATTTTTCATGTTGCTATAGCTCTTTTTCAACAAGCAGATCGTATGGTGAATTTGCAAACATGTATGTATAGTCCACTAAGTATGCATGGTGGCTATGGTTATCCCATAACGTTCCAAAGAGTTTTACCTAATGATACCATGTTAACACCGGCTAATCCATACGGAGTTCCTCCAAATATTTCTATGCAGCAAAATTATCAAACGTCTAATTATATGCCTGCTGATCCTCAAGCTATAGCTGCATATAATATTCAACAACAGAACCAAGTAAATTCCCATAATACTCAGCAAGGGCAAACACTGCAATTTCCTCAACAATTACAACAACTACAACAGCCGCAATCACAACAATCACAACAATCACAACAATCACAACAATCACAACAATCACAACAATCACAGCCGGCACCTGGTCAGCCAATTACTCAACAAATATTTATTCCAAATGATATGGTATTATTTTTTAGTGTATTAGAAATTTATGTTAATTTTCATTTTTCACAGGTTGGCGCAATAATTGGCAAAGGAGGGACAAAAATCAATGAAATTCGTCAGCTTTCCGGCTCCCATATAAAAATTAATGAACCTGCGGATAATTCAGCAGAAAGACTAGTAACTATAACAGGAACACCAGAATGTAATCAAATGGCATTGTATATGCTTTATTCTCGTCTGGAAAATGAAAAGGTGAAAAATTAATATTCAAAATAGCCGTTTTAATATATGAATATAGCATCGCATTTAAATGTACATAAAAAAAATATAGTTTATATATTAATTTCTTTATTTACATCTCTTTTCAATAAGCGATGCACGATCGCCTTCTTCGTCATATTCTTTCTTAGATATCCATCTATAAAATTACTATTAGAATATATTAATTTCAATAAACTAAAAAAATACAATTGATGAAATGTCCCTAAACTAGCCAAAATACTTCCTCCTAGCCATGATGCATATTTTCGTTCTACAGTATTTCCTGAGGCATTAATTTTAATTCGACTTCCTGGTGCTATAGCAAATTAAAAACTTTCAATGTCGTTATCCTTACCTAGAAGTTGAAGTTCTGTTAAAACACGATCTCCAAACCCTTGTATTAAAGACGTCCCTCCTGTTATAATAATATTTCCTAGAAGTGTCGCTCGAATATCTGTATCACATGCCATTGCACTATTGTAAAGCAATTGAGCTAAAGACATAGAATTTTCTGGTGGTATTATTTCTGGAAATTCCTATATATTTTTTAAAAAGAAGCATTGAATAGCTAAATCCTACTGTGGCTAAGAATGAAGGATTAAATAAGACTTCAGGAACTTTATATCGATCAATATCAATTAAAAGATTATAGCCATCAGGAAATTCAAAAGCTTTTGCTGGTCGAGATGATGGTATTCTAAAAAGATTAAATATTTGAAAAAAAAAAAAAATATTACGATTCGCTTAATGATTTTTCAAAAACCTGGCAAATACTTTCTTTAAATTCTTGCATAACACGATCCTGTTGAAAAACATGAAAACTGTCGCGAATATCCAAAAATTTACGTAATTCAGCACGGGAAGGAGCCTCTATATCCACAGGAAGCTTTTTTTTAACCATATAATGAGGAACAATAGGAATATTAGCTCTAGAAAAATAAGCACGAGCTTGAGCAGATAAATAATTTCCCGCAATATTTTGTTTCATAACACCTATATATATATATATATATATAACTAGCCCATCCGTAATATCAAGATATTTTACCTCTTTTTAAAACAAGGCCGTCATAAATAGGAGTAACAGATGCTACTTGGGCACCGACATCAAGAATCAATGCTGTAGATTTGCCATTAGCAAAAGATGCACATACTGCATTTTTTGCAAGATAAAATGCAGGAGATCCAAACTTTTCAAATACAATTTCCATAGTTTTTTCCCGATTTTTAGGAGGGTTCCAGCTCGGCTCAGTTACAAGTAACGGATGCTCAGTTGGATCAACTCGTAAACTTGTCTTTATTGCATACAACCATATTTGCGATGCAATGTCCCAATCATGTACAATTCCCTCTAGCATAGGATTTTTGATTTCCATTCCAGCTCTAGGCGCATGTATAGAATTATCTCCAAATACTATTTCTGATCTATTATTTTCTACTAAAAGACCATAACTGCTTTCTATAACACATTTTGGAGTATCTTCACCTGCATAACCCGCGCGAGTATGTTGAGATCCTGGATCCAAAACAATTGCAGAGATTTCATCTCCTCCATATATTTGTGTTGTCATTTCTTTAATAGTTTCTAAAAATTAAATTCTAAATCTTTAATTTATATAAAAACAAACAAGAATAGATAAACTTTTTTTAATAAAAAATAGCTAAAAAGCCAGTAAAATTAAGTTAATAAAGTTTAATAATTTTATAAAATTTTTGTTATAAAATACTATAACGTAACATAAATACAAAAATTAACAAAATATAATTATGGCTTTTTAAAATAGTTTTAAATATAAATTAAAAAATTACAGAAACACTTAAAAATGTAATCAAAATTGAATAAAAAATGTATATATAATATACTTATAATTTCTTGGAAATATTTTTTCATAAATACTCATTTTTCAGCTATTCAAGACAATTTCTAAAATTTCGTTTAAATATTTAAATTTTAATACAATACAGATTATATTAAACATTTCAGTGATTAAAATTTTTATAATTTCACTTATTAAAATACGAAATTAACTTGCATTTTTTCATTTATTGATATTCATTTATTGAAAATATAATGTTATATATTTTAAATTTTATAAAATAATATATTTATATTCAGTTTTACATGATACATTTAAAAAATTTAAAATTACAATTTTTTATTTTCTGAAAATATATTAAAAAAATCCTGCAATATTTATTTTTAAACTTTTTTTTGAAATTTTTACATAATAGATTAGTATTCATAGTAAAGTTGCAATTTTTTTAAAAATAAAGATTAGATTTTAATGATTAATCCTATATCATTTCATGTTAAATATATTTAGAAATAAAAAATATTTTAAATTATTTAGAAACACATTTCATTTTATTATAAAATAATTTTCATTTTTGAAATCATTAAATTATAATTTTTAACTACATATTATTTATTTTTTATATTTTTATGAAAAAATATTAAAAATTATTTTTTTTACAACTTGTTTAAAATTAAAATTTACAGATTAATATTCATTATAAAAGTATGCAAAACATTGTTAAGTTTATTTACTTATCGTTTATATAAAACAAATATTTGTCATTAAGTAAAATATATTTAATATATTTTCAAAATATAACTAAAGAATTTGATATATTTTAACTGTAAATATTTTTTTAAGTATCTAAATTATTTTTAAATGCTAATTTTTTTAATATGAAAATCTTTATAATTTTTATTTAAAATATTAATATTAAAAAGCATGCTCAATATAATCATAACTATAATATTAAAAACATACGCAAAATATAAAACAAATCTCTAATTTTATATAATTACATTAATTCCTTACCAAATATTTTTAACTAATTTTCATAAAATTTCTAACCTGGAAAATTATTTAACAAAATTGCTTACAATAATTTAAGCAAATTAATATAATTCATTATTAATTTTATCATATTTTACAGACTAAATCTATAATATAAATATTATAGCTTCTATTATTTATACTTATTACTTAAAAAGTTCATTTTTATTTAATACATTTATAAAAATCATATTTTTTAAGACAATCCATTTAAAAATTTACTAAATCTTCAATAATATATATATATATATATATACCTAATTTCCACAATCCTATTTAATCGAAAATTTAATACAAAAGTAGAAACATAAAACATCCCTATAAATATTTTTATATTTAGTCATAAATAGTTGTATGTAATGGGTTTCTTTCTCTCATTAGTTCCTTTAAAATAATTAGAAACTTATCCTTTCGTAACATATCTGCAGTAATAATAGACAACATATTTTCCGAAAAAGATAAATTTTTGCGTGTTTTACTTTTTATATCTTTTGTTTTTAGAAAAAGGTCAGTTTTCAGCCTTTTGAATTCAAATTCTAGATTATTTGTTTCATTCATACTTTGCTGAATTAGAGAATTAATTTTTCCCAAAACTTTTTTAATTGATTCTAAGGAAGGCAATTTAATATTACCATTAGTCTTTCCAGCAAGTTTTGCTTTATATAATGCGAAACCCTCTTCTGCTTTCCATAAATAATTCTCAACATTCTACAATATTATTAATATATATTTCTTAAATAACAAATTAATACTTGACATATTTTTCGTAATTTTATTTGATTTTCAAGGTGTTCTGATCCTAATTGCCGAACCTTAATCATCCGTGTAAATTCATGATCTGTTCTTGCTCTGATAAATCTAGATACTTCTATATGTTTTGCTTCTACTAATAATATATAAATTCTCGAGAGTAATCTTTCAAAAATATACTAACATTTAATAAAGGTTTTTTTAAGAGATTTTATGATATCAAGATTTGTATCTTCTATTTTTTGAAAATTTGAAATATCATTTAATAAATCAAATATCATTTTTCCCATTCGTGGAATTTCTTCTAACTTCCATTCTTCAATATGTCTCCTGAATATACAAACAGAATCATTCTCTACGCTATTATTTTCCTTTTGATCTTCTATAAATAGACTTAGCCTTTCAAGATTTTCTTGAATCTACAATTTTATATAAATTTATGCAAATCTTTAAAACTATTATACTTACAATATTTAATTCATTATCCATCTGTCTACATATTATATCAATTTCCTTAAAAAGGCCCTTATTTAATTAATAATCATTCTTTTCTAAAAAATATTTACCTTTTCTTTACTTTGAGCTTTCAATGCTTCACTCATAGAAAGTAATGGTTTCAATTTTATCATATATTGATTTTTAAATAATGGAGACCTTTTAGCTGTATCATCATGAGTTTCATCAACAATATTCTTCGATGGAGTTTTGATTTGAGAAAGATCAAAAGAAATTTCATCATCATTTTTAAATTCAAAAGCATTCAAATCATTAGAAAGAAGTGTAGAAGATGTATTGAGTAATGCATTGAAATCTTGTGATTTTGAATGATTATATGCTGTTTGTTCTGAATTATCTTTAAGATTTTTATGTAAATTATCATTTGAGAAATCAATACTTCTATTTCGACTCGATAGGGGTGGAGATGCAGTATCAAGTTTTTCTTCATTATTTTCGTGCAAATTCTCTGTAATTCTGAAAATATCCTGAGATTGTAAATTCTTATTAATATCATAAATAGCAGATTCGTTTGAAGATACATTAAAACTATCTTTCGAAACATTTCCTTTCAAAGACAATAGATGTTCAGGAAAAAAATCTGATGACGAAGGTTGTTTTTTTTTATTATTATCTTTAGGAAAATCAAAATCATGGCCAAATATTTCATTTTTATTATTTTGATTAAATTCATTTTTTTCATAATTTTCATCTTTAATAACATCATTATGAGATATGTTATCCGAAAGAACAGGTAAATCCGCACTTCTAGAAGAAAGCTGATAGTTTTCATGCAATTCACTTATATTTTCTGATAATTTGTCAATCTTATCAAAAAAAAATAAATAAAATACCATTCTTATCTTTAAAAAAAAGACCCGTAACTGTTTTTTCCTAAAAAAAATATTAAACAACTTATGTAATTCAGTAGTAAAATCTACTTTTGTTTCAATTTTATCATTATTTTTAAATCGGAAAACGCCAGAACTGCTAGAAAAAGATACGCGAGCGTCTGAACTTCCAATTTCTCTTTTTATCTGATTCTCTTGATCAACAAAAAAAGAACCGGAAAGAGTTTTTTCCTGTACTGTTAAAGATGACAAACTAGGAACTTTAGAATCTGAAAAAAAAGAAAGTTCTTTTCCAAAAGAAATAAAAGGTGACGATATTTTTGAAGAAAGACTTGAGGCATCAAGTGACTGAGGCTGACTATTCATAAAAGTATTCTTTTCATTATTATTAAAACATTTCTCAATTTCTCCATAAGAATTATCATGTGTTTCAGACTCTTTATTCGAAATACAATCTATTTTATCCTCTAAAATACTTTCATTTTTCATCTCTAATGCATCTTCAATATCATCTTCATTTTGAAACCTTGATGAATCTGAAAATGAAAATAAAGGTGTCGATTTACTAAAAATAGATTCCATCTTATTTTCAGATGTCCCTGATGAATTCTGGACTAATTTTCCAAAAGGGGATTCATTATCAGATTTAATCAAAGATGCAAAAGATGCAAAAGACGATGGTTTAATAGCTTGAGATACATTATTAAAAAATTTTTTCCCAAATGCTATATTCTGGACACCTGAAAAATTAGATTGTTAGTATTTATATACTACGATAAAACCTGTATTTTCAGAAGAACCAAACAGAGGATTTCCAAAAACAGGTACTCCAAAAGCTGGTTTTCCGAAAGAAACACCGAAAGAAACAGAATTATTAGCTATTGACCCAATTGTCTGTGAATTTAGTGTATTTTCAAATACAGGTTTTGAGTTTAAAACAGGCAAACTTGGTACAAGCATGGGCTTAAAACCAAAACCAAATTCTTTTGCAGTTTCAACAGCACTTTGATTAAAACCTAAATAAAGTAAACACTCAAAATAAACTAAATTAAATCAATACATATGTCAGATGTATTTCCTTTGATGGGGCAAATAAAATCATATGTTCTACCTGCTCTTATTGCATCTACATAAAGAACATAATATCCAGTTAAAAGGTAATCATTATTAAGAATATAAAGAATAGGAAGAGGAGGTCCTTCCTTTGGTTCTTCACTTGGAAATAATGGTTTCTCAATATTTTGAGATAAAGTGAAATCAAGTGCAATACCAATAGGAGAAGTATCACAATCGTTTAAAATAGAATATGGTAAAGAAACTCTACGAGTTTCGTTAGATATAGTCAGTGTCTTCCATATTAAATCATCCTTATTGCGAACGACTATACCAACATCTGCACTCGCTGTTGCTGCAACAATAACAAAGCTTTTTAGGTTAGGCTCCCTAAAATCAATTAAAAAGTTTTAATAATAGTACTAACAAACCAATTTTTAAGATATCTAATAAAATGATGATCAATCCTACTAGTTAAACCAAAAGGTGGACTAGGATCTACAAGTTTTCCATAAGTGATAATTCCATTATGCTCTCTAGTAATTATAAAAATTACATAGTCATGTTTCAAATCTTCTGTAGGTTTGTAATCATTATAAACAACAAAAAAAACATGATTTTCTAACCATAAAATAGAACTTACTATTACTTTTAATACTATAATACTTAAATTTAAGGAAATCACCATAATATGCATCATTCAATGATTTCGGCTTATTAATAACTGCCTTTAATGATCCATCTGGAGTATATTGAACCAGTTTCCCTTCCGATGTTCCACAGACTATTTGTTTACCTTTTTGAGACCATGAAACTTCTTAAATTAAACAAATTTCATACATGATAAATGTACTTACATGAAGTTATATTATTTACCAAAGGTTCTGAAATACTTCTTTGAGAGAAATTAATTAAATGAAGATTGCCAAAAAAAGTCAATACTGCAACCATATTGCTATTTATTGGATTGGGAAGAATATCCTTAATATTTTCAACTTGAAATATAAATTCTGGCTCAAGAGAATTATTCTAAATTTTTTAAAATATATTTCAATCAATATAAATAAATACCTTTTGAAACAATTTTTGTGTACAGTAAAACATAATTTCATTTTCCTCAGTGACTACAATCAAATATTTTTCATCGGCACAAAAAGAAACATTTATAATTTTTTTTTGCAAATGTATTATTGATAATGGATTGTGTTCTACTATCTTTTTGACTATATTACCTTTTAAACTTTCTCTTAAAGATTCAGTTGTTCCAAAAGCAAATCCTATAAAAATCAGCCGTAGTTTTTTAATCAATAAACCTTTATAAACCTGAAGGAATTCCTATAGCATAATAACCATTCTTATTCCCAATACATAATAAAGATGCATTATATCTAGGTGTTTGATCTGTAAAATTTTTTTCAATTTGTATATAAGCATTATGTTGTAGAGATAAAAAACCAAAGTTCTAAAAATAAATTTAGAAATAATATTCAAGACATTTTAACTAACATCCGTATCCAGTTCTTCTAATTCAACATATATTTCATTGGAAGGTTGTGAAATTGAAGTATTAAGAAAAGAAAATGAATTTAACATGATAAACTTCAAAATTAAGTAAAATTTTTATAAACTACTTAAAATAGTTTAAAAAGGTTGTTTTTTTATAAATTACAACATAATCGTAAATAAAAATAAAATATTTAAATGATTTAATTTTTTTAATGTACGTTTTTTTTAAAGAATTTATAAAAACTTCATGATTTAAATTTCATCCATATATATTAATAATATTAAATTTAATATAATTATTTCTTAATATTAATTTCTAAAAGAATAACACGGACGTTTTATAAAACTAAATATCCTCAATATTATGGATTAAGTTTAGTAAAAAAAAATTATTACCTTTAAAGTCAAATTATTACCATGCAGTTTTAGAATTTATACTTGTATACTAATATAAAAAAATAATGGCTTAATATTTTTTATATTAAAAAATATTATATATTATCTTAATATAAAACCATTTCACTAAAAAATTAGACAGCATAAAATTATAATTACAAAATTAAACTATAACAATTAAATTATAAAAATATATATACATTATATCTCAATAAAAATTTTTACCTATTTATTTAAAACAATAATCAATATTTAATATATATTCTAATACATTTAAAATACGTTCTAGAAAAAAATCTAGTTATAAAAAATTAGGGATATTTTTTTAACTAAAGTTCTAGAAAAATATTTCATATATACCCTATATATATAGGTATATCTGTGCACATTAAACATATTAATATAGATATTAGCTATTTATAGATATAATTTATTAATAATATATTGTTTATTGAAATATTTTTATATGAATAATATTACTTTTCACATTGGTAATAATTTAATTTCAAGGACATAATTCTCATTAATTTTAGAAGAAATTAACAAACATTATTTAAATTAAGGTTCTAAAATATTAAATTAGCCGGTATTAATAAAACTCGTTTATATTTGCATTTTATAATTTTAAGGAAATAGTAATGTAAACTAAAATTACATTAATATAAAGAATTTTGAACTACATTAATATAAACAATTTAAAATTAATAAAATATTATACTAATTTAGAAAGTTATTTTTAAAAAATTAACTGAATTATGAAAATCGAAAGTTGGGTAAATCTTCCCCATAGTATAAAATAAAAAATCTATATAACTATATCTAATGTTTGCCAATACATAGAAAATTTAAAATAATGAAAAACATTATATTTATAACTTTTGCTGGGTACATATTAGTATTTTTTAAATTTATTGATACAATTTATGCTGCACCAAATTATATTTCCGATGATTGTAATCTTATCTACTCTAAATTATTTATCATTAAATATTCTAGATAAAGAACATAAGAATAAAATTTACCAAATAAACAGTAAGTTTTAACTGTCTTTGTGATTATTGAATTATTCATATATATCTAGATCACTTTAGTGACGCAAGCTCTTTATATAAATCAAATGATAATCTGAATTATCAGAAAAAGAGTGATCAGAAAGAGAGTGGTTTATATCATCCAAGATCACAATTTAAGGATACTTGTAAAAGTGTTACTTTGAAGGCTAAGAGCGGTATATTCCATCATTTGTATTTATTTATTAACAATTATAGAAGATACTAAAAAATGTGTATTAGATAAATTAAAAAAAACACGTTGTGTTGACACTGATATACTTTGTTTATGTGATTCCAAAGCTTCACATAGAGTAATTCAAGATTGTTCGGAATTTCCAAAATATGATCTTACGTTTGGGATTTACTTTGATAAACTTTGTTTTTCAGCAGCTTTAGAACTTGATTGTATCTCTCCTCCTGACCCTTCTTTTCCAACAGTTATATGTAAAGATCTTTTTGAAGGGTCTGGACTTGATGGTATATAAGTTTATTTGTATTTTTCTTTAATTTAATATAATTAGAAAACGCGAGAAATTGTATGAGAAAAGCAGTTAAACATTCTATGTGTAAAAATATTAGTTATATATCTTGTTTATGTGATTCTAGATCTTTTAGTTATGAAATTAGCGAATGTATTAAGGATCCTTCATTTGGAAAGAAAGTTGGGACTTTTTTAAATACTTTATGTAGGACGCCAAGCTTACTTCCTGGATGTTCTCATTCGCAATTTTTACCTCAAGTAATAGAAAATGAAGAGAACACTGGGGAAAGACTTTATAAAATTAAAATGAAAGAAATAATATTTTTAATGCTTGGAATAACTATACCCATCAGCTTAAGACTTATGGAAATATAAAAAAAATATAATTCGATTAATAAAAGGTATATTCTATGTTTATAAAATTTCTGATATGTTTAAATATTTTATCTTTCACAATTCAATTCATGACTATTTTATTATAAATTTAATTTTTTATAATATTTATAATGTTAATATTATAATTAATATATAAATGCTAATGAAAACTAAAATATATAAAATATTTTTTAATTTAAAAATGAAATTAAAATCTATATCTAATTTCTTTGAATTAAAAAAACAGATATTTTACAATCTTTATGAGTTCTTTCAATACAGATCAATATATTTTGTTTTAGAAAGTAATTAACATACAAAATAAAAAAAAATAAAGTTTGAATAAGAACTAGGTAAAATATTTTATATTTTAGTAATTAAACTATACAGATTGTATATATTTTACCAAAAACATCTTAAGAATAAAATCAATATTCACTATACATATTTAATATTTTTAAAAGACAAATTAAAAATTAACTTTTAAAAATTAAAAAGATCTTTTTAAATATTATTTCATTATAGAATAAATTATTTATTTTTATAAAATAACTTGATAAAAAAAATCAATAAAAAATCATAATTAAAAAATTAAAATATAAAGCTATTAAGAAATACACAGATGAGCAGAAAATATATAAATTATAAAAAATATCAAAAATATAAAAAGAGATAAGATTAACAAAATTTATAAAACAAATATAGATAATAACACAATTAATTAGATAATAATATTGAAAAAATTAAAAAAAAACATAACAAAATAAAAAAAATAATTTTTAATATTGAAGTATTACTAACGTCTATTAAGTTACATAGAATATAATGAAATTAAAATTAAAACTGAAGTTTCATAAATTTAAACGCTCAAGTTCTAAATTTATACTTTAACAAAATCCTAAGAGAATAAAAGTTCTTTATAATGACTAAATTTTTAAATAATAATTTTAAGATATATTTTAAATAATAGTTTTTTAAATTTTCTACTTTATGGAATAGATTTTCTTAGAACCTAAAAATAAAATTTTTTAAATGTTTAAAATCGCATCTAAAGAAATAAAACTTTTAGACAAAATACAATAGAAGTGAATAAAAATTACTAGAAAAAACAGTAAAGTTAAAATAAATCAACATATCTTAAAAAAAATATTCTAACACAAAATAAAAACATAAATATAACTTAAATACATAAAAATCTACTAGAAAACATTTAAAATAATAACCAAAAATCAACGCCATTTTCATATTATTTACTTTCCACTTCTATCTGAAATTTATCAGTTTTAATTTTAAAAACGTTTAAACTTGAAATTTTCAAATGTTGATATCCATAACAAAAATGATTATCATTATTATTTATAAAAAAAAGTATCCAGACTTATATTTCTTATGAATATATCGTTATTTATAAGAAATATCATTTTAAATTATCTTTATTTTTTTCTGTTTAAAATTTGTTAAATTTTTATTAGATCAAGAATTAGAGAATTTCAAGATTAATGCATAGATAAAATCTAAAAAAAATCACATAACAAAAAGAATTTAATAGTCTAAGTTCCAACTTTTATATGGTATCTTTTTTCAAAAGTACAATTCAAAATTCATCGCTTGTCTTTCCTTATATATAGGAATTCCTCATTAAAATATAGAACTTACTATATAATAATTAGTTGTTTTTATTAAGTTATACTAAAAAATAGTTATTTTTTCATTATCTAAAATAATACCCTAAAAAACTACATAATTTCCTTATTTTTTTTAAGTATCTAAAATTTTAAAATAATTAAATATTTCATTTCTAAATTTTGCCTTAAAAATTTATTTGAAAAATATTTTAACTGTTTTCATAATGTCAACACTAAAGGGAATAGCCTTAAGATCTCTTAAAAATTATTAAATATTAAATAATTAATTTTTTATCTTTTAAAAGTTTAAAACATTTATATTTTGATTTCATCAAAATCATATTTAAAATAACTATTTTAATCTTTTTGTATTAAAAATACTTAGTTATTTAAGCTTTTAGGAAATTAATAATATATTTACACATATATTTAATTATCTGTATTAACTTTACTATATATTAATTTTTATTTTCCTAGTTTGTAAAGAGCGATTATACTTTTTTTTAACATTGTTAGATATATTTTAAGCATTTTTACTTTAAATAAATATTAAAAATAAAGAGAAAATAATCCGGTTTCTTTGGACATCCTATTTATATCAAGTTTATGTTATACTATTTTATATTTTTTTCATTCATTGCGTTATTTTTACAAGCAGAATCATATAGAACTCAAGATAATGAAACCGATCATCTTTTATATTTAAGAAATCAAGAAAATATAAAGGTTCTTTCTACAGAGTTTAAAAAACCAGATAATGATCATTCTTTGTATCGGCTTATTGAGATATCTAATAAGCTTCAAGTTTTATTAATTAACGATCCACAAAGTAAACTATCTGCAGCTTCAATAAGCATAAGTATCGGACATTATAGTGATCCTGTAATTCTATGACGAAGAAATACATTTGCTTATCTATTTTTAGGATGATATCCCTGGTCTTGCTCATCTTTGTGAACATATGTTATTTATGGGAACAAAAAAAGTAAATAGGAACATATAATCTGATATTTATATTTAAAATCTTTAGTATCCTGAAGAAGATGGTTTTTCTTCTTATCTAAAAAATCATTCTGGCCAATTTAATGCACGTACTTCGTCAGAAGAAACAAATTTTTTCTTTCATATTATACCTGATTATTTTGAACAAGCATTGGATAGATTTTCACAATTTTTTATCGCGCCATTGTTTCCAAGAACAGCTGTTGAGCGAGAAATACATGCAATTAATGCTGGTCTTTTACTTTTTTAATTAAACTCTTTTAAACTTACATGTTCCAGAATTTAAAAAAAATCAGAAAAATGAAGAATGGAATATATTACAGCTTGAAAAGTCGCTTTCAAATGAAAAATCTCCTTATCATAAATTTGGCACAGGAAACTATCAAACATTAATGGATAATCCAAAAAAAAACGGCAAAGACATTTTAGAGGAAGTTAAAAATTTTTATTCAAAATATTATTCTGCAAATTTAATGAGACTCGTTGTAATTTCAAAAGGTTCTCAGTTTGTTTTTATTTTAAAATACAACTTCTTACTATATAATAGAATCTCTCGACGAGCTCCAGAGATTAATTATTAAATATTTCTCTCAAATTCCTAATAGAAGAATTCAGAAACCTCAATTTATGGAAAAGCCATTTACGAATAAACATCTTGGCGTAAAATTTTTTTATTTCATGATTATAAAATTTATATTTATTAGACGCAATGTTGGTATAAATCAGCAAAGAACTCTATAAAAATGACGCTTACGTTCCCTGTTGAATCTCTGGCAATTTCATATAAGAAAAGTTCTTTTGCTTATCTTAGATATTTGCTAGGTTATATTCTACAGTTTTCAATATTTTATTCTAAACAGTAAGCTAGAACATCAAGCTTCTAATTCTCTTTACAGTTTTTTATCAAAAAAAGAGTGGATACTTTCTATTAGGTAAATATTTATTAAAATTTTGGATTATATTTATATTTTTTGTTAGTACTGATATCGAATATATAGTTTCAAACGTAGATTTTTTTAGGATAATTTTAGTTCTTACTTCTAAAGGACTAGGCATCATTTTTTGCCTTTCTAAAGAAAACAGCTTATTTTTTTAGATGAATCTGAGGACTTAATAGTTGCAATATTTCAGTATTTGGATTTTCTTAGAAGTTGTTTTGTTTTAATTTGAATTATAATATTGAAAAATAGTAGGTATAGGACCTCAGGAATGGATTTTCAATGAATTGAAGCAGCTGGATGATATATTTTTTCGCTTTTCAGATTATATAACATCATTTCAACGTGCTTCAATTTTATCGAAAGTCATGCAAAAAACATATTTAAATTATTCAGATTTACTGAGATCCGATTTTTTTTCAGAGTACAATGCACAGTATATCATAGATCTATTAAATTTATTGCACCCAAATAATTATTTGCTTTCTATTTCTTCTAAAACCAAACCTGGTGATTGGAATGCGAAAGAATTTTGGTATGGATCAGAGTATAAACTTGAATCCTTACCAAAAACACTTGTACAGGTATTTCGGAAAATCGAAACTATCTTATTTTTGAATAATAATAGAAAACAAATAATTTGGTAACTAATGACTTATTTAAGTTACCTGATTTAAACAAATATATCCCAGAAAATTTTTTTATAAAACCGCCTTCTAAGAATGTAAATTCTATAATTTATTAACTAAATAATATAATTCTTTTTAGAGAGTAGACAAACCTCGTCTTACATATAGTAGTCATGTTCTTCGTTACTGGTATAAAGATGACACATATTCTAATCCTAAAACATATTTGTCTTTATTTTTTAAAATGTATTAATGAAAACAATGCTTTGAATATTACTTACAATATTTTAGACCAGGATATTCTGATACACCTCTACAAGAAGCACGATTAAAGTATGTTTTCGAATTTTACATAAATCATAACATAAATTCTAGGGTTTATATAAATATGTTATTTAACAGTATTGTTGGAATAGTCTATTATGCGAATATTGCGGGATATCAGATTAGTATAGTGCCTCATAAATTAGGATTTCAGCTATTTATATATGGCTTTAACGATAAAATACTCAAATTACTTGAAGATGTTTTAGATGCCTTTTTAAATTTCCAACCCAGCTTTTCTAAATATAATTTTTTTAAGGAACATCTAAAATCAAATATTAATATTGATTCCATTGAGCCTCCTAAACAAATAAAGCCTGTTGCTATTTCTCTGTATACTGAAACTTATTGGCCTTATAGTGAAATATTAAATGCATTAGAATGTATTTCTCCTTAAATACAATTGTTTACTAACTTTAAATATAGCACTTACCTTTGTTGATATTGAAATGTTTCATAAAATGCGTTTTTTTCGAGTTTTTGTAGTCGCACTAGCAATTGGAGCACTTCCAAGTGTAAGAAACATATACAACTAAAATAATTAATTGTTTTTAGAATACACCACTTTTTATCGACAATTATATAAAAAATATTAATAATAGCACACTCTATCCATATCAACTTTTTGATTCGTGAACATTTATACTTGAAAAAGGTTAATAAATTATGTTTTATTATATATATTCATGGTTTATTTTTAGAAAGTAACCAGATTTATAAATTGGATATGAAAAATATTGATGAGTTGAATTCTATTCTATTTATATAAACCAATGAATCATTGCCTTTTTAGATAAATTAGAGGCAATTATTTGAAACTATTATTAAGAAGTCTAAGAAATGTGTTAATTTGGTTATTCTATATATTCTCTCAAGTTCAAAACATATTTATGGATGAAAATACATATTAGGATCATATACATTCAGAAATGATGATTAATGTAATAATTGTAATTTGAATAATATAGCTCTTAATGTTTTGAAAATTTAACAAAAGATGTTTTAAAAGGATTTTTCTATGAATATATATATCCTGGTTTGCCTAATCAAAAAAAATTATCTATTCATATGGAATCTAAAACATTAGGAAAGGTTTCATCCACCGATATATCAGTACAAAGGTTATATTATTATTTCAAATGCAACAAATTAGAAATCACTTTGAACAATCGTATTATTCTAATAAAGTCTAATCCTAAACTATTTAACTCCGAAAAATCTATACAGAAGTTTCTTGTAGAAAAATATCCAAATACATCTCTTCTAGAGTAGCTACATGAGCTTTTGAATATTTTAAAAATTAGTTTAAGAAACTAAAACAAAAAACTTTGAAAAATTATAGCTTAATTTTCTAAATTCAGTAATATTTAAAGACTCCTTGAAATTATTATTTACACCTCTTTATTATTACGGAAAAAATGCATGAAACACAGATTTTCTTGAGGTCATTTAGAGTTATATATTGGAAATATAAATTTAAAAATATTGAAAATTATGTTATTTTAATGAGCTATATATAACATAACATTTATATGAGATAAAGCTAATCAAAATTAAAACTTAATACATTAATACAATAATTATGTAGCTTTCATATGTTATAAACGAAAATCATTTTTAAAATATTTCTAAAATTTTAATTCTATAATAATTACAAAAATAATTTTAAATGTTATTTAAAATCTATAAAAAGGTTCTTAACAACAGAAATTTTAAAATTTGCATTCAATTAAGGCATTTCTTAAAAGGTGGGTCGGCCGTGGATCGAACACGGGACCTTTGCATCTTCAGTGCAACGCTCATCCCAACTGAGCTACCAACCCATAACAAGACAAGTAAGCTAGAATTATCTTTTAAATGTAGATTTTATAAATGTATATATCTAAAATTAAAAAATAAAAGATATCTTAAAATAGTATTTCTTATTTTTTACGAAGCGTAAAATAAAAATCCTCCAATATTTTGTTTAAAAAATCATTTTTTATAATATTAGTGAATGGCATCATTGATATAAAACGAAGAGTATTATTCCATCTTTCTTTCACTAATTCCATCCAATTGGCTGATGATACCATTGGCATCCATAATGGATTTGAAAAATAATCATGGTTTTTAAGCCGAAATGATTGACGTGTTAAAGATTCTGACAATGAACATGTTGTTGAACGCATTTGTAAAAGCAATATATATGTTATAGAAGAAGATAATATAGTGCCGCTAAGAAAAAAAAATATTCTTGGCATAATTGAATAATATTTAAATGTACTTATCTAAGTAGATGATAAAATGATGTTATCTGATTTATATATTTTGAACTTTTAAAAGATTATTTTATATCCGATTTTTAGATTTATAACGTTAAAATAAAAATTAATTTTTAATTTAGATAGTTCTAAAAATATAGAAATATGCCTATTAAATTATTATTGAGAAAACTCATCCATAGGATACAATTTTCTAAACATTTATTTCTGTTTTTTTACGGTAATTTAATATCTTTGTAAATGAGGTTTATTAAGAAATAAATATTGTATTTTAATAATATATAAATCAATTGAAATGGTCTTCGAAGTTAACACAAAAATAGTAGATAGATTAATTATATATTTAGGAAAAGTTTTAATAATTTTTCTGTATAGAAACTTATCAAATTAGTTATTTATAAAGATTAAATATTATTTTATTAAATTAAAAATAAATATATTTTATAGAAATCAAAGAAAAATATAACGAAACTATATAGAATAGCTTCAGAAAGATTTCTGAAAAGACCAGATGGCTATATTCCTGTTTTAAAATTATCTCGAAGAAAAAAATGATCAATACCTATGAAGTTTTAGAATATATTGATGATCCAAAAGATATTCAATTTTTTATGGCAAAAAAGCCATAATTAATAATGAAAAATTGGGAATAAGGATGTCAAAAAAAAGCATAAAAAATATTAAAAAACAATGTACTTTAGAAAAGATAGCTTAATTGTTTTAAAAAATAGAAAAAATGAACATTATTATTTTTTTAATGGAAAAAAGCAGAAACATAACATGAATGTCATTTTTACTTTTATATATTATTAATACATGTTAAAGAAATATATTATATATATTATAAATCATTTTTATAATTTTATTCAGTCCTTATTGGTCTTTAGGAATATTTCAGTAAAGTATTTTAAAAAATATGATATTTTTAATATAAAAACTATTTAAAACAAAAGGAAGAGAATTAATATGATTTTTAAGTTGTATAATTTTTTAAGTAAAAAAGTCAGTATCATTTAAATTAAATGTTAATGATTATATACGTTAAATTATTATAAACTTACTTATACCAATTATCAGTCAATTTTAAAGAAACAAAACATTATATATATATATAATATGATATAGGCTTTTATAATACTATTATATTTCACATAAATGTTTATAATATGGACAAGACATTCTTATCAATAAGCATTTCAAGTTCTTTAGAATTAATATTTTATCTTGAAAAAATCCATTAATAATAATTATTGATATTTATACGTAATCTAAAAATGTTTGCTTTTTTTCTTATTTTTAATATCTATAGATTCTTCTGAAATTTCTAACGTAGTAATATCATTAGAATTTACAGAATACTCTTTTTTATCATAAAATCTTGAATTTTCTGATATACTTTTCATTTAATGATTTATGAATAAAATGATCAGGATTTTCATTATTTTTTAACCTACAATTCATTTTTTTTTGGGCATTTCTACACTTAAATCAAGAAATCCCACTCAACTTAAACCCTATAACCATATTATAGACTTAATATAATAATCAAAGAAATATCAATGTAGTTATCCCTTGAGATTAAAAATCCGGTAGACAGATTTACAGATTTCTCTGTTTTAATGTCAAAATTAAAAATAAGATTATCAACTATTATAACTATAAGAGAAGCAATAAATGAAAAAGTGAAATAACATGTTTAGGAAAAGAAAATTGTAAAAGTTATGAAACCATGATGAATTTTTCAGAATTATATATATATGTCGAGGAAGAACTATAGATAGGAAGATATTTAGTCTTTAAAAAGTATTATAGATTTAACGATATTCGGATATTCAATAGTGCTTATTCTTTTATCATTTTTTGGTTTTATTAATTATGGTTATAAATTCCAATGAACATAAATTCAAAAAGTAAACTTTATTTAAATGTTCAATAGCAAAATTTAATCTTTGATAAAACAATAAAACAGCCAAGTCAATAAATTTCAAAGTGAAACTACATATTAAGAAAAAATCTGAAAGGATAGGATTATTATGTTTTTATCTAATAATTTCTAAAGGTATGCTTTTTAGCATATGCAAAATACGAGAATAGTATCCCCAGATAAAAAAGAAATTAGTGTATAGAGGCTGAAGTCTCGAGAAGATTTATATAGATAATTTTATAATTTAAATCAAAGTAGAGACAAAAGCTATAAAAAAACTAATAAAGCAATCTATAAAAAAATTAAAAAATTTGAAAAGAAAAATAATTTCAAAAACTATATCTATGCTTTAAAAATATATTACAACTATTAAAAAAGTAAATGTTCATGATATTTTTTATTACAAAAAAACATTTTTAATTATGATGAATGTATAAAATTTAAAATCATGATATACTAATTTTTTTAAAAAGAAATTTATTTAATCTACTGAGATATTTTAGAAGAATATATGTAAAATAATAATTATAGATATAGAGACTTAATATGATTCACTTGAAATCAATATTAAAAACAATGTAGCGATTAAAAAAAAAGGTTTAAGAATTAATTATTTAAATGAAGGAATGCTAAAAATAAAGAAAATATTGAGCTTAAGGATGATAATATAATATTAAAAAGGGTTAAAAGCATGGATGAATTGTAAAAAAATTTCAAAAGTAAATAGATAAAACAATATATATATATACTATTTTATAAAAAATTATTGAATGAAATGAGAAAAAATATAGAAAAAAAACAAGAAAAATAAAGATTTAAAATTTATAATCAAGAATTGTAATGATTTCTATTTTTAACAGTTTCTGCCATATTTTTTTAGGGTTTATAAAAATCGTGAAATTTTGTCGCATCTTTTTAGATACCATTTAGTAAAATAACCATTAAATTTCATAAATTTTAAAGGCATATTGTAGATATTTTTATTATATGTTTAGGACCCAAAAACTATAGAAAATACTTTTTTTCAATGATTAATAAAATTATACTGATAGCAATATTAAATTTAATTGGTAATTATATTTTAGATTATTTTCATTTTTAATTAAATTATTTTTAGCTCTTACATATGGAAATCAAAACGTAGATTTAAGTATTAGGAGTTCTCAGACAAATGCAGTAGATCCTTCGTTTGAAAATTTTATTGTTGATAAAGAAAATATTTATGCTTTTATTTTAAAAAAAGATTATGATGATGAAAACAAATGCAAAGCAAAATTTGAGGAATATTGTGAGGAATTGAAGAATATAGATCCAGAATTGAATAAAGTGGATAGTACTGTTAAGGAAATTTGTAATGATAACAATAAAGAAAAAAAATGCAAAGTGATAAAAAGAATAATTCAAGAAAAATCAAAAAAAATGGCCAAAAATATTAAGGATTTTTCTTA